GTAGTAGTCTTTATAAGCTGAAGTGTGGATATGATGAATGGGTAGCAAGTACTTGCAACCTCAACCTACTGTACAATGATAATAATTAGCAAAGTGTTCATTTTTCAACAATATAGTTATTAAGTCCTAGCCCCTAGGTAGGTAGTAATGTACTGGTACAGGTTATAGTGAGATATTGAAGGTTAATGGTGTAGGAAGCACTATAGTAGTTTTAGTATCATCAACTGGTCAACAAGCTCCTGTCCACATTGCCTGTGTGGAATATCTCACTGTTCAAGTATTTTCTAAACATGTACATCTACAAGGTGTTAATTTACATTTTTAAAGGTTTTATTTTGAAGATTTACTTATCAATAATGCTTGATATAGCTTTCTATTTCTAAGATACTGTCATTAGTGGAACAATGACATGCAATATAAAGAATATCATGTAAAGTTATGTGTCAATATTGTCATAATATCATGTCATTTGCATTTCTCACCAGGTATTGAAGGACTACTATGGTTTGAAAGACAATATTTAAGTATTGTTCGAATACAAAATAGAAGTATAATGGTGTACAGTACAATACTAATACCAAAGTAAGATTATCTAGAGTTACAATAAAAAAAACTACACCTACCAACGCCACCATTTTGACCTACAGTATTTCTAATTAATGCCCTAGGCTAGGCTAAGTAGGCTTACATGTGAAGGTGTGCTGGTTATGGCTGCTCATGTTTTGTCTCGTGGTAGTGTCTATGGTAGAAGCTTCTTGTTTTCTAGATGTTTCAGTATCAAAGTTTGTGGCCAGTTATGTTGCTCTGTTACTTTTGTCAATTTCTAGACTAATTATGAACTAAGAAAGTTATCAGGTAGATATTATGTATAACTCATTTCAGTCCTGTTATGTGTTCACTTCAGTTACTCCAGTGAGATCCTATTCTGCGGAGAAAGCAGTTTATAAACGTGATAAGCCTCATATTAACATTGGCACATTAGGACATGTTGATCATGGTAAAACCAGTCTCACTGCTGCTATTACTAAAGGTTTGTAGTACAGGCAGTATTATGATCCAATGTGTAGTTGTGTTGTTTAATTAGTATTATCTGAAGTGGGTGGGGCTAGTTACAAGTCCTACGGTGACATTGATAATGCTCCAGAGGAGAGACTGAGAGGTATTACCATATCAGCAGCTCATGTGGAGTACCAAACAGACAACAGACACTATGCTCACATCGACTGCCCTGGACACGCTGACTACATTAAGAACATGATAACTGGTTCGTATTAATAATACTGGTTATTAATAGTTATTAATAGTGATTAATAGGAACTGCTCAAATGGATGGGGCTATTCTTGTAGTTGCTGCTAATGATGGCCAAATGCCTCAAACAAGAGAGCACTTACTGCTAGCTAATCAAGTATGAACACTAGCTCCTACCAGCAGTCATTAGTTGCTTCTACTTATTTGCAGATTGGTATCAAACACGTCGTGGTCTATGTCAATAAGGCTGACATGGTTGATGGTGAAATGTTAGAACTAGTTGAACTTGAAATGAGGGAAGTGCTATCAGAATATGGCTATGATGGAGAGAACACTCCGTTCATCACTGGGTCTGCCAGGTGTGCTCTGGAGGACAAAGACCCTGAAATAGGACGTGACTCTATACTTAAGCTACTTTCACATGTTGATTCGTGGATTCCATTACCAGTTCGTGATGTTGATAAACCACTCCTACTCCCAATAGAAGAAGTGTACTCTATCCCTGGACGAGGTACTGTGGTTACTGGTCGACTGGAGAGGGGAGTGTTGAAAAAAGGTGACAATGTTGAAATCATTGGATATGAAAATAAATTTAGCACTGTTGTTAAAGGTAACAAATATTAATTAATTATAATTAGATTAGTATTAATTCTTATTTTATTGTTTAGGATTGGAAATATTTCATAAAGAGTTGGATGAGGCTAAAGCGGGAGATCAGTTGGGGGCATTAATTAGAAGTGTCAAGAGAGAGGACATCAAGCGTGGTCAGGTGTTAATAGCTCCTGGGTCAATGGACACTCACTCCAAGATAAAGGCACAGGTAAGCAATCATCATTAGCCATTATCATTATTATCTTTGCTGCTAAGGTTTACGTACTGGAGAAAGAGAAAGGTGGGAGGCACACTCCATTTGTAACAAACTATTCGCCAGTTCTCTTCACTAAAACTACTAGAATAACAGCTGCCATCACCCTACCTGAGGTATAACCTGTCGTTGTTGTTGTTGTTTATTTTTTTGTTGTTGTTTAGGGTAAGGATATGATAATGCCTGGAGATGATACAGAGTTAAGCTTGCAGTTACGGACTGGGATACCAATTGAAAAGGGACAGAGGTTTACTCTGAGAGATGGAGGGAAAACAATAGGAACTGGAGTAGTCACAGCTATTGTAGAATAAACTAAACATTAAAAACACTTGAAATATTAATAATATTAGTTGAGCTGTAATTGTAATGCATTAATTGAGGTGGGTGTGGTTTTAACTTTCAAGATAAGATGGCACTCTCGAAGTCGGCCAATACTTACAACAGATTGAACTGGGAGCAGTCTGTACGTTTTTTTGTTTATTGTCTTTTACTGTTTGTTGTTGTTTATTGTTAGGAATTCCCTATTCTTTGTCAAACCTGTTTAGGAGATAATCCATATTTAAGAATGGTATTTATTAAATCAGTACATGACATGTTACATGTACATATCCTTACTAGTTGAAGGACAGTTATGGCGATGAGTGTAAGATCTGCAATCGCCCGTTTACAGTGTTTAGGTGGTGCCCTGGGGCCAGAATGAGGTACAAGAGAACAGAAATATGTCAGGTTACTATTAATTATTAATGGATTATTATTATTATTTGGATAGGTTTGTGCCCAACTGAAGAATGTTTGTCAAACGTGTCTACTTGACCTTGAGTATGGACTCCCAGTTCAAGTCAGAGACCATGCTTTGAAGGTTAAAGATGATTTGCCAAAAAGTGACGTCAACAAGGAATACTACATACAAAATATACAGAAAGAGGTTTGTTTATTGTTGTTGTTTATCACTTTTGTTGTCATAGATTGCTAATACTGGTAATACGGAACCAGGTGGTGCTGTAGGGAAGGCTCAGGCTCCTAGTGACTTGTTATTGAAACTAGCGAGAACCACTCCTTACTATAAGAGGAACAGACCACACATCTGCTCATTCTGGGTCAAGGGAGAATGTAAAAGAGGAGAAGAATGTCCCTACAGGTATTAATATCAATCAATTATTATTATTATTATTTATTTATTATTGCTGATGCATACACATAGACATGAGATGCCATCGGATCCATCAGATCCATTGTCCTTGCAAAATATCAAGGACAGGTATTATGGAACCAACGATCCTGTAGCAGAGAAACTCCTTGGACAAGCTAAAGAATTACCGCAACTGAGTCCACCAGAAGACAAGAGTATAACCTCGCTATACATTGGAGGTCTGTCTGATGACATCAGTGAAAGAGACCTAAGGTTTTGTAACTTATTATTAGTAATAATAACTATTGGTTCAATAATAGGGATCATTTCTATCAGTTTGGTGAAATAGAAGACATTAATGTCATTCATAAACAAAATTGTGCATTTATTACATTTACTACTCGTCCAGCAGCTGAAAAAGCAGTTGAACAAACTTTCAGTAAACTAATAATTAAAGGTAATTAATATAACAGTTAATTAATGATTAATTGATTGATAGGTAATAGACTTAAGGTATTGTGGGGCAGATCACAGTCCGGAATGATTGGAGGGGGCGGAGCTAACAAGCGTAGCCTAACTGGGCCAGTACCTGGTTTACCTGATGGTAAGTTAATTATACTTTAATTGTTATTATCTGTCAATGATTAATAGAGTTACCACCACCTGTTAATGACACATTTGATCCTCTCAATTTGAAATCAACTGGCGGTAATTACCAGTTAGCACCTCCCCCTCCTCCTCCTGGTAAATATTGTTATTCTTTCATTGTTATTATTGTTTATTTCTTTATGTTTATTCTTTTATTGTTGTTATTGTTATTAGGTGCTCCCCCACAAGCTCCTGGTTACTATGGTAGCCAGCGGTCTCAGTCAGGTTGGATTCCCCCACTCCCCCCGGGGCCCATTCCTCCTCCTGCTCTCTATTATCCATCACAGGATCCACACCATCTTGGATCAAGGAAACCGCGCCCAACTAATTAACTTATTCATTGTTATGTTCTTTCTGTGACATCATAATGAGTTATTAATGAGCCACACCCACATACTGACTTTGCTTCTCTGATCTGAAGGGGTGCCTCATTAAAAAAGAGTGAAGGATGAGTGACAATGGTAACGAGTTGCTTGATGATCCAGTGGCTGGGGATGATAGTCCTTCTATAAAGAAGAGTCCTGCTGCCCCTGCCTCAAAGCCAAAACGAGTTGCTTCTCGTTTCTTTAATGCCTTGCTAGCTCTTGCTTTCTTTGTGTTGCTGATACTCTCCATAGTGTCCTTTAGTTCATTCTCTTATGTCTATCAGAGGACTAATGGTGCCCAAGGTGTCACCAGTGGTTCCTGTATATTGAATGCAGACTATCACAGTGATGGTAATACTATTGATCTGGGGACTGATGGGTCCTGTAGACTTGGTATTGGAGGCGAAGTGGTCATAGCAGTGTATGCCATACTCTCAATAGTGGCAATGATCATCAAGATAGTTGGAGGATGGAGCATGTAAGACTATACACTGCCTGCAGTCTGATTGTTAATGTTTTCTGACACAGGATGAGCTGTTTCTTAATCTTTGAATTAGTGTCGGTTACTTTAATGATGTTGTTGTCATTCTGTACAAGTGTTGTCACCAGTGTTGGGTTTAGCTTGACTTGCAGGAACTTCAGATCACAGCATGACGGAGAAGGGTTAGTACATACACACACATTGATCTTTATTGAAAGCTTATAATAATAGTTGTAGTTCCAGTAATGTGGGTGGATATCATTTTCAAAAGGGACTTCAAGTTGCTGAGGTATGATGCATGCATTATTATTAATATTATTATATTCATTTCATCCTTAGGCAACTGCTTGGCTTGGTTTTGCTGTTCTAGTTGGTATAACAGTGTTTTATGTTTTCTGTGTCATCATGTACTGCTATGGAAGGAGGCAAGCTAAGAAGGCTAAACAATGATTAATAACTTTTAATTAACTTCTAATAACTTTTATAACTTTTAAATGTGATTATTAACCTCAATAACCAGTGGCCCCTGTGAGTGGAAATGGAGAATCATTCGAGAAGACAGAGAAACAAGAGAGCTAGACTAGCTAATATTGTGGTTGGGTCTTTGTTTCTTGTTGTCTTCACATTCGCAATAGTCTCTTTTACTACTGTACTGAGGAAGCAAATTGAAATACTCAATGAGGAGTTTTACAGCAACAGTTCCCGTGGCTCATGTATTCTCTATGCTGATTATGACATTCCGAGTGGTACAGTACACTTGGGAAAGAGCAGTGGTCTGTGTTCCTTCATTATTTATGGAGAGTGTTTGGTTATGGTTTATTCACTGGTCATGTTTTTTGCTCTGGCATTCAAAGTGATCCTTGGTTGCGCACTGTAAGTTATTTAACACTGTCTAATGATGATTAACATACCTACTAATGGTACTAGTGGAGACTGAGACATTTATGATTCCTCTTATAGAATGCGCTTTGACCTCATTATTGAGTTGATATTTCTTGTAATAATCACAATATTCCAGTTTCTTCTCGGGATAGCACTAACCTCAGGTACTAACGATACCTGTAAAGCAATCAAAGAATCAAACACGACAAACAGGTAAGACTGGTCATCCACCCACACAATTAATTAATAACTTTGTAGCTGCATCAGTGCTACACTGCCTCTTAATGATGGATACAAGTTTTATGGACACCTAATAACATCAATAGTATGTTGCAGTTTTTGTGTCTAAAATCAATTGTTTGATTATTATTTTGTAGGTATTCATATGGTTGAGTGTTGCTTTGATGTTGTTTATTATTGTTTATTACTTGGTTGTTGTCAATATTTGTGTACACCAGCGCATCAAATCAAGAAGAGGAAGGAGCGACGTTCTTGTTGATGAGAATGACAATCAAGTGTATGCACTGGAATCAGAAACTGAACTACAGGACAATCTCTAATTATTTTTATTAACCAGAATGCAATGCTGATTAAATATTCATTAGTGGGTGTGTCACGTTTCATATAAATTAAAAATGTCTACCAGTAGATTGTCTGAGGTTTACGGAGGGAGCTCATCAGCCAGGAGCTACATGATGATAGGAGACACTGTGAGGGTGACCAGTAAAGCAAGGAATACAAGACTAGCTGATACATTAAAGGTGACACATTAACCTAAACTACACCACTCCATTAACTATTAATTGAAGGAAGTGTTCCTACCTCAAGGCTACCCCAACAGTGTCAGTGAGGACTATCTTCAATATCAACTATGGGATACATTACAAGTAGGTGTGGTTTATAAATAGCCACTCCCATTACATGTTGCAGGCCTTTTGTTCGTACATTACAGGTACACTGGCAACACACGCCATGTTGAAAGGTGTGGGGGTGGGGGATAGCTCCGCCTCTCCTGTGGCCGCTACTCTAACCTGGATACTGAAGGACGGACTTGGCATGACTGGGCGTATCCTGTTTGCCTGGTTGAGAGGGTAACACATTAATTATGATAATAGATATTTATATTTTGTTTATTTTAGATATGATTTAGATTGTAATGCTAAGAAATGGAGGTATAATGATGTTAGCGATTAATTAATTAATTAATTAATTTGTTATTAGATTGATTGCTGACATATTAAATGACATTGCCATTTGTATGCAGCTGGTATCTCCTTTCTTTCCCTCCTGCTTCTTACTGATAGCTTGTCTTGCTAGCATTACTCAGGTACAAATCAATAAAACATTGTCACCGCACCTTATTAGTCTATGCAACACATATTTGCGGCTTGTGGTTAGGATTGTCAACCTTCGGCCTTTTGTTCATGTCACATATAATGTCTATACATGTACCATACACTAAACCAGCCGTATACATTAAGTACACAATAAGCATATATTAATTATAGTGCAATAGACTGCAATGCATACATTATACACGTGTCTCAGTCGGTAGTAGGTGTGGCTGGTGGAGCAACTAGAGCAGCATTAGTTCAGCATCAAGCAAGGAGAGACAATATGGCTGACGTGTCAGCTAAAGATGGCAGCCAAGTTAGTATTAATGTATATTTATTATTATAATGTTAATAATAACTAGGAGACCCTCGTTAACTTGTGTGGATTATTAATTGGACTGATTATCACACCTTTGATAGCTGGACAGACAGTGTAAGTTATTGATATAGCCACACCCACTCAGCATACCCCACAGGTTTGTCTGGTCTCTCTTCTTTTCTTTCACTTTACTTCATTTGTATTCAAATTATAAAGCTGTTTCTGTCGTTTCCATGGAAACACTAAATTGTAACCGCCTACATTTATTAATGAGGAATTTATTCTTAAATGGGACAATCTCAGAGCCCAATATAGTCAACAGAGAGGAGCCACTGTTATTCAGTAAGTTATTAATAGTTGTTAATATTAATTGATCCTCTCCTCAGGGCAGGAAAGATTCTTTACTGTAGAGTATGGCTCCAGCCTTTCAAGTGTATTGATACAGTGAGCGTTCATCAGCTAATTTATTATTGTCATTATTATTTCTATAGTTCAAGTGATTATTCACGATCTATTTTACAATTCAATAAAGGACAAAAGTTTATTATAAAACTGTCAAAAACCAAAAGACAAAGTAAGCAACATAAGAACATGTATACGTATTGGAAAATGTAATAAAATTGAGGAATTCCCTTCCTTTTTAACTTTGATGAAATTTTACCAGAATCCCTGTGCAGGTACTCTTGTTCAATTTTAAAGCAACTTTTAAAAATCAACTTCAAAAAACCATACTAGATGTGAATCAGTTCAATCTGAACAACATAAGATTATGTGTGATGCATCAGAAAAGGTGATAAATTGTTACTTGTTTATAGTTCGAGTTGCCTTTCATTGCGGCTCTTCATCCAGTGACCAACTGAAGGCTGGTCTGACTGTTGAGCTCATTGAGTTTGTGTGTGGTGGTTGCTATGGTGACAGTAATTACCTAAAGGACTATGCACTCCTTATAAGGAAAGGAGTAGAGAGTGAGTGACTGTGCTGTATATACAGATACAGCAATGATGTCATGCATTTGTAAAGATTATAGTGATTAATATTATCACCACATTCTATTGACCTTTGATTGTCTTTCAGGTACTGATGAGAGTGTACTTGTTGATGTATGTCAGGACATCATTAATGATTTATTCTCCTCCATTTTGGATCAGTTACGTAAAGAAGGATGGACTGTTAGCCATCATTTGTTAGGAATAAAGGAATGGAGATACAACGTTAGCTAATAATGAACTGATATTGTTGAATTTTGATTTTAAAAACTTAAAACAGTTACACACTTAAAAAAATAGAATTAGAAACTCATTGTCTTTTACTGCAGCACTTTTTATTGGAGTGATCGCTCTCCAGTTTCACAGATTCACTGTGTGGCCTTCTTGGAGGTAGTTTCCTGTGAATTTCGCACATCAAAGTATTAAAATAAGTGTGAACCACCTCAGTGTCTCGTCCAGGGACATAAGTAAACATTAAATGGTCTTTAATTTTATAATGAGATGCAATATCAGTCAACGTATCTCTTGTCAATTCACTCGTTCCAATCTCTTCATTTCTATTGTTGCACCACAAGGAGAGGACACAGTCTGGTGATTCTGCTCTTGTCAGCTTAGCCCATTCCTGTAGCGCTGTCTTGGTTTCGTCCCTTCCTCTTTCATAAACCAATATGGCTCCGTGAGCTTCTTGAAAGTAGCTCTTTGTCATCCCTATCGATCCACTGTGTTTCTCCATACCTGCTGTATCCCACACCCACACCTTATAAAAGAGAAAGGGAGTACCATATACTGATAACCAATGACTGCTGACTTACATATATCACACTGTCGTTGCATTTGGTTTCTATTTTTAACTTTGTCCTCCCTCGACTGCTTTCACCTTTCTCCACTGATAAAAGAATACTCTCTCCAAACTCTACATCAACTTTTGAGTCCAGCATACCTAAGAGAGTGCTTTTGCCCACTCCTTTCAGTCCTGCTAGTATCACTTTGTATGAAGGAATGTCTTCGGCCATTGCCCTCTCTAGCTCTCAAGTGGCGTGAGGGCGGGGCTGGGCTGATGCTATTAATTGCTGAAAGAATGCTGAGGAGCTCATTCAGCAGTAGCAGTAGCAGACTAAAGTGAAATAAAGGGACTAGACCAAGAGCTCCGCCGAGAGATATAGAGTCATTTTAGGTTGCCATGCCAGAGCTCACAGTTATACTGGCTGGTGTTTTTGGTGTTGGTAAGTCCACCATATTCAAGAGAGTTGAAACAGGAGACTTCATTCAAACACCTCCACCACAATCCCTCAGCAATTCAAAGAGTGACGGGGGGATCGAGTGCTATACTTACAAGAAGACAATTGACGATAAGGAATACAATGTGAGTGATGTACGAAATGGCTGTGGAGTGCATGGCCCTGAACTCAGTGTTGGTCCATGACAATTAATCAGTTTAGTAGAGTAGACTAATTGCAAGGAATGTGTTGTAGAGCTATAAAGTTTATAATCAGTTACTGTCTGTAGATCTGCAGTAAATGAATGCAGGATTGAGCAAAAGAGTTTATGATTGCTTAGATTTGTTTGACAAACAATAGAATGATGGACTGATTTTGACTGAAACCACTAGAGCTCACCTCATGAATATCATTTCAATACAATGAGAGCTTACTTAATCTTTCATATTCCTTTTAACAGGTCACACTATGGGACACAGGTGGATTGGAGAGATACAACTCAATGACCTCTAGCTATTACAGATACTGTCAGGCTGTCATATTAGTGTATGATGCCAGTCCAGATCAACTGAGCACACTGTTTGCTCTGAAAGGATGGATTGATGAAGCAAGAACTGCTTCTTCCCGGGGTGAGAGGGTAATCCTGTCGTTATGGGGCAACAAGTCTGATAAGCTTGGTCCAGGAGAGTCTGTCCCAAGTCCTGAGGCCCAAGCGTTCATGAGAGAATACTCGATACCAGACAACCTTCATTACTCGGTATCAGCTCTCACTGGGCACAATGTGATGGAAGCATTGCACAGTTTCATGAGACACATTGACACTGTAGTATCAGTCAACATGAGCACCAGCTTCACACTCAGCGATCAAGAATCACATGAAAATAGCTCAAGACCACAGACCTGGCGTCAAAAGATCTGTAGCAAATGTTGATATAAATATTTTTATTGTAAATTTTCACAGTTTATTCATTATTTTGCAAAATAACATTTTTAGTTTGTTTTAAACTGCACATGTTCATGTTGTTGGTTTAGTTAGAGTTTAATTTACTTTTAATTAATAAATTCCTCTTCCTCAAGGAAAGATGGCCGTCTCTTCCCAAGTCAGTGGTGTTGCCCAATTCTCTTTCGTTCTCTCAGGATTAGCTGGAGTGGGTAAGACTGCCATATTCAACCATTTGAAGAAGTTGGCAGGATCTCCAGAGGCCACGGAACCAGCTAGTGGTGGTGGAATAGATTGCTGCATATACTCAACTGTTGTGAGAGGACTAAAGTGCAAGGTAAGGAAGAAAAGGGAGGGAGAGACTTTAGTGTTGATAATAATGTGGTGGCTTTATCAAAGGTAAGGTGCTAACAAGCCTTTAGTCCTAAGAATTCATTAGTCATGAAACAACTACTTTAAAACTATACTGAAAGTTTATTGTATGCCAGTTTGTTCAAGTTTTTAATATAACAACATTCTTGACCTTGTTACTATTTCTGTAGATATCAATATTTGATACGGGAGGTTTGGAAAGATATGCTTCGCTGACCTCCAACTATTATCATCGTTGTAACGGAGTCATACTGGTCTATCTGAACGACCCTGACAGACTGGATACTCTAACCTGTTTGAACCTCTCGATTGAAAGTGCCCTGTCTTACAACAAATCCCCGGACATGTTGGTCTTCTCTTTATGGGGCAACTCTTTTAATGATGAGAGGGACCCAATGACGGAATCAATTGCTTCTCTACAGGAACACGTCTCGGCACTCCTTGAGAACACGTCTATACCAAAGAAGCTTCATTTTATAGTTAACCCAATGACAGGGAGAGGGATAAAGGAGGCCATTGATGGTCTGGTAGTTGCTGTACAGAGCAGGTGCAGGGATAAGTCTGATTCTGTTCTCTCTCCGAGCGAGGCTATACTGACCAGCATTGACTCAGCCGAGAGTTTTGATGATGCTACCAGTCCATTACAACTTAATGTGGAGGAGGAGAGAAAGAGAGAGGGAGGGAGGGGAGGTAAGGCTTCTTCTGGTAAAGGTGGCCCAAAGAAGAAATGCTGTTTCTCTACTAGTTGATAATGTCACTTTTCGCAACTATAAATTTACCATTATTATTATTATCACTATTATTATTATTATCATTATTTTTGTTGTTGAATTGTTGTCCTTGTTTTCGTGTACTGCAGTATCATAAAAGATTATTTCACACTAAAATACTTTACTATAAAAGCTCATTATTCTCAGCTCCAGTTATTTGACACAGGGAATTCAAAGGTACATACCTCAGGACTGATGACACGTACCTATTAATCATAGCAGGAGAGGGAAACCAATTTTCGTCAAAAGTCATAACAAAAACAATATCAATCACTCTAAACAATAATAATGATAATAATAATGATAATGATATTAATAATAATTAATAAAATAATTAACACGTCAGTACATTACAGTCTATTAATATACACACAATCTTTTGTCACTACAATAAATAGCAGTCTCAGTATACTCCAGTACACTTCAGTAGACTCCAGTATACTTAATGTACTTTAGGCGCCGAGCGGTCACTAACTGTGGCTGCTCTCTTGAGTTGCTTGTTACGGAGGGCAATAGCAAAAGCACTCATTCCACTTTCATCATCATCGTCATTAGAGGTGGGTGGGACAGGAGGTGGGGCTAGAGGTGTGGCACTTGATTGGCTGCCGGAGTAAGTGCGGGTTGGTTTTGGGTGAGTAGGAGGACAGGGGAATGTCCCTTTACGTGGGCGGGGCAAGGTAGCCGGAATATAATTAGAAGATTCAATGGGCGGAGGGTTCCTGTTGAACTGGTTTGGACGCTCGAGATCTGTTTCAATGGTCCTCATACGATAATCTGTGGGTGGGGCCACATGGGGTGTGGTCATTGGGGCTTGAGTATAATAACTGGCTAGAGGTGGGTGGGTGTGGTCAGTATTGGGCGGAGCCAGGTGAGGGTGGAGGTGAGAATAAGGAGGACTGGCACTTCTGGTTGATGAATTATTGGACTCGGCACTGAAGTGAGAACTGCTTGATACCAAACTAACCTGCAATTAATAAGAATGTTAATTATAATTATTTATAATTAAATATAATTAATTAATATTAATTAACTAACGGTGTTAACAACCTGAGAAGGCGAGACTGACACGTGAGCGGAAGCAACTGGCACATCATAATGATCCTCGGGTAGTGGGCGGGGCTGGTTGGCATGGTAACTGGAATGAGTAGGTGTGGCATTATACATTGTCGTGGCAACAGAAGGTGGGGCATGAGGAGGAGGGGGAGGAGGTACAGTCTGATTAACTGGCTGATGATACTCGTTAGTATGTGTGGGCGGTTGAGCCAGTGTAGGGCCCAATGTATGAACTGGAGCTGATATGTTCATCTCTTGAGTTGATCCTGATAAATGGGAGGAATGGTCCAATGAACTGAATGAACCAGATCTTAAACTCATTGAGGAGCCTTGAGAAACCAACTTCCCTTTAGCTACTGGAGGAATCTGCCAGTTCTGAGGAAGAGAGAGTTAATGAACAAGGTGTATCTTTAATAAGGTATGACCACATTAGCTCAGTTATAATTAAATAATTTAAATATTTTATGAATAAACTACAGCTGGAGTGCCTACATGTACATTACCTCCACATAGTCCCTGATACCCTCGGGCAGTATTGAAGGAGATCCTGTGGATTCCTTTAGTTCTTCAACCAGTTCAGGTAGTCTCTCCAAGTCACTAGCTAAAGTCATTTCATTGTCCTATAGTACAACATTATAGCCTCAGGAGCTGGTGAGTGGTTATACTTACCAAAACTGATTTGAAGGCATTGCTGAGAGAAGCAAACCAAACTCTCTCCTCAACCATCAAACGACTCATGTGGACTCTCTCCTTTAACTCTGTATCAGCAATCTTATTGTCAGTATCCTAAACAACAACAACAACAACAACAGAGTAATAATAATAATAATAATATTTTATTTACAAGTTGCAGTTGATCAAACTGCTGCTGGAGTGCTCCAGTAACTTTGTCTTTCTTTCTTTTGCTTTCCAGCGTCTTCCCAACTTTAATAGTCCCTTTAATGGATTCTTTGGTCTCCTTGACAACACGACTCATTTCTAAGTGAAACATGATACATACATAATTATATTTAAAAATTAAAATAACAATTTGTGAAGGAGTAACTTTATGAATTCCAAATGCTCAGAGTGTCATATGTCACTGTACCTTTATCATGATCCTTATCCAAACTAGACAGAGACTTCTTCCATTCATCAATTCTGTTACCAACTGGAGTCAAGAGCTTACTAGACAATGAACTAGAGGAGAGGAGGAGCCAATAATTATTAATATAAAGAATTTTCTCCTTTTCATTTTTGGCCAAATTTATCCAGTGACCCTGTACTTTGCCTAATTTTAGAGAAACTTTAAATTTCATTGGAACTGGCTCAATACCACATAAGTACATGTAAGCATTAGACACAAACTGGATCATTTGCATGTACATGTACTCCGAGTGATTATACACAATTGAATAGAGACTAGCATGTAATGCAGAGGTATAGTACATGTACAAGGGTTTATAGTACTGATACTAAAACTATCATAATTGAAATACTCAGTAACAAACGTATACACCAGCTGCAAATATTAATAACAAATTCCCAAAATTATAACAACAATAATAATAATAACATAAGGAACAACAACAACAACAACAACAACAACAAGAAGGAGAGAGCTAACAAGAGGAATCTGTCAATGAAGAATGGAGTAATGTAGTCTTCTTGGAATTATCAGCATAATTAGACTGGGAACAATTAGTAATCAATGTTATTAATCACGCTACAGACTTATTGTTTCCTGTTCACTAGGACAGGACCAGCTGTTACAGTTTCAATAAGTTTCTTTCAAAGTATTTCCCACTTGAGACATTAAAAAACTTTCCCAATTAAAAACATGTACATGTTTGTGTATGGATAAATAAATGAATAGATATATTATTGTAATAATGAAACTGTGTGTGTGTGTGTGTGTGCAGTCTCAACAATACAGTACAGTCAGATAGTCCCATTCATAAACTTATAATAAAGTGAATGTGACTCATTATTAACATAGACACAGCAACAGGTAATATTGATACACATACATTAAGAATGATGGATTCTGTATCTCTAATAATAAACAATATTTATAATCATTATTAAACAATATTATCAAGAAAACAATCAATCCAGAGTTACTACTACTATTGCTACACACACACACACATGGATATGTACAGGTACATGTAGTTAAATGGTAGACGTCATGAGTAGTAATAATAACATGGATCATGTAAGAGAGTCAGTGTAGTAGATATCTTAAATAACTGATAACTAATCAGCCAATACTACATTACAATCATACATACATGTTCATATTTGGTTCAGTGGCTATAAGCAGCTTTGGAATTTTTAACAAGTACAAGACAACTGACCACAAGAACATGATAGACTGATGTGATCAGTCAATATATAGCCATCACACACACACACACACACACACACACACACACACACACACACACACACACACACACACACACACACACACACACACTATAGTGAATGCTATGTTTATGTTGACAGTTTGAACAAACTTTCAGTTTATAAGAAGACAACCCAACCAAGTAACAAACATCATCACCATCATCACTTGTTATTTACATGTACATCTACTTACTAGTTTATTTCTCTTATTTTGAGCTCAACTGCTCTATGCCACCTTATTATATTAGTTAGGTTCATTCCCATGTCTTTGGTCCCACCTGCAATGAAATACAAGACTAGCTCAATAGTTTGAAACTGAGCCAGTATTATTATTAGTACAATAGAAACAGTTTCAATATGGCAGAGAGAGGGAAATAGGATCAACAGGTTCGTTATTATTACAAAAATAAATTGTGTTGATCTTAAAACTTAAAATAATACAGGCTCCATTAGACCTGCATCAACACATACTAGAGGAACAGATACATTACAATGAATATAACGTCCTACCAAACTCAAGGTATGTGAACAATGACAGGGGGAGAGAGAGGGAGGGAGAGAGACATATAAGATGATATATACCTTTAGACTGACTGGCAGCATCAGCAAGTTTAGCAAATCCATCCAAGAATGAATTAAAAGACACAATGAGTTGCCTAGGGAGAGAGAGGGAGAGAATAGTGATAAGAATCAGTAGAGAACTGATAACAGTATGGCTGCACACTGCAGACTGTTGTCTCTTACTCCAGTGTTCTTTGAAACCGATGGCCACGTCGAATGAAATCTTCCCAAAGAGGAAAGCTGGCCTACAGAGAACAGGATAGTATCTTTTGAACAAGTAGCTAATCCCGCCTCACCTTCATACTGCCATGGAGGTACTTGAACACATCCCCTGTAGCATTCAAATCTTTCTCCAAATTAGCTTCAGACATGACTCTATCTAACAGGAGCAGCCGATGAGTGTAGACTAGAATAAGAAGAGCCTCCTTCAAATGTGAGAGAAAAGAGACAGTAACTGCAGGCGAGCACAAAAATCAAAATATTTATAACAATTGTAATAATTGACCGGTAGACTGCCCTCCTCCTACTGATCTGATATCAAGTTGCTTGGAAAATGTTGTGTTATATTCCTACAGTTTCTTCCTTCTTCCTCCTTATCCTCTCACTCAGCAGCAGTGTCAGTACAAGCTTCAAACCATCAGATAAACCAATACTGATCAGTGAGTACGAGACAGCTATTGCTATGCTACATTTAATTGTACAAGACATAATAATTCATTTATATAATTACTAGTGAACTCACCCACTCTGCCTCTTCCTCTCTCTCTCTCTCTATTAGTCCCTGGTATTATGGGTAGTCAGTTGTGGGCACGTCTCAATCGTACATCAGTGAATCATCCTCAATGTTCAAAGACTTCAGATTGGTACAATATTTGGCTGAGTCTTGAACAGCTAGTCTATCCTGTTGAGGAATGTGCTTCTGACAATATGATGTAAGGAATTGTTAGTGATGGTGAATTTTGAACTTATATTGGCCATTCAGCCTTATTTTGATTAAAATTAGGTTTTATTTTATGAAATAGAGATGAATATTTTGAATTTTTACTGATCAAAGGCAAATAGTTTACACCACACCTTTCACACACACAAACATGACTCACACTATACTTACTGTACACCTCATACAGCTGATTAGTGTGTGTCCATCAGTATATAAACATCACTGGATATCTGCCAATTTCTGAAAAGATTGTTTGTTACTTTAAGTATTGTCAGATCTCTCATGACTGTCTGACAGTCTGTTAAAGGTAAAGGGAGTTATTAAAAATAATACCCACCCAACCAGTACATAATGAGTCATTCTTATTAGGAGAAATCATTTGTTATATCACCTACTGTCACAATTCTGTAATGATTCTACATTGTGGCAACAAGAATTATAAAATATATGGATGTGTTTCTTGTATCACATGTATAGGTTACAGTTCAACCCAAATACCAGCCAGTTCTCTCCTGTTGATGGTGTTAATATCACTGCCCCTCAGTTTGGTAACACCTCCACTATTGAGTTCCTTGACCCTGACCTCCATTCTCTTGAGCCAGCTGCTACCTTCTATGCCATGGTACAATACTTTGTTGATAACTATGGGTACACTAGAGGAGGGACTCTGAGGGGAGCTCCCTATGACTGGAGATATGCAGCTGGTCAGTTTTTAACTTGTTGTTGTCTGCTTGTGCTGTTGTTGCCAACTAATTATAACAACATTGACATAACTATGATCAAAAATATATACTAACATTTCCCAGGAATGTAAGTCAGACACAAAAACATGAACAATATGATCACTCTCAAGATTGAGCTGATTCCAATCAAATTTGGACATTTTACAAGTATTTAAAATTTCTATAAAAGTGGACCAAAGTCCCTGTACTATAGTACAGGAATTTTATCAAATTTTGCCAAAATTGACAAGGAGAGAATTCATCAATTTTATTACATTTTCTGATGCATATACATGTACTTATATTGTGTAGAAAGTTTGAGCTCATTCCAATCAAATTTGGATTTATTATGAATTTTTAAAGTTTCTCCAAAATCGGACAAAAGTCCCTGTACTATAGTACAGGGATTTTATCAAATTTTGCCAAAATTGACAAGTAGAGAATTCGTCAATTTTATTACATTTTCTGATACATATACATGTACTTATGTTGTGTAGAAAGTTTGAGCTGATTCCGATCAAATTTAGATTTTGTATGATTTTTTAAAGTTTCTCTAAAATCGGATAAAAGTCCCTATACTATAGTACAGGAATTTTGCTAAAATTGACAAGTAGAGAATTCCTCAATTTTATTACATTTTCTGATGCATATACATGTACTTATGTTGTGTAGAAAGTTTGAGCTGATTCCGATCAAATTTGAATTTTATATAATTTTTTAAAGTTTCTCCAAAATCGGACAAAAGTCCCTGTACTATAGTACAGGGATTTTGTCAAATTTTGCCAAATTTGACAAGTAGAGAATTCGTCAATTCTATTACCTTTTTTGATGCATATACATGTACTTATGTTGTGTAGAAAGTTTGAGCTCATTTCAATCAAATTTGGATTTATTATGATTTTTTTAAGTTTCTCCAAAATCAGACAAAACTCCCTGTACTATAGATAGTACAGAGATTCACCAAAATTTGGAAGAAAGAATTTTTCAATATTATTATATTATTTTCTTATTATTATTGTAGTTGGTTTGGAGTCCAATGGTTATTATGCTAAGTTGAAGGATCTAATAGAAGAGATGTACACTTTATACAATAACCCAGTGACAATAATAGTCCACAGTATGGGGGGACCTGTCTCACTGTACTTCCTCACACAAGTGGTGACTCAAGACTGGAAAGATACTTACATTAAACAATACATTACACTTTCTGCTGTTTGGGCTGGATCTGTTAAAAGCAACCAAGCCATTATCTCGGGTGATAATGAAGGAATAATTCTTGATCGACCTATTTGGGGACGAGCGAGTCAGAGAACATTCCAGACTACATTGTGGCTCCTCCCTCCAGCTGGAGACGTATGGGGACCTAATAATACAATAGTGTATGCCCCCACTGGAGAATATAGTGCGTATGATTATGAGAAACTGATGGCTGATGTTGGTTATACTAATGGGCCTGCTATGTATCGGCTAATTAAAGACAAAACTTCAGAGTTTCCTGCCCCAAACGTCACCACATACTGCTTCTATGGACTGGGTAAAGAGACCCCCTATAAGCTCCACTATGATCCTGATAACTTCCCTAATTCACCTCCCAAAGTAACCACTATTGATGGAGATGGTACAGTCCCTAATATCAGCCTCACTGTCTGTGGCAGGTGGAGCAAGCAGCAGGTCCATCCCGTTACCCTCCGATCCTTCAGTCCAGTGGAGCATGTTCACATGGTCAAGAATAAAGATGTGATCGATGCAGTTTCCAAAATCATAATTGCTGATGACTAATTTATCATTATCATTGTTATTTTTAATTTTAGTTTGTAATGGCAACCTACAGTTAGGAAGATTGAAGTTTCAATTAAATTATTGAAATACCAAAAACAATAATGACAGAAAATAAATTATAGTTATTAATGACAGCTGTTTGTATAGCAATAATAATAAATTATAATAATTAATTAGTTAAACATGACTTCGTCAATGGCAGAAATGACTCCATCATTACGTAACATGTGAACGTGCTCCACTGGACTGAAGGATCGGAGGGTAACGGGATGGACCTGCTGCTTGCTCCACCTGCCACAGACAGTGAGGCTGATATTAGGGACTGTACCATCTCCATCAATAGTGGTTACTTTGGGAGGTGAATTAGGGAAGTTATCAGGATCATAGTGGAGCTTATAGGGAGTCTCTTTACCCAGTCCATAGAAGCAGTATGTGGTGACGTTTGGGGCAGGAAACTCTGAAGTTTTGTCTTTAATTAGCCGATACATAGCAGGCCCATTAGTATAACCAACATCAGCCATCAGTCTCTCATAATCATACGCACTATATTCTCCAGTGGGGGCATACACTATTGTATTATTAGGTCCCCATACATCTCCAGCTGGAGGGAGGAGCCACAATGTAGTCTGGAATGTTCTCTGACTCTCTCGTCCCCAAATAGGTCGATCAAGAATTATTCCTTCATTATCACCCGAGATAATGGAGCGAGCACTTTTAACAGATCCAGCCCAAACAGCAGAAAGTGTAATGTATTGTTTAATGTAAGTATCTTTCCAGTCTTGAGAAACCACCTGTGTCAGGAAGTACAGTGAGACAGGTCCCCCCATACTGTGGACTATTATTGTCACTGGATTATTGTATGAAGTGTACATCTCTTCTATTAGATCCTTCAACTTTGCATAATAACCATTGGACTCCAAACCAACTACAATAATAATAAGAAAATATAATAATAATATTGAAAAATTCTCTTCTTCCAAATTTTGGTGAATCTCTGTACTATAGTACTGGGACTTTTGTCCAATTTTGGAGCAACTTTTAAAAATCATAAAAAATCCAACCTTGATTGAAATCAGCTCACACTTTCTACACAACATAAGTACATGTATATGTACAAAAAGATGTAATCAACTTGAGGATATCTCTTTTGGCTCTTAGATATCCACTAGTGACAGTGAGTGGCCACAGGAATACGATTATATCCAAATAAGGCGTTACTTATAAAAACACTTAGAAGAGGACTGTCTTACCAGCTGCATATCTCCAATCAAAAGGAGCTGCTCTTATAGTCTCTCCTCTAGTGTAGCCCATACTAACAAAGTGTTGTATAATATCATGGAAATATGAAGCTGGTTCCAGTATGTGAAGTGATGGATCCAAAAACTCAACAGACGAAGTACCACCAAAGTCTCTCACTTGTATATCAACACCTTCAACGTTAGAATACTGTTTAGTATCAGGATTGTAATTGAACCTAATGATAAACATTTATTATTAATGATTAATTACTGATAACACCTTTTATAAGTAATGTGATACCATGCCAATACATGTGAGATACATGTGACATACATCAATAGCACATCACATGATTCAAAGCAGCTCCATAGTACACAGCATGGAGTGATGTCATTGTTATTAGATGATGATACAATAATGTATTGTTTATAAGCAAATATGTGCCTTGCAGAATACACCATCATTAACAATTCCTTACATCAAATTATCAGAAGCACATTCCTCAACAGGATAGACTAGTTGTTCAAGACTCAGCCAAATATTGTACCAATCTGAAGTCTTTGAACATTGAGGATGATTCACTGATGTACGATTGAGACGTGCCCACAACTGACTACCCATAATACCAGGGACTAACAGAGAGAGAAACCAGTCAATATGTACATACACTGACTGGTATATGACTCACTGATGAGTATTGGATTATCAGATGGATTAACAGCTAAACTGACTCCACCGCTCCATGTAAGGAAGGCAAGGAAAGTAACAATAGTAGCACGTTTGAATCCTCTCCTCATCTTCCAGGATACAATACACCTTCTTTGGACCAGTATAAAGACTCACCTTTTCTTGAAGCACCTAATGCAGCTACTCATGAATCGTACGATTTTTTGCAATTACCGGTATGCACTATGCCAATTTGCTAAACTGCTGAAGGTGTGTCAAGATCACGTGACTAGAGCTAGCTAGCCCACCCACGCATGCATTCATGCTACAAGCCCCACCTACTCCATTGGCATTTAATATTTGGCAATGGAAGAACTCCTTCAAGAGGCAAGGAGCCTTCCTCCTGTTAAAGGTCGGGCTGTGGCAGCTGTTCTTGGTGCTATAGTAGCCAATGCGGCCAGTAAGTACTAATGAAAAGGCACCAGTGTTTACTTGATATACAGGCCAGCCTCTTCACTGGATATACAATGACATGACAATGGCATCTGTGTTATCTTCTAATCCGGAGGAACCTGAGTTTATGACTCCATCACACAATCCATACTACAGGATAGAGACTGGACTACAGAGTAACTATGGAGATGAGATGCTTGTTACATTAAGATCCATTGCAGACTGTAAAGGTACTGCCATTCACATACACTCTAAATGTCTAATGATTATATCTTGGAGTGGTCGCTGAGTTTGATCTGTTTTGTTATGTAGTTTTAGTCTTTTTAAAGTTATTATTTGTAATATTACATAACATTTATTGTTATGTAACAAAATGTAATAATCAATGTTTATAGGCCTCAACATTGATCATTTTTGTGATGAATTTGTTAAAACTTTTGGTGAAGGCACTAAATATCATGAACTCTCCAGTCAAGGAATGAGGGGAAAGAAACCAATCAATGGTCCCTGGTCTAACAGGTCAATGATCAGGTTTGTTACTAAGTTTTATACAACTGGGAAAACAGCAAGAGATGTTAAGAATGATGATCAAGATGATCCAGACATGTTTGCCAGAGGGTTGCCTCTCCTACTGTTAAATGGAGGTAATAATGATAATAATAATGATAGCAGTATTATTATTATTATTATTATTATTGGTTTTGTGAAGGTAATTCAGTTAGCTATTCTGATGTTCGTGAGTTTACTTCTTTGATGCAGTCCAGTGATAAATCTTTGGAGACAATGGACGCTGCATATAAACTAGCTGAACTGTATATCACTAATGGAGAGAAAGAGGGAGAAGATAATGTCAAGAAACTTATTGATATGTTAAAGTAAGGATATTTGTATGATTAACGAGTTATTGTACGATAAAATAATGCAGTGATGGCTCAGCAGATATGAATAAAGGCAAGAAGGAGCTGATATCTCTACTCAATCGAGTAGTTGAAGATCGTGCTATGCCAATTCTTCATGTCACTAACAAATATGGGAAAGCATGATGTAAGTAGAAGTACATAACTTACATAATAATAATGATAAATATCCTTTTATAGACGTACCAGGGTCATTCGTATCAACCTGTAGAGGCTTACTGAATGACTCTGGATTCACGGGCACCATCAGGGAGGTGAGCTTTAGGGTTTAAGAAAGACTAATAATCCTTTTCTTTTGTAGGTTATGAAGGCTGGGGGCTGCAGCTGTTCAAGGACACTTGTAACTGGATTCTGTCTTGGAGCTAAGTATGGCATTGACTCTATTCCAAGGAGCTGGATTGACAAGACCTTTGCTGCTGAAGAAGGATTGAGACTTGCTCTACAAATAGTTAAAATGTCTTAAACAAAACTTTTTAATGACAATACATGCTGTGTTTATATCAGTGGTATCTTTATATCAGTGGTAGAGTGAATTGTAATGTTAAAACTGAGCAATCAGTATCATTACAATGATTATTATGATCACTGATATGAATTCATTACTGATTTTTATAGTTAAAGTTATACTTCCTCTTATAATAGCAACAGTAAAAGGAAGTTCCTCCTCTTTCCTGGACTGGAAACATGGAAGGGTTGCTAGCAGAAGTGAAGGGTCTCTCGGCTGTTAAAGGAAGGGCTGTGGCTGGTTTCCTTGGAGCACTAGTAGCTGATGCAGCTGGTCAGTACTTACCCTAACCCTACCCGCCTTCAGTCTCTTTTCATTTATCGTTGTAACGTTGTTGTACAGGTCAGCCGCTTCAGTGGATCTATAATGATGATACTATGTCTTCTGCCATATCTGCTGATCCAGATAAGCCTGAGTTTATCAGTCCTTCTAAAAATGGATTCTACAAGTTACCTACAGGAGCACAGAGCAACTTTGGAGACCAGATGATGGTCACAGTGAGGTCATTAGCACATTCAAAAGGTATATATTGTATTATTATTATTATTTGTAAAACTTATTGTCACTTAAATTAAGTGTAATTATCACCTTCAACTAATTCTCACCAGTAGCATCATATCATTGCTGCTAGTTGACTTGAAATTGATTATTGTTAATAATGGAGTACTCAAGATATGTATATTGTGGTTACTTTTAAGTGGTCCCTATACTACTATTATTGTTACACACAGGATTGAATATTGAGAGCTACACTGCTGATTTCATAAAGGCATTTGGTGAAGGATCGGAGTATGATAAATTTGCTAAACTAAAGTCAAATCCTGAGACCAAGCGACCAATAGAGGGACCGTGGTCAAATGGTACCATGGTACGATTCGTTGAGCTGCAGAAAGAGGGCAAGACAGCAAGAGATGTAACAGATGATAAACTAAATGATCCTGACATATTCCCAAGAGGATATCCCCTACTGTTAGTGTATGCAGGTACGCAGGTCCTAGTTTAAATGTAGATGTTTCAAAATTATGAATTAAGGTAAACCAACTGGTGATTCTGTCATACGTGACTTCACAACATTAATGCAAAGCAGTGAAGTATCACTGGGTATCATGGACGCTGCATATAAACTAGCTGAACTGTATATTACTAATGGAGAGAAAGAGGGAGAAGATAATGTCAAGAAACTTATTGATATGTTAAAGTAAGTCATACTAGCAGTAGCCATATTGATTCATGTTACTGTATAGTGCATCTCCAGCTGAGAATAAGTTCATATTGTCAATTCTTAATGAAGCACATGGCAGTCAGTCCACTAGCATTAAGGATGCTACCAAGAATTTTGGCAAAGGATGCTGTAAGTATATTACTAGTGACTAGTGCAGTATGAGACTATTGCTCTGTGTGTAGCTATCCCTGGATCATTTCAAGCCTCTCTGAGAGCTGTACTTAATGATAAAGGATATACTGAAACTGTGAGGGAGGTAGGAATAATAATTATTGATTGTATTTAAGTAATAATATAATTTTAATAATTACAGGTAATTAGATCAGGAGGTGACATATGTTCAAGGTTACATACAGTTGGATTCTGTCTTGGAGCTAAGTATGGCATTGACTCTATTCCAAGGAGCTGGATTGACAAGACCTTTGCTGCTGAAGAAGGATTGAGACTTGCTCTACAAATAGTTAAAATGTCTTGAAGAAGACTCTTAAATTTTGAATAGTAGTGAAGACTTACTGTTACTTTTATAGCTAGTTTTAAAGTACATTATTACCTGACTCTATTAGCAGTTGCTTGTACAGTTAGTTAATCAATCAGTTAGTTAATTAGTTATTGAGTTAGTTTGAAGGTAAAGTCTGAAATACAGTGTCACACTCAAGACTAACACTTGAAGGGTCCCTTGAAGCCACGCCCCCAGTGGTCACATGATCTGGTTCTCTTTCATTAAAAGTTTTCATAAAACCATCCAAAGCAGACCTGTCTTGTTGCTGTTGGTTCTGACGTCCTTGCAATATGGCTTCCAATTTCCTCTTTCTCTCTTCATTCCTGGCGGCCAGTCCCTCAATATCTATTGTATTAATTGTAACTTGAGATTGACGGGAGGGGCCACGAGGAGGAGGAGGAGCTTGAGTATCATAATGAGGACTGATTCCTATCAATAATTAACATTAATTAACAGATCAAGTGAGGAGTAGTGACACTATTAACTTACTCTCTCTTTCCTTCCTTTGGTGATGCAACAAGGCCTCCTGCTGCAGCTCCAGATCATCAGTGGTTGAAGGAGGCTCCGGATACTGCCTCCAGAAAGAGAGTCTGGAATCAGTAGGGGGGCCCCCGTATTTGATACGATTGAAAGTATTAACAGCATCAGGTGGTGCTGGACCTCTTGGTATCACAGGTTTCATCATTGGAACCGGATTATGAGAATGAGTGGAACAGGAATGAGGTTGACGCAAATGAGAATGAGTGAAATGAGCATGAGGTTGCATGGAATGGGAATGAGGTTGAGGCACACGATGGGAATGAGAATGAGTGGAATGGGAATGAGGTTGTGGTACAGAATGAGAATCATAAGTAGGACGTACATCAGAATGGAACAAAGAAGGTGGATTGTTATTTCTATTTTGACGGTTATTGATTCTTTCATGTTCAGACTGCGCCAGGTTTCTAATTAACTGATTCTTAAGTAGCGACAGTGTCTGTTTCATTCCATTATTAAGCCCCGCCCCTTCTCCCTCCACTGGCAGCCTCACTACATCAGGTGATGGTGACACTATTGGTTCACATTGAGTATGGTAAATGGGCGGAGCTTGAGGCTCACACTGGGTGTGGTAAATGGGTGGGGCTTGAGAAGGAGCAGGGTTATCTATCAAAGGAGTGGGAATGGGGCGTGATTCTTCGATGGGAGGTTGTTCCTGTTGGATGGTGTTTGGTTTATTTCTCAGTGTTGGGATTGGTGGGGATCTTGGGGGTGGGGCAGTGGGAGGGGTGTATTGCTGATAGTTATTATCATCAACGTGACTGGAAGCCATTTTATCAGCAAGTCTATCAAGTCTTTCTTGCTCTAATTGTTTTTTCATTTTCTTTCTCTCAAGATCTTCTCGATATTTCTTCTCCACTATTTCTTGTTTGGATAGTCCTTCATCTTTAAACTGATCTTGCTCCTCCACTTTGCTTGAGTCAGTAACTTTCATTTCCACTCTTTCCTTCTCCCTCTCTCTCTCTCTCTCAGTTTGAAGGTGAAGGTACTTCATTTCTTGTTTTATTCTGTTCTCCTCCTTCTCATCCTCAAGCTGTTTCGCTAGCTTTTCTTTCATTTTTTGTTCTTCTTTTTCATTAATTTGTTTCATCAGTTCCTCCTTTTGTTTCTCCTGCTGCAGTCTCTTCTTTTCCTCATCGCTGAGTCTTGGGCTCAACTCATCAAAGGATTTCCTCATGAGTCCTCTCTCAGTCACTAGGTTGCCAGAGGCGTCAGTTAACGGAGCCCCTCCCCCTGGTCGGCCCCATGGGTCATAAGTATCATCCTCCATTCTCTTTATGAAGTTCTCTCTGTCTCTTTTCTCCTTTTCTTTCTTCTTTAAGATGGTCTTAAATGGCTCCTTGGCACTCTCCCTGATCCGTGAGTCTTTCTTATCTTCCCTGACCTCAGGAGGAGGTGAAGGGGAGTGCCTAGCATCAGGTGATCTCCTCCTGGAGGTACGAGGGGCCGAAGGTACATACTGCAGATCATGAGGTGGTGGGTACCCAAAAGGAGGAGGGAGAGGTGGTGGGTGGTTATAAGGTCCTCCTGCCATTGGAGGATAGTGTGGATAAGGAGGGTAGTAGTAGGGGGCGGGGCTTGGATAATGGGCGTGGCTGGGATAAGATGGAGGATAGTTCCGGTGTCTGTAGTAGGCGGAGTCTGGAGGTGAATAACGAGACCTGTACTCATGTCTATCTCCTGGCCTGAACCGGTACTCATCCATGGGAGGTGAGACTTCTCTATGACGGAGTTCTTTATGAGACCTGTCCCTCCCTGAGAGTTCTCTGTAAGAGGGTTCCCTATTAGAGGGTTCTCTGTAAGAGGATTCCCTATTAGAGGGTTCTCTGTAAGAGTGTTCTCTGTCTCTTGTTCTTCTTGAGTCCCTTGTTTCAGGCGAGTGTGGTGGGATATTATTGTTCCTTTTCTTTAGAGGGTCGCGGGGTCCATTCTTCATTTCTTGTTGCTGTTTTATTTGCTCCATTAGTTCCAATCGATACTTAGCCTGCCTCTCTCTTCTCTCTTCTGCTGTCTCTTCTTTCGCTCCTAAACTCCACCCACCAGGTACAGGAGCAGATAAAGACCGAGGGTCTGGTTCACTCTTAACATTTCCTTTGTCTCTCAACCATTTCATCAGTTCTCTCTCTTCATCAGCCCAGCTCTTGTCCCTGTAAGAATGTAGTTCTTTCTTACGCTCATCTGCTAGCTCTTTACGTAGCTCTGCCACTGACTGTGACCTCTGGTTCTCTTTCTGTATGTACTTCAAGTACTCGTCTCTCCTCAGTTTCCTTCTTTCTTCATTAGCAGAAGCTCTTCCTTCATCAGTAGGCAGTATACCTACCCTGTAAGGTCTAAAAGGATCAGCTGGTAATTATTGAACTATTAGGATGTAGGGGGTACCTCATTAAACGCTCCTTGTCTTCCTTTAGTTTGTTTCTGTGAGACTGAAGCACCTCTTCTGTGTCAACCATCTTGTACTGTTGCCATATGAACCGTGGGCGTGGTCTGTAAAAGGCGGGATCAGTATAACTCCGTATATCTCTGTTTTATTAGGCCCCATTGTTACAGTATGGCTGCTGAAGGTGGTTTCTTTAGTGTTTTAGGTGACCTGTTCAGGAGCTATTCTGATGATACCCCGAGGAAGCTAAAGCTCATAGATGCTTATTTGTCCTACATATTAGTGACTGGAGTCATACAGTTCATCTACTGCTGTTTGGTTGGTACATTCCCTTTCAATTCTTTCCTGTCTGGATTCATATCAACTGTAGCTTCATTCATATTAGGAGGTACATGATGAGCCACTAATTGATATTGGGATTAATTTATTCAGTGTCTCCTGCTTTGTTCACATGCTTCTGTATTCATTAAATGGTTCATCTTGCTTGTAGCAAAATAATGTCAAATTTTTCCCAATAAACTTTGCTGACCAATAGTGGGTCGGACCAGTCTATTAATTAATTGTTTATCTATTTGTAGTTTGTCTTCGTATACAAACCAACCCACAGAACAGGGCAGAGTTCAACAGCATCACTCCGGAAAGAGCTTTTGGAGATTTTGTATTTGCACACGCTGTCCTCCATCTTGTGGTAATTAACTTCATCGGATGAGAGGGCGGGGCTTGCTAGTTACTATGACAACCAATTGTATACATTCTCTGTTAAGATTTTCTGATTAATTATTAACAAAATTATTAATAAATTAAATGATCACGTGGACAAACTCCGAACTGATTTAATATGCTGATTAGAAATTATGGGCTGATTCCAATCAAATTGATATAATAATCTTAGGTGATTAAATTCAGTAATTGTCACCTATCAAAGAATTTCTTACAATAAATACTCTAAGATAGAGTTCATTCTTTATTCAAAAATGTCTCCCAAGTAGTAATAAGCCAGTTATAATGATGGACACGTATAATGTATGACAGTTTAAAAATCTCATTAATTATTTATTAATTGATTTCATTATTTTTGTGGCTTCTGGTAAGAGGAACAGTTTTGTTTGAGTGGATGCATCCTAAAATGGGCACTAATTAGAGTAGGGGCAATAATTAGAATAACATACAGTTTGGAGGTATTCTCCAATATAATCAGGCCTCAGGCAGGGTACCTTGTGTCGTACAAGGTTCTCTATTGTCAGGTCTCTCACTTTTGGAAGTAACGGCAAGTGAATAAAAGCATGAGTCAGGGATCCTGTTGTCATGGCAACCACAGCTTGAGTAGGTGTGGTTACAATAGCCCCACCTGCCTCAAGAAGACGTTGAAGTCCATTTTGTTTAAAAGTTTCGACACACAAGAAGACCTAAGAGACACTAAACACATTACAATACAATAAGGCCACACCTTCCATCCACTGAAAGCTCCTCCCACTTTATTCTTTAATTTAAGATGCCATTTCCTCGGAGCTTCATCTAGTGAAGTACTTTTACCAGGAACCTGAAACGAGGGACCCCACTCAAAACTGGCCTCCTAGAGAAGATTAATAATATAATGATAATAAAAGTACATGTTTGTACATGTATTATGAAAATGTGATAGAATTGAGGAATGAGTGTTACTAAGTAGAATTCACCCCCAAACAAAATGGCTGCCACAACTTTTGCTGCCTTGCTAAATAGTACAGGGACTTTGGTCCAATTTTGGAGATTCTTATTTTGTATAGAGAAACAGGCCTACATTATGTGTAGTACTTACGTCTACAAGCTGTCCCTCAGTTCTACAAGTGTCAAGGTATGATTTATCAAGTATCCATAAACCAGAGGCACAGGCGGCCAGATACTTCTCTGACCTACTGGAACGACCAATCACCAGGTGAGTGCAGGCCGGGTTGAACTGATCTGATTCTAAATAAAGCCCACCTAACTCTTTTACTAAAGACCCATAGTCAGACTTCTCCTAAAATTAAACGAATTAATTAATATAATTATATTAATTACATACTTGAGCATTTAATGATGACAATTGAACTTTGACTTGTGGAGTCTATTAATAATAACAACAACAACAACAATAATAACAACAACAATAATAATAATAACAACAACAATAATAATATTGATAATTACTCATAAATTCACTTACGATTGGTAATGTTTTTTTAACACTTGCTTGATCTACAATAAATCAATAATAATAATAATTAATGGGCGTGGTTTACTGAATGCCGTTTGATTAACAGTTGCCTTATTAGCCAGTGGGTTTGTGGGTGTGGCAGCAGCCGAGAGAGAGAGGGGGAGGGTAACATTAGTAGTAGCATCAGTACAACTTGACCTGGAGATATTGGATTGTATTGAGGGATATAAAGGAGGTGAGTAATGGACCCACTGTCTTATCATTGCCAGGAGTTGCTGCTCATGTTGATGGTCAGTGTCTTGATAAGTTACTGACATCAACTGTGACTCTGTCACTAACTCCTCCACTGGCGGAGACCCTGTCATTAATAATAATTAATATTTATAAATATTATATTAATTACTTCTTAGTTTATTGTATGATCTGTTTCTAGATGAGTTCTTTAGTCTTGAAGGACTGGTACTATCAACCTATTGATGACATCACATTGTGTAATGATGACATCACAATTACCTTTTGAGCAGATAGTGATGACCCTGACCCTATCCCTCCTAAATAATTGATCAATTAATTAGTCAAAAATTGATTAATTACTTTTTGGTATCCATCGTGTAGATCCTTTACCACTCTGATTTCTAATTTAAAAGCAGTTATTTAACACCCACCCACACACTTAATTAACTCACAGTCCATTGTTCTTCATTATTTCTTGTATTTGCTCTTGAAGGAGGTTACTCGCTGATTTAGACTCCTCCTCCTCTCCCTTCTCTACCTCTTCTAGCCCCTCCCCCTCCTTTTCCAGCTCCTCCCTCTCCTCCTCTAGCTCCTCCCCCTCCTCCTCTAGCTCCTCCCCTTTCATTCCATTATCAATATGACTGCTGCTGCTGTTGCTGGTGTCTCCTCCTCTGCTATTGATTGGAGATCTGACCTTCTGTGACAATATACTCTACCAGTTATAAATAGTTATTAATAGTTATTAACAGTTATTAACAGTTATTACTAACCAGTGTTCTGTTAGGATTATAATTTGGAGGATACAATGACTCATTCTCTCTATAGCCACTCCTACCACACTATTATTAATTAATTAATTATTAATTAATTAACTGAAACAGCTTACAGCTAATAGCCAATGGTGACTGACTATATGTACTCCATTATCAGTAGCTGATGATAATACTCTGTCTCTTAACAGTTCAGTATCTTTACCCTGTCAATCATACTGTAATTATAAATATATCCCTGGTTCTACTAGTACCTGGTATATTATATGTGTTACATTGTTAGTATAAACCCTCTTACAATTGCCCCCCAGGGACTTTACCAGCCTTTGTAGTTCAACTGTCAACAACACACCAGCAGTAGGCACGCATTAATAATAAATATACCTTGTCTTCCAGTTAACTTCTTGTGTATAAAAATTGTCACATCTTTTAAACAAGTCTTTTTCAACTCAGCCTATAAATACACAGTAACAAACACTAATAATAATAATAATGATGATAATAATAATAATAATAATAATAATAATAATAATAATAATAATAATAATATTAATAATAATAATAATAATAATAATAATAATAATAATAATAATATTAATAATAATAATAATAATAATAATAATAATAATAATAATAATAATAATAATAATAATAATAATAATAATAATAATAATAATAATAATAATAATAATAATAATAATAATAATAATAATAATAATAATAATAATAATAGTAATAATAATAATAATGTAGTACTTGATTCTGTTCATCAGTCATTGTTTTGATAGCTTCTTTCATGTTCTCTTCAAATTGAAATGCCAGTTGCTAAGGGAAACAGTTGCCACAATAACATTGTAACCATGACAACACAAACCGTGTCAAAGTGAGGTTCTGCTGAGTCAGCATCTTTTGGTAATACTTTAATGGCACTCTAGTGGGCGGAGCTAATCAACCAGTGGGAGGGGCTTACTTCTACATCAAAGACTGGCTGAAATGACTTCAAAGGAGTAACAGTCTCATTAATATTCATATTCCCATTAATATTCACAGCCTCGTTAATGGAAGTGGGTGGAGCTTCCCTTATAATATAATCCCGTACTGGTACAATGGACTGGGACTGAGCACAGGCAAAGACCCACCTAGAGGAGAAGAGGTCACATGATCCAGGGTCACATGATCTAAGGTCACATGATCCAGGGTCACATGATCTAAGGTCACATGATCCAGTGTCACATGATATAGGGTCACATGATATAGGGTCACATGATCCAGGGTCACATGATATAGGGTCACATGATCCAGGGTCACATGATCCAGGGTCACATGACACAGGGTCACATGATCCAGGGTCACATGATCTAGGGTCACATGATAGGGCTTACTCTTGAGACACTGGAGGAACACCCCAGGATAGGGACTTGGTATATTTATCACCTTCAAAATAATAATATAATTAATAATAATAATAATTATTATTATTATTATTATCATTATTAATTACCGTGAGGTTTTTTTAATAACAAGTGAGTTGATGCCAGCAAATCACCAGAAGAATAATGAGAAAAACAATCTTGAACACTAAAAACAAACAAACAAATAAATAAATAAGTAAACAAACAAATAAATAAATAACTGACGTTGCCCCTAGTTTTTTACATAAACAGACCAAGTGCTCTCTTTCCAGACCATCAAACTGACTAATAAATAAATAAATAAATAATTAAATAAAACTAATCTCACCTAATTGTAATGACGCAGTTATTAAGAATATTGTCTCCAATGGTAACTGATAGTGGGTGGAACAGGAAGTGAGAGGTGTGGTCAACCAGTTCATTAGATCCAATGCAGTGATCAAACCAAAGGATAGAGACAATGACCCTAGCACTGGAGGGCAGGGAAGGAGGGACCGACAATGAAGCAATGTGATAGTCACATGATCGATCACATGACACCACACTACCTAATGTATTGTAGGTATGGCTCAGGTATTATCATCATTATTATTATGATTATTATCATTATTACCTCCATTTTTCTTGATTTCATTTTCAATTGCTGATCTACTCTGAGACGATATCACTTCATTAATTGAAAAGGAAAGTCCATTAAACATACCAACACTAGGAGCTGGAGGCATCTCAGCTAATAATTAAATAATAATCAATATTAATTAATAATAATTAATAACATTATTATTAGTTAGGTACCATTTTGATATTGTGTTAATAAAGTTAGCTCATCCAATTCCTCGTCATCAGCTAAAGGAACCTTCCTCTTCTTAACATGGACTCCAGTAACTATGGACTCAAGGGACCTCCAAATTTATAATAATAACAATTAATAATAATAATGTATCTAACCTTTTCCGAGGCAGTTCAGTATCTTCATTACTCCTCCCCTCCATTGGGATACTGGTACTGGTACCGATACTGGTAGTGGTACTGGTACTGGTACAGATACTGGTACTGGTACCGGTAGTGGTACCGATACTGGTACAGGTAGTGGTACTGGTACTGGTACTGGTAGTGGTACTGCCAGTGGTGGTTGGTTTCTTGTTGGTAGCATCAAGTGAATATTCCCCTTCATCTTGACAGTAACCTTTCTCTATTGACTTATACAGCCATTGGGGAGTAACACACAATATACTCCACTGGACAGCAAACTGGTACTTCTGAGCTGAAGAGAGAGAGAGAGAGGGAGGGAGGGGTCCCAGGTGGTATTAATACATATAAGTACTCACAGTTTGTTGCTCCAACTATCAGATGAGTACAAGTATCTCTTGTTAGCTGTTTGCTGTATTTCCCTCCATTTTTATCAACTAACTGCTGTAGAGTGTTCCTCTCCTCAATATTGAAACCAGTACTAGTGATTGTACAGCCTGACAATGGAGGACACCTGTGAGCTGACAACTGATCAAGAGAGAGAGTGGGGAGGGGGAGGGTAGATACAGGATCTATAATAATGTTGATACACTTACAATGTCAGTATCAGTGGCATGTATCAATTCAATCTGTCCTTTCTCCCAACAATGCTCCACCCATGAGACAGTGAGGACTGGAGTATGCAAGGACCTGGCAACCTTCCAATGTAACAATAATCAACTTATCATCATCATCATCATCATTATTATTATTATTATTATTATTATTATTATTATTATTATCATTATTATTATTATTATTATTATTTAGTTACTTTATATTTAGTGCTTCCAACCTGACCAGCAACTAAATGTGTCACCTAAAACAACAACAATAAATAAACAACAACAACAACAACAACAATTAATAAAACATACACTCCTGGTGAAGTTAGCGGTTGTTCTACTTCCCATTAGACGAGCCAATTCCAACACACGGGTCTAGTAATAATTATTAATTAATTGATTGATATTTAATTAATATTAACCCTTTTGTCTCTTGCTCCAGTTTGAGTACAGCACAGTGTGATGCCATACATGGTCATATTGTGGACTGGTTGAGTTGGATCATCAAGTAGGAGGGGCTAAGGAGCTTTTTAATTAATCAATTAATTAATAGGGACTTACCCAGTTCTTTGTTAAGTGAGATATGACAACCAATGGTCCTATTATTCTATATTAATACATTAATTAATTAATTAAGTTCAATTATTCATAGACCTATATTTCCCATTCAGTTCATCAAAAAGGTCAGTTTTGAATTCCTCCATTACATATACACTCGACTGCTCCGGTACCACTGTATCTGACCACACCCACTGCACAGTAAACCCTCTATCTTCAATCATCTGTTAACATTAACATGTGATTCATCTACTCTAATGGCTACTTTTGCTGCTTTGAGAGAAACTGGTCCTTCAGGAGAATCTCTCTCCCTAACAAACCTCAGAGAATCTAAAAAATAAACACAATAAATAATTTAAAAAACGAGAGTTACCTAAAGAATCAACTGAACTCATCCTACTGAGGAACCGCCATTTTATTCAGGATACTATCTGTATTACATCCGCAAACTTTAAACACGTGCAGCCTCGTGTGAGATTTTAGCCCTGCCCACTTTAAAATGGCTACAGTCATTGGATTTGAGGGCAGTGCCAATAAGTTAGGAATAGGTATCATAAGAGATGGAGTAGTTCTCTCTAATGTTAGACACACTTATATAACGCCTCCTGGTCAAGGATTCCAACCAAAGGACACTGCCAAGCACCACAGGGACCACATACTACCAGTGCTGAAGCAAGCACTGAAGGTAGGACACTCACACACTGTGACCATTAGACTCTTGTTCTATTTTAGGATGCTGGTATAAGTCCAGCTCAAATTGATTGTGTATGCTATACCAAAGGACCAGGAATGGGAGCTCCCCTCGTTACTGTTGCCGTGGTAGCAAGGACAGTGTCCCAGTTATGGTGTAAGCCTCTTCTTGGTGTGAATCATTGTATCGGCCATATTGAAATGGGGCGATTGATAACTGGAGCTGTTAATCCAACAGTCCTATATGTCAGTGGTGGTAATACTCAAGTCATTGCTTATTCACGTAAAAGGTATAGGATCTTTGGAGAAACCATTGACATTGCTGTTGGAAACTGTCTTGATCGATTTGCACGAGTTCTTAAACTATCGAATGACCCAAGCCCTGGCTATAACATTGAGCAGCTGGCAAAGAAAGGAGAGAAGTACATTGAACTACCTTACACTGTCAAAGGAATGGACGTGTCATTCTCTGGTCTATTGTCTTATATTGAGTCGGTGGCTAAACAGAAATTAGAGAAAGGAGAGTGTAGCCAGGCTGACCTGTGTTACTCTTTGCAGGAGACTGTGTTTGCAATGTTGGTTGAGACCACAGAGAGGGCAATGGCTCACTGTGGGTCTGATGAGGTACTCATTGTAGGAGGAGTGGGTTGCAACGAGCGACTGCAGGAGATGATGGGGGAGATGGTGAGTGAGAGAGGAGGGAGGGTCTATGCCATTGATGAGAGATACTGCATTGACAATGGAGCAATGATAGCTCAAGCTGGAGCTGAGATGTACTCTTCACTCAATAAATCAGGAGGTTGGGGTACCAGTGATTGTGTGGGAATCAGTGGGTCTTGGTGCACTCAGAGGTACAGAACTGATGAAGTAGAAGTGACTTGGAGACACTGAACATAATGGACTCTAAATAATAATGAATTAATGATAATGATACTTTTCATTAAAACGTTTCGTTAAAACTAATAATTATTAATCTGCTGTTTAAGTTTCAATGACAGTAGATGCTTCCTACAGTAAATGAATGAAAAGTAGTATGAGTGGATCACGTGATGTACTTGAGCTCCAATAGCTCTCCTCAGTTCCAGTACCACTGATGCCAATGCTTCGGGATTCACTCCGGCCTCCAACAGCTGGACACAGACCTTTAGTGTATCATCATCCAGTCCAGTATTAAGGAGATCAGATATATCTTTCACCACTAGAAGAGTACATGAATCTACTGTACTAATAACCTATTCACCTTTTAGAGCATCTTTCACTTCATTCAACCTCCCACCTTCTGAAGAGGAAGCCATTTTTATTTTTTTGCGCATGCGTTAAAACCACGTGGTTAAGCATGGCTAGTCCAGGTTCTTTGCCATCTTTGCTGAAATTTGTCAGAGTGAGCCCCTCCAATGGGTCCAACGGTCTTTTATTGTTTTAATATTAGATTGATAAGGGTGAGGCACTTTCAGTCAAGATACATTTGGTGGGGGGTGCGGACTACTCTTGGTTTACTGATATTATCCTCCAGGTGGGCCCCCAGGGGTAGTTTTATTTATATTATAATTATTAGGATATTCTGACACAGTCGTGTACTTTTATAAAGAAACTGAACACGTCAAAAGATAAAGAAGTGTCTGTGTTATCTCGTTGTAAGTTCTCGTTAAGTGTGTGGGTGTCAATTAATAATATTAGCTGGTAAGCTCAGGGTATTGTATCACAAGAAACCTTCAGCTGAAACTGGCGGACACATACTAGTACCATATACTGGAAAGGTTAGTACAGTAACCTCTTTTTGAGTCTCCTCCTTCATTAGATAATGACTGGAGGATACTGTCTCTCATCCTTTGGATTTGTTAATGTTGAGGGAAGGAAAGTCCATTCATTTTTAAAAGGACGCAACACATCAGCTGGTAATATCCAACTGTTTCTTGATTAGTATTATTAATTGTTAGGTGAGATATATGCTCCATATAAGGTATGTCCACACCTCCTCTGTGTCTATCTTGATCCATATGAGTTACCGGATGAGAGAGGAGTTATTCAAGTGAGTTAATTAATGGAGTGGGTGTGGTTTTTATTCTTTATTGATCAGATACGGCAAACCTTGGATCCCTCCAGCAAGTGTACTGATGATGTTGTTTCATTATTTGATAGTTCAAAATCTTCTGGTACGTCTTTAACTGATTTCCTAACTGCAGCTGCTCCATCCTATCCACTCAAAGATAATAAAACTAAGAAGAAACCACAGAGGTGCAGCTAAATTTAATATTAAATAACTATCAGTTAATTATGCTGTTTCTATTTTTTGAAATGATAATAATAAATTTAATATTAAATCCTAGTACTAGTGGTCGTTTTGCTGGAGGTAGGCATGGCACTAATGATCTATCACAAAGCAGATTAACCTTCACTAGCTCACCAATAGAAGGACAAGGAGACCTTACAACAAGAACTGAACCAATCGTTATAGAATCACCTCCTGCTTGTGGTAGCCATGACAACAACAATACTGACCAAAGAAAGGAGAAGACAACCGAAGGACTAGCTTCAAAAAGGAAAGAGATTCCTAACGACATCCTTTGTAATGAAGGTTGGCTGAGCAGTAGAGAGAAAATACCAACCAATGAAATAAAACCATCAAAAAGACCTAAAAGAAACAAAGCAAAAGGAAGAACATTGGAAACAAAAGAACTGGAACCAAAAGAAATGGAACCAAAAGAAATGGAACCAAAAGAAATGGAACCAAAAGAACTGGAACTAAGAGAACTGGAACCAAAAAATAAAAAGAGACAAAGGATGGACGAAGAAAGCAAAGAGGATTTGGTTGTGATGGGTATAGAGAAGAAGAGTAGTGATAAGAGAACAGGTGGTGGAGTGAGTGTTGTTGATAGCTTAATGGAAACAGCTAACAGGTTGGACCAGTTGAAGAAACAGGCTGAACCAGTTATTGAAATGACTGAAGAAATGAATAGAATTAGAGCAAGAATAAGAGAAGACCCAGGTACATGTATACAAACCAGTTGTTGTTTTTTATTGATTAATTTAGAAGTGTTTGTGATATCAAGTGAAGATGAAACTGAAGCTGATCTTGAAGAGGAGGAGGAGGAGAAGTTATCAATGATAGAGTCATGGAGACAGAGTCACAGATCAAGTTTTAAAAGGAGACAATGTTACAAGAAACTTTTTAATGGATACAAGTAACCTTTGGACTCACAGCAAGATTTTTATTACATTTTCTGATACATATTGATGTCTTTATGCTGTATAGAAAGTTTGAGCTGATTCTGACTTAAATTTTTCAAGTTACGGCCATTTTTTAAAATGCCAAAATTTCAAAAAATACCCAAGGCTATAGTCGATGGTTTTTTCCAAAAAATGGCTCCGAAATCACCCCCAATTTTTATTACATTTTTTGATACATATTGATGTCCTTATGCTGTGTAGAAAGTTTGAGCTGATTCCGACTTTAGTTTTTCAAGTTACAGTCATTTTTAGAAAATGCCAAAATTTCAAAAAATACCCAAGGCTATAATAGTCGATGGTTTTTTCCAAAAAATGGCTCCGAAATCACCCCCAATTTTTATTACATTTTCTGATACATATTGATGTCCTTATGCTGTGTAGAAAGTTTGAGCTGATTCCGACTTTAGTTTTTCAAGTTACGGCCATTTTTAGAAAATGCCAAAATTTTGAAAAATACCCAAGGCTATAGTCCATGGTTTTTTCCAAAAAATGGCTCCGAAATCACCCCCAATTTTTATTACATTTTCTGATACATATTGATGTCTTTATGCTGTATAGAAAGTTTGAGCTGATTCCGACTTTAATTTTTCAAGTTACGGCCATTTTTAAAAAATGCCAAATTTTTGAAAAATACCCAAGGCTATAGCCCATGGTTTTTCCAAACAAATGGCTCCGAAATCACCCCCAATTTTTATTACATTTTCTGATACATATTGATGTCCTTATGCTGTGTAGAAAGTTTGAGTTGATTCCGACTTAAATTTTTCAAGTTACAGCCATTTTAAGAAAATGCCGAAATTCTGAAAAATACCCAAGGCTATACCCCATGGTTTTATCCAAAAAATGGCTCCAAAATCACCCCCAATTTTTATTACATTTTCTGATACATATTGATGTACTTATGCTGTGTAGAAAGTTTGAGCTGATTCCGACTTTAATTTTTCAAGTTACAGCCATTTTAAGAAAATGCCAAAATTCCGAAAAATACCCAAGGCTATAGCCCATGGTTTTTTCCAAAAAAATGGCTCCAAAATCACCCCCAATTTTTATTACATTTTCTGATACATATTGATGTACTTATGCTGTGTAGAAAGTTTGAGCTGATTCCGACTTTAATTTTTCAAGTTACAGCCATTTTAAGAAAATGCCAAAATTCCGAAAAATTCCCAAGACTATAGCCCATGGTTAATGTCTCCTCTACTAATTACTGTACAAGGTGATTTATTGGCGAAGAATTAATATTGGCAATTGGTGGTTCTATGAAGAAATTGCCATATAAAATTCGTCAGTGTCTTTCCACAGGCAAATTTGCCAAAGATCACTCCATGCAGTCAATAATCATCTTGTATGTTATATTGAAAATGTCATTCTTTCCTCTTCTCCAGTGACATTAATGAGTTGCCTGAGTTGGTTCTAAAGAAGTGGATCAAATTAAGAAAGAAGACACTCTGTGACATAATGAATAATAAAGTACACATTGATCCTCATTTTTATGACTATTATTATTCATTTGGTGTGTACATGTACATGTATAGCTTCCGTCAGAAAGAAGGGACAAGTTTATTACAGCTGGAGCTAGGGACAGATGTAAGTTAATTCAAAATCAGTTTATAATCTCTCATTCCTGTTCCAGCTGGTCTCCAATACGAGAACTGTACTATAATGCTGACTAAGGAACAAAATGAATTAATAACCAATTCACTTAATTACATATTCTGTCATAAATCAACTGAAGTAAGCCCCCACCCAGCCCCCCTATTCGAATATTACAGACTCCACCCACTGCAGCTGTTCTCGTTCATGTGGTTAGTTCTCTATCCTGAGGCTATAGTCCACCTCATCATGGACTTCCACTCGCTCACTTATGATCAAGTAATTCATTAATTAATTATCAATTACTATATTAATTAATTATTCATAGGCTGAATATAAAATGCATCATTATTATCCAGTAAAGAATGAAATAGACTTAAACAATGTCAGAATTTAAATAAATAACTAGAATATATCTTATGTATTCAAAACATAATATAATAATATATTAGCAGCTGGTGAAGTTTATAAAAAAGAGCCTTTCCTCTTTAATAAAATGGATTCTGCTGGTTCTTTAGAGGGGGACAGGGGGACTATAGAGGGTGACGTTCCACGTCCATTACAACTGGCATCACTAGAACTGGATAATACTACCAGTGGAGACCCTCCTACACTATTAGCCCCTCCTCCTCCTCCAGGACTGACAGACCCTCCTCTTATAGACCCAGTGCTAGTGGCTTCAAGTGACCCGCCCATTGATCCGTTAGTTGTATCATCACTGATGATAATAACTGATCCAGCTGGAGTGGACTGATGATCACTAGTGTCGCTTGAACTATGAGTCAGGTCAATAATACAATCACCTAACCCCTCCTCCTCCTCTTCTGGCCCCTCCTCCTCTCCTGGCCCCTCCCCCTCCAGTCCCTTATTAACCTCCTCTCCCTCTAGTCCCTCCAGCACCTCCTCCTCTTCAATGCTAAATGTCAGTTTGATTGTTGGTTGTTTACACGTTTTTTGTTTGTTGTTTGTTTGTTGTCCTATAATAGACAGTAAGCTATCAGGGTGGGTATGGTCTCCTTGTGACTCCGCCTCCTCTTCACTAATAAATTCATCATTAGTTTCATACGAACTGTCAGACTCCGCCTCGTCATTAAATGACTCTGCCCTTTTCTTAATTGGTTCCTCCTTTTCTAAATTTCTTTTTCTCTTTCCGGTAGCACTGGGAAGAGGTTTTTCAACAACAGGTGAAGGGTTCCTTAAAAGATGACGCAACCTTGAAAATAAGAATAAAATCATCAGCCCCACCTCCTGACCACACCTCCAATTACCTGCTGTGTATATCAACCAGTGATGTGTCCCCGAGTGTGTATGGAATGACACACGGTACAATGGACACTGGACACAGGTACGAGACTACCTCAATAATCTCAGAGTAGCTGGAGTGCATTGAATGAAGGACTCGAAATAAATTAAATTCAGGAAAAAATCTAAAAATTAATTATTAATAATAATAAACATGTAGACGTGGGTACTTACGCTGATGGGTGTGGCTTATCATTGCTAAGAAACCATTGAGCTGATGGCTTGATTGTTAATATATTAGGAGTACCTCCTTTAGTGGGTGTGGCTCCACAAGGCAGTTTACCAGAAACAGACTGTGTCCCTTTCTAATATCAGCAGTAAGCCCCACCCCTTGTTCCACCCACTCACCTTATTAACACAAGCATGTATTCTCGTACTGTTCCCATCTTCAGTCAAGCACTGATGAACCTGAACATGCAACAGTAAATTACTGTTGCATGTTCATGTACATGTAACAGTAAATGCATAAGGTCGTGTAGCATAATAAAGATAGAGAATTCTCTTCTTTTCAATTTTGGTAAAAATGGCCTTATAGTACAGGGACTTTAGCCAGGGTTTTGCAAATTTTAGGGAAAGTTAAGAATCAAAAATCAATTGAAAAGAAACTGAGCACTATCCAATGGGCCCTAACCTGAGGTAGGACGGAGTAAGACCTTATCTTCCAACCAGCTGTGTGTATGTTAGTGTCCAGCTGGAGGGAGAGTGACATTAGTATGTGCTCATAACCAAAGGATCGACAATCCAACCGAACTATATTATCAGGACCCTGGGCCAGCCATCTGAGGAACACCAGTTATTAATAGTTATTGATAGTTATGAACTTACTCTTTGACCTTCTTCAGTATTATATCTCTTGTTTCGTCCTATGGAGATATCAAATATCAATATCAAATCAAGTACTAACACGTGATATGATGTTAGTTGATTTTGGATGACAGAATGTCGTGTCAAGATATAACGCCTTGATTTCAATGACTTTACCATCATCAGTATGCAGTGGGCCACACCCCCTAATGTCACTCAATGAGAGCCTGAAATCACCTTTGAATTAATTAATAATTAATAATTAATCATTATTATTAATTAATAATAATAATTAATAAGTTGTACCTGTATATAATACATTTCCAGCATCACCTTGAAATAAAAACCTAAATTAATTAATTAATTAATTAATTAATTAATTAAAGCTAGTTTGAGTGGCTTACATTACAGACCCAGGACAATGACCAGCTGGTAATAGAGTGACATTAACAGTAACCACCTGAAATCAATTATCAATAACCATTAATAACCATTAATAACTATTAATAACTATTAATAAGCATCTGTATGCACACGTACCTGGTCTTCATTTCTGAATGTGTTCAGTTTGAGGCTGATCGTCTCTCCCACTGGAACTGATACCTAACATGAACATGCACAGGAAAAAGGTTGTAGCCCTGTTGTCATAGCAACCACTTACCAAATAAGGCATGAGGTGTGAGAAGCCAGGATCGTTGCTTAGCAACGCGTGTGTCACCTCCGAACAATAAAAATCTATTTTTAATTCTTTTAAAACTTTCAGAAGTTCATCTGAATCCAGTCCACTCATGTGATCTAGTGACTGTATCATCATATTCATCACCAGTATAGGAGTCTGTACCTTTATGACAGTGTGATAGGAAGAAGGCCCGGCCTCTCCTGCAGTTGACTGGATTGAATCTATCAACAACCAGTCCTGGGTACTCCAGTATACTTCCCTTAAATACACTCATGGCCTCTTCTTCTGGTTAAAAGATCCCGCCAGCGGGAACGTACTACAGCTGACCACACCTTCTTTAATAACTAAAGATAATTAGCCCCACCCATTTCATAAATTAATCTTTTTTAAAAATTATTTTAACACAACACAACATTGCATAAAATATTATTTTTATTAGTCACTCAGTTTAGGAGTCCGTTATGTGATGTTAGTGTATCCACTTTTAGTTGGGCGGAGACTCTTAGAACAGGCAGAACAAGTAAAGGCAAAGAAAATAGCAAAAATAAGACAGAGAATGAGAAGAACAATCATCCCAACAATGAGATCAACAGTAGTGTACGGGTAACGAGTAAAATAATAAGAAGAAATAAAACTAGAACTCTTATCCAGCATGTAGCCCAGGGACCATCCAATGAATATATCATTAACCTAACGAGAGAGAGTCAGCTGGAGGTCATGTGACTATCATGTGACACATTACCTGATACTGGAAGGATATAGTCCATTGGTTCTTTGAGTTATTAGTGAACCCCATTCCTCCCAGTGCATGCAACAGGAACATCCCATCAATACAGCGGAATGCCTTGTAGTAACTATCATCAGTAGAATCAACCTACAGTACATGTACATTAATATTAATAATAATAATAATAATAATAATAATAATAATAATAATAATAATAATAATAATAATAATAATAATAATAATAATAATAATAATAAATATCTTTACTTCATTCCAGTCCATGCTACAACGTTTACTGACACTTTGATTAAAACTATCCAATTGTTCTGGAATCAATTTTGACACATTAAAAGCATCGGATGTGTAATAAAAATTAGAAAAACCCTAAAACAAGAACATGTCACATGACCTCTGGCCCCTCCTCCTCTCTTCCTCACATAAAAGATTCCATGAGGATTAGGTGAAGTATATTCAATGGGTTCTCCACTGGATATGTTAACAGAAAAATTCATGGCACTTCTAATTAATGCCCAACACATTTCGGCATTACTGGACCCCTTGATGGTGTGATTTGTGAAATTACCATCACCAGAACCTAACTGATGTGTACAGTAGTGATTGTCAAACAGGTAAGACGAGTTAGTCTGGAATATAAAACCAGTATGATAGCAAGGGAACTCAACTGTACTGGCATAAGATGCATTCTAAATAAACAAGATAACGTCAGATCAACTGAAATAACATCCACTACCTTCACAGCGTAGGCTAGTATTCTCCTTGAAGCTTCATTGATACCATAACACAGGTAACTCCTCACATAAACATCATACGTCTCTCCAAAGAGTGAGACAGTCTTGGTGTTATTACCATCAGTATCATCAATTTCATTGTATGATATCTGCATTGAGGCTCCGCCCATATCCAACGCTCCATTGGTAGTTGATAGACCCCGTTCATCCCCTGGCTATGAATAATAATTAACGTAGTTTAATTTAAATTGACTAAAGTAATGTTAATCTTACATATTTCCTTTCAAATGTTCCATTAACGTAGTTAGTAGTGATCCAGCCAGAAAGAGCCTCTTCCTCTCCGCTGAGTATCCTGGCGTTCATGTGAAGTGTCCAGTCCTTGTTCTTAAATCTTTTATTGTTATATTTATCATTGATTGCATTGATAGTGTCATTGGCAAGAGACTCATTTTCACGTCTAAAGTGGAATGGAATATGGAATTATTAGAATGGGAAGGCTCTCCCTTACTTTAATAATCTCATTCCAGCAGTAGCCCCAAGCCACGCCTTCACTTCATGATTATAATCTTTAGGTACGTCCTTTACCACCCCACTCACACAGTTATAGAGACTGTTAGCAGCTGCTACCGAGTCATTGTACTCACTGATACCAACACCTGTAGGAGATCAATAATAATAATAATAATAATTTAAAACACATTTTCACTTTCCTTTAGCCCCGCCCCTGGCCACACCTCCTTACCTTCAACCCTACAGTAGGTCTTCTGCCTGACTATTCCTGTCTTTTGGTAAAAAGGTAACTTCCAGTTGTAGAGGAACACTTCGGAATGAGAGGAACCAGCATCAATAACCAACGCATACTGTAATAGGGAGGGGAGAAAATGCTCATTAAATAGAATAATGTACAAAAAGACCGTACATGCTCATTAATTAGAACCTGACCTGTTCCTTGTAGCTCAGTTCAGTGTAGAGTGTTGGTAAGAGAATGAAACCGGCAAAGAAGGCAATAGCAAGACACAGAACAGTAGCCGGTACCAAACTAACAGTAAACACTTTACAACAACCACGAGCAGCAGCCATATCCACGGACTGGAGCTAGAAGACAAGATAAGGCTATACCTGATCACCTGTTGAGAATAGATAAGAACAACACAGCTAGTCTCTGCCAAGCTAGCTGGTGCTGATAGGAGGTGTGGCCTTAAGTAGGTGGAGTCAATTATTGCCACTTAACTTTGCCAGGCCTGCAGGAGTCATAGAGCAAATGAAATTTACTTTCATTAGCTCTAATATGAGTGGTTGGTTATCAAGTTATAATGGATACAAGAAACACAATAATAATGACTATTTTTAATAAAGCAATAAAATGACAAAACCATCATATAAATGTCTGAGTAGTAGCAAGGACTTGAGCAAAAGGAGCAATGACATATTGAGAACTAAAATAGAATATGAGACCACAGAATATAGAGATGGGTAGAGCAGGGAGGGCCCGCCTAACAATACCCAGTATTATGATAGTCATACACAGACCCTGTGACGTGACGTGGGGAATAAGTAATAATGACATCATCATAGTTATTAATAGCTCACTATCAAAATGGCCACAAAACAAGAGGATATGACAACCCAGTCCCCAGTGCTGTCGTGAGCTGCCTTACCCACCAGGATACTGTAGAATATGAAATCACCCAGTCCTAGTTTAAAACCTTGCCCTGTTGGAGAGCAAAAGCCATGAAAGAGCTTGTATAAATTAATGACAGTCATACTTTCTTCTTGCTCCTCCTCCTCCTCCTCCTCCTCTTGCTGCTGCTGCTGCTGTCTTTCTCTTCTCCTCTCTCTGTTAGTATCAGCAGCTGCTCTTATACTCCTCATTTCAATACCATCGGTATCATCATCACCATCGTCATTATCCCTCCTGCCCTCTCTCTCTCCTCCTCCCTCCTCCTCCTCCTCCTCCTCGTGGCTCCCATCACTACTGCCACTGGTATCATCTGTATCTGTAAATATGGATATCATCAATTATCATTAATTAATAATTAGTTAGTTACTTTTCTTATCTTTCTTTTTATTGGTGGGTCTATCAGCCATTCCAACCAGCCACACCATAGTAGCTATCATAATAATAATAATAATAATAATAATAATAATAATAATAAACAATAATAATAATACAATGGTTTACTTGAATATATCAATGATGGAAAGATGGTTTCATTTCTTTCTCTCGCAGTTTCAACAAGAACTCTCAAAGGACCCTTTGGACAAAGGACAGCTATTAGGTCTACACATCAACAATAGTCATTAATTAATTAATTAATTAATAATTATTTAACCATATAAGGATATCGCAGCTAGTAGGATCCAAGCTGTCCAGTTGGGAAGATATTTCACAAAAATATTAGCCTAAAATATAAATAAATAAAATAAAAATAAAGTAATGATTATTATTTACAGTGAGAGCGCTACAGAAGATGAGGTAAGCTTGTTGCAAGCGAAGTGGTCCCTTCCAGTGAATGACAAGGACACCCATACCACCAAAATTCCATATAAGGACAAGAAAGGACGGCCAGTCAATGAATAAATAATGAACCTGAAGAACCTCACTGGGGGAAGGAGGAGAGGGTTTAGGGTTTGAAATGACTATGAACTTACACAAAGAAAAATGAAGAGAAGACAAACAGGAGTAAAGCAGACGCTACTACAAGCCAACCATAAATGATCTACAGAAATTAATAACTAGTAATAACTACTGTTAATAACCATTAATAACTATCAATAACTATTAATAACCTTATAGCATCTATACTTATAGAGACACACTAGTATGATTGTCATGACAACCACCAGAGTAATGACAATGGCTACGTTAGCCAGAGCAAATAAAAGAACAAATCCATCATTGGAGGCAGTGTCCTCATCAAATGGAGTATATATCCTATTCATAATTTAATTTTAATAATTAATTAATTAATCATGTTAATAGCTCACAGTGTTCCAGAACTGGTCACATTCTTTTCAACAGACAGCTGTATGGCGACCACCAGAGCCATGCAGATGAAGACTGGAAATATTAACAGAATCATCTGCTGAGCTCCAAAACGTAGTGCCTCCTGTAAATAATAACAAACAATAACAACATTTGTTATTGTTTGTTGTTGTTGTTTACCTCATTAGCTTCACTGGTAGGATCGTCTCCATCATCACCAAATGACGGGAGGACATTGAGTATCTTCTTAAACACATACTTCATACCACAACTATAATAATAATAATAACTAACCACACCCATTTAATTAAACACAGTCATGGACCCCATGCCAATACAATGCTTATAATGCAGTCAATATGTTATTCATGAAATAGATGTACATGCACTCCATTAATACACTGACCTTTGTTCATCATCTTTCTGTTCAGTTTCCTCTTCCTCTTCTCTTGTTCCCTGGAGTGGAGGAGAGACAGTTATACCATCTTCTTCCTGTTCTTCCATACCCTCCTGTATATAACAGTGTGTATGTGTGTTAGGGATCACGTGATCAGCCACTCCCTCCCTTTGATTCTTATGGGGCAATCAAAACACAAAAAACAAACAAACAAACAAACAAGACAACAAAACAACAAGGTACTAACATCATTGTCCGACCCATACTCTGTCTCTCTGGCCTCTCCAGAGAGGAGAGATGCAGTCTCACTGTTAGTAGACATCAGAGCAAACAATTATAGTGAACGGACTAAGACTACGGAGTATGTCTCCACCCATTAATTTTTGTCTCATGACATGAATAAATTAATTTTTGTGTCATGACTCATGAATGAGCCACATGCTTACACATGGTTCCGTATTAGTCTTATTTGTTCTAATTATTCACAGTGTTATGTGTAATATTGAAAACCTGGCTGCAGTAGTATGAGTGGTGGAAAGATAGGTTGGATAATAGTGCTGGTATCAGTGATACTGATGGTATGGCTCAAGCAAAGGAGCCTAGTCTACCAAGAGGAGGATCAGCTCAGTCTCTGGCTAAAGGAGAACAGACTAGAAGAGATTGAGGAGTCATTAGTCCTCTCTGGTCTGTGCCATTGATATTATACTGACCAGTTCTTCCCATGTTATCACAGGAATCAAGTCAACTCGTGATTTATTGAAATATTCAGTTGATTCACTGTCAGATACTCTGAGTTTAACATCAGAGCAGGTCTGGTTGCTGGACAGGGCCTGCAGCTGGTTGAAGGTCCAGAACTGGTTATTAACTAATGAATTAACTAGCTACGAGCCTGTCCTTAAGCAACACAACATGATCAGTTTGAGAGATCTCACGTCAACCAGTGACAAGGACCTCTACAGAATGATGGAGGGACAGAAAGATAAAGATAAATTCATAGCAGCTGCAACCTCACTTAGAAATGAGTCACATGGTAATTAATTATTGTTAATTATTATTAATTGTTATTAATATTTATTACTAGGCTCGTACAGTTGGATTTACATAATAATTATACTTTTTATAATAATCATAGCATTAATAGGTAATAATAATGATATTAATTAATATTATAATTATTATCCCCTCTAGTATTTCTATATATTTGTGTCGTTAATGTTGTCAGTGCAGCTGCTGTCCTAATAATAGACGCTCTCATGTACGGGATAGTACTGATCCTATGGGTTCTAATAGTGGGTGTGGTTGGCAGTTTTATTAATGGATTGACAGGACGGCGTGTGTCCCCGCCCAACCCTCCATCCTTCAGTTCATTCCGTACTAGAACAGCTGCTAGTAGGGGGCGGAGCAGGTTCTCATTATTAAGAACTAACCAAAGACACTCTAGAGCTAATACTAACAGTACTGGTATATGCATAATGATATCTAATATACCTCCATATAATATACATCTACTCTTATTATCTTGCAGGTGCTGATTTTCATCTGGGGCTTTACGACCGGCTAAGGGGTAAGTCCTTTGATTCAAAGCGTAGCACCATCGCTTGGAACAATCAGGAATCTCTTGTAGTTGGGAATTCTTCCATAGCCACAGTACATGTAAGTTAATTACTTAATGACTAGCTCCTCCCTCCAGTTTAAATGTAGAAATGATTCTAATTATACATTGCAACCCTCCGATAATTTATCGATTAAAATACTACACGTCAGCTCAAAGACTACATTACCTCATGCCTTGGAACCAGCTAGACCTTTCGGTCAAGATTCTATCAAAATATCGTTCACTCCGAAACTGAGTGGGAGCTATAACATTGACATAAAGATCAACGGAACTTACATTGGGAGAGATGGGTCCATTATCAGGCAGTACAAGCCAGGTACATTATTATTAGTACTAATTAGAGGGGCTCACTCATCCCATTAGGTTCAGTTGATGCCAGTAAGACAGTGTTCCTACAGCAAAGCAATACAATAGTAGTCACATCAGGAATCTACCACAGCATGCAAATAATACCAAAGGACAGGTTCGGTAACCCAGCTAATGTCTGCCAAGAGTATTTAACTGCTGAAATCAGAAAAGTAATTTAGTTATTATGATTAGGTCCAAGACCATGTACAGTACAAATTTTGCTGAAAATAAAAAGGAGAGAAGTCTCCATTTTTACAATTTTATATATTCCTCACTAGCCGTCAATTGATGTTCTTCTCCATAGGATAGTTCCACTGGTGATCTCATCAATCCAGAGTGTGTGGTTGATACGAGTCCAGTTCCCAATCAGTACGAGATACTCCTCAAGGTAGAGGAGGTTGGGTACTTTGTAGGTTGCGTTAAATATGAAGGAGAGATCATTGGACCATGTTCTATAAATATAATATCATTAAATGGTGAGAAAGTGATGTCCATTATGTTAAGTTCTACTTATCATTATTTAGAAGCGGATTCTGTTTCAGTTGATAAGAATGTCGCTAAGAAGTGTAATGTTTATTACGAGTCAATGTATACTCCAGGAGCAGCTGCAAAACCAAAGAGGGTTTATTGTTACATCTCACCGAAACAGATTCAAGTGAAAGAGTTCTTTATATTGGGACTCATTCCTAAGCGTATCTACTCCTGTAAAGTCTGTCCTTCGACCAGAGTGAGTTGTACTGACCAGCTGCCATTAATAAGTTACACATTGTCATACCTTCAGATAATATTCCATGAAACTGCCGAATGTTTTACACTGGACGATGGATACCAGTCTCCGCTGGTCATGGTATCTCCTCATCGTGAAGTGCTCGCTGCTACTTTTTATAAATTTTTATTAAAGAACATTGGTACACGCCCACTTTATTGTATATTAGTATTGGTGTTTATTGTGGGCAGGTGGTTCCGAAAAGTTTCAAGATAAACAAAAGTTCTTTTACAGCGAAGTGAAGAAAATGAGGAGCCAACTGACAAGAGGAGAGGTCCATATCACAGTATCCTCAAGACACAACCTACTTGAAGAGGTTTGTACAGTATTGCCACGCCTCCTTTGACCTCACCCATTAACCCCGCGCCTTTTCCAGGCGATACAAGCCACCAAACACTTGAGTAGTTCGGACTGGTATAAGAAGTTTACCATTGACTTTCAAGGAGAGGAAGGTATGACTATTAATAACTATTAATAACTAGTTAATTAACCAGGTTTGGATTGGGGCGGGGTCAGTCGTGAGTTCTTTGAGTTGGTTTGTGTCAGATGCTTTGACCCGTCCTATCAGCTGTTTAAGAGATTCTCCGATAATCCCCAGGGACTAGTAAGCAACAGCTGCTGCTGGCACTGTGTCATAAATCATGTCCTTGTTACAGGCTCATCCGAACCCAAACAGACCATCACATTTGAAATTAAGGCACTACGAGTTTGCTGGTCGTATCGTTGGCAAGTGTCTGTATGAGTCAGCCCTGGGTAACCAGCTGATGGTGAAGGCCAGGTTTAGCAGATCATTCCTAGCTCAAATAATTGGACTGAGAATTAACCACAAAGTACTACCGTTTGTTTGTTTGTTTGTTTGTTTATTGTTTGTTTATTTTAGTATTTTGAGAGTGACAATCCTGAATTATACACAACAAAGATTCAGTACATCAGAGACAATGACGTCACTGATTTAGGACTGGTCTTTGCTGAAGAAGAAATAGACCAAAATACAGGAACCATAACCGTATGTACATATATGGAGGATGAAATGCGTTCAGTAGTTATTGATTAATTGGTAGGTGGTTCCCCTGATCAGTAAGGGGGAGGAGATTGAGGTTACTAATAGTAATAAACTTCATTATCTTAATTTGCTGGCTCAGCATAAATTATCGAAAACTGTCAAAGAAGAAGTGGATCATTTCCTTAAAGGTATAATAACTATTAATAACCATCAATAACTATCATTAATAACTAGGTCTTAATGATGTAATTCCTGATCATTTATTATCTATTTTTGATGAAACTGAACTTGAAGTAATAACTATTACTAATAACTATTATTAATAACTACCTCTAGTTATTAATGTGTGGTGTTGGTACAGTCAGTTATAATGAGCTAAAGATCCATACAGTGGTTAATGGTAGTAACGACCGGTTTAGGACAGTGGTATCATGGTTCTGGACACTGGTCAGTGGATTTACTCAGGAAGAAATGGCCAAACTATTACAATTTGTAACAGGTATGTCTCAATATTACTGATCCTTAAATACAGTGTTTCCTCGTCAGGATGTTCCCAGTTACCTCCAGGTGGTTTTAAAGACCTTCACCCTGCCTTTCAGATAATATCCTCACCAACTCATGGCAGACTACCTACAGCTCACACCTGGTAGGTCTATAAGGAACTAATAGTCTTTCACTTGATACCCTTCCCTTCCATAGTTTCAATCAGCTCTGTCTTCCATCTTATGATTCATACGACCAGTTCCAACAGTCATTAACGCTAGCTCTTAATGAAGGATCAGAAGGTTTTGGATTCGCATGATAATATTAACAATTAATGAGTGACTATTATCAGCAGCTGGTGTGTGCTGCATTTTCACTTTTTATAATGTATTATTATTATTATGTTTTTACTGTCAATTATTATTATTGAAGCATGCCTGGGTAAGCATTTGCCTGCTAGTCCAACTGTCACTATTATTCAGTGGGTTTTGTCACACCTTAATAAAATGGTGGCCATAGTAACACCAGACAGTACAACAGAAGCACCTGTATGGTACAGTATGATGGCCTTTTTATTAGTAGGAGGTGTGGCTAATACCTTTATTGGGGGTGTGGCTAGAGCTCTACTGGCTAGAGGTGTGGCTATACTTTACTAGCCCTGCCCACTTAGTAATTGAGTTAATTGGTTTTTAATTTTAATTTTTTTATAAATTTTAAACCATTGGCTCATTTTATCACTATTCATCCCATTACATGTAATAATGGAGAACATGCAATCAATCCTTACCAGGGTCCAGTCCAGAACAGTCAGACCTACTAGAGGGGGGGTGGAGGGAGAGAGCAGAATATGTGGATTATATTGTACATGCATAAAATACATTATAAGCATGCGTAATTATACATTATTAACTCTCACTCTACCTCACACTCAACCAACTTTAAACTTGATCCTGAGTCCAGTCCAGAACAGTCAGACCTACTAGAGGTTGGGGGGGTGGAAGGACATGTGTGGATTATATTGTACATGCATAAAATACATTATAAGCATGCGTAATTATACATTATTAACTCTCACTCTACCTCACACTCAACCAACTTTAAACTTGATCCTGAGTCCAGTCCAGAACAGTCAGACCTACTAGAGGTGGGGGGGGTGGAAGGACATGTGTGGATTATATTGTACATGCATAAAATACATTATAAGCATGCGTAATTATACATTATTAACTCTCACTCTACCTCACACTCAACCAACTTTAAACTTGATCCTGAGTCCAGTCCAGAACAGTCAGACCTACTAGAGGTTGGGGGGGTGGAAGGACATGTGTGGATTATATTGTACATGCATAAAATACATTATAAGCATGCGTAATTATACATTATTAACTCTCACTCTACCTCACACTCAACCAACTTTAAACTTGATCCTGAGTCCAGTCCAGAACAGTCAGACCTACTAGAGGTTGGGGGGGGGGGGGTGGAAGGACATGTGTGGATTATATTGTACATGCATAAAATACATTATAAGCATGCGTAATTATACATTATTAACTCTCACTCTACCTCACACTCAACCAACTTTAAACTTGATCCCTGTAGAAATAAAAAAAAGAGAAAAATGTTTAAACAATAGAATAAGTAAAGATCAATGGGACAGTGCTTTATTACATGTAATGGGATGGATGAATAGTGATAAAATGAGCCGTTTATTATTAGCACTGTAATCAAGGTTATTAATAACATGCAATAGATACATTGTTACCATACACTGAAGACTGGGACTGAATTGATGCTGAAGAAGACTGCATGCTGGCTTGAGTCTATGTAGCAATCTTAAGGAAAGGGAAATAGAATACATGTTACAAATAAGGATGTACATGTACATGATAGTGTGTGGATATCATTAACCAATAGAGAACTGCCTCTGATACTAGTAATGAACATCAACCTGACAATATACAAAAGATTATGAATTGAATGCCAAACTATACCATACACTTGATGTACTGAAGTAGTTCTATCTTTAGAATACTGATAATATCCTGAAAATGAACAAGAATACATGTTACATTTTCCATTTATTACCAATGCAGCATAACTACCACATAAAGACTTAATTCAGTATCTCCATCACCTATAAAATAAATAATAATATAATCATATACTGGACAATACTTAAAATATCCTGAATGAATCAAGTACATGAATATAACCTGTAAAATAGATAATAATACAAGAACAACACATATTTACTGAACAATAGATGAGACTTGAAACAATATACTAAGTAATATCCTAAAAATATACAAGAATACACTAGAATGCATACGTATGTACACGTACATGTATAAAGATTAGAGCAGGACTTTATTACCTACAAACATAGAGTGTACATAATAATAATACACACGTACCAATAATGAATGAAAGGATCATTGAAATACTGACTGGTTGTCCTACATAAAACAATAGAGCCAGTATAATATGATATAATACACACACTACCATACAACTTGAAATATCCTGGTGTAGTCTTCAACAGCTTCAGTTCTGATGTACCTATAATGAGAACAAGAATAGAGGAATCACTTACCATACTGAGGTCTAACTGAGGTCAGGTGAGGATAATTAACAAGAGGAGTGGCGATAAAATGGTGGATACTAGAAGGAAGATGCTAGTTCAGTAGATATTTATCAAAGAAGGCTCTTAGTGAGAGAGAGAGGGGGAGGGAGGGAAAGAGAGCCGAGTGAGACCTGTCCTAGTCTCGGGGCCAGCCGCCAGCCCCTTCCTTTAAGGGGCAGGCCCCCCGACACTAGACCTGCAGGCCAGCTCATCTTCTTCTCACCTTTTGAAAATGGCGGGAAATTAGAACCACGTGTTTTGTAAGGATCACGTGAGTTTTTTTTTTTTTTAAGTTTACGGAAATGTACTAAAACCACGTGGAGCTTGAGAAGCGGTTTTTAGATAGGTGTGGTCTCGGTAATTGTAGGTGTGGCTGGAGATATTGCAAGCAAGAAGAGCTTATCCATGACAATGGGTTGCTGTTTTACAAGAAAGAGCCGATCCATAACTGGACTGGAGGAGGGTAACAGACTCATTCCTCATAGTCTAGAGCAATCTGTTACTTACAGTGCCAGCAGAGGTACAATACAACGAGGAGTGTGTGGGATATTATTATTATTATTATATTATTCTGTTGTTTTTTTGCAGCAAGGATCCCCTCGATAAGGAATAACGTGTTGGACCCAAGACTGTGTACAGTGACCTGGAGACAGTTGCAGCCAACAGTAGGAGGACTATCAGTAGCAGATATTAGAGTAAGCACATGACCTGTGTATAAACACACTCTCATTGGTATGAACCTACACCTCCTCCAGTTAATATGTGGCAATGGTTCATCATACTCTTATTCAAGAACTGATTATTTTCAAGTCCAAGTGCAACACGCTTACACTGAGAGGGAGGTCCATTGTGTGGTAGAACCCACTGGGTCTCTAGTAGGACGATCATTAATAACAGTCTCTTACACTGTGAGGGTTTCTGGAGAGTACTCAGTTCTCTTTATGATGAACGGACAAATAATAGACAAGATACACCGACCTGTTTATCAAGCAGGTTAGCTCCTTCAAGACTTGTTTATTTAATTTACTATAAACCAATCACTACTGTTGTAATAACTACTATACTATAATATCACCTTGAGCTCATGATGGAGTGTGTGATGGAGCCATCATGTGCTCTTGATAATGATACAAGAAAGGACCAGCGTATTTGATTAATTGCCTCATTCTATTATTAGTAACACAGTATTACCATTAGTTCTATTATTAGTAACACAGTATCAACCCCATAGGTCCACCAGACCCTAATAAAACAGTCTTCCATTTACGAGCTCCTAATATAATAATGGAGACCAGTGTCTTCTATCCAATACTCTTCTCTCCTAAAGATTCTTTTGGTAATGTTGCTGCCCTCCTTCAAGATGAGCTCATTTTTGAAGCAAGGAAAGTAGGTAGCTCCTCCATTTTATGTTCCTTACATAACCTGACCAATACAGAATAGCCCTGATTCTCCATTAGCTACTTTGGAATATGTAATAAATCAAATTGATGATGATGATGAAGAAAGATTTGAATTATTAATTAAAATAGACTCCCCAGGTTATTATTTGTGCTGTGTTAGACACATGGACAGGATAATTGGTCTGACCAATGCCATTGCTATTGTCCTGACTAGTAAGTATATAGCTATTGATGATACTCAATCAATCATTTATTGTCCTCTATAGATCAGGACACCATTAAGATGAAGAACAATATAACCACACTGTTCCTTAACATTGGATACAAGAGCAGGATGATACAGAATAACAATAGAAGCACCAAAGAAGTATGGTGCTATTTGTCACCTAGAGTAAGCAATTATTGTAATAGTGTCAATGTGTCATCATCATCATTATTTTATTTCTATTTATTAATATTTTATTATTATTATTATTATTATTATTATTATTATTATTATTATTATTATTATTATTATTATTATTATTATTATTATTATTAGATGCTTCAAGTACGTGGATATACTCTTGGTGTTATTTCAAAAAGACTGTTCACCTGTAGAGTGTGTAACAGCACGCAGGTCAGTATATTACATTCTCTGATGCATATTGATGTCCTTATGCTCCCTCAGTTCATAATGCATTCTGCTCCTGAGCGGTTTACCATTGATGATGGTCTACAACCTCCAGTTACGCTAATATCTCCTGAAAGAGAAGTAATGGCTGCTATATATTATCAGTTCATTCAAAGGAACATTGGTCAGTGTGATGATGATGATGATATGATGTGATGTCATTAAGCAGGTGGTTCATTCCAAGACAAGGTCCGTCACTTTCAGGCGGAACTAAGACGCCAGAATGAAACTGAGAACAGACTGGATGTACGAATCACTGTCAGGAGATTTGAACTACTTGAGACGGTAAGATATTTAATGGATTGGTTAATTATTTAATGGATTGGTTAATTACTTAATGGATTGGTTGATTGAATCATTAATATATTAATAGTCAATGAGTGCTACCAGTAGTTTTTCGGAGGATATGTGGAAGAGACACTTTTTCGTTTCATTTGAAGGAGAAGCAGGTACCAATCACTTGCAGTACCTTCTCTTAAGCTCCTCATACTTTTGATTAGGTATTGATGTAGGGGGTGTGTCCAGGGAATTCATTAATTGTTTGTGTGAGATCATGTTTAGCGGAAGAAACCCCCAGGGTCTCTTTAAAGGTTTTAAACAAGACGACATGCAAGCACTTGTGAGGAACCGTATCCCACCCACACAGATAATTACTAATAATTTATGCTGTAGGTCCACCCGAACTACAGGAAGAAGAGGGACAAGCAGTTTGGATTAGCTCATTATAGATTTGCTGGTCTGATAGTCGGGAAGTGTCTGTATGAAACAGCAATGGGGAACAGGTTACTGGTACGAGCTAAATTCACACGATCATTCCTAGCACAAATAGTAGGACTCAGACTAACTTGGAAGGTTAGTGTGGAGTAATGTTCCTTGCATTTGTATCTGTTGTTAGCATTTTGAAACTGATGATCCTGATTTGTACAATTATCAAGTGAAGAACATTAAAGATGGTGACATTGCTGATCTTGATCTGAGCCTAAAGTTTGCTGAAGAAGAATACAACAGTAGCACTAATGACTCAAGAGTAAGGAAGAATATATTAATAATAATAATATTTATTATTAATAGCTGGTATCCATCACTCCTGGTGGTACAAAGATTCCAGTCACAGAAACTAATAAAATGGACTACCTGAACCAACTGGCCCAGCACAGACTAGGGAAGAAGGTCTCAGAGGAAATGAGAGAATTCTTAAAAGGTGAACCAACCAGCCAATGACTCCTTCTCTAATGAATGTATTACAGGTCTGCATATGCTCATTCCTGATGAACTTATTGCTATATTCGATGAAAATGAACTAGAAGTATATTTAATTATATTTATGATTATTATTATTATTTTAATATCACCAGCTCCTAATGTGTGGTGTGCAAGAGTTGAGTGTGGAGGACTTAAGGTCTCATACTGTCATACGTCACGTTAGTGAGACCACCGTTGACTGGTTCTGGACTGCAGTGGAAGACTTCTCGCAGGATGAACTGGCTAGACTAGTTCAGTTTGTGACTGGGAGCTCTCAGATACCAAGTGGAGGGTTTGCTGAACTGAGACCTCCATTCCTACTAGCAACCTCTGGGGAGAGAGGGAGCAGACTACCATATGCACATACATGGTAAACTACTGGCCTGTTTGTACAGCCTAGCTTGAAACAACACTTTAGTGTGTTTAGATTGAATTGCTGAATGCCAGTTATACTTTAATTTTTTGTAATAAAGCATGAGTTTTGGTATATTGGTCTTTGGGCTGATTTTTAGCAACTTTAAAATTTGGTAAAAATCCAAATTTTATTGAAAATCAGCTCAAACTTTTTGTACTTGTATAACATTATAATGTATTTCATTTCCCTTTAGTTTCAATCATTTGTGTTTGCCTGAGTGTGATTCTTATGAGCAGTTTAGGACTGGTCTAATGACTGCCATTAATGAAGGATCGGAAGGCATCTTTATGTCTTAATACATCATTAACTGTCCTGTGTACTATGATTTTTATTTTTATATTATGAGATTTGTATTATGTGATATCAGGTTTATGATAACTGTCAGATGGACTTATATACTCTTATACTAGAAATAGCTCGTATATAGTTGTAGAGTGGTGATAATTAGAAGAATGTAAAACATTAAAGGGCAAGCCTAAGCAAGCTATAGAATATGTCATAGATATTAGAGTAAATAAAATGTGCTGTACAATCAAAGCAATTGCACATGTCTAAATACAATATTGATGCAGTCATCTTGCTTAAATTTTCTCTATTACTTTATCACTCAAGCCTCTAGCATTAAAGTCTACAATAGGTCAGAAGCAGCCACCGAGTAAAAAAGATTGTAGATCTGCAGAACCTATAGGCTTGCCGCTAGAGAAGAATCTAGTAGCTATATATAAAAGATGATTTCATGCTGCATGCAGGCACTAAATCTATACATGCAGCTTTCTCACTTGCATTCAACTATTAGAGTCCTAAAATGCATAGCTACTTTTTCAACCTTTTATCTTGCTAGATTGAGAAGTCTTTGGACAGCAGTTTAGTCTTATATGTTTGCTGCAAATAAGCTCAGACTTGCTAGTAGCCGCCATTTTATTTCACTGTGATCACACAAAAATTATCTACTAGCTAGGCTAGATCTTTTTTAACTTTAATAATAGACGTTGTACATACTTAATACTACGTGTAGTATCTATGGATACTATAGTATGTTTAGTGGGGCTCGCTCAGACTCGCCCCAATAATGGCCCTTACTGAAAGGCAGGAGCATAGTGAATCGTATTGCAATTATTCAGTACAAGACTTAAAGCCATTGCTGCTGCTTAACTGTGAAATTGGATCGGTTACTTTTATATTATCTCTGATTGCCATTGTGTCCATGGTCTTATGTAGACTCTTTACTTTACCAACTCATCGTCTTATACTGTACCTCCTGGTAGCTATATTGTTTAATTCCTTTACAATTGCAATTCAGTTTGTGAATCTAAAACTGAACATCTTGGAAGGAGAACATGCTACAGTGTGCAGTGTTGAAGGTTTTTTATTAGGATATTCTTATTGGGTACTGCTACTGTCATTATCAATGATGACAGTACACTTATCAGTAATGGTTCTCCTTCCTTCTTATTACAGCAACATTATTGGAAAACTGGAGACATTCTATGTCCTGTTTCCATGGTTATGCCCTCTCTTGTTTGTCTGGATACCATTCATTAATGATAATTATGGTTTAAGTTTGCCATCGTGCTGGATAAAGCATGATCATGACACTGACTGTTCGCTCAATGAGGAAGGAGTAATTATGATGCTTTCTATATGGTATATTGAATGGTTCATTATATTCATTATCAATGACATTGCTCTTGTCATTATATTCATCACAATGTGCAAACGAGCATATAAAGGAACTTTATCTAAAGATTACAGGAAAGCTTTGAAGCAGACACTGCCGTTACTAGTATATCCTATTGAATTCCAGATCTTCTTTTGGATTGTTATAGCAAACCGGCTATATCAAGTACTACACAAAGGGAATGGGCTGACATGGCTGCTCTATCTACATGCTGTTACTGCTGGCAGTGGAGGGTTGATTGCTCCAGGATTTACATTGCTGTATATCTTAATATTGGGCAAAAAAGTAATCAAGAAGAATATAAAATATTGGCAGTGTTGTAAATGTTGTAAAAATGCCAAACCTAAAGAATTGATAGATCATACTGATCATGTCACTCAATATGGGACTACTATAACCTCTCCCACCCGTGCTGACTTCCTAAATGAAACTGAAATAGAAAGAGAGTTTGACTAATTAATGTAAAATAACTGTAACCATGAATGATGTTTGCCATATTCAAATGCCCACGTCTTATTTATTTGAGCATGCGCACAACAAATACCCGCAAAATGGAGAATTGATCGAGGACTCGATCGAGGAAGAATAATCATGTGGAGACTATCTCGTTCAGTAACTTGCCTACCTCATAAGAATAAGTTAAAGGTAGGTACAGGTGGAGCTGCTGCTGGTTATCATACAGAGAACTGCTTTGGATACTGGAGGAAACCTCGAGCTATAGACCCAGGTGAAAAGTCTATTAATAGTAACAACCAACCCTTAGTTCTATTTATAGTACAGAAAGAATGGATTGAATCCAGAAGCCGTCAGCCTAACATATGGCGTCTAGTAACTAGCTATCAGAATAATGGACACAAGACAGCGAGGACTGATCCACTGGGTATTAATAATAAATGGTATTTAATTAATTAAAATTATTAATTATTATTATTAATTAAAGGTCTGATCCAATTGAATTGAATCCTGAGGTTTATGGATTAGATAATAATAATTATTATTACGATACACTCGGTTAGTTATAATAATTGTTATTAATTAATTATTAATTAATTAGGAATATTACATTGTTTTGAAGGGGGCGAAGCCTCATTATCCGATATTATTAATTACCTTAATAAAACATACTGTGGAAATACAGCAATTGAAGTATCACACATAATGGTATAATTAACATCAATTAATTAATTAAGTAATAACCTCCTTTCACAGGATCCTGGGGAGAGAGAGTGGGTATTACGATCTTATGAAACTCACGTTAACTCCTCCCTCGGTCTTGAGTCCCATCAAAGGTTAGGGACTGGCATGATAAAGTCTCAGGTACTGGATCAGTTCCTGGCTAAGAAGTTCCCAACAGTAAAGAGGTATGGAGGAGAAGGAGCAGAAGCAATGATAGGATTCACTGATGAACTGTTTGATAGAGCAGCTGGTAATGATACTTGTTTATTGTTTGTTGTTTATTGTTGTTGTTTATAGATGTTGGTGTATCTGATGTGTTGGTTGGTATGTCCCACAGAGGAAGGCTCAACCTACTGATTGGACTAATGGAGTATCCACCAGTAGCTGTCTTTAATAAAGTGAGTTATCAAAGGGTTAAATATTAACATTATCATCATCATTGTTAGATCAAAGGTAATTCCGAGTTTTCCGATGCAATGACTTATACTGGTGACGTACTCTCTCACTTGAGTAATTTATTTATTTATTTATTTATTTATTTATAACTGTATTTAATAGCTAGTTCTGTTGATATCAGTCGAGGTGGGCGGAGTCTTCATGTCACCATGTTACCAAACCCCTCCCACCTTGAGGCCGTCAATCCTGTCCTCATGGGAAAGACCAGAGGAAGAATGCTCTCACGACTAACTGGACCCTATCAGAATGACAATACTAGCAGTGATAGGTCTAATGTGAGTTTATACCCTCTCTCTCTCTCTCTTTATTATCCAGCTGTTCTCATAAGGTTCTTTCCTTCCTGGTTCATGGTGATGCTTCATTCTCAGCCCAAGGGGTAGTGATGGAGTGTCTGTCCATCAGTGAAGTACCTCACTATGAGGTTGGTGGTACCATTCACCTTGTCGTTAATAATAATCTTGGATTTACCACTCCTCATAATTACGGGAGGTATAATCACTCTTAATCAATTAATATTAATGTTAATTAATAGGTCGTCAATGTATTGCAGTGACATTGGTAAAATGAATGGAGTTCCTATTGTTCATGTTAATGGCTCCTACCCTGAAGTACATACCCTGCCTCTTGTATATAAACCAGGCCTTACCTTATCTCTCTTCTCTTTAAGGACGTGCTAAAGGTCAGTAGGTTTGCTGTTGACTATTGGAACCAGTTTAATAAAGACGTCATTATAGTCTTGAACTGTTATAGGAGATGGTAACTGATGTGTTTGTGTTTCTAATTAATGCCCATTTCCCCAGGGGACACAATGAGTTAGATGACCCCAGTATCACTCAGCCTCAGATGTATAGAATAATTAACAAACTGAAGACAATACCTGATACCTACTGGGAGGAGGTGAGAAACCACACCCACTCATTAATTATTATCATGGTTAGAATGTTGAGTCTTTTGGTGATGTCTCTTCTCTTACTCAATCATATTATGATGAGTTGAATAATTATTTTAAAGAGGTGGACAATTTCAAATCAGAAGTAATGTGTCCTTTAAGCAGCTGCTACCTCTAGCCCTGGCTACTGGTTAGGAATCTAATTTTAAGTGTCAGTGGAAGGATATGGTCCAACCAGCGGCTAGTGGTATATCGGAATGGGACACTGGACTGGACATTGGCTTATTGAAGTATATTGGAGAGAGATCAGTTGCTGTTCCTAAAGGAATGGTGAGTGACCATTACTGATCTCTTCATGTGCCCCTCCTCTCCTCATAGAGGGTACATGACAGACTCCAGTCCTCCCACATTAGCGAGAGGTTGAGTCGACTGGTTAATGATAAGATTGACTGGTCCACAGCTGAAGCACTGGCCATCGGTAGCCTGTTGTACCAGGGGGTTAATGTTAGGGTCAGTGGACAGGACGTGGGTAGAGGGACCTTCAGTCACAGACACATGATGATCATTGACCAGGAGACCAATGGGGCAGTGATACCGTTGAATAGCATTAGGGAGGATCAGGGACACTTTATTGAGGTGGATCGTCCAGTATCAGTTCAATAATAAAAATATGAATTAACGACAGGTTGCTAATAGCCCACTGAGTGAAGAGGCAGTTCTTGGTTATGAGTACGGGTACAGCATAGAAAACCCAAACCATCTCGTGATCTGGGAGGCTCAGTATGGAGACTTCTTTAACGGAGGACAGATCATGATAGATGCATTTATATCATCAGGAGAAGGTGAGGAGTGTGGGTGTGGCTAGTTATTAATAGTTATTAACAGATAAGTGGCTCTATCAGTCTGGACTGGTCATGTGTCTACCCCATGGCTATGATGGAGCTGGACCCGAGCACTCGTCCTCTAGGATAGAGAGGTTTCTACAGGTTCGGCTATCATTGAGTTGTCTTGTTGTTTATTGTTGTTGTTTGTTGTTGTTTATTGTTGTTGTTTGTTGTTGTTAGATGACTAATTCTAGTGAAGAAGGTGGGGACTCTGATAGTGTCAATATTAATGTTGTTCATCCGACCACACCCTCTCAATATTATCATGTCTTGAGACGACAGGCAAGACTTTATAATAATTATTATTAATTGATTATTTATTAATTGATTATATCAACAATTCTATTATTATTGTTCCTTCAGATGGTCCGAAACTTTAGAAAACCTTTAATAATACAATCACCAAAAACGTTACTGAGACTACCAGTAAGCCCCTCCCCTTAATTAATTAATATTCATTGATATTGGACTCCTCATTAGTCAGCTGTATCATCATTGAATGAGATGTCACCTGGTACCACATTCAAACCAGTAATAGGAGACCATACCATCAAGAATAAGGACAGGTCCACCTGTTTACTTGTTTGCTTATTTGTTTATCTGTTTGTTTGTTTGTTTATAGTGTGGAGAGGATTGTTTTGTGTTCGGGTAAACATTATTATGCACTTGACAGTTACAGGAAAGAAAATAACATTGAAAACGTTCCTATAATTAGAATAGAAGTAAGTAGGCTAAATGTACAGTATTTTACAGGTAGGAGATATTTTATTACATTTTCTAGTACATATTGATAATTCTATTTGTTATTTAGTTACTGTGTCCATTTCCAAGTGGTTCACTCTATGATGAACTCTATAAATACAAACAAGTTAAAGGTACACACACTGAGTACATGTACTGGACATGGAGCAGCTCCTGGTCAGTCTGATATTCACTTCCTTTAGAGTTTGTATGGAGTCAAGAGGAGCCAGCTAATATGGGGGTGTGGTCTTTCATAGAACCACGAATGAGAAAACAGCTGGGGATTAATGTATGTTATAAATAAATTATTAATTGATTATTAATGACTCTAATTAATGCACAGCTGCACAGAGTTAGTAGAGTAGCCTATGGACCACCTGCCACTGGAATCACTAGAATACACCAACAGGAGGCAAAGAAAATACTGCAAGAGACATTTTCATAAGTTAATTGAATCATTTTAAATCAATGAATAATTAATAGTCACTAAGTGGGTGTGGCTAGTTTCAATGAATTATTAGTGAAGGTGTGGCTGGTTGCTGCAGCTAACAAGATGGCGGCCGGCAGGTCTTTCATTTCCAATGGCTCAGAATACGTTCCTCTTGATCTAAAGAAAGGAGAACTCTCCTTTGCATTGGCCCCGTTCAATCCTCACCCTAACGTGCACACTGAGGGACTCTCACCTCAGGAAGTGAAGGAAATAGTTAAAGGAAGTACCAGACTGAAGGCCATGATAAAAGAGGTAGCAATAATGATGATGGTGATCATTAATGATAAATAATATCATATTATATTAGATATCAGTTAGTAATGGTGTATCAGAAGAGTCTGTGGTTAAACTGGTCGATGAAATTGTTGATGAAATTGGACACAAGATGGCATTGCCAGCAGTTCGAACTGTAGCCATGATAATAAGAGGAACACTTCGTAGAGTAATCTCCGGAATATATATTGAGAAACAAGGGCTGGAGGAGGTGAGTTATTAGTGTTATTATTAGTGTTATTATTAGTGTTATTATTAGTGTTATTATTAATGTTAATCTTGTTAGTTAGGTGCAGCTGTCAAGAGGTATCCAGTGGTGATCCTTCCCTCCCACAGGAGCTATCTTGACTTCATTCTGGTCTCATACTTTCTACTTGAGAATAACATACAACTACCTGCCATCGCTGCTGGTCAAGGTAAGGAATTTATTAATTTATTTATTTATTTATTTATTCATTTATAGATTTTATGAATATGAAAGTGATTAGTTCTTTGCTCCGGAGATCAGGTGCTTTCTTCATGAGGCGTACATTTGGGAGTGACAGACTATACAAGCTGATATTCACAGTTTACATGCAAACTGTACTGACCAATAGACAGAACCCAATAGAGTTCTTTATTGAAGGAACCAGGAGCAGAACCGCCAAGACATTACACCCTAAACTAGGTAAGGAGAGACTAGGACCTAACCTGACCTCTTTGTTAATCAGAGGAGATACTTCTGTAGAGTGAGAGAGAAAGGGAGGGGGCTGCCATGTATTGCTGTAACTATCTCATCATTAATTTATCGTCAGTGTGTTAGCTGTTTGTTCTGGTTAGGGTTATTGTCCATGATAGTTGAACCTTATCTTCACGGTCTGGTTGATGATGTACTACTGGCTCCTCTGAGCATCAGTTATGAGAGAACACTAGAAGAGTCTCTCTTCGCCAGAGAACTACTTGGAATACCTAAACCAAAGGAATCAACTAGCGTAAATTAATATTCAAATATTTATTTATTTATTTATTATTTCAGGGATTGTTTAAAGCCAAGTCTTTATTATTCACCAGTTATGGCTCCATTTTTGTTGATTTCTCAAAACAAATTTCATTACACGAATTTTGCATCAAAAATGGAATCAGTCGAATACCACATGGTATACAACCAAGGTAAAGGGGGCAGAGTCTAATATCGAGTATTAATTATTTTTATTATTATTATTAATATTATTATTATTATTATTATTATTATTATTATTATTATTTGCTATTTAGAAATGATTTTTCATTTTTACCTGGTGAGAGGGAAATGGTATTGGAGCTTGGCTATCAAATTTTACACAAAATTAACAAAAAAATGAAAATATTTCCGTCGTCAATTTTATCAAGTTTATTACTTCATTTCAATAATGGAGGTGTTGAGAGAGGTAGGGCACTCATTAGTTATTCATTGATTAGTCAATTAATTAATAGATAAATTAATTAACTGGATGGATGTATTAAAAGCAGAGATTGAAAAGAGAGGCGGAATTGTTCACTGGAATAATGACAGTAATGAATATAATAATAATAATAATAATAATAATAATAATCAATATTTTTATATTTCAGATTCTGCAGCTGTGTTTGATCACTGTGTCAATCTCTTGCTCTCCAGCGGTTGCATTAGAATAAAAGATGGACGAATTGAAATAGCAAAAGTTGAAGAAGAGACGAGATTAAGACACAAGGAAGGTATGTCAAACTGTAATTAATTACTATTATTCATTAATTAATAGGTTGTACTGTATTTGATATAATGTCAGCCCAGATGACATCTTCAGCCCTTGCTAACACACTGAACAATGGCTACACTGAACTGATACTGGGACACTATAGGAATCAACTGATTCACTGGTTCATATCAGAATCAATAATGTTAACTTGTATCAATGGAATCAGTGATATTGAATTAGGTATCTTTAAATTTAAATATTTATCATCATCATTATCATTATTATTATTATTATTAATTAGACGTTTTAAAAAAGAGGTTCATTTTATTGTCGCAGTCTCTTTGTAAGGAGTTCATACTCCCGCCTGGTCCTATGGAAAAGGTGGGCATTAATAAAAATACTGACTCCACCCACTTCCTTATTAGGTATTTGACGATACCCTCCATTGTCTAATAGACAGAGGATTAATTGAAATCAGTGGCTCATTAATATTCATAGTTTCTAATGAGAAACAAGAGGTCCTTTCTTCATTACTATCAGGTCTAATCAGACCTTTTGTTGCTGGAGTGTGGGTGAGTGGTGTTGCCATAGTTACACCTGACCCCTCCCCTTTCATTAGGTGATGTGTCTATATTTAGAATCATTAATGGGCGGAGTCCAATCACTTAAATTAACTTTAAGAAATACACAGCAACTAGCGGCTAAACTAATTCACAATGGTAAAGTATAAGAACATGAATATGTATCAGGGAATGTAATGAAAACGGAGAATTCTCTTTTTTTCACTTCTGGTAAAATTTGGCACGTGGCCCTGTACTATAGTACAGGGGCTTTGGCTCAATTTTTAAGCAATTTTAAAATTGGTAAAAAATATAATTTTGATCAGAATCTATTCAAACTTTCTACACAACATAAGAACATGTATATGTATCAGGAAATATTATCTTGTTTTTAGGGTTCATTGATTCTCATGAAATCCTGTCTCTTGATATTTATAAGAACACTATTGCCTCATTCAACGTAACTGGAATACTGTTTGAACCAGAACTGTTAGTGACATCATCATCATCATCATCATTATTATTATTATTATTATTATTATTATTATTTGCAGTGAGTTGGAAGGTAGAGACAGGCTAGTTAAAGTTTTGAATGCTCCAAAGCTAAAGGAATTGACGTTTGAAATAGGTAAGATTGATGGTGGGTGTGGTTTAGTGTAACTGTATTCTCACACTACAGGTGCTGTATTGTTTAACGGCTCCCCTCCAGTTTCTATTAATAACTTTTCTAAATTATAATTCAATTCTTTTATTTGTTTTTGTGTTTTTGAATTTATACCAAATTCCCGCCCATGCCTCTAATTAATAGGGCGTGGCTTATTGATAAACCACGCCCAGTTGAAGATGATCAAGTTTGTCCTTTTAGTGAACAAGCAAGGACAAACTCGTCTCTCCCAGTACTACGAGCACACCAGGATAGACGAGAGGGTCAATATTGAGGCGGACATAGTGAGGAAGTGTCTGGCTAGAAATGAAGACCAGGTACACCTAATGATGCGATATGTGGATTCATTCATACTCTACTGATTCTAGTGTTCCTTTATGGAGTATAGAAACTTTAAAGTTGTCTACCGGAAGTACGCATCACTTTATTTTATAATAGCAATCGACAACACTGAGGTAAGTAGGTATAGTCTGGACACACCCTTTCGCTGGGAGGCCTAATTTTATTGAATATTTCACCTAATTTACCTGTGGCATAATCCACTCATTGTTTTCAATGGATTAATATTCTTTTTTTAGAACGAGCTCTCAATTTTAGAGTTTATTCATAACGTGGTTGAGACATACGATAGATTCTTTGATAGTGTGGTAAGAGTATAACTGTATGATCATCTTTTATTAACCTCTCCCTCCCTCCCTCTCTCTCCCTCCCTCCCTCTCTCCCTCTCTCTCCCTCCCTCCCTCTCTCCCTCCCTCCCTCCCTCCCTCCCTCCCTCTCTCCCTCTCTCTAGTGTGAACTGGATGTATCCTCCTTTAAACAAACATGCATGTAGTTCATATTAATTAGTAATCATTATCATTGTTCCTTAATGCTAGCTCCTTCCTTCAGATTATGTTCAATATAGACAAGGCTCACATGATACTGGATGAGATGATCATCAATGGAGAGATTACTGAGACCAATAAAGATAGAGTACTGGCACCAGTTGCTGTACTGGACAGAGCAGCTGGACATAAATAACTATAAAATTTGATTTGTAATGTTTTTAGTAATTTTAGCCATCATACTGCATGATCTGTTCTTTATTTTAATGTAAACAATTAAAAAACACTTTTGAAACACGAGACAGTTTGTCATTATGACCTCAGACAGACGACCAGCACTGGGTCTGGCATCCTGCCTTTGGCTGCATACCTCATAGTATATATAATTGAATAAAAACAATATTAGTTGTGACAAGCATCTTATGATCATAGGAAATTGGGAAGAGGAAGAAGAAGCAAGAGAAGAAATGTCAACACTAGTATTTATTTTATTGCTAGTTCGTGGAAGCACTAGTAAGCATCAGTTACAGCTGTAAGGTATGTTACCATCCCTCCATCTCTCAGTAGGTGCTGCATCAGTCACTAACTCCTCAGTTTGTAGTACTGACTTTAATGAAGAGACTTATGAGCTCATGAGGTAAGTATACAAGTAATGGGCCTACCTGCTACTAACAGTATATCACTGGCAGGGCAGGAGGTACCTGTGAGCCCTATAAAACCTATGGCAATGGATACTCAGAGTGTGACCTGTATCTGACTCCTGAAGTAGACTATGTCTATATACCCTCAACAAGGATCAGAGGGAATCAAGATAACGTGAGAGATTTCATGGAGAACGCTGCAGTCATACTAGACTTCCTTACCAACGAGTTGTGCAGGGAACAGCTGGCAAGAGTGTTGTGTAATTATTATTACTATCCTTGTGGGGTCAATGGGACTCTGACAGTACCCCAGTTCATCTGTTCTGATGTGTGTAGTTATGTATCCAGTATCAACTGTGTCTCTGAATGGAATTCACTGGAAGGAATAGTTCATGATCATGTCAGTAATGATCCATTCTATACTAATGATCCAACACTGTTCATACCAAAATGCAATGAAACCAACCTTCCACTGGCTTTCCTTAACCTATCCAGTGACTGTTGTACAGATGGAGGAATTGAAATACCCAGTAAGTATCATGATACAATAATAAAATTTAATAATTCATTTCTCATTCTTCCACAAAGTAAGCTCATCTTCCATTCATCAAACCAGTTTCATTATTACATCATCATCTTTAGTCAGCACCACATCCATTACATATGGCTCTACATCACATTCCATCAGGCCCATTAGTTCTACTACTGCTACACCTCAACCCACAAATAGTTTACCAATGACTGTTGCTCTTGTTAGTGGAGTAGCAACTGGTTTAGTATTAGCCATTGGTCTACTGATAGTAATAATAATAATAATTGTATTTATTATTATTGTTAAGAAGAGAAGGAGGTCTAAACAGAAGAGGAATGCTAATGATGATCAAATCTCAAACAGGTAATGACATATAAGATCACTGATCAATGTACAGTATCATTTACATTTATAGATATTTCCCTGTCAAGAAAAGCAGTAAGCTCAATGCTATTTTATCTACACTCAATTATTCATTTCTTTTTATCAATAGCACAAAATTTTCTAAAGGATTCAACAGAAAAGCAACAGAGCTTTAAGCATAAAGATACCTGCAGCGAATTATTCATAAAAAAACTTGAGAAGTTCATAATACTCGAAAAGAACTTGGAACTAATAGAAAAGATAGGAGAAGGTATGAATGATGGATTTAATGTTCATCTTTAGTGTTTCTTTCCTTATTAGGAGAATTTGGTATTGTAGTACGAGGTTTACTAATTGAGTTTGATAAAAGTATTCCTCCGAAACCAATAGCAGCCAAAACATTAAAAGGTAAATAATAGCAAGAAATACTGTCAGTGTGTAAGGATTAGACAGGAAGTGCAAATCACATTTGAGAGTTGATGAGTTGTAAAAAGTGTCACACCTTGTTAACGCTTCAATGTGTTAACAAGGTGCTATAAAAATAATTAATTATTAATTATATTACCTGGCCTATACCACCATGTAGGGATGTTCACTGATAGAGATATTGAGTCCATTAAAGAAGAGACAATAAAGATGTCCCAATTTGATCACATCAACGTACTATCACTGATAGGAGTCTGCTTGGACTCAGGCCCTGCTCCATTGATCATTATGAACTACATGAGGAATGGAAGCTTACTCTCTTTCCTCAAGAAAGAGAGAGCTAATCTTACAGTAGCTGAGAGTGTAGACATTGATATCATTGGAGACACTAGGAAGCAGTTGCTGAGCATGTGTCTACAGGTCAGTAATGGCATGAAGTATCTCGCTAGTAACAAGTTTGTACACAGAGACCTAGCAGCAAGGAACTGCATGTAAGCAAGGTCATGCTCATAACCTTTATGGTCCCATTGTGTATACTAGGATTGATGATAAAGGAATAATCAAAGTTGCTGATTTTGGATTAACTGAAGATATTTATACAAAGAATTATTTCAAACAGTTCAGCAGTAGCTCAGCTTCTTGTGGATCAACACTATCAGCCAGCGGAGAGTCAGTTAGGCTGCCAGTGAAATGGATGGCATTAGAAAGCCTTCATGATGGGATCTTCTCTGAAAAGACAGACGTGGTAAGAACCCTTAACTAATGTCCCCAACTATTGTATTGATCATTAGTGGTCGTATGGTGTCCTCTGCTGGGAGGTATTCAGTCTTGGAAAGACTCCATATCCTGGGACAGGACCACGTGAAGTCATTGAACTCCTTGATAATGGAGAAAGATTGAAATGTCCAGCTAATGCAGCCTGTAGCCATGATATGTAAGAATATAACAACCACTTAGTCACATCTCTCTCTCTCTCCCTCCCCCCCTCTCTCTCCCTCCCTCCCTCTCCCCCTCTCTCTCTCTAGTTACTCATTGATGAGTAAGTGTTGGAGTGAAGCACCTACAGATAGACCAGCATTCAGTTCATTGTATGAAGAGATTAATGAACTAATTAAACCATTGGCTGGATACTTTGAGCTAACAAATGATGTATAACATTAACAAAAATAATGATGATGATAATAATAATAATAATAATAATAATAACAATAATGCTCTTACAATACAACCTGTCAATGATAGTCATTCATTACAATGTGGTGTCCAATCCTAACTTGTTCATCTCCACAGCAATGTCAAACAGATAATCATAACATTCACACCTAAAAAGAAACAGTAACACAATAAAACGTTCAAGAATCACCTAAGGACATGAACAATTCAAGATGTATCAAAAAATAAAATAAAAATTTTGAGATAATTTTAGATCCAATTTTGGAAAAAAATATAAGGCCTTGGGATATTTTCAGAATTTGACGTTTTCTTAAAATGGCTGTAATTTGAAAAATAGTAGTCAGGATCAGCTCAAACTTTCTACACAGCATAAGTACATCAATATGTATCAGAAAATGTAATAAAAATTGTGGGTGATTTTGGAGCCATTTTTTGGAAAAAAGCATGGACTATAGTACAGGGAAATTTTCAGATTTTGGCCCATTTTTTAAATTGGCCGTAACTTGAAAAATTGATGTCGGAATCAGCTCAAACTTTCTACACAGCATAAGAACATCAATATGTATCAGAAAATGTAATAAAAATTGGGGGTGATTTTTGAGCCATTTTTTGGAAAAAAGCATGGGCTATTATAGTACAGGGAAATTTTCAGATTTTGGCCCATTTTTTAAATTGGCCGTAACTTGAAAAATTGAAGTCGGAATCAGCTCAAACTTTCTACACAGCATAAGGACGTCAATATGTATCAGAAAATGTAATAAAAATTGGGGGTGATTTTTGAGCCATTTTTTGGAAAAAAGCATGGGCTATAGTATAGGGAAATTTTCAGATTTTGGCCCATTTTTTAAATTGGCCGTAACTTGAAAAATTGATGTCGGAATCAGCTCAAACTTTCTACACAGCATAAGCTAGAGCATCAATATCTATCAGGTATTAAGTTATCTTTGACTCACATTGTTTTTGCTTTCTCCCAGCTCTCTCCCCATACATAGACTCCGTGTCTCCTCACTAGCACAGCATTAGTATCAGGGTATGAGGTCAGAGCAGTGACCAGACGATCCTTCAGGAGAAGAGGTGGGCATTAAAAAGAAAGGAGAGAGCATATGAGAGATACTGCTCTACTGGCAGGTGGTCTTACCGTCAATTCATTTTCTTGTCTTGTGTTTTCAATAATTGGGACAATAAGCATATCATCATTACTGGACAAAATCAAATTATTATTATCATTATCATTATTATTATTATTATTATCATTATTATTATTATTATTATCATTATTATTATTTAATATAATCACAACTAACAAGTTGGTACAAAACTCAGTATCAGTCCATAACCAACAGACTATGATTATTATTATTATTATCATTATTATTATTATTATTATTATTATTATTATTATCATTATTATTATTATTATTATTATTATTATTAAAATACTTGTAATTAATTCCTGTATCTCCTTTCTTTATTCCTTTGATCATTTCCATGTTCTTTATTTTGAATTCGTTACTGTCACTCAATAGCGTTGCCATGACAGCAGACTTGGAATGAGTATGAATGACAGCTCCGGTATCTAAGCAATGATCAGTTTCCATGGTAACCACATGAATATACTTCTCATCTTGTAACAAGCCATGAAGAGTGGAGTGCATTGACTGGGTTTAAGCTCCGCCCTATAGTAATAATGATAATGATAATAATAAACTCCTCCCACTTGTTGTTACCTTGATGGTGTTTCCATTATTTCTCCATCTTCATTAACAATGAATAGATCATTCGACTATCAATCAATCAATCAATGATCATTATTTGAATTAATTAATCACTTGAATTCTTTCTTTTTGAACTCCAGAAGGTGCAACATAAATACTACCTCTAAACATTAATAATAATAATTATTATAATAATATAATGAGATCTACAATATTAATGAGTTGATTTATTTATTTTTCTTTTACTTGTATTTGATGCTGATACCTCCACCAGTTCCAGTGACCCAACCTAAACTGTAGAACTGTCTAAAGTGAATAAATTGAAATAATAATAGTAATAGCTACTCTTGGTAATATGAACAACGTCTTCTTTTATTTCCTCACTTGCATAATTCAGGTATCAATACTCTGGGATGATTCTCATCCTGTAAATAACAGCAACACAATAATAATAATAATAATTATTATTATTATTAATAATAATAATAATAACAATAATAATAATGAGCTGATGGTCTTACCATAATTGAGCAAATTGGAGTTACTTTTACTTTGCAATTTGAGTTGTAAAAATATTAGTAGGCGTGTCTATTATTTAATGAATTCTAATTAGGTAATGAATATTAATTAGATTAAACTACAGTATTAAGATGTCATTTTGTAAAAAGAAATATAAAGAAAGGATTGCTGCTGAAAGTAATAATAATTAATTAATTAAGAGAACAGTTTAACTAAAGCTGGGCGATATTTTCTCTGTTTTTCAACTGGAATTTGATCAAAGTAAGTCTTCAACCTGTCGATATCTTTAAAACCTTTTAACACCTAAACAAACAATGGACTGTTAGATCAACTGTTACTAATAATAGACACTGTTACTAATAATAAATCAGTTGTTACTAATAATAGATCAACTGTTACTAATAATAGATCAACTGTTACTATTAATAGTACATACTTCAATCCCCACACCATAGCACTGGTACTTGGTTGCTAGTTCTAATCTCAATTCAAGATCATCTACCTGCTTTATGTATTTCGCTAGAAACTAAATAAATATAATTAATCAATAGCAATTAATTAATTAATTAATTAATTGCTTACATCTTCATCAGCAAGGTAAGTCTTTTTTCCAATTATCCTGATTATTCGTTGAAGAGAAATGGGAGCTTTTATTTTACTACCGAAACCCAGTTTTGCAGAAAAACTCTAAAATGAAAGTATAAAAACTAACTCCTCCCCTAGCCCCACCCCTCCCCTTTACTTTAGGAGTCAGTATAGTATCAATGGCTGGCCAGTCTCTCCTGGCACAGAGTGATCCCAGTAACACAATGAAGTACTGCTTCTCCGATATTTTGAAATCTTTTTTAAATACCTCAGGATTAACAATAGGATCCTATACAACAACAACAACAACAACAACAACAACAATAATAATAATAATAATAATAATAATGATGATGATGATGATGATGATGATGATACTTACTTGATCGTTGATGTGAAATCTACAGCAATACATTAGGCTGGTCACTAGGGTGGAGTCAAGCAAAGGAGTACTCTGAAACCTGTTGACTGATGAAGGAGGGAGCGCCTTACGTACCTCCTAATGACAAACAACACTCAATAATGAGTGCATGTATTAATGTAATGTAGTGTAGTGTATGTATTAATGTATTAATGTAATGTAATGTAGTGCATTATAAAAATGTAATAATAATTCCCCTATAGTGCATAGTTTTTGGTAGAGTAACATACTTCCATCTTTTGCTGTCTCTTCAATAAATTCCAATATTCTTCAATGTAGTACTGTTCATTCTTTAATGAGCTCTTATCTTTTAATAACCTAATAACTATTAATTAACTATCAAGTAGGAGGGGTCTATACCTGACGCATTTTTCCACAGCATTAATACGTGAATTAATGGACTCATTACTGTGAGCCAACTGGTACTGTAGCATCTGAAATGTAATAAATAAATTAATTAATTAATGAATAAATTAATAAATTTAAACTCACGGCATATCTTTCCTCTCCCAAGACACTAAACAATTATTAATAAACTGTCATTAATAAATAGTTAACTAACTAGTAGACATTCTTGAGTTGTTCCCAGGCTGTGTTCTGCCTCAAGAAGCTACAGTAGTGCTGGGCTGCTTCAACATAACTGAGTAGCAGTGCTTCAAACATTGCTGGAGGAAAAGAAAGGCATGCAGGTATGTACAATTCGATATCAGTTCAATAGTCAAAAATGTCATTAAATTCATCTGTCACATGCTATAGCAGCAGTACGTCTCCATACAGAATAAAAGAATCATTTGATACAAGTGACAATATTTAACAGAATCAGAGTATATCCTAACCTTTGCTAAGGGTGCTTCTTAAGAAGAGGACTATCGTGATGATGGTGTTACCGTCATGAGTTGAAATGGCTTCCTTGAGTAGCCCCTTCTTCTCGTCCAGTGTCCTGTACCACTCGAGGACAAACGGCTAATAATGGAGTCACATGATTATCACATGATCTAAGGAGTACCTCATCAACCAGGATACGATCAACTGTCTCTCTTATTGTAGGGACAGTCCATATTGACGAGGGAACTGGTCGTTGCTATAGTAACGGTAATGATATATTTCATTGTAATGTATGGTTACCATGGCTACAATGGGTGTGGCTTGGTCTACTGAGCGTAATTCGGGTGGACTAGTGACGAACCTGTCCCTAGGAGCTGATGGATAATATATCATTAGTTATTAATGGTTATTAATAGTTATTAATGGTTATTAATAGTTATTAATGGTTATTAATGGTTATTAATGGTTATTAATAGTTATTAATGGTTATTAATAGTTATTAATGGCTATTAATGGTTCATTTACTTTCTTTTAAAGATTGTGATGGTAACGGAGGGTCAGTGGCACTCCTGTCATCTTTAATCCTACCTAAGGTCAGGTACACTCCTCTCCATATACTGCACATTAATTATGTATCCATACCTCGTCTACCTTCTGATAATATAGTTCCTCCAATTTGTAGAGCCATCTCTTCTGGTTTGACCTCTTCCACTTCTTTACTACCACCTTTCTTCTTCCTAAAATTATTATTATTATTATTATCATCATTACTTTATTATTATTATTATTACATATATTTATGTGCGTCGTTCCTCCATTCTTTCATGACATGGTCCATTGCTTTCGTATCAAAGACATTAATTCCAGTCACATCTTTCTCATCAGTGTCAAAGAAATTTGATATAGTCAAACTGTAAAACAACATCATGACACATATTAGTAGACGTTCATTTGGTGGTGGGTGTGGTTCTCACTCTTTCCCTGGAGGAGAGAGCCCATCATTCCACTCTGTTTGATCCTCTTCCATTCCAGTAGCCATCTTTAACTCACTCTAGGCTCCTAACTGGATTAGACTAGTTAATGAACACAACAATAATTAGAGAAGGAATTCAGCTGAGTCTGCTAGTAGGCGTGGCTAAAGAGCCACTCCCTCTTTTCGCTCCAGAGAAGCAGCCACTCCTCCTTTTCCTCTTCCCCCCTCTCTCTCTTTTTGTCCTGTGGTCTGCCCTGTTCTTCTTGAGTTTATAATGTCTGTCAGATACAAGAGAAAAGCTAAAACAAGGAGAGCCATTGAAGTAAAGAAAGAGAGAGGGAGAGAGAAAGGGAGGGAGAGGGTGTCAATGTGTATTTCACTGATAGGAGACACTGCTCAATGAAGAGGAGAGAGCAGCTTTAAGAACAATAAGAGAAGAAGATGATGATCAAAGCGAGTCTGTCCCCAGATGCACTGTAGGCAGTGTCATTACAAAACTAACCGGACTATGTTGTAACGGGGCAGCCCTCAGTTTAGTGCTAATGGTTGGGGTTATCATCATTGGGATAACACTCTTTGGACTCTCTCACTCAACACTTGCCAACAGCAACAACAACAACAACAGCAGCAGTAGTAGTAGCAATACTCCAGTTGTAATGAGACACGTATCATCATTCATACTGTATGGAGGATTGTTTGGATTGCTATCTGGTCTGTCCAACCTCTTTGTGATTATTTTGTTATTTTATAAAATACCACTCCTGTACGGATCAGGGTAAGATAAACAATATCAATCACTGTTATTTGTTATTGTTGCTATTTTTAGAGTATTTATTCGTAAACACCGACAGATCAGTGATGTCATTAGAAAGGTGGTAATGCAGATGCTGTTTGACAGTGAGAGGCTGGAGAGATACTTCATAGAAAGGATAAACCAATACTCCATTGATACCAACATTAGCCAGTCAATATCTACTGCAATGAAATCACCACAAGCTCAGACTATCATCAATGATCATTTGAATGAGCTCTACTCAGGCCCTGAGGCGTATTACCTAGTGAAGTTAGGAATAACAAGAGATAAGGTTAGACCAATGATTGCTCCAGCTATCCTATCACTCTGTGCTGAAACTGGTCCTAGTGTATGGGGAGAGTTTTTTAACAGGAACAATGTAAGCTGTTTATTTGTATACTGACTAATGAAAATGAAAATACTTTATTATCATTGATAGAGCTCAGGTAGTGTGCCAGAGATCAGGGAAGCAATGGACAACTACCTGAGGTACAGGGTGAAAGATATAACTGGACAGAATATCTCAACATACATGAAGAAGATAATGTTCAGTCGACTATCAGGACTCATTGTGTTTGGAACCATTGCTGGATTCATTGTTGGGTTGATGGCACAAGCTTTGAGATTTACAATAAACCCTGAATTTATAATTGAAAATATTAACAATACACATCTATAATTATATTGTACATGTTTTTGAGTGTTTTTTTATTATTTTAATCCGACCAATCAAAGTCCAGTTCATTAATTTGAGGTGACACTGTCATTATAATGTCTTCCATTAGATGATCTGGTTGACTATCATACGAACACTTCTCGTATTGACTGGAGCAGCTGGGCTCTGTTTGAACTGATCCTGTTTGAATCACTGATGGTACCACCACTGCTGGAGTATCATCATACCACTGGTCGATATCATAACCTTCTTCTTCTTCTTCATAATAATAATAATAGTGATGATGATGATGAGATCCTGCTAAACTGGTTGCATCAGGAACTATTGATCCAATGATTGTATCACTATCAGGAACAATAGCTAATGTATCAAAATCACACTCAGAATCACTGAATGAAACATCATTGATTCCAGTCTCTGTCTCATTGATCCCAGTTTCTGTCTCATTGGTCCCAGTCTCTGTCTCATCAATTCTAGTCTCTGTCTCATTGATTCCAGTCTTGGTTTCATTGATTCTGGTCTCAGTCCTGTTGAATCCTGTCTCTGTCTCATTGATTCTGGTTTCACTGATTCTGATCCCATTGATTCCAGCTCCAGTTTCAGAAGTTCCATTAGCTGATGTTTCCTCATTCATTGATACTAACAACTCTGGTGTAGTGGGCACCTATTAATAATAAATAATTAATTAATAATGATAATAAAAATTAATAATCTCTTTTACTCTGTCATTCAAGGAGTGTTTTTCTGATAATTCATTCAATTTCTTCAGTAATTCTTGCTCAACATCTTGTTCTGTTTCTAATAATTCAGCTACTTCCTTTTTGAATTTATTATTAACAGATAATCTATGAATATCATTAACTGCCCCTGATAATAATGGCAATGACACACTGAAAGAATCAGTAATCTAAAGCAAAATAAATAAATAAATAAATAAATAAATAAATAAATAAACAAACAGCTTACTTTCCCATAATCAGAATAATTGCAGAATATTTTATTGAGTCCTTCATGGATTGTTTTATGAACTTTATTTGAATATTCATGAAGAAGAGAGGGGAAGTCCCTCCTTAGGCCAGTCAGCAGTGAAATGGATCCACACCACTTCTCTTCAACTAAGAGGGAGTGTGGAGCAGGAGCAGTAGTGGGGAGTAACTCAATGAAAATGAACACCTAATTAGGTAGATATGAGGGCATATATTATATACTTACTATAATTAATCTGTCTTTCTTGTATCTGCTGGTAGACAGTGAGCAAGTTCTGTGAGTTTTTAAGTAATAAGAAAAACAAAAAGGGCTACAACTGCTTCTTGCTGCTCCTAAAGGTATCAACTAAACTGTGGACATGTATCACTTCTACCTTGAAAGGCTGATCTCCTCTCATCAATTGTGAGTCCATACTCAGTCCAATCAGCAACATCATTAATATTAATAACATTAGGACCAGTAGCTGACACCTCTTCAGTTGAATAAAGAGGAACATTACCAGTAACATAAATATTGACCTGAACATAAACAATAATAACAATAAAGACAATACGTCACATTTACATGGAGTTCACTGCAGACCCGATCTGCTGGTACTTTCTTTCCTCTGCTTAACCTCAAAGAAGGAATGACTGATACACAAGAATACAACTTTAAATCGACTTCTATCCTTTCTCCTCCATTGGACTCCACAGCATAGTTTGGTATTGTGAAGGACTGACCACGATATATCTTCAATTTAGACTGAGGACTGAATTTATCATTATTACTAGAGTATCATTGTTTTGGTGATTGACCATTTGCCATCACCATGACCTCATGCAGGCTTACTTGTAATCATTGATGAAGTGCTTCACTGAAGACAGGATCTTAAATGGTGAGCCTCTAATGCTGTGGACTGGCTCTCTCTCATGATTGTAAGAAATATTCAAACCATCTTTTACAGACAAGTGCCACGAGGTCTGAAAATAAAAGTGAAAGTTAGTCCTTTTATAATCAAGTGATGTACCTCATGGTTCAGTATACTTAATATTCTTATTTGTTTTTGTAAATTATCAACAAAATCTTTTAATGAAACACTACCAAGTGTCAGCTATAAATGTATTAATTAATTAATTAATACATTAACTATACTTTGGTTATTTCAATGGTTATTCCAGTACATATTCCTTCCTGAATAACTTCATTTATTACACAAGTGGGTGGAGCTAATTCCAGCGTAACATAATGACTATTATTAATCTTTACTGTCAATCTTAATAAATTAAACTGCTCTTTCAAAAGCTCTTTAAAACTCACTATTAATTAATCATTAATTATCCTTATTATTATTATTAATTACTTATAACACTCCGCCCATTAATTAGATACAGTTTGGAGTCTGTCCCAGAAATATTCACTAGAAATAATAATAACAATAACAATAACAATTATATTCAATTAATACCATTAATATTAATAGTCTTTTCCTGGTCGTTAGGAGTAATTCTAACTGATATAGTTTGAACTTTAGAACCAAACATCACCTCCTTGAGTAGTACAGCATACCCTACCAGCTGAGATGGAGGGAGGGAGAGGGAAGAGAGAGAAGATAAGATTAAAAGCCTAAGGGGAGCTTACTTCAGCCATTCCACAGCACGTGGGTACTGGTGGGTGTGTCATGTATTCTCGTTTCTATAGAAACAAGTTTCACGTGATGCTGTTAGGTTGCTATGGCAATAAATGAGCTCACGTGATGGTACTGTGACGTAGCGAGTCCTTTTATTTTTTTGTGAGTGTGTGTCCTGAGAAGAAGTAGGCTTCTCCACAGAGTCTCTTCTCTCCTTCTCCTCCTCTCCCTCTCCTCCCCCGCCAGAGGTTAAGCTTAAGAGAGGGTCTATGCTCTGCTAGGGCCCTATTCTTTGAAATGGTAAGGCCACAAGGTTAAAAATGCTAATCCTGTTTCTTCTGATAGACTTCTAGTGATGATCCTCCTTTCCTGAACGTTGGTACTGAGGTCAGTGCTAAGTATAGAGGAGCTTTTTGTGAGGCTACCATCAAAATAGCAAAGAAACTTGTAAAGTGTAAAGTATGTGACATACAATGAGCCATTATATCAGTCAGTCATTAATCTTTATTCTCTTTCTGAAGATCTCTTATACTAAAGGAGGGACTGAAGTGGTATCTAATGACGTCATTAAAGGTCCTTTGAAGGTACTAACACCAAACACTCTTTATCTTATAACCCTTCCCCTCCCCCCCTCTCTCTCTCTCTATAGGTCAATGCCACTGTTGAGGTAAGAGGGTCTGATGGTGTTTATGTGTCTGGAGTTATAACAAGATTAACTGACGCCAGTACTTATACTGTTGGTACGTACCTCCTCCCCCTCCTATAATAGCCTCTATATAATGTTGTCTGTTAGTATTTGATGATAACGATGAACGGACCTTGAAGAGATCCTCTCTGTGTCTCAAAGGAGCAAGACATTACTCGGCCAGTGAGTCCCTGGATCAGATGCCGCTCACTGACCCGGAGAACTTTGGTACTCCAGTACATTATCAGGTATCAACTGAGAACCTTTATACATGGCACATGTATACATAATGCATTATTATAATTTATATGTACATGTACTATTATTATTATTATTATTATTATTATTATTATTATTTTGTGAGTAGCAATAGAAGCCAGTGAACCCCTTACTACTCTTAGTGTGTGTGTATTTATTTTAGTCAAAGAGAGGACAGAGAAAGAGACAGCCTCAGTCCTCGAGTGCTTCTCCTGAATCAGGTAATGATACTACAGTCCTCTCTCCGCCCAAGAAACAAGCCACACCTCAAGCCACACCCACTAATAAGAAGCAGTCAGAGGAATTCCCCGTTGGAAGAGTAAGCTCATCCTTCTCTCTCTCTCTTATTTCATATTGTTTCTTCTCTTTCTAGTGTGTATTTTTGGAAAATGACAGACGGAGGTCTTGCTGGTTACCAGCTGTGGTGAGTTAATTAGTGGGTGTGACTGACCACTCCCCCTCTCCCGTAGGTTGTCCCTTCTCATTTTGTTATGGATGTATCTGAAGTGTCTGAGGATACAGTCTGCATTAGATCCTTTAAAGATGGACGATTGTTAGTAACAGCAATGAAGTGATTACTCTCTCTTCTCTCTTGTCTATAGTTATGCTGCTAAAGTTGATGAGTTGCATTCCTTCTCACCTGACAAGGAGCCATTGTCTTCAATGCTTGAAGGAGAGATACAGGCAATGTTCATGTGTAAACCAGGTATCCATTAACACACCTTTGTACAGTATTGTACCATTGTACCATTAGTACAGTATTGTACTATTAGTACAGTATTGTACCTTTTATCCATTAGTATCTATTATTACTATTGATAAGTTTCTGTACTATAGTACAGAGTGGCCTAATTTTAAGCAACTTTAAAAATTCGTTAAAAAATTTAGTTTTGCCTGGAATCCACTAAAACATCTATTATTTATTTATTATTATTATTATTATTATTATTATTATTATTACTATTACTATTTAGCGATAGAAAGAGCAATGGCATATCTTGATACTGGAGAGCTGCCCTGGGACATGCAACTATTAGATACCAAAGAGGTACATCATTATTAATTGACCACACCCACTAATTACCACACCTTACAGTCACTGAACAGTAAAGATGAACCAGAACCAACAGAGAACCAAACCGCAGAGAAGGAGAACTTTTATAAAAGACTGAGACAGTTCCAAGAAGAGAGAAGTATGTATCAATACATCAATGATAATAATAATTATTAAAACCTTCTTTCTCTTCCTATGGTAGATATTGCAGTACCTCAGAAACCATTGCTCTGCCACAAGGAGCTGGACCTGTTCAAGTTGCACTGTCTGGTGAAGGAGAATGGAGGGATGGAGAGAGTCACTCAAGAGCTGAAGTGGAGGTCACTCTACCTTCAACTGGGGTTGCCCCCAGCAACAAATTCATCCCATATTATCAAACAAGCTTATAAGAAGTTAGTCAGTTTATTTTTATAAATATCTTATCTCCTTCTCCCTCTCTCAGACATTTAAATGCATTTGATATTTATGAGAGAACAAGATTAGAGAGTAAGTCACCACGTGGTCCCAGGAAAAGACCTGCTGTAGTTTCATCAGATAATGAAGATGAATCTTCTAAAGTGATGAAACTGGAGAGTGTTGACTCCCTCACTCCCATTGTCCTCCCTCCCCCTACCTCCAGCCCCTCCTCCCTCCCTCTCTCCTCCTCTACTGAGTCCATGGGAGAGAGTTCAACTGCTGATAGATTAGTTGAAGGGGGCGGGGCCAGGGGTGGGGCTCAAGTTGATCAAATAAAAGTGAACGACAGGATCAAGGTGATGTATGGGAAAGGAAGAACACTTCAGAACTATGAAGCAAAAGTAAATGATGATGATGATGATGATGGTGATGATGTTAAATGTATATTCTCTGTTCCATCCATAAGGTACTGGAGGTTGATGGTCTATCGTATTATGTTCATTACAATGGTTGGAACACAAGATATGATGAATGGATTGATAACACTCGTGTTGTGGAGAAGGTGACCACACCCAGTAAAGGAGTATCACGCCCACCTTATGCAAGGGTAGGTACTTTTATTAATGGATTATTATTATTATTATTATTATTATTATTATTATTATTATTATTATTATTATTAATAGAAGAAACAAGCCAAGTTACGTCCAAAACCTTCAAAGGACAATAGTGTCCATCCAGCACCTGACTGTAAACCACAGGACACTCCACCCACTGTAACCATGCCAACTGTGACCACACCCACTAACACATACGAGCGACCGACTAAAGGCAAGAGGAGGCGTGTCTCAAGCAATACTGACAACAGCTCCAGTGGTCAGTCCATTATAGCCTGTACCTTGAAACTGTCCTCAGTCAAAAATTTCATCAAAATCTAAATGTTTGATAAATTTTTTGTCAATAAAAATGATAAAAAATTTATCATTTCCGTTGTAAAAATGCTTAATGGATTTGATTCAATTTCTGACTGATGACAATCTTGAGCTACATGCACTGTATGGTCTATCCTTTGATTATTATTAATGTACTTTACAGACACTCCTTCACCTGGTGAGTCCACTCCAGTACCAGCCGACAAACAGTCCCCCACTGATGGCCTCACCCTCCCTCCTCCTCCTGACTCCGCCCACTCTCGTCAGATAGACTCATCACCTGATACAGGCAGGAGTGAGGATATTCCAATTAAAGCCCATGTTGATGATAGTATAGCAGTGGAACCTTCGCTAAAGGAGGAGGAGTCTGAGCCACCACTGGAGGAGAGAGAAGTGGGCGGAGACTGTGATTCCTCATCTGATGATGAGTCAGTCCCTGTTCCCTCTCCTCCTGCCCCGCCTACTGGTGCCCCACCCACTGATAGACAGCCTCCTTCACCTCCTCCTACCCTCGTACCTTCTGACCACCAGACACCATCGCCCGTAGACCCAGTGGACCCTGGACTAACAGTACAGACACCGACCGAAGAAGAAGTATATGGTAACAGTAACAGTGGGATGGAGGCGGAGTCTGAAGTTATGGACACGCCCCCTTCACCAGTGGCTCCTCATTTATTGGACACACTAGTGGGGAGACAGGAAGTAGGTGTGGCAGGGGGTGGAGCCTCTTCTGATGAGAAAATGATACAACGTGAGGACTTGGACTTCTCCATTGATATGAGTAAATAAATAAAAATAAAAATAATTATAATATTATTATTAGGTATTTATAATGGTTTAAATTCAAGTGAGCGGATCAGTTTGATACAAGAGAGGATGAAAGCCATTCAGAATAAATACATGGAACTGAAATCAGAAGTGACGTACCTTGACAGGAAGAGGAGGAGGGCCAGAAAGAGAGAGAGAGAAGGTAAGAGAATCAGTCTATATGTGGCATAAGTACATGTACATGTATCAGAAAATGTAACATGGTGATCCTTCTCTCTCTCTCTCTCTCTCTCTCTCTCTCTCTCTCTCTCTCTCTCTCTCTCAGTTGCTAGACTAATGGCGTCCAGGGGCAGTGGTCTTTCAGCAGAAGAGTCTATTAATAATTTAATATCAGCTTCTTCCATGCAACAAGGAATGGATATTGAAGCTAGTTCATAAAAATATACAGTAATTTATTATTATTATTATTATTATTATTATTATTATTATTATTATTATTATCATTGTATTGGTGTTATTAGAAAGAGTATTTTGTTTTTTCCAAAGAAAGATTATTATTATTATTATTATTATGAACTTGTATTTCAAATAAATAATAAATTATTTCTTTATTGTTGTTTTTCTTATTATTTTCATTCTCATTTTTTCTGAAACAACAATTAAATTTTTAAAGTTGTTATACGGAAGTTTTTTTGCTGTCAGTATCCAAAGTTCAGTTGCTATGGTTGCTTTAGTATCCGGACAATATCCTGAGGTATACTTACATAAAAATGGCGTCTATATCTTCCTTAGTGTCGTATGGAGGCAGTGACAGTGAGTCAGAGGAAGAAGAAAGAAGAGGAGCCGGGGCAGCTAAAGGAACTGCTGTCAGTTCCAAGGGGACTGGTCCCGCTGGTTTAATTAAACATCAAAAAGATAAAAGTGGACGAGTGAAAGTGTATCTACCAGAATTGAGCCAAAGTACCACCACCACCAGGACTGACAAGGTATGAAGGCCACCCTGTCCTGTGTGTATACCTGACGAGTCATTATTGTGGGACTGGTACTTATCTCACATTATTAATCTTAGGGAAATGATAAACTTTCATCAAGTCCAATGGCTAAACTATCAGGAGGAAAGGTAAAGTAGCGTTACATGTAATTAATAAATATTAATTAATTAAATTAGGGTTTGGCGTCATTGCTGCCTCCACCAAAAAAGAGGAAAACGACCAGCAGTGGGTTCAACGCTCCTCCCTCCTCCTCCTCCTCTCTCTCTACCCCTCCTCCTACTGGTAGTAAAGGAGGGACTGGTACTAGTGGAGGCTTGTTCGTACCTTATTCACTAAAGAAACCAAATAAAAGAGGATCAGGAGGAGGAGCAGCACAAGAAGAGGATGATGAAACTGATAATAATGACTTCACTTCATTTTTATTTTTAAAAGAAGAGCAACAGACTGAACCCCAGGAGCAGCTGGAAGATGCACCACCCACACAATCTGTTGATCATCTGTTACCTACTGGATATCAACCAGTCAATATTGATACCCCCCTCACTGGGTCCAGTAATATTGATGTCCCTTTATATGGTTCTGGTAATGTTGGTACCTTCTCTCCTCCCTCCCTCACTGGGTCCAGTAATATTCCACAGGACACTAGTTCCGATGATAACCTTGCAATTAATGATGACATTGTTAGTTAATAAGTTATTAATAGTTATTATTATTATTATTATTATTATTATTATTATTATTAATAGGTTCGTAGATTAGCTGGAAAGAGGCGTGGTCAAAGATTAGATGATGAATCCTTATCAATCCTCAACGTTAAGACTCTGACGGAAACTGACCTAAAGAACTCAGTCAATGCATTTCAGAAGAACCTTACAGAGCAATCAGCTAACAGTGGGACTGTCGTGAGTTTATTAATTAATTATTTGTTTGTTTATTTATTTATTTATTAGCCTGAGAATCTTGTCTACTCTTCAGAGGCTAAGAGAAAGCATCAGATAACATGGCTCGCCCATCAGGTACAGTATTAGTACACACACACACACACACTAACAGAATTATATTAAACTTTCTGACACATTGATTGATTGATCTTCTTATGCTGTGTTCATTAGGCAAAGTCAAGAGAAGTTGAACTGAAGAACTTTTGGTCTGATTCTGCAGCAGTACGGAAACAAGCAAAAATGAAATATGGTTTTTAAATCATTATTAATTAACAAAATCATTGCTGTACAACAAAAATGACATGTCCTCCAGTTTTTAATTAACTTTAATTAATTGATTAAATTAATTAACTTCAATGACGTCCTTTCTTTGATCTTGATGTCTCAGCGTCTCTAATTAATTGATTAATGATAATTAGTGGGTGTGGCTAATATCTCCCGTACCTGTTTGAAGGACGTTTGGCCTGTTTAGCCTCCGAGAGGAACTGGTTCAGTCCAAATGGATCCTCCTCCACTGCCTTCTCAAACTGTACTGGACCATCTCTGGTTTGAGACCGATCTGTACCTGAAAAATCTTTATCTGGAACAAACCTAAGAAAAAAAATAATAATAATAGGCCACTCCCCCTGTACCTGCTGGTTTTTATCAGTTTCTCAACATCGTCTCCATAAATATCTTTATCGTTGACTTTAGTTGGTTTATAAATAGTTGAGGCTGCCCCACCCCCAGCTCTCCACGGCTTATCATAGACATTATACACATCATCAAGTAGCCCTAGGCCTGAGTCCAGACCCTACAGGGGGGAAAGGATTGGAAGGTTATATTGTAAGGTTATCGTTAGGTTTTTGTAAAGTACCTGAGAAGTGTTGAAGAGTCTTTGGTCAAACATTGATTCGTTAGAGGGCGGGGCCCCGGGCATACCCAGGGCTATCTTCTCACTGATGTCACGATCTTTGTCTCTGTCCAACTTTGACCTGTTAAGACATTTCACATAAAGTGAAAGGAAAGGAATATTAAAATGATTCTCAACCTTTTATTAGGATTGGCCTTAGCTATTCTTCTTGCCCTCTCTCTCTCTTTGTGTCTATCGTATCTCAACTGCTCCCTTTCCTTCTCTGATTCATCTTCTCCTCCTCCTCCTCCTCCTTCAGTTCTTATTCCTGCTCTTTCATCCCTTGCCTTCTGTGCCAGCTCACGGAGTCTCTCCTCTTTGCTTTCTCTTTGTTTCTGAGCTATCTTACGCTCCAAGTTGTTACGAGCTTCAACAGCATTACGGGCCTACGAATTATTTATTATAAATTATTATTATTATTATTATTATTATTATTATTATTATTATTATTACTTCTCTATCAGCCATATACAAAGATTGTGCTAGTTTTGCAAAATTATCGTTGATGGTATGATCCTGTAGGCCCCGCCCATCAGCTACTAATCTCTTATCCAGGGCTATGGTGAATCCTCTGTTGTTCTTCCAGTTGGAGATACAGGGAGGAATCTTCCAGTCCTGCTGCTCTTTAACAGTCACCTAATCAAGTAATTAATTAATATTAATGAGCTAATGAATATTAACTACTTTTCTAGGAGGTGAGTGTAGAACTGGTGCTGGGGGCGAGGGGGGCCCACGTGGTATTTTTGTGTTTGTTTTAAATTTGGGTGGTTCCATGGGGTCTTTTTGTGCCTCCACCATCCTAATAATCCTTTGTTTAGCCCCAGAGTTAAAGGCAGGCCCTTGCTGGCTTGGAGTATAGCGGATATATTGAGCTGGTGCTAGTTTCTCTGCAGCCCTCACTGGTTGAGCTGCTGCCACTTTCTTTTGTACCAGGAGCTCAAGGGCCTGTCTTGTCTTCTCTGTAACCTTCTCTACCTCTTCATCAGAGGGTTTGGACAACTGAGGATCATCTTTAGTTAGTGTCTTCGGAAGCATGTCTTGTAATGAAGTATGGACAATCTGATAATAAATAATAATAACAATAATAAATATCATTATTATTCATACCCTGTCTTTCCCATGTCCCAGTTTAGCAATACTGTCATACTTGACCTTTCCCTCAGCGTCTACCTGAAGAGGTACTATTGCACTACTAGCTCCGCCCTAAACCATTACATAATCACACCGTTACTATAGCAACACATACCCCTCCAGTGCTGGTCTTCTTCCCCATATTGAGAGGATACTGAGCCATGTGAATCTCAGGGAATGCCCCACCCCCTCCGTAATCCTAATTAATAACAACAACAACAACAACAATAATAATAAAATAATAATAATAATGTATTTAGTTACTTCTAGTGATCGAGGTGTCCATCCTTTTCTCTTCCCGTATGGAGGAGGCTCCCTATTGATAAGACCTTTACTGGTTAACTAAAAATAACAAGAAGAAATTAATATTAAATAAATCATAATCATTAGTAACTGTTTGATAGGCGGTTTCTGTTCTCTCGACTGAAGAAGGATCATAAGACAGCTGTGTCGGCTTTGGTAATAATCTAACAATAAATTAATAAACAAATAAATAAAATAAATAGAAAAATACTTTGTCAAAGAGGCAGACATTTCAATACATGTAAATGGGTGTGGTTTAGATTCTATCACGTGACAAAACCAAGCATCACGTGATCCCAGCCCCACCCTTTTCCAGCAATGTCCTCTGTAGAGAAAGACTTTGAGAACAGACCAGAATATAAACTAGTCACTTCATTTAGTGAAGATGTGAAAGGACTGGAGAATGATAAAGAAATAATACAGTCTATACACAAGTAAAATAACATTAGATCAGTATTATACATGTACATTGTACTCAATACAGGTTATGGGACTCTATCATTGTCCTCTTGTCCAATCATTCATCAGATCCCATTGTACTAGACCTGGTCTGCAAGTCCTTCAATAGTTCATCAGTTTATTCTGTTCTTCCTAACCTTCATGAGTATCCCAACCATCAGTCGCTTCTTGATCTCTTTCTCTCTTCTTTCCTCTCATTTGACTGGTCGTCTACCTCCTCCCCCTCTCTCTCCTCTCTTGTCGCTACTGTCCTTTCAACCATTGGTTGTTTAGTTGAACTATTTGATGACTCAATGGCTACCTCTCACTCTTATTCAGTAAGGGACTTCATCACTTTCTCTCTCCTCCCCTCCTCCTATAGTCCTGGTATTAGCACTGATTGTGTCCTCTCTGCCGGGGGCTCATTCCCCCAGAGCCTCCCCCGGAGGTTTTTAGAACTGTTACTGGATAAACAGGTTCACTTCAAACTCCTTGATCTGGTCAGTAACTACATGTTAATGTCAGAGGAGACGTTGTATGAGATACTCAGATCAATAATATTATTTTTTGAGCTCAACCCTCAGACGGTCATGTCTGGCTATAAGGAGGCCGGCAGTGATAACGATTCTCATTTGATGTTGCTCTTTGCTGCTAGTCATTTTGCTGCTTCTACACGCATTCAGAGCCAGTTATGGCTCCTACTGAATCACATACTCACAAAGACAGTCTCTGACTCACAAGAGGCCATGATACTGCGTGACCTTAACATCCAGACCATCTTACCCACCCTAGCAACCGTTGCTAAGGAGATGTGCCAATCCCCTAACTCGATGCTTTCCTTGTGTATATTCATTAGGTCTTACATGAGTAAGTGTCCAATGTCATTTATTCAAGGTGTGTGTTTCTCTGATGATCAGGAGTTGTTGAGGTACTTGATGAAAGGACTCTCCAAGGAGGTGGAGTCCACTTGTGATTCTCCTACTCATAGAGACATCAAGTGTCTTTGTTCTACTCTTCATCTCTTTCACTCACTCTGTGCTAAGGATACTTACTGTGCTCGGATTATTCAGTCTTATAATTTTATAAATGAAATGGCTAAAGCTGTTCAGTCTTGTCCTTTATGCTGTGGTCACACCTACTGTATGATAATCGGTTCAGTGGCTCTTCAAAACTCAATACAACCAGAGGATCTCCAGTGGTCTCAGTCACTGGAGCCTCTTAAAGCAATCCTCACTTCTCCACTTCCTCTTGACGAGAGAGCTGATGTTTACAATTCACTCCATGTTGTCTTGAAGAGCAGTAACCTCTCTAGTTTTATTGATAGAGATTTCATTGACGGGTTTTTCACTGCCTTCAGTCGTGATATCAAGGAACTCCCTCACGATGAGATTCGGTATTTGATATACGTCACTCGTCTTGTCATAGAACCAGTCAAGTCAAAGGACTTCCTTCAGTCGTTGTGTGACAGTAACGTTCATGAGGCAGCAATAGAAGGTTGTTTGAATAGAGATATTAAAAGAAGCACACACGAGGCTCTTTTAATATCAATGCAATTTATTAACTATTTAATGAGGCTATACCAGGAGTATCTTGGTAATATTGACTCCTTTGTTAACTGTAATGTACTGAAGCATGTGATAGATGTCATATTGATGAGGGAAGGAGCTAAGCACTTAAGGAATTACAGTGATCAGTACGGATCCATTGTCCTTAGCCTGACATCCACCAAGAGATCTTCTGCTATTATATATGACCAAGGCTCATTGGAGTTGCTGTATCCTCTGGTTAGTGATGATTTTGAATCAGGTATTGTTAGAAACACGATCCATGCAGTGGGCAATATAGCACTAGCTGGTCATCACGTCAAGCAAGACATCCTCTCCATCTCTTTTCATTCCAAGCTCATCCAGCTCCTAGAGAAGAGAATGGGGACTGGTGATGCTTACTTGCTCTCGGCTTGCTGTCGTGTCCTCCATATTCTGTGTTCTGGTGATTGGGCCAAGCGGCAATATGCTCTTCAAGGACTAGTCACTACTTTAGTATCATTATGTAAGACCAGGAATGATTCTCCTGAGATTGTCTGGCGACCATTAGGTTTACTTAGCTCCATCAGTTTCATGTCACTCTGCAATAGACAGTATCTTGTCTCTGATGGTGTTATGAATGATATCATTGATCTCTTTAAAAGAGCAGTTGACAGCAAGGTCATCAGTTACTTTACTCTCATAGTGTTGGCGTTTAGTGATTTGGATCGCCAGTTCACTTACCTTTCCTCTCGTGGGGTAGTCCGTATGATCCAGACCCACATGAACAATGAAGCTGGTAACGTTGATTTTAAACGCTGGGGGGCTGCCGTCCTGGAGAGAGGGTATCTTTTTACTGTTACTGAGAGGAGGAGGGAGGAGGAGGAGGAGGAGCTAATTTCATTGTTACAGTCCAGCATCACATGGCCCCCTCCTTACAGCAAGCTTATTTGTTGTCATGACGATGTATCAATACTGCTTGATGATGACTCACAGTTGACCCCATTCTTCCCTGAAGGTTCTCAAACCGTTAACAAAGGTGACGTGGCTTCACTCGGTATTCAGGACCCTGTGTTTCGTGTGTCCCGTTACTATGGCTCCACTCATGGTCTCTGCAGTAACTGCGATAAGGAAGGACCCTCGGCAGAGCTGGTCTTCAGACCTCATAACCTGACACCCACACAGTACCAGTCTCTGGTAAGTCGGGGCTGGTACAGGAGGGGAGGTGTTAAGATGTTCCGCTATCGGTACAATCATAATATCGACTGCTCCGACTGGGAGACCAGAGTATTACTAGTTGATTTCAACTCTCGTCAGCGGAAGAGCTACCGGAAAGTGTTGAAGAGAATGCCAGAAGAAAGACTAACGATAGAGACAGTCCCTACACAGTTTATCCAAGAGGCATACGAGTTATATAATTCTTATCATATAGTTAAACACGACAAACCAAAGAAGTCTCGTTACTCGTACTGTGAACACGTTGTCAATAGTCCTATGAGGAACCAATACAGTGAAGGAGGAGGAACAATAGAGTATGGAACATATCACCAGCTCTATCGGCTGGACGGTAAGCTGGTCGCTGTTGGAGTGATTGATGTTATTCCAAATGGAGTGGTCAGCATTTACATGTGGTATGAAATGTCTAAGGAGATCTCCAAGTATTCATTTGGTGTTTATTCTGCTCTGAAGGAGATAGAGTACGCACAGAAGCTCAGAGAGAGAGATCCTAATATTCGTTATTATTACATGCAAGGTTGGAATGGGAACAACCACAAGTTAGCTTACAAGTCAAATTACGAACCAGAGGAATTCTATAGCCCTTGCACTGTCAGTGATTGGGTATCTGGTCTGGACGGAGTCTCAGAGTGTCAGAAGAGTTTCAAAGAAGAGAAGAGAAGAGAAGGAGATAAAGATGGTGGAAGTAACTCTAATGATGTTGTAGCTGGTACTGCTCTACCACTGGATAGGGTCTGGTACAAGAGAGTGAACAATGGTAATGGGCCATTGGTCGATGAGCTGTTACTCTGTATCAACGACAGTGCCTGTATCAAGTTGAAGGATTTACTGGTGAGGTACCATCCTTGTAAAGAGCAGGTGGAGACAATGAGAAGCAAATTTGAAGAATTGATGTTAGCACTAGGTCCTGAGCTGTGCTCTAATCTCATTATTGATATCAAGTTATGTCCCCCTCCTTCTCCCCCTCTCTCTGCCCCAATACAAGCAACTGACTAGCGGACACTGTATCAGTGTGTGTGTGTGTGTGTGTGTGTGTGTGTGTGTGTTCTTCTCACTTAGTTTGTGTAGCAGTGACAGTTTGGCTAATTAGAAGTTGTATTTATATTTTATTAGTTTATTTTATTATAATAATAATAATAATTGCTGATTCAATTTGCAATAATGAAAATATTGTATTTTGAAATTATTATTAATTAATAAGTTGGGTTTTCTGGGTCCACTCCTTTATGCTGTGACTTGACAAACTCAAAGAAATCAACGTAGCCATCATCATCAAGGTCATCTTCTTTCAGTGTTGAAGAAATCAAATCAAACAGTTCTTCATCAGACACGTCAACATGTCTGTCCCTAGAGCGACCATGTTCATCTTCATCATGATAATGAGTCATGGCAGCTCCTAACGGAGGAGATATAGCAGGATATTACCAGGTGGAATAATAATGAGGGAGACAAAATACACATAATAATGGAATATCGTTGGTTTATATGGTAACTGCGTGCAAAATGGCTGATTCTTTACAAACAGGTGACAATGGTTCCTTCATAGAACCACCAACTGGCAAATATAGCATGCACCTATTGCTATTACTGAGTTCAGTTAGGAGGTGTGGCTCAATCAAACCACACCCACAAACATACCTAATTCCAGTCCATCCAGTTTATTGTTCTTGTCTTTGTCGTGTATTTTAAAATAATGAAGATTCATTGACTCTTCATCTTCCAAACCAAACTGATCCTCAGGTAGTACACCTGTTAGTTCATCACGAATATGACTAACGAGAACAATTAGTATAATATATTCATTTTAATATCATCACTTGTCATAATAATATCAATAATTACTTACTCCTTATTGAATCCTTTGTGGAGGTCACCATTAGTTGTTAGCACTAACAATAAAAATACAAAAGAAATCTCTTTCTTCATTTTTCTTTTGTTGGGAGTGGGTCAGTGGGTGTGGTTAGTAGTTTATTGAATGTTATTAATAAATTCTTACGCATGCACATTGGAATCAACCGCCTAAGTCTGGTAAATAATAAATTAATTAATCAAAAAGGATAAAAATTCCACACAAACAGAATAACAGATCATGATATTAGTTTAGAGTCATCAATGTTGGAGTAGAGTTTCCTGTTTTTATTGCAACAGAGAGTCCACAGAGCCAGTGACACTAGTAGTATACTAACAATGACAGTAATGAGTATAAATATACCAAGGGATACTGATAGTCCAACTGATGAAGAAGAGGTGGTGCAACCTAATGATTATATATACATTATTATAATGATAATTAACAATTACTGTTTCCTGTTGGGTTGCCTGATTGTCCAACTGGTAATTGACACAAGAACTGAGAACCAGAAGAACTTACAACAGCATCTTCAATATTGAACCCTATGAATGAATGATAATAATAATAATAATATTATTATAATGATGATGATGATGGACTTACTACAGACCAGATGCACTAGCTGGCAACTGTTAATAGCCCGGTATACATTAGTATCATTATAACAATGACTGAGACACTGCAATGACTCAAGACTGCAAACTGCCTCTCCAATATACAGCCCGGGCCCATTATAAGTCCTATAAAATCAGTAGCACTACCATTAGTATATTATTAGTATACTTATCAATGTAAATTGCAGATACTCCAGTGTACCCCAACTGCCTACAAGCACTGGATGCTCCAAAGTAGCTGACATTAGCACAGACTGGATACCAGGAGCCATTGATGTACATCTGAAGGTATCCTGAGGCTATGGAGCGATTGAATCTCTCAGTTTTATTTGTTAATATTACTTGACCATTATAAGGAGGAGAGGAATCAGTCCGATCAGAAACTACAGATATTAAAAATAAGAAATAAATTAGTAAAATAAATACATATTGATATACTTATGCTGTCTTGTAAGTTTGAGCCAACTTTGAGCTCAAATTTTTGAGTCATGATCATTTTAAAAAAACGGGCCAATTTTTGAAAATTTCCCTGTACTTATAGCCCATGCTTTTTTTCCTTAAAATGGCTCAAAAATCACCCCCAATTTTTATTACATTTTTTGATACATATTGATGTTCTTATGCTGTGTAGAAAGTTTGAGGTGATTCCGACTTTAATTTTTTAAGTTACAGCCATTTTAACAAATGGACCAAAATCTGAAATTTTACCTGTACTATAGCCCATGCTTTTTTCCAAAAAATGGCTCAAAAATCACCCCCAATTTTTATTACATTTTCTGATACATATTGATGTTTTTATGCTGTGTAGAAAGTTTGAGCTGATTCCAACTTCAATTTTTCAAGTTACGGCCATTTTAAGAAATGGGCCAAAATCTGAAAATTTCCCTGTACTATAGCCCATGGTTTTTTCTAAAAAATGGCTCAAAAATCACCCACAATTTTTATTACATTTTCTAATACATATTGATGTCCTTATGCTATGTCAAAAGTTTTAGTTGATTTTGAATTCTAATTTTTGAGTTACAGCCATTAAAATAAACCAATTCCCTGTACTACCATAGACAGTGTGTGTATTACTCACTGCATTGAACTGCTACTGGTGTGCAGTGAGTGTCATTAGTAAAGGTTGAAAAATATGAGCACCTAAAGAGATTATTGTCACCATATTTTGTGTAGCTAGATACAAAAGGACAAGCAACTCCAGTCATCATATAAGCAGATGTGTTAGGATTGAGTTGATAACTAGAAACAAGAATTAAAGACAATTGGACTCACTGTACATACACGTAGATATACTTATATTGGTGATAAGGTCCATAGTTTAGAGCATCATTGTATCCCAATTGTCTACAGGCAGCAGCTGCAGCTCCTTTATTGAAGCCATTGGAACAGACATTGATCCATTGCTCATCAAAGAGGTCCATATCATGCCACTTGTTCACATATACTTGGAGTATCCCTCCATTGTTGGACAGTTCACTGCTTCCATTGGAATACAACTGAATATCACCACTGCTATATACAACCAGGGGCTCAACTATTGACAGTAATAATATATTACATTCATAAATAATTATTTTATACCTTCCAGCAAGTATAAGGACAAGAGCAGAAGCTGAAGATACATGTTTAATTGCTGATGCAGCAGTTTATATGTGAGCCACACCCAATTTTAGCACCTATATATGAATGATGACAGGTGTTAATCAGCTGATGTACATATCCACTCTACAATGTAAACTGACCAGCTGCTGTTGTGACCTGTTGCTGCGTGTGAGGTCAAGGAGAAGATGAAGGGATTGGAGAAAGGAGCTAGTGCCTTGAACTGTTTGAAGAAGTTATCCTTCATGAGATATTTGCTGATCGGCATCAAACTGTTTGCTTTAGCAATATCATTGATTCTAATCATTGCATCTCTTGGAGTTTTTGCTGAAAAGAATAAAGAATTTTATGATAAATTCAAATCTCTTGGTGACTACTGCATCCTGTTTGCTTCAATACAGAATGAGAGGATACTTAGTAATAACAGTAATTGTAACTTTGTGATTGGAGGCCAGACCATTTCTGCTGCACTCATCATTGGGTCCATTGTAATAGTGATACTTGGAGCTATTGTCAATGCGAAGTAATGAATGGTAGCTGTATTTCATCATTATTAGTTTCTGTTGTTTTAGGAAAATAGTTTTTAATATATTTTTATTAATAATTTCAAGTCTTGCACTGATAATGAGTCTATCAGCTGCTATTGTGATTTCTGCCGGTTTGAAGAAAACTTGCAATTCCATTGAAGAAGGATCTTTGGGAACAATAAAGTAAAGATGATGATACTAAATTGTCATGTTTCTTTAATAGATGCTCTAAAGCTGAAGTACACATTCCAATAATTAATTTCAATGTAACATTTTATGACAGCATTCAAGCATCAATGGTCAGTTAGTGTTATTATTATTATTAATATTAATAATTTTTATTCTTAGATACTTGGTTGGACTGGTGTTGTTTTTCTCTTGGTTTATATCACTGCAGAGATAATCAGTTTGATTTCCAACTGTTGCTTTCAGAAATCAAAATACAACATACTAGGATAATATTATGTACATTTACTTGTGTGTGTGTGCGCGTGTGTGAATTCTTTAATTTTTTTAGTCTTTTTACAATTTTTATGAAGTTAGAAAACACCGTAGATCAGGAAATTAGTGTGGTAGAAAATTTTTGAGTTTTAAAATTGTGCTGTGATTTAATTTTTGCTAAATTAGACTGTGTCATGTATTATTGAATGTGGCACGTAATTATAAGGGAGATCTAATTTTTGTGAAATTCTAATGCAATATTTATTGCATTAAATAAATTATTAATTAAATTATTCAATAAATTATTCATTGAATAAGGTCCATTAAAATCACATTTAAAATTTCCAGATATACTATGTCCCAACTGAGAATGGACCGGAAGTGGAAGCAGCTGCATTGGAATTTGAAAAATGTAGCTACATCATTAATGACGCATTATAATGATATTCATAGAGACATGGCCGCTATTTTGGCTATCTTGTTTCACTCTTAAACCAGTCTCACCCTTCCTGATAAGCAGTACAATAGCTCCTGGAGTCAATTAGTCTTCATAAAGGCCATAATTATCAGAAGATCTTGCTCTGTTAGCTTTTTAAAAGAAGAATGATCAGTTCGGGCGCTCGACCACATGTGCTTATGTAAACTATGACATCATTAAACGTCATTGCGGTTAGCTTTGGTATGCCATTGGGTTTATAGGGAGAACCCGGTTATCAGGGTTCGCAAGGGCTGAGAGACCCAAAACCTGAGATCCTGAAGCGGCATTAGGCGACTAAGAACCTGTGAAAGTCTCATTCTTATCCTACATGTCTATAAAAAGTTATTCCAGTTTTTCTTGGTCCAAACTCAGTTGGGACATAGTATAGACGGTAATTAATTTTATGTTTTGAACAATAAACCACGTGGTTTCCGTACTCTCTTGATGATTGGGTCCGTACTCTTATTTCTTACTGAAGCCTGGCAGTTGGCACTTTAATTATACAGATTACGGAGATATACAGAGTAGAGCCACGTGTAAGATGGAGGTACTGTACAAGTGTAACTCGCCTTCTGCTTCTCAAAATACAGTAAATATTAATATTTATTCTTTTTTATTTATTTTAAATTAGGATTATTGGAGTATTAGTGAAAAGAATGGAGGAGAAACTGATCACGTGAGCTCTGTGACCACGCCCACTATTATTACCATTATACTGCCAGTTGCTGGTGTTAGGTTGTTCTGTTAAAGTTTTCAAGGGGTCTGATGCTTTTGAAACACTCAAGAACGTCTTTACTGTACACTCTCCGATACTCCAGGCGTTGTGGGTGTGGTTTAAAGATGATGATAGTAAAGGGGCGGGGCCTGATGGCTACATGAAGTGTCTGTGTCTTAGGGAACAAGGACAGCTGAACATTATTATGAACAACGGGACCTTTCACACCTTACCACTCCCATTTAATGTACGTTAACATTATGTACATGTACCCTAATAATCGACCCTCACCCTCTATATGTACATGTACATGTACCCTAATGATCGACCCCTCTATACATGTGTTATCCTCCTGTAGGTACGTGGGATGTGGTATGTCAATAGATTGCTGTTAATAGAGAGGAGTGTTCCTGATACAGAGGTGACTGATGGGTTGTCAGTGTTATTCACAATATCTCATCCAATGGAGGACATTACTCCAGTCACCTCTAGGAAGATATCTTACATCAATGGTAGACTCTCTCTCTCTCTCTCTCTCATGTATAGACTATTATCATTGTTCTTTAGGTCAGAAAGGCACAACCAATCTTTCTTATGTCACTAGCCCTCAATTACGTGTTGCCACGGTGATATCTGACCACACCCCTCCATTAGTACTCACTTACGACACTCGTGATAACACTCACACACTTTGGGCTATTCAAACTGCCACTAGTAACGTAATTAGTTATTCATTGATTATTAATAATTAATATTATAGGATATACCATCTCCTTCATCTACCCCTGGAGGTGTGGCTGGGGGTGTGGCCTCAAGATCAAGAGGTGCTCCATTGAGTAGCTCCGCCCCTGAGAGAATAACTCAATACTCTGGTTCACCTATTCAGTTTAATTTAGATATCACACCTGATAAAAACGGTAATAATTATTTAATTAATATAATAATTAATAATAATAATAATAATGATAGAGAAGAAGAGGTCATTATTGACTCCATTGCATGAGGAGTCTCTCCGGAACGCTACAATAAAGAGGCTCCAGTCAGGAGGTGTGGCCACTGCTGGTATTACAAGGACAAGAAAAGGTTCCGTGTCATTCACTTTCAGTCCATCGCCATCTTTAGCGAGGAAAGGTGAAGTGAGTGTGGCCAGTAGCAGTAGGCCTGTCAGTGGTCGGTCCCCGTTTGTTAATAGATACTCCAGGACTAGAGGAGGAGCTGTTAGTTATTAATTAATAGTTAGCTAGTTAATGTTAATAATTATTAATAGGTGAGGACTCCATTGTCTCCAGTGTTGCAGTATTCAAGAATATCTCCTTATTCCAAGCTCCACCCATCCATGGCCTTGCTATATAACAACAATAATCATTTACTGGACAATTTTGAGACTTTATTGCCACAAATATGCTTACATCAGCAGTGGGCGGAGCTTCCAGACTTAGACTGTATGATGTGAGTGGGTATGGTTTCTGGGTGTGGTTTATTATTGATAGGTATCATTCGGCTGTGGATGCTTTTGTATGCAAAGATTTTAAGAAAGAAAAGTACTTTGTATATTATATACCAGAGTTATCGCAAATTAGAATATTATCGTTAACAAAGTTAGTAATAATAATAATAATAATAATAATAATAATAATAATAATAATTCTTTTAGATTGTTTTTAGGTGATATTAGTGTTTATTCTGATGAATATATTGTCATTTCTAATGTATCAAGTGCAATTAATCTAATTAACATTAATATGATATTGATATTAATTAATGGATCATTGGAACTATACACTGGACCTTATAAAGTAATTAATTGATAATCAATTAATATTGATTGATTAATTACAGATTACTAATATTGATCTGTCTCCGTTGTATGAGATTGTGGGGAGGAATGAGAATGGAAGTATGGGAATGAGTTTGTCAGGGAATGAGAATGGAATGAGTCTATCAGGGAATGGGAACCTAATAGAGTCCATTGTGAATCCAGTTGGAAATGAATTCAACATTGTTAGTTAGACTGAAGTGCATGTAGTCATGTATGATAAAACCTATTATTTAGATCACAACTGATAATGATATTTATCATTGTTCTATACTACCTATAGCTCAATCACATACAAGTACGTTTATTATTATTTGTATTATTGTTGTTACTATTATTATTATTATTGTTGTTGTTGTTGTTGTTGTTGTTGTTATTATTATTGTTGTTGTTGTTATTATTATTGTTGTTGTTGTTATTATTATTATTAATTACTGGCCCCTCCCTCTACAGTATCTCTCTGTATTGATGGTATCTGTTCTATTGTTCCAGCTGATGTTATTAATTCTGTTTTCATTTCGTATTATAACTCCGCCCTCTCTCTTGCTAATGAATGGATAAGATTTGAGAACTGGTTGTTAAGTGTGTTAGGATTAACTAACACTGATACTGATGCTGATTTTGTAAGGAATAAGATATTTATATTATATTTATCATTATTATCAATAGGTTTCTGATCCTATTCTAGTTCATGATCCGTTATTGAAGTTATTAAAAGTTGATGTCAATCCGCCATCAGTGGGTGGGGCCAAGAGACAGGAAGTGGGTGTGGTCAGCAATGCTTTATTAAAAGATTATTTAAATCGTGTTGCCACTTGTCTTCATTTAATTTACGAGGTATTAATAAATATTAATGAGCTCGTGAATATTAATGAGACTGCCATCCTACAATAGGAACTGAAACTGAATATCAATAATAATAATAAAACAAAGAACTTAGGAGTCACACTGTACAAGATATCGCAGTAAGGGGAAGAGTTTGAATTAGCAATCTTATTATTATGATACTTATTTGAAAGCTGTTTAGGCTGGTTGGAATATAAGGATCATTATTTCAGAGATAATCCTTCTTTATTGACTGATATTAATGTCAATGGTCTTAAAATGGTTAATGAGGTAGGTGTGGCACTTTATGATGTGACCACTCCCCCTCCGAGTGTGTATCAATGCTTATATCAATTGATGAATGAGCGGAGAGTGATGGTAAGTATTCTTATTAATGCCCACCTAATTAGTTATTCATAGCATCGTTATCCATTAATTAGTGGAGTGTGTAAGAGATCGGAACAGATAATGAAGGTAGACACACATGTATAATTAATTAATTATTAATATTAATTAACAGATATATCAATTACTAACTAATAATTGGTGGAATAGTGACGATCAGATATATTATCAAGTATTTAATAACGAAGACATTGTTCCCATGGAAACGTTAGTACTTTTTATGTACTATAAATTGTATTCTTGTATAGCAGTAGTACCAATAATGGAGTTTGGTTGGATAAACTTCTCCAATTTATTACAAGCGAAGGTAATTGATACTAGTTAATTAATAGTTATTAATGATTATTAAGGTTTAACTCCTCATCTATTGGATACATTTCCTGTGGGTGTGGCTTTACCGATAAAAGCAACTATGGGATACTGTAGGAGGAACCCAAACACATTGTCATGGAAACCAGAGTCATTACTCCTTATTGGTAGGACATTAACTAGTTATCATTAATAGTCATACACTGTACATGTACTGCTTAGCTTCGTCTTTTAGATTATCCATTTATTCAAAAAATCAGCCAAAATCCATAGTACAGAAAGGAGAGAATTCTCCATTTTTATTACATTTTCTGACTTATGCTGTCCAGAAACTTTAGAGCTGGTTCCAATCAAAATTGTTTCTTTCCTGGTGTAGGTCGTGATGACGTGTATGATAGTGTTGTTGGTGAGAGAGAGAAGCCCAGGGGAGAGGAGAAAGGAGGAGGAGGAGGAGGGGGAGGGTCAGTGAGGTTTGAAATACAACGAAACAATGACAATGGAATGTCCTTCGATGATGAAGCAAGTCTTTATTTTATAAAATGGAGACTGACCTTTCATACGCTCGTGTAGGTTCTTAAGGTAAGGTTCTCCACTGACATGAGAGTCAATGAGGTGAAGAGATTATTAACATCATCAGAACCAGCCAGGATTAATCTAGAACAGAAACCTGAAGTTAGGTAATTAATAATAATAATAATAATAATAATAAATAATAAATAATAAATAATGATGTCACTTCTCTCTCAGTGATCATGATTTTCTTGAAGAACAAGAGCTTCATTTGCTGTCTCTTTGCCAAAGGACAATGTCCCTACCTGTTGGAAGGTACTAGTAATATTAACACTGATATTGATATTGATACTGATACTGATACTGATATTGATACTAGGGGTATGTTTACATTGGCCACTAGTGAGGTATTGCCCACTTCATCTTTGAATATTCCGAAACTTAATTTATTAGGAAGGATACCGCCTAGGTAATGAATAAATAATTATCATTAATTATTATTAATTATTATTAATTACTTGAAGGAATAATACAATTGGTCTTGATCACATTGATAAACCCGCCCACATGAGTGACTGGCCGTTGTTTCACAATGGAGTTGCAGCTGGCATCAAACTCTACCCCTCCAGTGATTCTAAAGTATAATCCTATATATTACTGGTGTTATTATACTGTGTCTGATACAGCTGGACTCAACCTGGGTAGTTTATAACCAGCCGGAGGGAGGGGTCAATAGTGAAGAGGGTTTCCAAGAATACTCAGGGTTCCTAATGGCCCTGGGTCTTCACGGCCACTTGTCATCTCTACCCTCTTTCAACACTTTTGAATATTTACAGAACAAACAAGAACTGACTGTCATTGGACTATTGATTGGACTTTCTGCTGACAAGTAATAATAATGCTAATGATAGTTAATGATAGTTTATTAACCAATTAATTGCTGTAGGTGTGGCAGTATGGACCTTTCATTAATTAGTTTACTGTCTCTATACTTCCCTCCTCTCCTTCCGCCTGATTCAGTTGATCTTGATATATCAACAATGATTCAAACTGCAGCAGTCATTGGTCTGGGTCTTGTATACATGAGCTCATGCAATAGGTTCATGATTGAACTGATGATCAATGAGATAGGTACTGGGGGTGTGGTTTTATTATGGGTGTGGTTTTATAATGGGTGTGTTTATACATTAGGTCACAGCCCAGGTCCTGAGTGTCGGTTTGGTTTGAACAGAGAGTCTTATTCACTATCAGCTGGTCTAGCACTAGGAATGATTGGATTAGCAGTAATCATTAATTAATTAATAACTATTAATTAATATTTTTATATAGTCTGGGGATAATTCAGTCATCAAAGGGTTAAATATTGTCAATCAGCTCCGTGTGTACATCAATGGAGGAATGAAAAGAGACGTAATCAATTAATTAATTAATTAATTAATTAATTATTTATTTATTTATTTTTTAGGTTTCAGCTATTGATACTTCTTCAAGCAGTCAGCTAGTACTGGTTAGTATACTAATAATATACTGATAATATACAGAGTTATACAGGAAGGTAAACATGTTAATGTACATGTTACGGCTCCAGGTGGCATTCTCGCTCTGTCGCTAATTTACTTGAAAACTAACAACGAACAGATTGCGTCATACTTAGCTCCGCCCACAACCTTGTACCATTTTGAATGTGTCCAGTACAGACCTGACTACCTTTGTCTGAGGGTAAGGTTTTACGAGTGAAGAGGGTTTCTATACACAGGCTCTATTAGACACTAGGTGCCTCACTGATACTGTGGGATAGTATTGAACCAACACAGTCATGGATCGATGGCAACATACCTCGAGTAATTAATTCATTGATTAATTAATTGCTTTTTTTATTTGTTTTTTATTAATAGATAGCTCATGAATATTCGTTTAAGAGTAATGAAGCAAATCCATCATTATATCAATTAATGAGGTAATTAATAATAATAATAATAATAATAATTGATTGTTCTCTTTAGTCAATCTTATTTATTCATATTGACTGGTTGTTGCTTTGCTATTGGTTTGAAATATGCTGGTACATCATCTACTGTTGCTAAGAACATTCTAGTAAGTGATGCTCCACCCACTCAATTAATTAATTGATTAATTACAGTTTGAGCAATACAAGAAAATAGTCTCACATCAAACTGAGCACGTGAGTAATATACTAATAATATACAGTTAGTATACTGATAGTGTACAGTTAGTATACTGGTGTAACACGATATTTTCCTTTACTGTAGATCAGTAAATATTGTGTAGAGACTTGTACACAGTCAGTACTGTTGTCCTTATCAATGGTAATTAATTATTCATTAATTATTAATTAATTAATTGATGATTGTCAGGTGTTAAGTGGAACTGGTGATTTGTCTGTTTTAAAGTTAATTCGAAAACATCACACGATTCTATCAACCAATGAGAATGCTTCAAACAGTTGCTATGGTTACCAGATGGCCACTCACATGTCACTTGGTTTATTGTTCTTGGGAGGAGGGAGGTAGTTATTAATAGTTATTAATAGTTATTAATGGTTATTAATAGTTATTAATAGTTATTAATAATAGGTATTCATTGACTAGTGACAATAAATCAATAGTTGCTTTATTATGTTCATTGTATCCTCACTATCCGTCATCAAGCACCGACAACAGGTAATTAATAAAAATAATTAATAATTTTTATTATCATATTTTCTGATGCATATTGATGTCCTTATGCTGTGTAGCAAGTTTGAGGTGATTCCGACTTCAATTTTTCAAGTTACAGCCAATTTAAGAAATGGACCAAAATCTGAAATTTTCCCTGTACTATAGCCCATGCTTTTTTCCAAAAAATGGCTCAAAAATCACCCCCACTTTTTATTACCTTTTCTGATACGTATTGATGTCCTTATGCTGTGTAGCAAGTTTGAACTGATTCCGACTTCAATTTTTCAAGTTACAGCCAATTTAAAAAATGGGCCAAAATCTGAAAATTTCCCTGTACTATAGCCCATGGTTTTTTTCAAAAAATGGCTCAAAAATCACCTCCAATTTTTATTACATTTTCTAATACATATTGATGTCTCATTATGATTGTAGGTATCATTGTCAAGCGTTGCGTCACCTTTATGTCCTGGCAGCTGCTCCAAGAGTGTTAATAACTAGAGACATCAATAATAACGAATCAGTTTCAGTTCCACTGACTCTACACTGCACTGTGAGATACTGATGGGCTGTAGGCTCGTTTATTAATTAATAATTAGGACAATGGTAGTGAGTCTGGTTTAGAGGTGTGGTCTCCCTGTCTGTTACCTGATTGGAACAGGATCACTGCAGTGAGTGAGGGTGGAGTTATTGGGTGTGGTTTATCAATTGTAGATTGAAATAAAAGGAACAAGATATTCTCCTGTTAAATATGAACTGAACGAGAATATTAAGTAAGAGATTATTAATTTATTATTATTATTATTATTATTATTATTATTATTATTATTATTATTATTATTTTTAGGTCACATTTGATAAGATATGGTACTATTTTTGTGAAGTTGTTAAACGGTTACTGTAGTTATGAATCAGACCCACTGGTTAGTTAACTATTAATAATAGTTAATTAATATTCATCATCAGGGTCAGAAGAGTCTATTGTCATTGGCGTTAATGTCTCCCACTCATTATCAACTGGGTGGAGTCATTGGGCAGGTAGGTGGGTGTGGTTAGTTATTAATTGATTAATTAATTAATAGTTGAATATCTCAAGTGAAGCATTTAACGATAAACACATTAACCAGATTTGTGACATTTACTGTCGTCATGGTAACGAAGTATGTTAATAATTAATATGGCGATCTTAAATTGGAATATTTCAGTTCCATAGTTCCGCCCTCCTGGAAACCATTAGCAACGATGAGAAAGAATTACTTAGTATATTCCTTCAATTAGAAGAGGTATTTAGTATTTGGGTGTGACTTATTTTTAGCCCCTCCCATCAGATATCTAATGAATTGAATATTAATAATCATTTGCTGTGGCAACTGAAACTCTGTTATGCTTACTCAGCCAATATCAGCCCAGTTCATGAGAGCTTGAGGGACTATATTGAGACGATAATAATGAAAACTAATAAAATGATTAGTAAAAGTAAGAGTATATTGACAATAATAAATAATTAATGAGTTTATTTAGGTGTATCACCTTCATTGTTATTAAACTATTTAATTGATAATAAATTAACCGGCGGAATTAGTGATATCAATATATTATCATTGTTCATCAACCTAACTGGACTGCCTTTCATCAAAAGAACAGGGGAAGGAACTGGTAAGTATTTCAGTCAGACTTGTCTATTCCGGACACTTTGGGACCAAACTGTCCATACTGTGTATCATTGAATGTAAATCATTTGTTGGTAGTTTCAACTCCATTTCTTTTTCCAGATATTACCAGTGTCATTAGTTTATTGGTGGGCAATGAGGTGAACCCAAAGACCATTGTTGATGTAATGATGTGTCTATCAGTACCACACTGATGAATGAGGAGTTATTATTAATGATGTGACGATGATGACATTGATTTTATTATTACAATGATCACTGTATTAATGTTGATATTATTAATTGTTGTTATTATTGTTAATGTTGTTGTTGTGTTAATGATAAACATGAGAATGAGTCTTGGAGTGCTCTCTGGCAGATGTGACCAGCACTAAACCCACCTGCTGTACTGGACGCATCCAATGACCTGACATTAGCCAAATACCTAATGAGGATTGAGAGAAAGAGACTAAACTCCAAAGATAGGAGGAGCCATTAACTAGTTATTAGGAGCAAGTTGATATTGATTGAGAATAGCTTGCAAATGCTTAGTGGCATTAGCCATTCTTACAAGTATAGACTCACCCTAGTTGATCCAGCTGCTCAATGGTTGGTACAAGAGGGCCATAGCTCTCTATAACGAGTGGATGATACAAATAACATGAACTAGTGTCATCCATTAGGACTGGATCAAATGATGTTATGCCCTATCAACAACAACAATAATAAAAACAATAATGTTGTTTACCTGTTGTTGTTTGTATTGTGTTTTAGACAGTATTGTTGTTGTAGTTTCAGCTGGTTCTTGTTTAATTGCTTTAACTTCAGCGACTACTTCACTTGCTGGACGACTGGAATGAATCTATTAATAATAGTTAATTAATGATAGTTAATTAAATCTCACTAGTTGCTGTATTAATGTTTCTTGTTGCTTTGCTTTCTCTTTGATATGCTCCAGCTGCTTATTGTGCGCCAATTGGTTCCTCATCTCCAGCTCATTCCTCTCAGACTCGAGCTCAGTCCTTATCAACTGATCTCTCCTCAACTAACAAACAATTAAACTAATAATTTGATTAATTTGAGCAAAATGACGTCCCTCAATTGATACACAGCTGCACACATCACTGACCATCTTCTGTCTGTTCTTCACTATGACTGACTGATTCTCTTTCTTATACAATTCTATCTTTTCTCTCGTGATTTCAACATCAATATTATTAGCTAAATTATAAACTGAGAAATTATACAGTATTAATACTTTTATTGATTATTATTATTACTTATTGTTTCTATTTCTTCAAGGTAGTCGTTGTATTCTCTTAAATTATTGAAATCATCTTCTGTTTTGTTGTAACTAATAATGTCAGAATAAAACAGTTTTATTTGGAGCTGGGTGTAGCTGGTAATTGAGCCCCGCCCACTCACTCTTTCAATATCTTCTTCCTGATATCAATTTCCTTTTCAACGTATTGATCAGTAAACTGTGTCTGTCTGTACTGGTTCCTTCTTAGAGCTACCCCGCACTCTGGGCAAGGACCTGATGGTCGAATGAACAATGACTCCACACAAGACTCACACCTTATAATGATAAACAAAATACTAATAACAATGATTGTTGTTGTTTACAGCTTGTGTCCACAGATATTCACTAATAGTTTCATGTTTGGGTTTTGATAGGAAGAAGTCTTGCACCTGGGGCAGGAGAAGAGGTCCATTGAGAAGACACCACCACGTGGACAATGGACATGAAGGGCGTGGACTGAAGATGAGCTGATCAGCCTGATCTCGATTCTCATGCATGTTATGGGCATTATCTAGTCTATATAAGGTATTTCCATTGTGTGGTAATCATAATCATAATTATTATATAACCTGCTGCCTCCTCTCCATTCTCTAGCAAGAAGAAATGAGTGAGACAGAGCCACCTGAATATAAGGAGAGGAGGTTGGAGACTATGTGAGATTTCTGCTCTTTATTTATCATTTTTATTCTTTCCCTGTAGCTCAGAACAATCACCATTGCTACCCAGCAGTAATGAGCAGACTAAGGATGAAGGAGGAGCAGAGTTTATGAAATCAGAGGAGCACAAAGCAAAAGATTTCCAACTAATACATGTCCCTCACAGAGAGAAATATGTAATGACACACAACTATGTCACAATAAATAATTACTATTAATATCTCTCTTAGCCGATATTTAGTTTTAGGAAGTTATGGGCGTTCACTGGTCCTGGGTTCCTAATGAGTATTGCCTATCTTGACCCTGGGAACATTGAGAGCGACTTACAGGCTGGAGCAGCTGCTCAATATAAAGTATACGATGATTAGTCTTACTTTATTATTATAATTAATTAATAGTTGTTATGGGTACTGCTTTGGTCTACTGTTGCTGGTTTATTGATGCAAGTAAGAGAAAGAGAGAGGAGGAGAGATATCATTATGCTTGTCTGGTGTGTTCTTGTGTTGCTTGTAATAACAAGAAGTAGTGTCTCATTGTTGCTATGTAATCATGCTCATTCTCTCTCTGCCGCCCACACACAGTTATTAGCTGCCAGACTGGGTGTGGTCACAGGTAAACATTTAGCTGAGGTTTGTAAAGACGAGTATCCATTGGTACCACGTATTGTACTCTGGATTGCTATGGAGCTGGCCATTATTGGGAGTGATATACAGGTTAATTAATATTCATTGAAAATCTAAACTTGACTTACAGGACATACTATTATTTATTTATTTATTTATTTATTTACAGGAGGTTATTGGCTCAGCTATTGCAATCAATATATTATCTCAAGGAACGTAAGTTATTAATTATTAATGTTAATTAATTTCAATAATTATTAATATTAGCATCCCACTGTGGGAAGGGTGCCTTGTTACTGGCGTCGATACTTTTCTATTTCTATTCCTGGAAAGTTATGGTATGTCATTCATTTATTATTGTAGTTTTATTATTATTGAGGGACCATTATATATTGTTTTATTATTAATTAATTAATTATTATTGATTATTAGGTTTGAGATATTTAGAATTCTTCTTTGGGTTTCTGATCAGTATAATGTGTGGCATGTTTGGATGGATGGTAAACAATTGTTTGTTGTTTATTGTTGTTATATTATTGTTTACTAGTACGTATATTCGGCTCCGTCTCAAGTCGACGTGCTAAAAGGAACGTTCATTCCGATGTGTGCCAATTGTTCCAGTGACGTCATTCAACAAGGACTGGGTGTGGTCGGAGCTGTCATTATGCCTCATAATATCTACCTTCACTCCGGCCTAGTCCTGGTAATGTAACTAGCCTACATATAAATTACTATTATTATACATCATTATACACACACTGTGCCCATATAGTCTCGTGCTATTTCTCGCACTAATCCTAATGAAGTCAAGGAAGGAATTAAATATAATACTATTGAGTCTAGTAAGTGGGCGTGGTCTGATGGGTGTGGTCACGTGGTAGGTGTGGATATTTTTACTTTTAGGCATCGCTCTTCTTGTTTCTTTTGTTATTAATTTATTTGTGATTTGTGTATTCGGGATGGTAAGTAATAACTATTAATGACCATTAATAACTATTAATTACAGAAAGTCTTCTCCTACGACTTTCCTTCTGAATTGAAGGACTCTTGCTCATCGTCTGGAATCAGTTTACTTACAGCTGTATGTTGTTTATTTGTATATTTATTTTATTTTATTTGTTGTTGTTTAATTCATAGGAAGAATGTTTATACAATTCATTTGGACAGAAGGAATGGATTAAGTACATTTGGGCCATTGGCCTATTAGCCTCAGGCCAAAGCTCAACCATGACAGTAAGATTTTAAAACTTATTTCCTTTTATTATTATTATTATTATATTATTATTATTATTATTACATTATTTGTCATTATTGTTTTTCTCAGGGAACTTATGCTGGTCAATTTGTGATGGAGGTATAGTCAGTTATTATCTTCCTTATCTTATTGCCACACCCTCTCTTGGCTCCTCCCACTATCCAGGGGTTTTTAGGTTTAAAATGGGCCAAATGGAAGCGAGTGTTGCTGACACGTTCAATTGCGATGGTTCCTTGTGTCATACTAGCTATTCTTGCATCTAAAAAACTCGATCTTTTAGATGAACTAATCAATGTTGAGCAAAGTATTCTGGTAAATCATTTATTATTATAATAATAATAATAGTATTATTATTATTATTATTATTATTATTATTATTATTATTATTATTATTATAGCTACCTTTTTCTGTTTTACCAATTTTGTTTGCGACCAGTTCAAAGAGGATCATGAAACAGCACAGAAACCACATGTAATTCAATTAATTAAAATATATATTATTAATTATTATTATTAATTAGTGTCCTAACTGTTGTGTCCTGGGTAATTGCTATGGTAGTTCTTGGGGTTAATATTTATTTCATTATAGACACATTGGTACGTCATAATAATCATTAATTGATCATGAATAAATTAATAATAATTATTATTAATTAGGATTTAAGTGGCCCGTGGTATCAGCACGTTCTGGCCACACTTGGTCTGTTCATTTATATTTGCATTGTCCTATTCTTTGTAAGGCAGTATTTCTCTCTAATTTAATTTTGTTTATCTTTTTAAAGATAATATTTCCCATTATACGTGAAGTGAGGTTATGGAGAAAGGAGAGAAGATATGGCTCTTTGGCTAATGGTCACTCCATCAATGATTGATAACATTTATTTATATTTTTGTGCCAATTTTTTGTTTATACAAACTTGTAATGTATACATTTTGCCAAGTGAAATCATAACTTGATACTAATTATTAAAATTGTTTTAGTGTATCTAGTTGGAGATAGTTCTTGTCTGTCTTCTGGTTGATATTTGAGCCATGGCAGTTTTGAAAATAAGCTTCATCTCCTTAATATTGTGCTTTCTTTGCTCTGCAGGTAAGATCTGTATTTTTAATTTTGGATGTTATATTCTGATTAGTGTATGGTTGCCCATTGAGGGATTGTTCCCTGATAAAGGACAGGGCAGCCAGTCAGAAGAGATGTGTATTCTCTGATGTATACAACATACAACCACAAAAGGAGAGACCTCCTTTTAATGTACAGTCAATCATGTTTAGACTGTATTGTACTGTCCATCTATAGGTGTACTGTGATATGAAGACTGGGGATGGAGGATGGACTGTAATACAGAGAAGGATGGACGGCAGTGTTGACTTTTATCGGAACTGGAAGGACTATCAGTATGGGTTTGGAAACCTAAATGGAGAGTTCTGGCTTGGACTAGATAAAATAAGTCGTTTGACAGAAGAGAAAAGCTGCCTTAGAGTTGATATTAAAGATTTTGAGAATAACGCCAGATATGCACATTATTCCACATTTTCTGTCGGTGGTCCACTAACTAACTATAAACTAACAGTTGGTGGATACAGTGGAAATGCTGGAGATAGTTTGGCTCTTCATAATGGAATGAGATTCACTACAAAAGATAGAGATCATGATAATAATCGTGATAATAATTGTGCTGAACAATATAAAGGAGCCTGGTGGTACAATGCTTGTCATGCATCAAACCTCAATGGCTGGTATGATTACGGTTCTACTAGATCCACTGCTACTGGTGTGGTATGGTATCATTTCAAGGGACATAATTACTCACTCAAGTTTACTGAAATGAAAGTGAAGAAATGTTAGGGTTTACATGATAATAATACTTTGTAGCTTAGAGTTGATATTGTCAATATCAGTTTCATTTAATTATACTATAAATTTATGCAATAAAATTGGGCAAAGTTTTTGAGGCAATTTTTTTGGCTGACCATTGACGATTGTGCTCATTGTAGCAGTTAAACTAACAATTCGTGAGTAATTGGGAGGAAATGAACTTCATGATGTATTCTCAGTGTTTTTATAAGCTAAGGCAATTACTCAATGCATGCAGCAGTCAGTATATTGCAAGAAGATAAGAATGAAACTGTCAATCTTCTTGTTCCTTTATTGCATTTGCTGTACAATTGGAGGTAAAGTATCATTAACCATTTAATGAATGTTCTCATGATAATATATTAATAGGGCCTGTATTTAAAGACTGTTATGATATACAGTGGAGGAACAATGGCCGTGACAGATGCAGCTGTAGTGGTATATATGAAATACAACCAACAAGAGATGCAACTCCATTCAAGGTAATATAGTCCATGCTTATTAATATTCACACTGTACAGGTTTACTGTGATATGAGTACTGATGGCGGTGGATGGACTGTAATACAGAGAAGAATGGATGGCAGTGTCGACTTTTATCGAGATTGGATGAGCTATCAGTATGGGTTTGGAAACCTGAATGGAGAGTTCTGGCTTGGATTGGATAAGATAAGTCGTTTGACAGAAGCACAAAGTTGTCTCAGGGTTGATTTGGAAGATTTTGAAAAAAATGTGAGATATGCCAATTATTCTGTATTCTCTGTTGGTGGTCCCAGGACAAACTACTGGCTAACAATTGGTGGATACAGTGGAAATGCTGGAGATAGTTTGAGTGCTCATAATGGAAGGCCTTTTAGTACAAAAGATAGAGACCATGATGGGTGGAACCGTAATTGTGCAGAAGCATATAAAGGAGCCTGGTGGTACAATGCTTGTCATGCATCCAACCTCAATGGCTGGTATCAATACGGACCTACTGCTTCATATGCTACTAGTGTTGTATGGGCCCACTTCAAGGGACATCATTACTCACTCATGTTTAGTGAGATGAAAGTGAAAAGATGTTCAGTTTAGTTAACACTAACTTGACTTTGTAGTTTAATAGAATTATTTAGTATAGTTTAATTATCAGAGGTCACATTAATGGCCAAATTATAATTGTTTAAACCAACAGTTGGTCAGTAATTGGGAGGAAATGAACTTCATGATGTATTCTCAGTGTTTTTATAAGCTAAGGCAATTACTCAATGCATGCAGCAGTCAGTATATTGCAAGAAGATAAGAATGAAACTGTCAATCTTCTTGTTCCTTTATTGCATTTGCTGTACAATTGGAGGTAAAGTATCATCAACCATTTAATGAATGTTCTCATGATAATATATTAATAGGGCCTGTATTTAAAGACTGTTATGACATACAGTGGAGGAACAAAGCTGCTAATAGATGTAGCTTCAGTGGCATCTATGAAGTAAAACCTACAAATGATGTAACTCCATTTAAGGTAGTACCAACACATATACTGTTACTGTGTGTATATGCATTTGCTGTATCTATAGGTCTACTGTGATATGAAGACTGGGGATGGAGGATGGACTGTAATACAAAGAAGGATGGATGGCAGTGTTAACTTTTATCGAAAATGGAGAGACTATCAGTATGGGTTTGGAAACCTCCATGGAGAGTTCTGGCTTGGACTGGATAAAATAAGTCGTTTGACAGAAGCACAAAGCTGCCTCAGGGTTGATTTGGAAGATTTTGAAAAAAATGTGAGATATGCCAATTATTCTGTATTCTCTGTTCGTGGTCCCAGGACAAACTACTGGCTAACAATTGGTGGATACAGTGGAAATGCTGGAGATAGTTTGGCTTTTCATAATGGAATGGGATTCACTACAAAAGATAGAGATCATGATAATAATCGTGATAGTAATTGTGCTGAACTATTTAAAGGTGGCTGGTGGTACAATGCTTGTCATGCATCCAACCTCAATGGCTGGTATCAATATGGACCTACCGCTTCATATGCTACTAGTGTTGTATGGGCCCACTTCAAGGGACATCATTATTCACTCAAGTTTACTGAGATGAAGGTTAAAAGATGTTCAACTTAGTAAAACTTTGAGATAAATTATGTAGCATTAGATCATAAGGTTTATATTAATTGCAAAGTTTGTTTATTCAGTTTGATATTGTAACTAATAGCTAATAATAATAGTTACTGTAATCGTAACAACCAATATCAGCAACACTTAATCCATTTCCACCATGTATCCCACAGACATGTGTTGGTACCATACTCCCCAAAATGAGTGTATTGAATGATGCAGATGATGTATTATATCAATGTGGTGGACTGGTGGAGTGATACTGTTTGATGCCTTGCAATGAATGACTGAGGAGTTTATTGTTTGAAAACTATCATTGATCAATATTTAATATAGATACACAGCAAAAATAAATTATAGCAGCAAAAATACAATAATTATCATAAGTTCAGTAATGATATTGATATTGAGGGGAGCAATATGGAGGCCGATACTGCCACACACCACCAACACAGGGGATTGACTTGTAACCAATCAGCTTGTAGCCTTGAGAGCAGCTGTAATGAGCAACGGATCCAATCACAGACACAAAACCAAACTTGGGAGCGTAAGGATGCTTACAGACCTTGGGAGGAGGACGAGTTGGAAGAGCTATAGAAATGAAGAGATGGTAACACTATATATAATGGATATACTGTACACTGAGCCTACCTTTGCATGTAGGTGTACTGCCTGACCATTGTCCACTCAATAGACAGTTCCTGTCTGTATTACCGTCCAGTTGAAAACCATCATTGCACTGATAGACAGCTCTAGCTCCATATGTATTACCAGTCTGTTGGACACTCCCATATCTTGGAGCAAATAACTTTGGGCAAAATATAGCTATGGATTAAGAACTTTTTCATCACCAATTAATATAACAATAATTGTTTACATTTGCATTTTGGTTGCTGTCCACTCCATACTCCATTTTGTTGACATGTTCTCCTGTCACTTCCAATTAGTCTAAAACCTCTATTGCAAGTATACATAGCAGTGGATCCCACTGACTGTTGGAACTTAACATCACCATTCTCAGGATCAGCTAGTCTAGGACATTTTACAGGCCCTGTAATAATACAAGAAATAGATATAATATCATTATTGTTATTGTTATTATTGTTATTGTTATTATTGTTATTATTATTAATTACTTTCACAGGTTGGTGCTGATCCAGTCCATCCTTGACGTGTGCAATGACGTGTTGAAGATCCTTTCAAGATGAATCCATTGTTACACTTGTATACTGCCTTTAATCCTCCACTGCTGAGCACAATCTGTCCATTAGCAGGGGCAGCTAATCTTGGACACATAAGAGGTGGTGGAGCTGTTACTTCTGTGAATAATTATTATAAATACACAAAACAATTATTAATTACTTGGTACACAGGTTGGTTGGCTTCCAGTCCATTTGTTTGATTTACAGAATCTTTTTGAATTTCCTCTCAGTTTGAATCCACTATTGCAGGTGTACACTGCTTTTGTTCCGCTATTCCTCAATGTAATCTTTCCATTGGAAGGAGCAGCTAGTTTTGGACAGCTTGGAGGAGGTGGTAATGTTACTTCTACACATTATTTTAATAAGGACCAATAATTATTATTGATGTTCACTCACTTGGTACACATCTTGTTGGACTCCCAGTCCAACTGCCTGACTTGCATACTCTCTTTGAGCTTCCCTTCAATATAAATCCCTTGTTGCATCTAAAAGTTGCAACAAGTCCTTTAATCCAAACTCTTCCATAAGAAGGAGCTGGTAATTTTGAACAACCAACTAAAAATTATAAGACATTGTATATTAAATAATCATGAATAACAAGGCACCTTTCTTGCAGTAAGGTAGTCTAGGACGCCAATGGCCACTCCTCAAGCACCTAACTTTACTCTGTCCAATCAGTTGATATCCACTTCTGCAGGCAATGATGACTTTTTTACCAGAAGTGTAGACATTCCTACGTCCTTTACGAATAAATCCATATTGTATTACAGGTTTAGGGCAACGAGCAATTGAACGTGATGAATCTGAATGTGATGACGAACCGGTACTGCTCACAACTACTGCAGAGATGAGTGCAAGAAATAGTACAAGGTAAAGCTTCATAATTATTACTTGTTGATATTGAGGTGAAGTTTAGTTTGACACAGCAGCTTTATATAGTAAAATTGTAGTTTATAATCACTAACTAATTGTGATTTTAAAGACACCACTGTGATAAAATGTAATGATTAGCAACCATTACTAAATGAGATTAGCATTCACTAGAGTTTGTAGATTATTTACATTAACAGGTAAGTAGTGTCTAGTTGATGATGCAGTGAAAGACCTCTTTGTCTGTCATTCTAATAACAAAAACTTCCCTATCTAATTATTAGAGTCATAATAACCTGATAATTTAATAAAGTGTCTAAATCTCACAATTATACATCGACAAAATAAGTAATAAGTTAACGGTACTTACTCAACCCTTGCACAAATTAGCCTACTAGCCACACACGTGCTATCACGTGTGCTACTATAGTATGAGCCACGCCCATTTACAATGGCATTATTGGTTGAAAGTCCAAAGCATCAGTTAACGTGTAGACGAGTGAAGGATTCTTTGGCTAAACTGTATAACACAATACAGACTTGGAACAGTCTCTCTTCTTCCTCTTTTGATGCTCTCAATAAATTAGCTAACGTCATCATTGAAGAAGAATGTTTACTGGCAACAGGCACCAGTATTTCAAGTGTAGGGGAAACCAGAATAAGATTACATGGAAAAATAATAGAGAAAAGGGAGGAATTATATGTACAATTACAACAATTATTAACAGCAATGGTGAGCCATTGTTATTTTATTGTAGCAAGTATTTATTATTATTATTATTATTATTATTATTATTATTATTATTATTATTATTATTATTATTATTATTATTATTATTATTATTAGGGCAGTGTTGTTAGTAGAATTGGTGATATATTAATTGGCATGAGAGCATCAGTTGAGTTGTTAGTAAACCTTGATGAGCAAGACACTCCGTTATTTAACACTTTGCCAATAACTTCTATCAGTAAGAATTTTATTAATGTCCTCATACATATTGATGTACTTATGCTGTATAGAAAGTTTGAGCTGATTCTGACTTCAATTTTTCAAGTTACGGCCAATTTAAAAATGGGCCAAAATCTGAAAATTTTTCTGTACTATAGCCCATGGTTTTTTCGGAAAAATGGCTCAAAAATCACCCCCAATTTTTATTACATTTTCTGATACATATTAATGTCCTTATGCTGTGTAGAAAGTTTGAGGTGATTCCGACTTCAATTTTTCAAGTTACGGCCAATTTAACAAGCGTAACAGTGTAAAAAATATTCCTATAATTGATTTCACCACCTTGCAAGTACAACTTGGTCATTATTAAGACTTATAGAGGTTCTCTCTACCTTCAAATGCTTCTAGAGAAGTTTTTAAACAGTATCTTTATGTTCCCTTGCTGTTAGAAAGCTCTTAACTTTGTCCCATGTGTAAGCCGCCATTTTGTTTGCCGTGACCACACCCACTACGTAGGGAGCGTGGGCGGGTGGTTGCTAAGGCTTGTTATTTCTCCAATACAACATGTATAGAAGAAATGTAAGTGTGGACATACAAATAAATATATATATATACAAACATCGCACGTGGTTGAAATCAATTATAGGAACGACCTGGGGGCTACGCCCCCAGGTCGTTAAAAATGGGCCAAAATCTGAAAATTTTTTTGTACTATAGCCCATGGTTTTTTCGGAAAAATGGCTCAAAAATCACCCCCAATTTTTATTACATTTTCTGATACATATTAATGTCCTTATGCTGTGTAGAAAGTTTGAGCTGATTCTGACTTCAATTTTTCAAGTTACGGCCAATTTAAAAATGGGCCAAAATCTGAAAATTTTTCTGTACTATAGCCCATGGTTTTTTTCGGAAAAATGGCTCAAAAATCACCCCCAATTTTTATTACATTTTCTGATACATATTAATGTCCTTATGCTGTGTAGAAAGTTTGAGGTGATTCCGACTTCAATTTTTCAAGTTACGGCCAATTTAAAAATGGGCCAAAATCTAAAAATTTCCCTGTACTATAGCCCATGGTTTTTTTCGGAAAAATGGCTCAAAAATCACCCCCAATTTTTATTACATTTTCTGATACATATTAATGTCCTTATGCTGTGTAGAAAGTTTGAGGTGATTCCGACTTCAATTTTTCAAGTTACGGCCAATTTAAAAATGGGCCAAAATCTAAAAATTTCCCTGTACTATAGCCCATGGTTTTTTCGGAAAAATGGCTCAAAAATCACCCCCAATTTTTATTACGTTTTCTGATACATATTAATGTCCTTATGCTGTGTAGAAAGTTTGAGGTGATTCCAACTTCAATTTTTCAAGTTACGCCCATTTGAACAACTATGCCATCTCGTGTTATTATCAGGTGAAGGTGTTGAAGATGTCTATCAGTGCTACAGTGAGGAGCATTATCTTCGTAGGAGAATATTAAATGACATTTATAAGGAGAAGGACAGAGACACACGAACAGTATATCTGTCATGTTGGCTGCATGAGCCTTGCATTAGTGAGGACATGAAGATGAAACTCTCATCACTTCTGACTGATAGTGGCCTTAAAGATTGAAATAATGGAAAGAAGAGAACACACTTTAATCATTGAAAAATGACCAGCAATCGCTGCAGATATTGAAGTAAAATGTGTCATTGTCTAAATTATGTTAATTATTTTGCAAATTTACACAATAACAAAGGAATAATGAGATAAAACAGCATTTGATTAGCAATAAAAGTAGCAATATACAAGTGTCAGATATAATTAGTATCATTATTGTTCGAATCAGTTTGGTTCCCTCTTGCTATCAGTATCCACACTGGTGTCAGTGCCAATATGGTAACAGCATAGATCATGAATATCATTGATAAGTTGAGACAAATTGACAGTAAGTTGTATCTCTTGGCTTGTCTTGAGGCTCGTTTGGCCTCTTCCACTCTACCGGCCACAATATGGCTCCTTACTTCAATGGACTTGAGTATTGCAAGTATACTCACTGGCCAAAAACAACATGCAATAGTAAACACAGAGAGCCAGAGGTAATCTGGAGGTTTATCAACCACCTATTGAGCAAAACAGCAACAGATAAACTGCAATAGAAATGCATACCGTATAGCTGGAAAAGTTTGCGGGAATTATATTTTGCGATTTTGTACCAATATAGCTAATTTTAATGTTTGTGGAATTTAATTTTGCTGGTGTAGGCGTGTACTGTTGATACACCCATTACTTATAATGCTTTGCGGAATTAAATTGTGCGTTTTTATGATGAACAGCAAACAGCAAAATTAAATTCCAGCAAATATTTCCAGCTATACGGTAGGTACTAACAATAACTGGAGAATATCCTTCCTTTGGAGGTAGTGCTGAATAGCTTGGAGGAACATCATCTAACAATAATTACACAAAAACATTATACATTTAAAAGAAATGCAGATGCTCAGTTGCTCACCTTTTAGCTTTTGCTTTTCTTCCATGATGAAGTCAGCTTAGTTTACTGAATAGTGCGTCACACGAGATATCTCCGGATATTGTTGACACGCCTTATTATGGGTGTGACCCTTCATTTTGGGCGTGGTTTAAATTAATTAATTGTCAATAATTGCCGGATATGCAATCGTTGCAAGCAGAGAGAGAATGGAGAGATGGTGCTTAAGAGAAAGCCTCACTATTGGACTGGGACATACTTACAATTTAAATGAAAGAGAAATACTAACAATAGGACGAAACGGTTCCTGTGACATTGTAATAAATGTAAGTGAAGAATATTTTAAAATAATTATAATATTGATGATTAATATTAATGATAATAGGATCATTCTGTTGATGCGAAGCATGCTGATATTAAATGGGATAATGTGAGACGTCAGTTCAGTATACATGATCTAAACACAGCCAATGGAGTGAGCTAGTCTATTGAATTATTAATCATTGAATTATTTAAATATTAATTATTAATTAATTAGACATACATCAATCAGTTTCCGTTAAGAGGAACTTCAAAATTATTAGAACAAAGAGACAGCATAAAATTTGGATATTGTAAGTGATAATACAATATCATGTTAATATCATGTTAATATCATGCTAATATCATGTTAATATCATGTTACAATGGATAGGTACTGGTCAGGTATTTAGAGTTGATTTAACTTTAAATAACCCAACACCTAGTGGAGTAAAAGAGGGCGGAGCTAAAGACAGTACAAAAGTACAATAAATTAATGATATTATTGTTTATTATTATTATTATTATTATTATTATTATTATTATTATTATTATTATTAGGTGGTACCTCAAATTAACTTAACCACACCTGTGGGATCTTCAAGCCTCACCCCCTCACCACACTCCCTCCCTCCCCCTGTATCCCCTCCATTGGCTGATACTAAACGCTCCAGCATTGGATCACCTCTCTATGGGGTACCAGCCTGGTGGGGTGAGGGTGATGATACTAGTCATAATGACTCCAAGAATCATAAGGACACAAGAACTAATCAAGTACTTGAAGACTCTCAGGACCCTCGGGACCCTCGGGTTTTTAAAGATGAGCCTCATAGTAAAGAGGAACCTAAGGAATCTAAAGGAGAGTCTGCTAGTTTCACGATTGAGTTTGAATCACCAAAGAAGTTAAAACCTACTCCAAGGTCTCTGTCACTGACCAACAGATCCAGACCTTTATCCTTCTCTGGTGATATTGACCTCAGACGACAGACCCTGACCCCTCCCACATCAAAGGATAGGAAAGTACGAGCATCATCGTTATCACCTAGTAGGGCTCCACTCCCTAGCAACAGCCCTAGCAACAAGAAAGGAGAGGAGAATAAGGAGGTGACTAGCAGCAGACGAATAATGAGGAGTTCAACTCTCATCGCAAGGACAAGGAACAATCCTCCTACTACCACACCTAGTAACGGCCCTAGCAACAGCTCCTCCATTAAAGCAAAGTTTGAGAGAGGGGGTGGCACAGTAAAGATGGAGGGGAGGAGAGCAATGAAAGAAGAAGGATCAGCCATTAGAGGGAGGTCTGCTTCAATGAGAATTACCAGCAGCAGACCACTTACAACTAAAACTGATAATAAGTTAGTAAGATGAGCACCAGTGTTGAGTTATCAATGTTGTAGGAAAGCTCCAGTAGATGAGAAGAGTAAAGTTACCAGAAAGCAATGGAATGAAAATAAAGAGGTAATCTATACTGTACAAATATAGTTTCATTATTGTTTGTGTCTTTGTTTACAGATACCCCATCGGTTGTTATTGTCATCTATTGAAGAAAGACTAAAAATGCTAGCATCATTAACTGCAACAACAAGTTCAAATATAAAGTAAATAAATTAATTAATAAATAATATTCTTAATTTAGAAAGTTAACTGATGTCCTCCAAGAAGGAGCAGCTGTTAGTTATACTGACATTAAGATTACTCCATTAAAGACAATTCAACTACCACAATGGAAAGTCTATAGCTCTGTGAGTGTGTGTGGGTGAGCATTGAGAGTTTGAATCAAAGGTTTCCAAAAATTTATAAATTGGAGCCGATGTATGTAAACCTGGCAGCCTTCTTTTCAGTCTTATAACCTACTCTTGCCTACATGTAAATGTATTGTTGATGTCCTTAGGAATATGACAAGATTTGTCAATACATTGTGGAGAGTGAAGAATCATTAAAAGGTAAAAGATATTATAACACAGGCTCAATTAATTGTTTAGTTATTTGTTTGTTGTTAGAAATTAACAAGTCGTTGTGTGAGATCGTGTCGATAGAAGATGACATTGACACAGGTGCTGCTAATGATAATAAATGATTATGATTATTATTATTAACAGAAGCTGATGATGCTAGCAGTTCCAGTACCCCATTGCTAGTTATAACTAGTACTCCATCAGAACCTGATGTTAAAATGGAGGGCAGAGAAGGTGAAGAGAAACAATATTCAACTGAAGTATCTGCTCCAAGTGAAGCAAATCTTTGAACATACATGCACATTATTATGTGATTTTATAATCATTATAATCAATTTTTCTTTTTAATTGTCTTTTTTTAATTTTAAAAACATATCAGTGTGCATAATGTTTTTAAATTTATTTATTAATTAATTAATAATTAATAATAGTGATCGGGTTGCAGTCATTATACTAGTCTGTCGTGAAAGGGGGTGGGGTTTTATTTTGAAAGAAGAGGGCGGAGCATATATGTATCTTGCTTCCGCTAGCTATTGCCACATTCTTATTAACTGAATTATAATGGACACTGTAGACACCTGCTGACAGATCCTTCAAATCACCAACTACCTGTATTAGGCAATAATAAATAAAACAATAATTATTTAATAATTACTTTATCATTTTGAACGTCAATGACAGCTGCTGTGTGTTTCTGTGACCCTCCAATCAGTAAATGTCTCTCATTGATCCAGCAGGTGGCATACAGCTGCACAAAATATAACTATCTCAACTTTTGAATCAAATTATTAATATTTATGATAAGAACTAGCTCAAAGAGAATATAATAATATAGATCAAGGACAAAGACTGTATTTTTATACACAATAATAGTTATTTTTATATCCTTAACAGATTATAATTCAAAATGACAGACAGCTCTTACCTTAGTGCCAGTACAAGACTGTAATTGAGTTATGAGTTTACCTGAACCATAATCCCAAATCTATAAATAAACAAACAATACAAATAAACAAACAAACAAACAAACAAATAAATAAATTACTTCTAAAGGAGTGTCATATCTCCATGATCCAGTAGCAATGTGGAGGGAGTGTGGTTCAATGTCAAGAGAGTCCCCACAGATATGAGGACCGGATAACTTACTAATAACTATTAATAACTAGAGGTGTTGCTATGGTAACACGTACCGTACAGCGTGGTCTATTCTTAGGTCCCAGAACTGGACGGTGTTGTCCCACCCTCCGGAGACCAGGAGGGAGGGGTCCGTCGGGTGGTACCTTAAAGCAAAGACCCTGTTCATGTGTCCGTCCATTAGTGTCAGTGAGGAACTGGAGGAGTATTAGTTATTATTAGTGAGAAAACTTAAGTTAATTTAGCATTTTGATACAACCAAAATGAACCACCCACCAATCAAAAGGAATCCCACCCTAGTCCCCATCAGCTGTACTATACCACCAGCTGTACTATACCAGCTGTAGCGTACCTTGCCTCCAGTGTGTTTATATTCTGTCCAGAGAGAGAGTCGTATATCATTAGTTTACAGTCAGAGCCTGAGGTAGCGTATGTGCTTGAATCAGAGGAGTAAGCAGCTGCTAGTGTTTGTCTCTTCTCTATCGACTGGTTCAAACTCTTACCAGTTGGTACGTGCCATTGATGAACATGACCTGATGAATCTGAGGGAGAGAGAGAGAGAAATACTCCATTTTTTACAGTTATTAATTTACAGGCAACAAGGGCAACATTGCTAATGTCTCCTAAGTCGTTCGATCTAAATTTGACAGCTGTAGCAGGGTAGCCATCTTGAAATGAGGGTAAGGGTAGCTTGTATACCATACTACCACCTGCAGAATCAAACACCTTTTAATAATAACAATAATTAATTAACAATAATGAACACATAATACCATAACAGATCCATCAGACAAAGAACCAGCCACTAACTCTCCTTTCTTGCTAAACTGAGCACAAAACACATCAGATTTAGTGCAACTACAAAAACAGGAGCAGCAATAGTGTATCAGCTAAAGGACTGGACTACCAGGTTGCCTTAGGATGCAACAAGCTCCTTTGAGCGAGAGAGGTTGGAGAATAAGAAGACTTCATCTCCTTCAAAGAATCTTTCAGCAGTTGACACCTTCACTGGGCCACTGGCTTGAAATTAACCGCCACACCTTCTTATACTCATTTCTACTGCGCATGAGCAGTAAAAATTTGAAAATTGAAATTCAAATTAAAATGGCATCAAATTAGAAAGTGAAGCTATAATGTAATGATAAATAGTTCATCTTCTCCTGTACCACCTGACCAGGAGAGCTAGAAATACACAGAGAATAGCTATTATGTAAATGTCCCACTCGTCTCCTAGCAACGCAATAAACACATTATCAAATAAAGAATTGTATCTTTCACTACTTTGCACTGCCTAAAGAGAGAGAATGAGGTCATTATTAATAAATATTAAGGATACCTTTAATATGGTGTCATAATAGAATAAAGCGTTGAGTTTAAGGAGTGCAATATTGACAGGAACAGCTGCCTCAGGGCTGGACTGATACGACAAATCATAATATCTCTTTGCCAAGTGATAGTCCTGGAATGATAATTAGTGGGTGGAGCTAATAGGTGGAGCCTCACCTTTTGTAACCCAATACCGTTTTCATACATGTAGCCCAGATTAAACATGGCTTGTGCGTTACCCATACGGTCTGATGCTAGCCGATATTGTTCAGCTGCTAGTACATGGTCCGTCTCTGTCCCATACCCGTAATAATAATAATCACCCAATTTAACACGAGCAGCACTGTAACCTTCAGGAATGAAACAAAGTGAATGGCCATAACTTGGAAATTTGAACTAGGAGTCAGCTCAAACGTTCTACACAGCATAAGGACATCAATATGTATCAGAAAATGTAATAAAAATTTGGGGTGATTTTTGAGCCATTTTTTGGAAAAAGGTAGAGGACCTTGTTACCTTGTGTTGCTGATCTGCTCCACATTACTAGTGCTCTCTTTAAAATTTCAGTTTTATTTAACATTACACTAGTTTCATCTAATAAAAGAATTATTATTATTATTATTATCATCATTATTCACCTTCCTCCAGTATAAACCCAGCGTTACATTGCGCCACTTCAATGCCCAGTTCTCCCAAATGTAAATACATCAATAATGCTGAGTCAGCGTCTCCTGTTGTGTATAAATGATATGCTTCCCTGTGTAGCCACGCCCACTTCCCCCTCTCCGAAACAGATTTATACAACTAAAAATAAATAAATAAATAAATGAATAAATGATCCATACTTCTACTGCTTGATTACAATTCTTTCTTCCTGTCAATCCTTTAGTTAACGCCTCAGCTAAATGAAACTGGGCTAATATATGACCTACTCATTAATCAATCAATTAATTATCAATTAATTTATTAAGTACCTCCTTGAGATGATGATATCTGTAAACTGGACACTCCACGAACTGGATTGGCCTGTTTACCTAACCCGTCTAACAAACAAACAAACAAACAACAACATGAATCAACAACAAACAGTTCCTGTACATAAGTATCCCATCCCCAGGTAGAGGTGAGCCTCGGGTGATCCTTTATCGACAGCTGTCTGGAACAACTCCATTGCATGAGTATAATCCTATGCAACAATAATAATAATTGATTAATTCATTAATTACTTTTTTAACCCCTAGGCCATAGAAGTACATAATACCCAGTCCAGTGTAGCCTTCGGCTGTTTTCTATTAATAAAATTAATTTATAATGATATGCGTGCATGCGTGTGTGCATGCAGACGTACATGTTCAATAGCTTTTTTAAAATACCTAATGGCCGTCTCGTTACTCTGAGGTATCTCAGGTGGGCTCCCCTCAGCGTAGATCTATTAGGTATTAATGAGGTAGGCGTGGTTTCTGGCTTACCCTTCCAATGAGTCCATAAGCAATTGGGGAATCAGCTCTTTGCAACAGATCAAGTGCTAGCTAATAAAACATTTATTATTAATTATTCAATTAATTATTGGTTACTGGTAAATTTCTTTCAACTCCGCCCAGCCCAAATAAGTAATAAAGTCCAAGGGATAGCTATAAATATAATTAATTAATAATTAATTAATTAATGAGATACCTGTGCACCACTGTCAGCAAACACGTCTTTATAATGGTCGACCTCATCATCCGTGATACCAGCAAACACACTAGACTATGAATAAATAATTAACTAATTGATTGATTGATTATTAATTACTTCTTCGTCTTCCTCTATCAGTCTTATTTTACTGATAGTGTGTGACCCTCCAAATATGGAAGCATCCTTAGCAACTGCAGTTATCAATTGTCATCAGTAGTTATTAGCAGTTAGTAATGGTCATTAATAGTTATTAATAGTTATTAATGGTTATTAATACCTTTACTGGCCACTTTCCTATAATATGATAAAGCAGTTTCACAACTTTGGGGAGTAGCCACACCGTGAAAAGCACGATATCCCTTTAAAATAAAACAAACAAACAAATAAAATAAACAAACAAATAAATATATGAACTAACTGATATCATTTGTGAAAAACTGTTTCCTCCCAGTGCTCCAAATGTATAATACAAAATTGCCTAATAAAATTAATTGAAAATCAATTAATAAATATTCTGTATACTTTAGCTTGACTTGAGTTTACTCCAATGCCAAGAGAATACAAAAACCCTAAACCCTAAAATAAACAAACAATAAATAAAATAATTTGTTGGGGTTGTTGTTGTTTACTTGTTGTCCTGAAGGATATCCTTTGTTTGATAGTTTAGTGAACAACTCAAAAGATTTACTAAAGTTTCTCTTAAGGACATGTCCATACTAGTTATTGACAGATGGTTAATTAATAATTATTAATAGTTATTACAAGGTATCCGTATGCCAGCTGTTCAACTGCTTTATTGTTACCATCACTAGCCACTTCTTTCAATAGCTCATAACCTCTTTATTAATCAACCAATTAATTAATATTATTATTAATTATTAATATTTACTTTGCTTTATCTTCAAAGTTATATCTAGTAATAAGTTCAAGTGCAGTTCTATAATCTCCTATACAATATTAATATAAACGTGTCACTTTAATTCAGCAGACATTACTGTCTCTTGGTTCCTCCTCCTCTTCAATGTCAGTCGGTTTCATCTCTTCCTCCTCTTCTGTGCCTTTGGTCTTATCTTTTAACTGATTGTCGTCATGGTGATCCGAGTCATCATGGCGACTGGTGTCATCGTCATGGTTACCACCTACACCATCAGGTGGTTGGCCTTCGTCACTCAATTCAACCTCATCTCCTCCCTCTACCTCTAAAAATAAAACAATAAATAGTTATGACTATTAATTAGTGTTTGTCTTACTTTTATCATCATCATCATCGTTGTTGTTGTTCTTTAAAGTTTGTGATGACTGTGGCCTTGAATCATCACCTAAAATACATAAATATAATAATAATAACATAATAAAAAGCTTTTATATAATTATTTTACTTTTAATTAATGGAAATGTAGTCAATAATATTAACAATAAAATGGCCTTCATTGATTTGGTGGATTAAAAGTAATACGTTAAATAAGAGGAGACCAGATATCTACGGTATCATTCATTAATAAGGGGTGGAGACAAAATCAAAATAATTATTGTAAATTAGAGTATAAACGGTATCCAATTGGATGGGCGTGGCTTGATAAATTTTAGTGTGAAGTTGTACTGTGCATGTTAAATCCTGTGTGGTCGACCATTAGTAGTCTTTAAGACCTCCTGACCTTTAGAGGAGCTACTGGAGCCACTAGTGACTAACTGGACGAGGTAAAGGACTTGTATAGGTACAAATCTAATCAACAATAGTATTGTACTCGAGATTATACTGTGGCTTATGATAATTTGATAGTAAATTATTATAGTATAGTTTCAATTGAAGCCTTTTGACTCACTGCTTCATCTGTATAATGCAATAATGGATATGACTGTAGGGTACCACTGTGTGTGAGAGAGAGAGAGAGGTAAGGGGGGGGGTGAGGTTATTACAAGAGATATTCCCACTTGCACCCAGTGTTGCTATAGTAACGTCATAGATCATTGATAGAATTCTTACTCCCTCAGGCTCTGATATGTAAACAATAGACTATTATTATACACAACACCTACATGTACTTTAAACACATGGCTATATACTGAGGAATATTAATCATTAATAGAGGATCTTCCCTCCTTATCATCATGAGTCCTCATTAGTAGTACACAATGTGCATTACAGGCATACTTTAACTTATTAATAGTACATGATGTGTATAGTAACTGATTTATTTTTAATGGAAGTTATGGAGCATAGGAAAAGATAACATGTAACTTATTGTAAATAAACTTGTCATGTTATTCTTTCACACACACACACACACACACACACACACACACACACACACACACACACACACACACACACACACACACACACACAGATGTACTGACTTCATTTTTAATAATAATAATAATAATAATAATAATAATAATAATAATAATAATGTATTAATTAATAATAATAATAATGTATCAAGTGATTTATTGGTTATTATTAATGTAGGATGACTGAGTCAGCAGTGGTTGGTTTTAAAATGAAGTGCCGTTCGATGAAAGATGAGGATGTCATTTTACATTATTCTTACTCTGAAGCTGTAGAGTCTGTTTTGAAGTGGATCGAGGTATGAAAAATTATATTATATTTGTATTAATTAGATTATTTATTTATTTATTTATTGTATTAATTATTAACAGGATTGCACTGGAGCTATTAAAAAAGAGGATCAATCATTATTTGATTTTGTACAAGATGGGATCATCCTTTGCGAGTAAGTACATGATATTTAATAATATTTTATTAATAATAATGTTAATATTATTATTAATATTTAATGTTGTTTATTAGGTTGCTTCAGTCTTTAAGAGGAGGCCAAATAAAGAAGATTAACAGAGTCAAGAACAGGTTTGCCTATTGGGTAAGCCATAATCTTGTCTCACCTTAACATTTTAAATAAATTCAAAATTATTATTATTGTTGTTATTGTAATTACAGTATGGAACCTGTATATGGCTTTCATCCTGCCACACCTACAGCTGCATATCTTGCACTTTATTGAGCAATTTCTTCTCTCTCTCTCTCTCTCTCTTTCTCTTGTAGGAGAACTTTTCCTTCTTTATACAATCTTGTAGAAGCCTTGGGCTACAGGACTGGCAGCTGTTTGATCCAGAAGACTTACTAGCTGTGTCAACAAGTAGAAACAGCAAAAGGTAAAATAAAGTATACATGAATCATGTGTGGAGTGTAGCCTCTTTATTAAGGACACCATCTACCTGCCCTCATTTCAGAGGTAAGCTTGTATCAAAATGTCCTCATTATAAAGGTGTCCTTATTATAGAGGCTACACTGTACACTTATTTTAGATATTTATTTATTTATTTATGATATTTTGATTTATGGTATTACTTGTTGGTATGTGTGGAATGTATTTTATTTGATTAATGTGTGGGAGTGGTTAATTAGTGTATTATTAGTTCTTGTATTGTCTAGTAATCAAGAGGACAAGACTCATAAAGTTAGTAATAGCCACACCTCCTTTAATTAGTACCCACCCATTATTATCAACCACTTGTAGATAATTATCACTCTTTATTCATTGTATCAAGTCTTATCATCATCAAAAGATTTCTCCGGACCGAAATTAGACATATCTTGTTTTAACAATAAAGTAAATAAATAAAAATAGTTGATTAATTAATTAATTAATTGAATCTCAGGATTATTTATCTCAATATTGCGGCTACTCATCTGATCACAAATCCCTCTCCATCCTCTCCCCTCCTCCTCCTCTCTCTTCTGAGTCTCCTCCGACCCCAACATCCCCAGGGTCCCCCATCCTCTGGATCCAGAAGCTGAGCATTGAAGAGGACCAAGAGGGACAAGAGGAGGTCCCCCCGTACCATTTCACTACCAGCACTCCATTCGAGGACTGTTCTTCTCAGTCTAGCACCAGCACTAGCACTCACGAGACTTTAACTCGTAAAGATACCTACACTGTACTAGTTCAGGCTCACAACCCTCCTCATCCATATTCGGCTGATCTTGTCTTTGTTCATGGTAGCACTAGCTCCTCAGTGCTGAGTCCTACAGCTGCAGTCCAGGCTCATAGCACCGCCAATAACAACTACTCACCTCACCACCTGAGCAATAGCTTCATAGAATCAGATGACATTGATAATACCGGTTTATTAATCGATAGCAATTATTCTCAAGTCTTTACCTCAGGATCCACCAGCCAAGAGTCTGTTCCGGCTTTTTCATCTCAAAAATCAGAGAACCCGTTTCACATTAACTTGACACAGACCTCACAGCCAGATTCAAATCACTCTCAGCTCGACTACCCACTACATAATCCTGAGCTACCTGTCATATCGGAACTTATCAATAACTCACCAATCGACACCTTTGATCTTCATCACTTGAGGGCGGATACTGCCGGTTGTCATAGCAACGGGAGTCAAACTGAGTATAGTTATTCCCAGGAATACGTTGATCGGTTAGACACCACACCCACCCCGTTACCTCTCTCCTCCTCTCTTTCAAACACAATCACAGAACCTCTCTCTGTCGATACTGTCACTACCACTGTCACCAGTGTACCCTCCAGTGTACCGGCCAGTGTACCAGTGTCTGCTAGTCCTCCTGTTGTAAGGAAGGATATAGTTACCGAGGACCGGAAGCCGTCTTATTATTATTATAGATACAGTCTCTCTCATCAGAGAGGACATTTAAAGAACAAGGAACAGCAGCAGCAGCAAAGAGGAGAAGGAGAAGAAGAAGACATGACAGCTAGACTGAGACACATGAAGGTAGTTCCTTCCACTCGGAGCCAGTCGGACTTGATTGAGATGAGTTTGGAATTGAGTGATGGAGAAACTGATTTTGGATTTACTGTCAGTAAGGATAATGCTGACATCATTATTGGTGACGTTAGAGAGGGTAAGAGTGTGTTTGTGTACTTTTTGTTTGTTTGTTTGTCAACATTTTGTTGGAATTTATGTTACGCAATATTTGTTGACAGGTTTGGCTGCTAGTAGGTGTGGTCTTAAGGAAGGGGACGTATTAATAAAAATTAATGAAATATTGATAAATGATGAATCAATTACTCAAACCAATGATCTATTAAAAGAAGTAAAGTATTAATTATTAATTTATTTATTTATTATTTATTTTATTTATTTTTAGGCTGTATCTGATGGTAAAATCCTCATTAATATTCATAGACCAGATAAATTAATGGGTTCTGGTGCTGCAGTACCAAGCAGTAGCCTAGCAACCACTGTATCATCAAACGGTAGCCTAGCAACCACTGCACCATCTAACGGTAGCCTAGCAACCACTGCACCATCAAACAGTAGCCTAGCAACCACTGCACCGTCAAACGGTAGTCTAGCGATGCCAGTCCTTCGTCCGCTAGTTATTAACAGTTTAGACGTACAGCGGGTCCAATCAGATGCCCTCCCTCACCACATGACAGCTTCACTAGTCTCAACTAACAGAAACCACCACCAGCAGCAGCAGCAACAGTCTAGCAGTAGTCCTCTCTTTGACTATATTGACCCGAGCAGTGTGGCCCTAGAGATTCAGAGTATTGACTCTCATCTCTCTTCCTCCACCATTGAGACTGTCAGTGATACTAAAGTCAATCCTGTTGGTGGGGGAGACAGAGTTCCTAAAGTGTTTGTTGGTAAGAGCTATTCTGCTGTGGAGCTGCCCACTAGTGAAGGGGCAACACTCGAGTCTGCTGACGTTACTAAGAGAAGAGCTACCGTAGCTTATAAACCACCAGCTGGTAGGACAGAGTCCCTCCCTCCATTAGGGAGTGGGCTGGGCCTTACTAACCTCTCTATTGAAGATGTGTCCAACGTCAGTAAACTAGAGATGGATCAGATATGGAAAGAGGTGGAGTATGATTCGGAACCACACCCTCTTATTCTATCAGCCGATGATGATGAAGACGATGACACACCCTTTAAAGCCACACCTCCTATAACCACACCCACTGATAAACGACCTACTTCTACAGCCACGAGTGATCCTGTTCTTGCAACTGATCGTCATGACAACAGTCAATTAATAAACACATCAAAAGAATTAATAACCAGAAGAAACTCGACTGCAAGTACTAAAGGTATCGTTAATTAATAGTTATTAATAGTTATTAACTAATTAGTATTCATAGGTATTGATGCACTGTTGAGTACTCTCCGTTCATTAAATGAGAAGATTGGTACTTACGATGAGGAGGAGGAGTTTAAACTGTTGGAACAACTACTCCAGAGTAATAAATTTAAAAAAGCAAAAGATGTAAGTAATTATTAACTAATTGCTTATTAATTATTATTAATTAATTACTTATTAATTAGTTTCATGACAGAATGAGAGAATTGATTATCAAAACTGATGAAGCCACACCCACTCCAGTAATCAAACGCGCACTACCTCTTGTCAGACAGGTAACCATGACAACTCATGTTTAATTATACATGTACCTGTAGCTCCGGAATGTTCTCCATGACAAGAGCACTGAGAAACTGGAAAGAGACAATGAGGAGTTAAGACGATTATTGAGAAAACCTCACGTGCAAGTAAGTATATTTAACCCTTTGATCACTCTATTATTTAACCCTTTGACCACACCTACAGGGTCTCATGTTCTGTCACGATAAGGTCTCCACTAAAGACCTTTATGTTCCTGCCACATTCTTCCCTCGCTCAGCCCAAGACACAGAAGATGTTATCCTAACTCATTCTTGTGTTGATCTTTATAACGGATCATTATTTGTGTCTCAAGAGGCTCCTCTTAGCAGAGATGTCCCCAGCAGCAGGAAAGAGAATGCCACCATAGTCTACCTTCAGAGGAGCAATAGACCACTAGTGAGAGGATTAATTAATTGATTAATTAATTAAAAATTAATTAATGATTGTAATGAATATTTAATTAGGGTTGCACTATATACAAGCAAGGTGATGCTGTCTTTATTGGGAAATTGTTAAAAGGATGTGATGCTGAACAAAGCAGTGAGTTATTAATTTATTTATTAATTAATTAATTTATTTATTTATTTTATTTATTTATTTATTTATTTATTTTATTTATTTTATTTATTTATTTATTTATTTATTTTTAATATTAGGTGTATTAAGAGAAGGTGATGAATTGTTAGAAATTAATGGAATTGCTTTGATTGGAAAAACTACGGATGAGATTATTAGACTAATGGTACCTTACAGTTTATATGTACATACCCGTGTATTGCTGTGTAGAAAGTTTGAGTTGATTTTGACAAAAAATTTCGAGTTATTGCTATTTTAAAAATAGGCCAATTTTTCAAAATTTTCCTGTACTATAGCCTATGGTTTTTTCCAAAAAATGGCTCCGAAATCATCCCCAATTTTTATTACATTTTCTGATACATATTGATGTCCTTATGCTGTGTAGAAAGTTTGAGCTAATTCTGACTTCAATTTTTAAAGTTACGGCCATTTTAAGAAATGGACCAAAATCTGAAAATTTCCCTGTACTATATAGCCCATGGTTTTTTCCAAAAAATGGCTCAAAAATCACCCCCAATTTTTATTACATTTTCTGATACATATTGATGTCCTTATGCTGTGTAGAAAGTTTGAGTCAGTTCTGACTTCATATCGATGTCCTTTTGTTGTGTTTAGTCAGGTGAAGCCGGTAAAGTGCTTGCTTTCACTCTGATTCCAGTTCACGATGATTCTGAGATTGATTTTGAATATCAGGAGGTATCTAATGAATACACATAACAATTGATTAATAAGCAATTAATAGAAATATGTTAGAGCTCATTTCAGTTATGATGGTGAAATTGATGAACAGGTTCCCTGTAAGGAGTTAGCCCTGAGCTTTAGCAAAGGAGAAATACTTGAAATATCTAACCAAGACGACCCAGACTGGTGGCAGGTTAGGGAGAGGGGGAAGATGGTGGTTATTGTTCTTTTTTAGGCTAGGAAGGTTTTTGATGATGGAGGGGAATCTCTGCCTGGATTGATCCCTGCTAGGCAGCTCCAGCAAAAGTATGTACATGTATAATTGTATGTATACATGTACATTTACATTTAGTATTTTATGTACATGTACATGTATATACTTGCCTTATTAGGAGAGAAGTTGTGAAAGAGTCCTTCATTTTATCATCATCAACCGAATCAAGGAACAGACGAAAAGGTAATTAATTAATTAATTAATCAATTAATTAATACTTTAATTAATAGGTTTGTTATCACGATTATCGAGAAAAAAGAAAAGAAAAATATATTACAACCAGGGACCCTTGAGTGGAGGTTAGTAGATACTGAGAATGAATATCACAGAACCTTTTCCTCTGGTTGTCCTACATCTAATAGTATTTCAATCTGTCGGTCATGAAGTTGCTACGTATGAAGACGTTATCAAGTTGATGCCAGATTACTCAAGAAGGAGACCCATCGTATTAATAGGTAATATAAAATGGGTGGAGCTTAAAGTAGGTGTGGTTTGTCATTAATTAGGTGCTCCATCAGTTGGTAGACGTACATTGATGAAGAAACTGATTGAATCCAATCCTCGACATTACTGTGCCTGCGTACCACGTAAAGGGTTAAATATAATACTAGTTATTAATAGTTATTAATAGATACGAACAGGCCAATGAAACCTGGAGAAATGAACGGAAGAGAATATCATTTTATATCACGAGAGGAAATGGAAGAGTATATATCTAATGGGAAGATGTTGGAGTATGGAGAGACGAAAGGTCACTTGTATGGGCTCTCTGTTAAAACTGTTAAGAAAACAATCGAAACTGGAAAGATACCAATACTGGACCTTCATCCTCAAGTAAATAGTTATTATTTATTCATTAATTATTATTATTATTATTATCATTATCATGATATAGGCTCTTAAAGTGATTGGTTCCTCAGGATTATTGCCATATATAATATTCATAGCATCACCACGGATTGACAGACTGACCATGACAAGAAGAATGACAACTGAGAAGCAAAAAAGAAAAATGGCTAATTCATCATCTTCTGAAGGAATCCAGAACATACAACAATCATTTACCGTATGTCACTAAAGACTATTAGTACTGCACTATTAGCTGCTCCATGTGTGCCTCTGTTAGATCTACAGGGAGACCTTTGGTCTTTCATTTGGTCTAGGTCTCCTAAAATCTCCCATTTTTAGTTAAATTGTCTCCCAGAATTCATTTATAGGTCTATTAATTATTATTATTATTATTAATTTTACAGGAATCAGAGTTATTGCAGTTATACCAGTCCTCCCAGGAGATACAGATTGAGTACTCTCACTATTTTGATTGGGTCATAGTTAATGATGATCTCTCAGTCGCCTCTGACATGTTGATTGAAGTTGCCCGAAGGATTGAGGAGGAAGTTCAGTGGGTCCCTTCTTCTTGGGCTGAAGATGTTTGAACATAATTATACATAGTTTTTATTTGTTTTTAAATATTAATGTCCAGCTGGCATCATAGACTCTGTCTGCTAGCACTCCATTATTCAGTCATACTATTGTCTCTATCTATAATATTAAAATTATCATGATTTTATGAAAAGTAACTGTAGACCATGCAACAGCACGTGGTTAAAGTATACTAAAATTTTACTAAATTGACAGTTTTGACGTCACTTGCATATGCAAGATTATCCTGAAAGTCTATCAAACACGTGTAGAGAAAGTATACGGAAAGTGTTGGATAATAGACGGGCTCCACGTGGTGAGATGAGCAAGAGAAAGAGAGACGGTCCCTCAGTCCCTGAGAGGCTAAAAGAGGATCCAGAACCCTCAGAGGAGGCCCTAGAGACACACTTTGATCTAAAAGTGAATCATTAATATAATTATGGATACTTTATTGTACATATGTTACCATGGCAACCATTTTAGGATGAATTAGTTTTGGATGCTGACGATGAAGAAAGCGACAATGAGTCATTGGAGTGGGAGGAGTCATCGGTTTGTGGGCAGGGCTTACTGATACTTGTACGTATTATTGTTTAATTAATAGGAAGAGGTTGATAATGAACCAGCTGAAGAGGGTGAGCATAGTAACCTTGAAGAGGAGAAGGAACAAGTTGATGATTATGATCCATGGGATGAAGCAGAGTATACTGACACTTCAGATGAAGAGGTACTCTAACCGTGGACACTGTACTACCTTATTCCTTTTTAGGAGTTACGTAACACAGTGGGGAACATCCCGTTGGAGTGGTACGAGGACTATCCTCACATTGGGTATGATCTTGATGGGAAAAGGATCCTCAAGCCACAGCAAGGAGACCAGGTTGGTAATATTAATAGTTATTATGTTTTTTATTGTTATTGTAGCTTGATGAATTCTTAAAAAGAATGGATGATCCCAATTATTGGTAACTATTATTTATTTATTTAATTTAATTAATTAATTTATTGTTAGGCGTACAATTACTGACAGTACAACTGGTAAAGAGACTGTACTGACTGATGAGGACATTGATCTCATTGAGAACATTCAGAGATCACAATATCCACAGCCAGGATTTGATCCTTATGAAGTATGCTGTATTTTAAAATTTCCCTGTACTATAGTTCATGCTTTTTTTTCCAAAAAATGACTCCAAAACCTCTTCAAATTTTTATTACATTTTCTGATGCATATTGATGTACACACTCTCTCCTCCATTAGCCATATGTTGATTTATATTCGCATGAGAAGATGGTCCATCCTGTCTCTAATGCCCCTCCTTCCAAGAGATCATTCCTTCCTTCTCTATGGGAGAGGAAGAAACTAGTCAAACTAGTTCGTGGTATCAAGTTAGGTATCATTAAACCAATCAAGAAACCTGAAAAACCGCAAGTATACATGCTCTGGTCATCAGAAACTGAGGTAGGGAGAGAGGGGGTGTAGGGATAATGTTTATTTCTTTTGTAGAATGACAAGTTAAGACCCCATCAGTTCATCCCGGCCCCTAAGGCAAGATTACCAGGTCACGGCGAGTCTTACAACCCGCCCCCAGAGTATTTACCATCAGATAAAGAAGTAAGATGATCAACGATCTGTTGCTTAGTCTTGTTTCCATAGCGACTGGAATGGGAGGGGTCAAGTGTTAAAGACCGACGTCCTTTTATACCAACAAAGTATGAAATTAAATTATTGAATTACTGTTAATTATCATTATTATTATGATTAGGTATCCTTCCTTGCGACTAGTTCCTAGATATGAGAACTTTGTCAAGGAGAGATTTGATCGTTGTCTTGATTTGTACCTCTGCCCTCGTCAGACGAGAATGAGAGTGAGTTATCGTCTGGGGGTCTGTAGTCTATACTACTGGTATCTCCTTAGATTCAAGTGGAGCCTGAGCAGTTGTTGCCACAGTTACCAAAACCAAAGGATCTTCAACCTTTCCCTACCACAGAAGCAATTGTAAGATAACTTCCCTCTCGCTCCCTCTCTTTCTATTCATGTTCTTCCTGTAGGTTTATGAAGGTCATTCTGGTATGGTGAGGAGTATTGCTGTTGAAAATGAGGGACAATGGCTGGCATCAGGTAATTGATATTAGACTCATCTTAAAAGAATCTTCTCTTAGTATCTACTGATAACACACTAAGACTTTGGGAGGTTGACACTGGTAAATGTATTAAAGTGGTCCCACTCCCTGGAAAACCTTCATCAGTTGAATTTATAACTAACGTTAAGATGAGTATTGTCTCTGTTGCCTTGTAAGTTAATCAGTTGATAGTCCTCCTGGTTGATTCTCTGTCTTTTAGTGATGATTCCATATTACTGATCAATCATGGTCTCACTGATAAACTTGATGTCATTAGCACTGATGCAGCACTAGTGGCATCAGGGGAGGGAGAGGAGGAAGAGGGAGAGAGAGGAGGAACAGAGACAAAGCCTAAACCAGTTGAATGGAGGACATACACTGTCACTGATGAGGAGTATAGCAATGGATACAGACTATCACTCAAGCACTATAAGGTAGTGTCCTCCCTTTAATATAACGAATGAATGAATCAATCAATGAATCAACCAATGAATCAATCAATGAATCAATGAATCAATCAATCAATCAATCAATCAATGAATCAATCAATCAACCAATGAATCAATCAATCAATGAATCAATCAATCAATCAATGAATTAATGTGTGGGTATCCATTCATGTTTAGACTGTGTCTCAAGTCACTTGGCATCACAAAGGAGATTACTTTGCATCTGTTACTGAAGGAGGTTAAGCTTTTATTAATGATTAATTGATTTAATTAATTAATTATAATGTAGGCGGGTCTAACACTACTTGTATTCATCAGTTATCTAAAAGACAGTCACAGGTAACCGTTACTGATAATAGACACTGTTACTAATAATAGATGATTTTTATGATGTTTTGTTACTATTAATAGAATCCGTTTAAGTCTCTCAAAGGTTCTGTCCAGAAGGTTCTATTCCATCCATCAAAGCCGCTCTTCTTTGTTGCAGTAAGTTTTCATTCTCATACTTACATTCCTATTCCTACAGACTCAAACCTATGTCAAAGTGTACGATCTTGTGAAACAGGAACTGGTAAAGAAGCTGACCCCCGGGGTCAAGTGGATATCCAGCATCGACATACATCCTAAAGGTGTGCTCCTGACCACACCCACTTAATTAATTAATTAATAGGTGATAATATAATAATTGGAAGTTATGATAAGAGACTGTGTTGGATTGATATGGATCTCTCCACTCGTCCGTATAAAACACTGAGGTGAGGTGGGTATACCTGATTATTGTGGGTCGGGATTTTGGAAGGTGCAAATTTGTGTTCCTTTGTCAGTTAAAACTTGCCATTGCGAAAGATTTGGTGATTCATCTAAGTTTTATCACTTTCCAGCTGTACAATGATTTAATCTTTGTTTCCAGCTGCAGTAATTGTGGGGGAGTTGAAAGTAACTGCTGTCACTGCATGTCACTGAACTCTCGGTGTTACCATCATCACACTGCACACCTCATGAATATCATTATTATAATTATTGTTGGTATATAAGAGACTGCAGTTAGTCTAAACTTAGTCAGAACTCCTCCAGCGGTTCGATGATATCTTTGACCATCTGAACATGTTTCATCTTTGCTTTGATTTGTCTCTTGTCTCGTAACATTTCTTGTTCTGAGTTGTGTCAGAGTGGTTCACCATCTTAAGGAGAATATCTTAAGGGAGATTGTGGCATGTCTTCTCTCGTAAGACAATGCTAAAACTACTAACAATACAGGTGCCATAATTAATGGGATACTGTCCAATTATTCGATTGTTTGCTGCAGCTCTTCAGCAGCTGGTCCTGGCCCCTCAATTCATTCCGTTGGACTTGTTGCCACCACTTTTATCTTTGCCTTTGTTTTATTTTAAATATTATTATCATACCAGCTGCCGCTTTTTGTAGTAAGAATTGCATTTTAGCTCTTTTTGAACTGTAAACTTGACCAGGTTTTGTTTAATTTTTAAACCTTTTTTATAATAAATTAATTTGTAGCAGTTGAGTAACTTGACCAATCCATTTTAATTGGATTAACAGTAGCACCTCCTCGTGTCTAATCAAGTTATTTATTTTATAGACACCATCGTCAGGCCATTAGACAGGTCATATACCATCGTTCCTATCCGTTGTTTGCTTCTTGCAGTGACGACAACACAGTGATAGTGTGTCATGGTATGGTGTACAGGTAAACCATTGGTGGGTTTAAGGGGGAGAGAGAGAGGGAGTATTGTAACTAACTGCAGCAAATAATGACCAGGGTTTCCCACAAAGCATGCTAAGTGAGCTAAACAGCATGAGCTTCATGAGCTGACAAGCACTACAATACAGTACATGGCATTTGGAGCAACTTTAAAAATTCGTAAAAAATCCAAATTTGATCGGAATCAGCTCAAACTTAGAACATGTATATGTATCAGGAAACATTATTAAAATGGAGATTTTTCTCCTAGTCATTTTTGGTGAAATTTGGCCAAAATCCCTGTACTATAGTACAGGGACTTTGACCCAATTTTGGAGCAACTTTAAAAATTTGTAAAAAATCCAAATTTGATCGGAATCAGCTCAAACTTTCTACACAACATTAGAACATGTATATGTATCAGGAAACATTATAAAAATGGGGAATTCTCTTTTTTTCATTTTTAGTGAAATTTGGCCAAAATCCCTGTACTATAGTACAGGGACTTTGACCTGATTTTGGAGCAACTTTAAAAATTCGTAAAAAATCCAATCTTGGTCGGAATCAGCTCAAACTTTTTACGCAACATAAGAACATGTATATGCACCAGGAAATGTAATAAAAATTGAGAATTCTTTCCTAGCCATTTTTTGACAAAATGCCCTTTACTATAGCCTATGATCATGGTTATTGACCAAATTTTTGGAGCAAATTAAAAAATTCGCTGGCAAGAAGCTGAGCTATGCCAAAATCTTATGGGAAACCACTGGTAGATGCTGTAGTAGCTAGTACAATTGATAGTATAAAACCAGTAGTAGTGAGTGTTGGGTGGACTCAGTCTTATTGTCTGGTCTCACGTTTGCTCCTCCTTTTGTCTTGTTCCGCTAGTGACCTAATGCAGAACCCACTGATAGTTCCTGTTAAGGTTCTACGAGGACACACCTCAGTTGATACTTTAGGTTAGCAGCTGTTGTTGTTGTATATTTGTTAGTTGGTTTAATTTCATTTTCTCTCAAAATGTCCTTGTAATAATATTTATTTTGTGTCATGTGACTTGCAGGTGCATTGAGCTGTGCTTTCCATCCAAGCCAACCCTGGGTCTTCTCAGCAGGGGCAGATTCATTAATAAAACTATATACTTAATTATTATTATTATTATTATCATTATTATTTGAAACAAAGTAATTGACAGCACAAACTATTAAATTTCACATACGACAATCAATTAATTAATTTAGAACGACAATAACGTATTCATTTATTTAATTATATTTTTAACAGGCGCAACCTTTCCCTCCATTTCCTCCGCCCCTAGTATTATCCAGTGCTGTCACTGCTATCACTCCTTCATTCTGACCTCCTCCCTCCTCCTTCTCCCCTTGCTCATGCAATAGTTTCGCCAGGCCCTCAAACGCCTCATGGATTCCTTTCCCAGTCTTACAAGAGATCACAGCATCACGATCAAACGTGTGCATCTTAGCAAACTGCTCTGCTGTATAGTCATCGACCTCTGCCTCTAGATCGGACTTGTTACCAATGAGCATTCTTATTGCATTTGGGGCAAAGTTCTGAGTGTCTTTCTCCCACTGTGTGAGGAAATGGAGGGAGGAAACGTCAGTTACGCTGTATATGAAAACTGCTGCATGTGCGTTTCTGTAATAGTTTCTTGTTAGAGTTCTAAACCGTTCAACACCAGCTGTATCCCAGATACTCATCTGAATGTGGAGATAGAGGAACAATCACATTATTATTTATTTAAGGATATTTTATGCTAACAATAAACCTGAAGCTATCTATTTACATTACAGATTTTCTGTTACCACTTCCTTCCTTACTGTAATTGACTCTCCGTCAACTTTGAACACTTTAGTGCAGCTGTCAATTCCTTGAGTCGAGGTGGAGAACTCGTCAAAGATGTTTTCTTTGATCCGTCTAAACAGGGACGTTTTTCCTACCCCTAGCTCTCCCAGCAGTACTACCTTGTACGTAGGACCACGACCCGTCCCAAGTGACATTTCTAGGAGCTAGTATCTTTGTTATCAGATCTTTCTACGGGTCTATAAGCTCTGCCTTCTGTTCTCTCCCTCTTGTACCATGGGCGGGGTAGGAGGTTGTGTCTACATGACCCACTGAGGGGAGTGGCTCATCATTGCAGCAGCTATGCATGCATGCATGATTGAGCTGCTGTTCCATACGTGGGAGAGAACTCATCATGGCCAATAGAATGTCTTTCCTTGGAAGAAATAATTCTTCAAGCTCTATTCTTGACGGCCCCAGACTGTTCTACCACAAAGTCTGCTTGACTGGAGTGAGTAATGTTGGAAAGACCAGTCTATTCCTGAGAATGAAAACAGGAGTGTTCCCTGATGCTCAGACTGTATCTACTAATGGAGTGGACACACAGCTGTTAGTGAGGAACGTCACTGGGGGGAAAGTTGGTGTAAGTGGCAATAATAAACCCAGCTTTAGATCTATATCTTGAATTAAATTGTCCTCTATTTTATTGCATTAGATGTCACTGAATGATACGCTCGGGGTTGAGAAGTGTGGAACACTAACAGCAAACTATTTCAAAGGAGCAGAGTGCATCCTGTTCATGTTTTGTATTGAAGACCAGTATTCATTAGAGAGTCTTGATGACGCCATTAAGGAGACCAGCAAACACGTTACGTCTTCAACCTGCCTGTTCTATCTAGTGGCCAATAAAGTTGATCTCATGTCTGAGATTACAGCGGACAGAGTCACTGAAAAACAAATTGAACTTGATTGCAAGAAAGTGTTCTACATATCAGCAAAAACGGGTGAAGGGATTGATGAACTTTTTGATGGAATTGCAACTGATCTAAACATGAAGGCAGTGAATACTTTACCGGAAGTATCTCGCATTCAGCTCCATGTTACCCAAACCCAGGGAGGACATGGAGATAAGAAATGTGCTTGTTAAAAATTAATTTAATCGTATAAATAATAATATTGATGTGCTAGTCTATTTAATTTATCAAAATATTGTCATACATTATTACTGCATGGTGTTACTATGAAGCAGTTATGATAGAAAGATTCATGTGATTGTTCAATTGGTATAGCCCAGTCTAGTAACACTCTCAACAGTGTCAACGAGTTACTCCCTCAGCTTTTACTTCCTTATGCTGCAAAGGCATTCTTTACTGGCAGTGATCAGCCATGACTAGTGCTACCCCAAACCGTCCTTTTCACTGCCATAAAGTGTGTCTCACAGGACAAGCTGGAGTAGGTAAAACTAGCACCTTCATGAGGATAAAGACAGGAAGGTTTCGTGTGTGGTCTACAACTAATCTACATGCAGACATGTATGAGATGACTAGACTAATAAATGGAGAAGATATTTCAGTGAGTTATGTGTATAGCCTGTACTAAATTGCTAAATGTATATATACTGGTAAAGGGTATGCAGAGTATGCATTCGCAAATGTATTCATTTTCATTGATAGATTGTCCTTCATGATACTGCTGGGCAGGAGTACTATGGAACTGTGAGTCAGAATTTCTATCGCAATGCTACAGCAGTTATCTTCATGTTTGCATACAATGATCTCCTCTCTCTTGAAAGGCTTACTTCTCATGTGGAGGAAACAACCAGACACTCACACGAGAAGTGTCTCCGCATTCTTGTATGCAATAAAATAGATTTGGAGGATGACATTATATCTAAAGATATCATTGACTGCAGACGGCAGCTACTGGAGTGCGACTGTGTGTATTATATATCAGCATGTACGGGCCAGGGGGTGAACAAACTGGTTGATGCTTTATTTCAAAGACTAGCTGCCTTTAGTAACTCTGACAACACTTTTGGAGAATCTATTAAGTTACAATCAGAGAACTTCAGTGAAAGCAGGTCTAAATGTTGTTTTTGAATTTTTTTTCTTTAATAATAAGCACATATCTATTATCATAATTTCTATGGTATCTAGAAACTATCTAATTAGAATATTCATGATTTTGAGAGGCGTGAAGGCGTTGCTCCTAAAGACTAGTCGAGGGGAAGGCTATCGCTATCATGGAAAACAAGGCTCATGACTTTGAGATGATCCTCCTCGGGGATGCTGGCGTAGGAAAGACTACTCTCTTCATTCACCTACAAACTGGCAAACCCGCAGATGATGACGTCAGACTCACCATTGGAGTGGATATTGCATACAAAACCCTCAACATAAGCGGGCAGGATGTCACAGTAAGGAGGGCTGATGAGAATTCACATTATGTCTCTGTATAATTCATTTAATAAACAACACCTCTCTCTCTCTCTCTTTCTATAGGTCAAGATAAGTGACACAGGAGGTAACGAAAGGTTCCGTACTTTAACCAGCAGCTTCTACAGGCGAGCAAACATTGTCCTCCTCTTGTATAGCATTGAGGATCAGTACACACTGCAGACTCTGCCTGCCTGGATTACTGAATGCACTGAACAGAATGAGTGTCCTGATAATCTTCTGTGGGTCCTCATTGGCAATAAAAGTGATGCAGATAATGACGTGGAACCAAGCGCAGTTGACAGTTTCTGCAAAGAACACAACATCAAAAACCGACACTTCATATCGGCTAAGTACGGCACAAAGGTTGACGACATGTTCAAATCAGTTTTGAAGGTTGCGCTAGAAAAGAGAAAGAGTCAAGGGATGGAAGCTGCATCAAATAATAATGGCTCGTCTATCAAAGTGGGGACAACTGCTATAGCACCAAAAAAAAGTACATGTTCCTGCTGAACAATGATTCCCTTTCATCTTTAACTGTTTAAACAGGGTATTATTTTTGTTGTTATTATTATTATTGAAATTGTTTATAAATAGTATTTCCATTTATAATTATTATTACTATTGACAATGTTATTTGATGTATTTAAAATAACTAATTTGTCTTCTTCTCATTCGTTATAACGTCTCTCTCCTCTGCTCCTGAAACTGTCTCTACAATAAAAATGTGAATCGTTAAAGTCACATTACCTGTTTGATGGCCTGTGTCATCAGTCACCACTCCTACACAAATTCAAAGGATATGACACTTTATAATAACTAAATTTTGCATGACTTCCATATAAAATTTTAATAAAACTAGTATTTGTACCTTCAGTTGCTCTAAAGAATGCTTTTGCAAATTCAGTGGCTCCTCCTCTATTGAATACCACAATAGCTTTTGCATTCTCGCCTATAATAGTCAAACAAACAGCTGCTGACAAAGACAATGTTAAATCCGTTTATAATCTGATATAGATAATATATCCTGATACCAGGCCCACTGAGAGGGGGGGGAGAAGGGGATAAATCCCCTGGGCCCCTCACTTCAGGGGGCCCCATAATAATGTACATTATAATTAAAGTATAATAAGTCATCATTATACATAATTAAATATGTGCCTTTCTGGCTTTTAAACACATCAAAATGATGTATGATATTATCAAAATTTAGCTGTTCTGCAAGTTTGCTTTCAATTGCTAGTGTTCCTAAGTCACTCAACTGATTTTTGGTCATATTTGAGCATTGGTAGTTCTTGTGGTTTAATTTGTAATTTTTTAAAAATTATTGCAAAGGGCCCCTAATTTTAATCTTCCCCTGGGCCCCATGTCTTCTCTCAGCGGGCCTGCCTGATACTCATTTTGTTGTTGATTATAAACAAGTGGAACTACAGTTTGCAAACACTGCCAACACTGAAGGAGTTGTTTATCATAATCATAATATCACCACTCCTCAGTTATCCTTACCATTATCACTGGTGTATTCAATATCGATGTAATTAGCACTGAATATAGGTTGATGTATCTATTAATAATCATTATTATTAATAATAATATTATTATTATCATTATATGTACTTGAATTGATTTGATTCTTGATAATCTAATAATCAACTGAAGCCCATCCCTCCCTCCTCCTCCTCCTCCTCCTCCTGACTGTATTTCAACCTTTCAATATAATTCAGTCTAAGTATAGGGTGGGTACAGTGACTCACATTATTTCTGGTTAGTCTAATTATTCCTAACACTGAAGGTTTCCCATTCAAAGTTACATTAACATCATAGTCTTCATTCATTTTATGGCACCACGTGGTTTACGTTTACTATTCTAGGATGTTTCCGTAATCTTATACTTAACCCCGCCTCTCACTCAAAATGGCGGATCCTGGAGAGGTCCAGCCACGTGATGTCCCCAGTAATGCTCTCCCCTCGCTCGCTCCTCTTCCTCCTCCTTTCCAGCCTCCAGTGGAGGTCCCTCAGACTCTAAAGACTAACAAACCTGTTGGTAAAGTCCAGCCCTTCAATCTCGACAGCATAGATCCTTCAGAACTTAGCCTCCCTCCTCTCCCTCCTCCTCCTCCTCCCTCTTTGCCTCCTCTTAAACACACTCCAGAGGAGGGATATACAGACAAACACTCTACCAGTTCCTCTAGCTCACCACCTGATGACAGCCTCACTATACACAACCACTTACCGTCACCAGCTCCTACTCTTGACCACACCTATCTCCCCAGACACAAATCCATTCATCTCTTCATCTCTCACAGTACCTCGGACATTCAGATTGTTAAGGAGTCTCTCATAGTCGTCCTGAGGGACTCTGGTCGCTCGGTTTTTGCTTGTTACCACTTCATGCCGGACTCAACGAGATACAACGACCATGAGATCAAGGACAGCATGAGAAGCAGCTGTGTAGTAGCCATTGGACTCTCAAAGGCTTACCTTCATAGTGACAGGTAAGGACTCCACCCTCTGTTGTTATAATAATGTACTTATTATTATTATTATTATTATTATTATTATTATTATTATTATTATTATTATTATTATTAACAGGTGTAAGAGGGAATATGACTATGCCCTCCAGTTGTATAACAATAAAGATATCACTAATATACTAGTACTGGCCTTTGGGACCTGCTCTCGTCCTCCAGTACTCAAAAGGTTTTTATATCTTGACTTCATGGATGCAACAAAAAGATCGTCAGTTTGGAGCAAGATGGAGGAAAACATTGGTAATGTGATATACAGCTTTGTCTGTCTTCAGCATCTTGTAATTTTGCTAGTATTATTAATACATTGAAGATGTTTAATTTTATTTTTAATTCTCTAGACAAAGCAGTTGCAGTAGCTAATGAACAATACCCAAGGACTGAAAGACCAAAAGAGAGAGAGTCACCAAAAAGTGGCGGGAGGAGTCCAGCTGCATCTGAAGGATCCTCGCCAGAAGAAATAATGGAGTACCAGGGAGCCTTTGAGGACGCACTGGTATACATGAAAGAGAAAGGAGAGGTGACGTCAGATGATGAGGACAAATATGGACACTATAAAATGAAAGATGATGAATGGATTGAAAAGGAGAGGGAGGGTGAAGGGGGTGTGGCTGAAGAAAGGAGTGACAATGATGGGTACACTAGTGATACTTTATACTATCAAACAAGAGCAGGAGACTGGGAGACGGAGACAGGATCAGAGGATGATAAAGTGGGAGGAGACATTGAAGGAGAAGGTGTGGCTACTGAGGAAGTGGGCATGGCCACTGAGAAGAGACACAAGAGGAAAAGGACAAGCAGTGACATTGAAGATGGAGAAGTGTCTGATTCATCTAGTGAAGACATGAATCCTCAGGTATGTATGTTAAAGGAATTTAATTTTTGAATCTATTTTCTGTGTAGGCTCAGAAGATGATGAAAAAGGATATTGACCAATCAGATTATGAAGATGAAGAGGTACGGCATTATTCCTCAGACCCCCTCATTTTTTGTATTACATGTAGGGTCTGGAACAGAGTGAAAAGGTTCAGAGATTTTACGACCAATTGGCAGCCCCTGGTGCCGACAGAAGAGATGAAGTAAGGTCATATTAATGATGACGACCATTTTGTTTTATTTCTAATTAGAGCCCCATCATATACATGAGAGGTTTCAACAATTGGGTAAAGAGCGTCTTAATTAGAACATACTTACCTCCGTCTGCCACTGTCCTTGACCTGTGCTGTGGGAAAGGAGGCGACCTCAACAAATGGAAAGAAGGAAACATTCATTACCTGGTTGGAGCAGGTAAGGCCACCCATTTTAACAATTATTTTTTAAATGAGGGATCGTAACATTTTATATTTGTAATAAAAAGGACAGAGAAAGGAAGTATTTTTACATTGATGTATTATTCAGATATATCAGAGACTTCAATTGAGAATTGTATTGGACGCTACAATAGCAATAAACTGATGGATAGGAGGACAAAGAAACCAGCGTTTGAAGCAGAGTTCATAGTAGCTGATTGCTGTCAGGTACTAGCTATAGACTAATGCTAATTGATCTAATTTTATACACAATATAATTGGACTATGTCACATGACAGTCACATGATCTTTAGGTACGTCTACAAGATGAGTACACTAACCCAGCCAGGAGGTTCCATGTTACCAGCTGTCAGTTCTCACTCCATTATGCTTTTGAATCTTTTGAGAAAGCAACGATGATGCTCAGGAACGCTTGTGAAAATCTAAGACCAGGGGGCTATTTCATAGGGACCACTGTTGATGCGAATGAACTAATGTGAGTATTTTTTAAAATGTAATAAAAACTTGGAATGATTTTGGAGCCATTTTTTGGAAAAACCCAAGGCTATAGTACAGGGAAATTTTCCAAAATTGGCCCATTTTTATAAATGGTCATAACTTTAAAAAATTTAAGTCAGAATTGGCTTAAATTTTCTACATACAAACAAGGTAGCACAAGGACATGTGTATGCTGAAAATGCTTCAGTACTAGCATTGTCAATCATCATGTAATAACTTAATGTTATTTCAATAGTTCAAGACTAAGAGACCGTGGTACTCAAGACGAGTCAGGTTCCTGGTCTATTAGTAATGATGTCTATTCTGTTTCACTGGATAAGGAGTTTGATCCTCACGATACAGAGGCCCCACTTCCTCTCTTTGGTTGCAAGTATCACTTTCAATTAGCTGGGGTTGTCAATGTCCCTGAATTCCTCCTGCACTATCCTCTTCTTGTGGAGTATGTTGCTTTTTGTTTGTTTTGGCTCTAACTTCTTTTCCTCCATTCCACAGGATGCTTAAGGAATGGGATATGATTGAAGTACGACATCAAAATTTCTACGATTTTTTCTCCGAACATAGACATATCCCTGACGATGCATCACTCCTATACAGAATGCAAGCCTTTGATAAGAGAACAGTAAAACCTGATCACATCATGGATCATAAATACCTTCCTTTGTATATATAGGGTACAATGTCAGCTCCTGAGTGGGAAGCCATTGGATTATATTTAATCTTTGTATTTCAAAAGAAAGGACCACAGCAGTGACACCATGTATCATAATCTAATGTACAATGAACTTTATCATCATAATGTCACATGTAGAGTACCGATAGCACTCTAATATTTATTAATCAGTTACTTGCAATATTGCTACTGATCAGTGATATATGATAGTCTTGTGTCAATCGTGTGATTGTTTTTCTTTTCCAGACACTTTCAATTATTTTGCTTCTTTCAGGATGTTGCTACAGCATATGCTGTTCATGTTTTTCCACAGATGCATGACATACGATGCAGGAAAAGAATAACATTAATTCATCACTGGGTAACTCTTCTATCCTACAATAGCTGGACCTGTTTCTCCTCTGCAGATACTGATATTATGGTAATATCAAGGACAAGGTCATTCAGGATCACTTACTTTCCTGTCCTTTTGGTTCTTTTTTGGGGCTACTTGTTTCTTTTTCATGTATTTTTTCTTGATTATTTTGGATCCAGTGTTATGAAGAAAGGTAAACCCTCCAACAAGAAAGACTCCTTGGATTGGTACAGTGGTATTTCTAGCATCTTTTTCTCTTCCTCATTTCTCTTCTATCCTCTTGTTGGATTGCTCTCTGACGTGTGGATTGGAAAATCAACATCAATAGCCATTGGCTTCAGACTCTGTTTCATAGGTTGGATTGTTGGAGGGATTGGGTACATTCTAGTATACACTTTTGAGTGGAGTGTCTGTTTTTGGGTTCCCTTTGTCATTGCATACACACTAGCTGCTTTTGGCTCCTCTTGTGTTCATGCTAATATAGTCCAGTACAACGTTGATCAGCTAATTGGAGCTTCATCTTATAAACTCAATACAGTCATATACTGGCATTGTGCCTTTGCTCCTGTTGCTGATGCTACCCTTGAGTTTCTGATATGTGCCATCAGCAGTGACTACCTTACTCTAGTCAGCTACATCATCTCAGGTGTAGCTATATCCATTGTACTCATCTCTCACTTTTACTTCAGACACAACCTGGAGACTGTTTCTCTTGTCAAGAATCCGGTCAAACTGATAGTTAGAGTATTGTGTTATGCCAGGAAGCACAAGTATCCTGAGAATCGCAGTGCTCTGACCTACTGGGAGGAAGAGGCTCCTTCAAGACTAGACCTGGGTAAGGATAAATATGGTGGACCATTCACAGAGGAAGAGGTGGAAGATGTGAAGACAGTATTTCGTATGCTGCCGCTCTTTATTGCAATAATTGGATTTTCTTTGATTGATAATCCATCTTGGGATTATGACAGCAATGCTGAATTGATGTCTTGCCTGTCTGAGACCACATGGGGATTCTATACCAGCATATCTTGCATCATGGCCTATGCAGTCTATCTTCTGATAGTGAAGCCATGCTGCAGCAGGAATACCCCAATGCTGGTTAGAATAATGATAGGTCTCATCTTCTCTGTATCTGTCTCATTGTCCAAACTCATTTTGTTTTCGTTCCTGCAATTCAATGCCGGACTAAATGCAACATTGTTTTTAATCATTCCTCAAGTACTTGTGGGGCTCTCATGGGCTTTAGTTTCTCCAGCATTGATGACATTTACAGTAGCTCAAGCACCAGTTCACATGAGAGGAGTGATGGTTGGATTGATGTGGGCTAGTCAAGGCATTGGATTACTTGCCAATGAGTTACTAATATACTCGTTTAAATGCATCAGTCATTTCATTTGTACCAACTTTTATCACAGTCTCACAATTGGATTGATCAATTTCTTCATACTGATAGTCTTTGGTGTATTTGCTAAACGTTACAAGTATCGTGTGAGAGAGAATGAAGTCAATATTGTTCAGATAGTTGATGATCATTATCAGAGATACATTGAGCAGGAGGAGGAGTACAAGAAAAGTATTCAGAACTTTCCTGTAAATTAGATAGATAGAGTTTATTCATAATTTTTGCTAAATTCATTGCAATGAAAAGGGTGGGGCTGGTGACCTGCAAACACTAAAAATGAAGGCATTTTTGTTCTTTTATTTGTGCTGTCTCTCACTCTTCTCTCCTTCTCTCTCAGCTTCTACTCCAAACATTCTCTTCGTCCTCACTGATGATCAAGACGTCACTGCCAACTCTCTTGACTACATGCCTAATCTGGGCAGGATTTTCCGCAAGGAAGGAATGGAGTTCCTCAATTACTTTGTGACCACAGCCCTCTGCTGTCCTAGCCGCTCTACCATTATAAAAGGTCAGTATTGCCACAACACTGGAATATGGGACAATGGTGATCTCAACAATTCCACTTTTCAGAGTGGAGGGTTTGCAAAATGGATAGAGGAAGGTCTCCATAACACGACCATAGCTACCATGATACAATCCCTTGGCTACGAGACCTTCCTCATCGGGAAATACCTCAATGGGTATAGTGATGCACATGCTGATGTAGTGCCCCCAGGCTGGGACTACTGGCATGGAATGACAGACACTGCGTACTATGGGCCTCATTTTTCAGACAATGGGAAGCTCCTTAAGGTACCCAAAGAGGTTTATCAAACTGATTACATTTCAGAGACAGCTACCACTCTACTCAAGAAGAGGTCACCAAACAAGCCGTTCTTCATGTACCTCTCCCCCTTTGCTCCTCATGCTCCTTCAATACCAGCTCACAGACACGAGAACCTTTTCAATGATAAACAAGCTCCTCGGACGGTTTCTTTTAATCCTGACGATAAGGTCCAAAAGGAGAAACCCTCTTGGCTGGGACATCTTCCAAAACTGACAGACAAGCAAATTGATAGCATTGACAACTTTTATAGGAATCGTTTGAGAGCTTTACAAGCAGTTGATGAAATGTTAGTGAGTTTAGAAGAAACACTAAAGGGAACAGGAGAATGGGACAATACTTATGTATTCTACATGGGGGACAATGGCCAGCACCTTGGGGACTACAGACTGCCTGGAGGAAAGAGACAAGCGTATGACACTGATATACGAGTACCCTTCCTTGTACGTGGTCCAGGGATCAAGGGAGGGTTAAAGGTAACTGAAATTGTGCAAAATATTGATCTAATGCCCACCTGGGTCAACCTTGCTGGAGGTACGATACCATCCACTTATGTGAGTGATGGCAAGAGCATAGTTCCTCTTTTATCAAAAACTGGCGGGACACAACCAGCTGTTAATGAGTTCCGCTCTGTCAGTTTAGCTGAGATGTATGGTGGTTCTTCAAATATGGGGGGCTATAGCGGTATGCCTGGATATGAGAAAGGAAGGTTCTGGAACAATACGTATCAGGCATTAAGAGTCATCAATGGATCAGACTGGGCCAGTGGTGCCAACTGGCTGTATGCCCAATGGTGCACTGGAGAGAGCGAGTTCTATGATTCCGATAAAGACCCTAGACAAGTCTCCAATACTGTAGCTGAGGTCAGCTCTACTCAACTTGCAATGCTCTCCAACCTAGTCTCTCAACTTGGTAACTGCAAAGGTGCCCAATGCCACAGCATTGATTATGTACAAATAAGGAGAGAGGTTGAGAATGGGGTCATAAAGAAGCCAACATGGAACCTTCCTTGTCATAATCCTCCAGACATGAAGAGAGGAGATGCTTCAGAGCTTTGGGAGACAGCAGATATTGACGGATTGACAGTTGAGGATTGTTCCTTTGTCCTTAGTGATGGTTTTCCTTATTCTGATGATGAAGTTGTTCCTGAGCAGTATCTCTCTGTTTGGAACAAGTGCCAGCACAACATGTAGGCACATTCTGCTGCTCTAGTAAACTGCTGATGCTGTGCTGACTGCTACAGATTGTTATTAAAAAAAGATTTTTGATTCAAATATTTGAGCAAAAGCACAAAGCATGATTATTATAATAATTATAATTTAATGTATCAACTTAATGTTTGGTAGCATTTTCTTGACAAATGGTTCGCAGTCACTTAATTGACAAACTGGATTACCACGAATATTTAACTCTTTCAATTCTGGCAAGCTCCTCAAAGTGTCAAAATCTTCCAATTCCTTAATATCTACAAAAATATACTTAAATTTTAGCATTCAAAATTTTGTTGGAATACCATTATTTTCTAACGAAAGGCTCTTCAAATTTGTTAGTCCTCCTAATGTCTTTGGCAGTGTAATAAGTTGGTTGTCGGCTAACGAAAGTGACTGAAGACTCTTTAGGTTTTTAAGTCCTTCCAGCGAATGAGTGCTGTTTAACTTGTTCCCGTTGAGGAGGAGGTCCTCAATAAATACCATGTGCTGTGTAAAGTATAGCCTCGACAAGTTCTAATAATCAATTAATTAATTAATTAATTATTATCGTATTGCTGGAGTTCGTACTAATTGTGATAGATCAAAACTATTGATATCCGGACTTTCTCTTCTCTCTTCAAGCCGTCTTCTCAGTTTGACAGCAATCAAATGACGACTCCCTAATAAATAAATAAATAAATAAATAAATAAATAAATTAATTAATTAATGAATGAATAATAATGAGAGCTATTATTACTTAAGTCATTGTAGTAGCCTCTTCTCAGTGGATCACATTTCACTAGTTTATCGTATAAATCAATTATTTCTTTATGATGCTTATCATAATCTATAGCCTCCAGCAGCTGAAGAGTTGTTAGGAGGCACCCTAAAGGAACAAAATAATAAATAAATAAATAAATAAATATAAGATTGATTTTTAGTTACATTTATTATCTGGTTCCAGCTGCAGAAGTTCCCTACACATGACTAGTTCAGAGTCCAGGACTTCGCTAGTAGCAGCTGTCAGGTAAGTACTGAACAGCAGATCAAGATCAGGAGTTAACCACAGGCTGGAGTTAGAACCTGTGTCAAGAAATATACTATCAATCTTCATCTTGGTTTCAATTGTAAGAACTAAATAATTCTATTAAAAACGGACTATTTATGCAGTACCTTTGTCAAGGCTCATTTCAACCAGGACTCCATCACCTTTTTCAATACGAACTGTCACCTCTTCATCTTTCGGAAAGACCAGATCACACGACCACCACAATGACTCAAACCTGCCGGAATCAGTGACAGGTTTGGGCAGGGCATCTCCTAGCGTTACAATAATTGGCTCCTCTTCTGTTGACTAAAATGACATCAAATGACATCACGTGATGTCACAGAGTATTGTGTGGCATACTTTGACATTTTGATTGAAAGATACAGCAATAAAAGGGGCGGGGTCACGTCTAACAAGAACACACCCAATCATAGTGCCTCTAGTGCCTGGAAAAGGTGTTGTCAAGGATTACATCATACTTACCTCGCCCTAGCAACCACTTATGATAGAACCAGGCACTCTGATCACTAGGATCAGTGTAAAAGGCATTCTGAGCCAATTCATATTCTATATGTAATTCATTAATTAATTAATTATTTAATTAATTATTATTAAATAACCTTTCTTCATTGCATTTTCATCAATGCCATTACTGCTAGAGTGGGATGGGTGGAGAAGTGGGAGGAGCTTGCTTCGATAGTGCCAAGCAGAATGATTTGAAAAGTTTGTTGCTATTTTATCAAACGAATACTTGAACTCGTCGCTGGGGGGAATCCCGGCTTTACGAATAACATATCTTCTGTAATCCCAACAGTGAACTATAAACCACACCCAGAAATAATAAACCACACCCACAACAATACTTACAGTTTCTCTCGTCATGATTAAGGAACAGGTCACAAAGCTGTTTTTCATGAGCCCACTGGGGGGCTGGGGAATGTTCCAGGACCCAGCGTCGGTGAAGCCACACACAGTAAGCTTTAGGATTGACTCTTAGGCACCTCTCTAAAATATTTAATTCCGTTTTACACATTGTCTCAGAATCCTCTTGTGAACTGGAGGAGAGAATTACAATATATCAACAACACAACACCATTACATCATTAATGACAAATACTGACCCACCAGATAGTGAACTATTAAAAGAACATACCAAGTTGGCAGCAATTCTGTGAGTATTTCTCGCCTGTAGCTCCACAGTGTCCCTACGTCAGAGTTTTCAAGCAAAACCTCTTCCGTTAACTTCAATGTGTCCCTGTCCTTCTCTCCTGCTGCACGCTACCAGTTCATGACATAATCAATAACAGGACAATAATGGCTACTGGCCCATTACTTTAGCAAATATGGACTCATTCTTCTCCCTGTACCAAAGAACCTTCTTCTCTTTCTCTCTCCTCCTCGCTTCTTCTTGCTCTGCTGTACTCCTAACCTTCAGTCTACCATGCTGGGAGAGGGAAAAGAGAAATAAATAAATAAAATTCATTAAAATAATGCTCACCATTGTTAATGGAGGAGTGGCTCATTAATAGTAGGCGTGGCTACAGCAGTGCAGCAACATGCGTGTTCTCATGGTCGCTGAGAAACCTTCTTTAGCGAAGTCTCTATCAGAAATACTCTCTCGTGGCTCTTCCTCCAGACGCAAGTCCTCCTGCAGTGCTTGTGATGTTCACGAGTTCCAGGGGAAGCTAGCAGTGCCTGGAGGAGGGGGGCCGGGACTGGCAGCCATGTTTAAGATGACGTCAGTGTGTGGTCACGTGATGTCCCTAGACTTTCAACCAAAGTACAATAACTGGGAGACGACTGACCCTGTAATTAATAATGATAATTACGATATTAACGAATGCATATAAATAATAATTAATTGTAACTTAAAATAAAGTTTGTTTGTGTTTTGTTAGTTATTATTGTATGATGCCGAGACAATGAAAAAGGAAGCCATACCATCGTTAAGAATACCGTCCTTCCTCAGACAAGAAGTTATCTCTATTGCTAATTATTATTATTAATTAATTAATTAATTAACTTTAGGGTAAAGGCGTGGATTATCTTGTCCTGTGGCTTGATTGCGATAAAGAAGGAGAGAACATTTGTTATGAGGTAACCATAGCAACTATAATGACCACACCCACTGTCATAGTTAGGTAATAAATGAGGTGGAGCCAGTCATGAAACCACCAAAGACACCAAGGACTCAGGTAGCATCAATATGTACCAGACAATGTAATAAAAATTGAGGGTGATTATTGAGCCATTTTTTGGAAAAAAGCATGGGCTATAGTATAGGGAAATTTTCAGATTTTGGCCCATTTTTTAAATTGGCCGTAACTTGAAAAATTGGAGTCGGAATCAGCTCAAACTTTCTACACTGCATAAGAACATCAATATGTACCAGAAAATGTAATAAAAATTGGGGGTGATTATTGAGCCATTTTTTGGAAAAAAAGCATGGGCTATAGTACAGGGAAATTTTCAGATTTTGGCCCATTTTTAAAATTGGCCATAACTTGAAAAATTGGAGTCGGAATCAGCTCAAAATTTCTACACAGCATAAGGACATTAATATGTATCAGAAAATGTAATAAAAATTGGGGGTGATTTTTGAGCTATTTTTTGGAAAAAAGCATGGGCTATAGTACAGGGAAAATTTCAGATTTTGGCCCATTTTTTTAAAAGGGCCGTAACCTGAAAAATTGAACTGAGAATCAGATCTACATAGCTATTAATAATAAATTTTTTAGACAATTTTCCGTGCAAAGTTCTCTGCTGTTACTGAAGCTGCCATACTTCATGCATTCAATAATTTGGGATTTCCAAACTGGAACGAGTCTCGATCTGTAGATGCCCGTCAAGAGCTGGACTTGAGAGTTGGCTGCTCTTTCACTCGATTTCAAACTAAATTATTTCAAGTAAGTCATTTAATAATAATAATAATAATAATAATAATAATAATAATAATAATAATAATAATGATAATAATTTTTTTAGTCGTTATATTCAGGTTTGAATAACTCTGTCATATCGTATGGCCCTTGTCAGACCCCTACCCTGGGTTTTTGTGTTGAGCGTCATGATGAGATCCAGCACTTTAAACCCGAAAAGTATTGGAAACTTGACTGCAGTGTTAGTGACAATCCTATATAGTCTGAGGAGGGAAATTACCAGCTGTACAGTACATGGATAATGATAATTATTTTCCTTATTAGGTGTCTCATTCAAGCAGTAACCCTCTGAGCCTTCAGTGGGACAAAGAGAGAATATTTGATCATGAAGTAATCAAGTTATTCCATTTAATGCTCACCCACCACAAGATAGCAAGGTATGGGACCAGTTTCCATGGTAACCATAACCATGGTTACCTCATGTTCTTTGTACATGTAGTGTTGAGTCTGTGAGTGAGAAGTCTCGTTCAAAGGCTCCGCCCCTCCCGCTCCACACTGTTGAGATGTTGAGGGCGTGTTCTTCAAGATTACACATCAGCCCTAAACAAGCTATGGACATAGCAGAGAGACTCTATACTGAAGTGAGTATTTAATAACTATTAATAACTATTAATAACTATTAATAACTGGAGGGTGTGTCTATATCTACATGTACCTATACATAATGCATGATCCTTAGCAAGTACAGTCTGGTACATTCACTAAGGATCCATCCAATATTGAATTGATTATTATTAATACAATAATTACTTAAACAGCTTTGTGTTACCTATAGCTACAGTACATCAAGTAGTTCAATCAAGGTTTAGTGAGTATTAGTGTCAGGTATGGTGATGGCCAGTTAATGATGTCCCCTGGTCGATATCTCTTCCTTATCTCCTTAAGGTTCTTGCTACTCTTATCAAACTGTCCTTGTAGAGTCCCGTAAAGGAACTCAATAAACTCATCAATTCCTGCGAATTGATAACTTGCTTCATTAATGACCTCGTGCCTAATCTCAAAGTTATAATCGGCTGCTAGTTTCTTGTAATATTCCAAAGGTTCGTAATAAAACGAGCTCTTTAATTTATCAAGTACTTCTTGAGAACTCCCCAGTTTTATTACTTCCGTGGCAAGATCATCGTGCTCTTTAAAATTGTGCATTGCTATAAACCCAAACCTTCCTCCTGGTCTGAGGTTCTTGTAGACTCTCTCAAACACTCTCTCCTTCTCTTTTATCCAGTGTATGACGTTGCTACAGAACACCATGTCATACTGATCCTCAGGGAAGCTTTGGTCATCAGCTACAACAAATATTAAGTTACTCCTTCCATGTCCCTTCTCTTCTATTGCCACCTTTATCCTTTCTTCATCAGGGTCAATCCCAACGACCAGTCCTTCTGGCCCCACTCTCTCTGCCAGTACTTGAGTCAAACGACCTGTCCCACAGCCAAGGTCTAACACTTTGTCTTTCTCTTGAGGAGATAGTTCTTCAATTAAAGTGAGTCCTTCCTTAAACTGGATGTCAGATAAACTGTGGTAACTTGAAGCAGCATCAGCAGCCATGACACTCACTGGCTGTTGTAATAGTACAGACCAAAAGAATGCAATTATAATGATTTCATTATATCATGCTGCTATAACATAACTTCAATTGTAAATATTACAATTATTATTATTATTATTATTATTATTATTATTATTATTATTATTATTATTATTATTATTATTATAGGGTTACATCAGTTACCCACGTACAGAGACCACCAAGTATCCAGCTGGATTTGATTTCAAATCTATCGTTTCTGATTTAAACAAAAATGAACATTTTAAAGAATTCACATCCCAGCTGCTAACTGGAGGCATCAGACCACCAAGGTAAGGAATGGGAGCAACAAATTATCAAAAATGTAGTCATGCCACACCCCTTGGGCAATAGCACCATTTACTGGTAATTTTAGAGGGGAAAGTTTTAGTGAATTCTGCCAAATTAATTACCATTTCATTTAGTGTTGGTAAGGACGTGGGGGACCATCCTCCGATTACCCCACTGAGGAACGCACCACGTGAGGCAGTCAGTGACACTCAATGGAAAGTGTATGAAATGATCACCTGCCACTTCCTAGCAACAGTAAGATTTGTAGTTAACGTACAGTACATTGTAATTATTTTAAAATTATATCTTCTTGTTAGCTTTTCCCAGATTGTAAGTACAAGCAAACGGACGTGGTGTTTTCATTAGGAGGTGAGTCCTTTTCCTGGGCGGGGCACACTCTGATCGACCCTGGATTCACACTCATTAACACCTGGCAGGCAATAGGCTCCGTCCCTCAGACTACTGCTCAGTTCTGCAAAGGACAAAAGTGGGACATTGTTCAAGTGGGTGTGGCTTAGTTTAATTAATTAATCAATCAATGGTTTGTATAGTTGGGCGTGTCTGAGCATATGACCACACCCCCTGGGTATTTGACGGAAAGTGAACTGATTAGCTTAATGGAGAAACACGCCATTGGAACAGTAATTTATTATTATCATATAATTTTAATAATAGTTATTAATGTAGGATGCTAGCATTCCAGTTCACATTGAGAATATTTGTACTCGTAATTATGTATTGATCCAAAGTGGGCGGAGACTCGTACCAACCCAACTGGGAATAGTATTAGTACATGGATACCAAAAAGTAGTTAATTAATACATTAATACATTAATTACTTCTTTTATTAGATTGATCCTGAGTTAGTGAAGCCCACAATGAGATCAGAAATTGAAAAACAACTCAACGAAATTGCTTTAGGAAAAGTATGGAACACAGCACATGTCATGCTCTCTCACTCCCCCTCTTTCTCTCTCTCTCTCTCCCTCTCCTCCCCCCTCTCTCTCTCTCTCTCCCTCTCTTTCTCCCTCTCCCTCTCTCTCCCCCCTCTTTCTCTCTCTCTCCCTCTCTCTCTCTCAGGCTGATTATGATCAAGTGTTAAGTCATACTTTGGATATCTTCAGACGAAAGTTCTCATATTTTCGTGACAATGTCTCCGGAATGAATGAGCTCTTTGAAGCAACTTTCTCTTCTGTGGCCAGCACAGCAAAACTGTTGTCAAGGCAATTGATATTCTAATTATCAGTCCATGTATGAAATTATTTCTTAGGTGCGGAAAGTGCTTAAGATACATGACGTACATTCCAGTAAAACCACAGAGACTCCACTGCAAGCACTGTGATGAAACTTACAGTCTACCTCAAAACGGCTCTATTAAATTATACAAAGTATTATTATTATTATTATTATTATTATTATTATGTTGTTGTTGTTGTTGTTGTTGTTGTTGTTGTTGTAGGAGATCAAGTGCCCCCTTGACGGGTTTGAAATTGTTATATTCTCAGGCCCACGAGGAAAAGTTAGTAATTCAAGAATATTTAGATTTTATTTTGTCCATCATTATCATCCAACCAGACCTATACAGTCTGTCCATATTGCTATAGCAACCCTCCTTTCTCTACTGTCTCCAAGGGAATGTCTTGTTCCACCTGTCCCCATCAGTCCTGCCCTCAGGCCATGAACCAGTTGTCCATCGACCATTGTCCATCGTGTGACAATGGGACGTTACTTCTTGATCCATCCTCTGGCCCGAAATGGAAAATGTACTGCAACAGTTTAGCGTAAGTTTGTTACTAAAAATAGCCTCATTGGCCTTGATTTACTTGTTACTAAAAATAGCCTGTTCTATTTATAGCTGTCCGGTGGTCCTCCATTGCTTTGAAGGTGTCCATAATGTGGAGAAGACAATCAATGAGTGTCCTGAATGTGGAGCATATCATGTACTGGTGGACTTTAAAAAAGTAATACACAACATAAGAGCATGTAAATGTATCAGGAAAAAATTTAAAAATGGCTTCACATTTTTGGTGAAATTTGGCCAAAATCCCTGTACTATAGTACAGGGACTTTCACCCGATTTTGGAGCAACTTTAAAAATTCGTAAAAAATCCAAATTTGATTGGAATCAGCTCAAACTTTCTACACAACATTAGAACATGTATATGCATCAGGAAACATTATAAAAATGGAGATTTCTCTCCTAGTCATTTTTGGCGAAATTTGGCCAAAATCCCTGTACTATAGTACAGGGACTTTCACCCGATTTTGGAGCAACTTTAAAAATTCGTAAAAAATCCAAATTTGATTGGAATCAGCTCAAACTTTCTACACAACATTAGAACATGTATATGCATCAGGAAATATTATAAAAATGGAGATTTCTCTCCTAGTCATTTTTGGCGAAATTTGGTCAAAATCCCTGTACTATAGTACAGGGACTTTGACCCGATTTTGGAGCAACTTTAAAAAATCATAAAAAATCCAAATTTGACCGGAACCAGCTCAAACTTTCTACTCAACATAAGAACATGTACATGTATCAGGTGATGTACTAAATCTGATCGTTATGCATTCTATAGGACAATACTCCGTTAAAAGGAGGAGCTACTAAACACATCGGTTGCTATAATTGTGATCCAATTCTCTCTCCTCTCGTCCGGGGTCCTGAATCAGGGAGACACGCCCACAGAGGAAGGGGAAGGGGTAGAGGACGAGGAAGAGGGAGGAGAGGGAGAGGAAGAAGACATTGATCCTGTTTTTAAAAATTGAATTTATATTCGTAATTAATTAGTCTATATGGGCGTGGTACTGGTTATTAACTAGTTACAAAAGATAAAATGTCTACCAAAGATGAAGACGTTGAGCAGCATCCTGACGGGAGCACTAGACTAGAAGAAGAAGAAGAGACTCGTGAAGTATCAGATGAAAATATAGAGAAATCTGCTAAGGACTACGCGGAGTATCTTGTCGTTAACAGCAAGCAAGAAGTGAGTGCTTTTGTGTGCCATATCTTTATCCTTTGTGTGGTTTAGAAAGCACAGCTGGACGAGAGGATTCAAAGTATTCATTTCCGCGTTGAAGAGTTTGAGCGTCAGCTTGAATGGATGCACCAAAACGTGACCAGCACTTCAGAGAAAGTGTCTGAACTTCACAGCCACACACTAAAACTGAACGACCTCTTCAACAAGATTGACCAAATCGAGGTATCATTGCATAGCCTATTAGTATATGAGCCGATATTTATATAATGTCTATTTTTGTTGTTAGACGTTTGTTAATGTTGTTAATTCCAGTGTTGAGGCTTTGGAGCAGTCCATCAATAAAGCAGAGAAAGATCTTGAACCAAGCAAGTTAAGGAAAGTGATGTCTGTCATACCAGGAATGGTAAGGAACTGCCACAGAATTCCCTCTATTACATGTTCATTTATATTTATTTATTTATTATTATATTTATTATTTTATTTATTTATTAGCGTAAAGCGCAGCCCAAGGAGTCCACAGAGACTTGGCAGCCGCCACAGCTGTTCAATTCAAAGGATTACTTTACTCCTCGTCTTAGGAGCTTGGAAGAGACAGAGACACCATCTTGAATCTTAATGGGAGGGACTTTATCATTATTTTATGGCAACCATGCAATTGAAATTTTATTATTATTATTTTTGCCGATTGTCTTATTAAAAATGCTTTAAATTGTATAGATCTTCTTTTTTTATATTGAGTTTGTTTGGTTGTTGAACTGAGTGCATTTGAATTCCAATCATTTCTTTGACTCTTGAACTGTGTATGCGATGAAACTAGTAATCTCTATAATAATAAGAAAATGCTTTAATAACATCTTTAAAGTACTTTAAAACGTATTAAAAAATGTATTAAAATTGGAGTGATTTTGGAGCCATTTTTTTAGAAAAGTGACTAAAACAGGCCATTTTAAAAGCAATAAAACAAGTTAATTTCTGCATTAATGAAGGAATTTTCAATATAAAGAATATGAATCAGACCTTCAACTCCATATAATTCTTTGTTCCATGCATTAATCATTGATTCTGTCAGTGGGTATGTAATTGGAGCCATTGTCTTCCAGTTTGCATAAACTAAACACGAGAGTTCTTTAATCCACTGCAGCCAATCGCTGACTGAGAAAGACTCCTCACTCCTTTTTGATAATACATCAACTCCATCTTTCTCTAATTAATAGAACAAGTTGATCCTCTGTCTCAGCTCCCTCCCCAAGTATAACTATATCTATTCTTCTCACCAGCCATTTTTCTCCATATCTTTTCTGCTTCTCTTTTCTTATGCAGTAAATCTTTTACTATTTTCTCCATCAGTTTCCTACAGAATCATCAGAAGATATTCAACTATTCTCATGGACAGACTCACTTACTGGTCCCTATCTATGAATGCTATGGCTCTTTCTTGAGACAGGAGCAGTTTACCTTTCAATCTAACGCACACACTTGAGAAACTAGATAGGACACCTAAACTACCTCTTACCTCACATCTATTAGTAAAAAAAACATTCATAATGACATAATTAATATTCATGCACATAATTTTGAGCTGATTCTCACAGACAATACTGAATTAAGTTCTGTTTGATTTAGGCTATGTTATACATTGCTTACTTTTTCAGTGAGTCCAACTGAGTGTTAATGTTTCCTATTGACTCAAATTGTGCTAATATCTTGCTCCTCTTCTCCTCCCAATCCTTCACTAATGCATCAGTTTCCATCAGTAACTTCAATGCATCAGCAGCCATTTACTGTCCAATTAGCTTTAATTTATAAATAGGAATTAATAATTTAAAATAAAAATGGCTTCAACTAGCAAGAAGGAGCCTGAAAGCAAAGTGACTCCTCCAGTTCCTGCTCCTCACAGACGCTATTCTGATCCTACTGATAAAGATGGCGCTAATCCTGAAGGAGGAGAAGCCGAAGAGTTGGATCAATACGAGGCCTCTCTCCTCAAGTCAGGCTGCGCCAAGGAGCACTACCAGCTCCAGGAGTGCTACTATGACCATGGAAACGACTGGAGGAAGTGTCAGGAACAAATGAAACTCTTTAAAGACTGCATGTCAAAGAAAAAGCCTAAATAAGACTTTTCAATAACTTTATTTTCCGTATATTTTAGGACACTTAAACCACGTGTTATCACGTGGTGTTACAAAAATCATTAAAAATTGCATCAGTAGGTAGTGTTTGGTAGCCCAAAGAGCCAAATCCCTCCAGTGTCTCTATCATGTTTATCCTGTGGGTGTGTCAATCATTATCAAAACTCATACATGATGGTCATACTTTGTCATCACAAGCATAGACCAGCAGGTGTTTCTTTGGGTGCCAGGCCACAGTGAAAGTAGGAGCCTGGGTTGTGATCTGGTGGACCTTCTGACCCGTTTGTACATGAGCCTTTGAGGAGAGAGAGGGCTAAAGGAGATAGGTATTAGTCCATTACTATGTCAATGAAGAGATCCTCTGAAGCTGACGCTATCATTTGACTATCATGACTGAAGCTAAGGGTCCTGACAGGCCAACTACACGTATAATGAATATCATAATTACATTATTGTTATTATTATTAATTACTCTAGTCTTGAGAAGGTTCTTAGACACACTAATTCTGAGACGTCCCAAAGACTTGTCAATGCATCAGCACTACCTGTTGCATAATACCTGGAGAGGAAAATTCAGTTTATTTTTAGCATCATGCTATTTTTAGTATCGTTCTATTTTTAGTATCATTCTATTTTTGTATCATTACTTTCCAGATTTATCAAACTCGATGCATATACAGTTAGCTGGGTGAGCATTTATTGTGTGAAGGTGCTTGAACTCGGGCCAACTACAAACAGGAATTCAAAACCAGTCAAACCAGTTCAGTGTACCTCAATATTACCACACAACCATTTCCGTTCGTTAAGAAAAACTTGTCGCCAGGTCTGTTCCAGGAAATCTCATTAACCTGATTAATAATAATCAATTAATTAATCAACTATGCTCTCACTTCGTATTTAAATAGTTCTTCATGCTTTGTTTTCAGTGTCCTAGCGTCAATGAATGTCAGTAGGTCTTCCTAATATGGTAGTCATTGATACACGGAATGCTCTTATGATGCTAACCTTGTTGCCTACGGCAATCGTGTGACCATCAGGTGACCAGCAAATGTTAATATTCTCTCCTTTAGTAGTTACAGTACTCGTAGGTTTACCAGCTAAAGGAGTAAAGGATCATTATCATTCTGGGTCATCTAAAGCAATAGGCCAATATTGATGTACTTGTGCTACGTGTACATAGGAACTTTAAGCCTTGGGGTTTCAAAAAAATGGCTCAAAAATCACTCCAAATTTTTATTACATTTTCTGATACATATTGATGTACTTATGCTGTGTAGAAAGTTTGAGGTGATTCCGACAAGAAATTTTCAAGTTATGACCATTTTTAAAAACGGGCAAATTTTTGAAAAATACCCAAGGCTATAGCCCATGGTTTTTTCTAAAAAATGGCTCCGAAATCACTCCTAAATTTTATTACATTTTCTGATACATATTGATGTTCTTATGCTGTGTAGAAAGTTTGAGCTGATTCCGACTTCAATTTTTCAAGTTATGGCCATTTTAAGAAAATGACAAAATTCTGAAAATTTCCCTGTACTATAGTCCATGCTTTTTTCCGAAAAATGGCCCAGGAATCACCCCAAATTTTTATTAAATTTTCTAATACATATTGATGCCCTTATGCTATGTAGAAAGTTTGAATTGATTCTGAGCTCAAATTTTTAAGTTGTGGCCATTTTTTAATTCCGAAAAGTACCCTGTACTACAGTGATATAGCCCATGGTTTTTTCCAAAAATAAATAAAATCATAAAAGTTTCCCGTAGAGTACATTGTACCTCTAGTGTCCCATACACGAATTGTTTTATCACCGGAAGCTGTCACTAATACTTCAGGCTTGCTTGGATGCCACCTCAACTGATCAACACTGCCCGTGTGAACCTAAAATATACAAGAATATACTGGGGTATACAAGAGTATACTATATCAGTAAATCCACCTTGTAATTCCCATCCCTTCCCAGTCTGTCAGATTCCAGGGACCATATCGTAACTGATTTATCAAACGAACCACTCGCTAAGCGTGATCCATCACAGGACCAACCAACAGAATGGACCTATGGAGGTAGATCACGTGATAGTCACGTGACCAGGCCTTCCTCACTTTAGATTGGTGAGCTACGTATTCTTTGCTTCTCTTGTTAGCCTCAAAATGACTACAAAGACCAGAATAAGAATCTTCTTTCCCGTTTGACTTCTTGTTATTAGAAGACATGATGGCTCCACGTGTAACCACGCCCATAAAATTAGCCACATCTACTGAGCAAAAGATTAATTTTTTATCAAAATAGAATATTATTTAAAATTGAATTTTTGTTAATGATGATAAATAACAACAACAAAGAGAAACCCAATTTTTATTACTTCTATACATGTACAAACAGACAATAATATAAAGTCCATTGCTAACAGTATATAATAATAATAATAATAATAATAATAATAATAATAATATTTTTAGACTATAGTCTTTTTATTGCTGAGCACAGCGCATTCCTCCGTGATCATGTCCCCCCATATCGTGGTCAACATAAGATCCTTCATCTCCCTCCCTCCCTCCTCCTCCTAATCCTCTCGTGTTCTCAAGATTATGGAGATCAACTGGTTCCATATCATCAGTAATGTCCAGTGAGTTGTCTTTACTTGGTAAAATGGCTTCTAATTCCTAATATCAAATATAATAGTAATATTAATACATGTTTTACTCTCCTTCTCTCTAATGAACTAACTGCAAATTTTTCATCTTCAGTGATAAAGTTTTCTGGCGGGAAATCAATCTCAAATTCAAAGTAAAGGTTTCCTTTGATGTGAAGCCGCTGACTCATCATTCCCTCACCACTCAAACCTTTAATGCACCCTGTAATGAGAGAGAGGGAGAGGGGGGAAGGGAGAGAGAGAGAGGGAGAGGGGGGAAGAATTCAAAAATATCCACTTGAACTAAGGCTAATAATAGACCAGCTGGTATAGCCCCCATACGTACCCGGGAACAATACTTGACTAGGTGGGTTGGTCACTGCTAGTTTCCGCCCATCAAGATGGTCTATGTAAAATGTACAGCCGCAGAGGGCATCAATTACAGAAAGCTTCTTCTTCACAAAAAGATCAATTCCCTTTCTTGTGAAAACTGAGTGTTCTTGTTCTTGTAATACCACAATGACATCACCCGACTCCATATCAGGCTATTAGGGGGAGGAGGGAGGAGTCAATTAATTAATTAATAATGTGGGTTGGTCCTTTACCGATTGGTCCCCTGCTCCCCTCATCGGTATCTTGTGATTATGTGACATTCCAGGAGAGACTGTTACCTAAAAGGGGCGTGTCAGTATTTATAATAGCCACACCCACTCACGTCCAGCGTACAATCCTCTTCAATGACTTGCTTTCCTTTACATTTCTTACACCTGTCCTTCTCTTTTACAAAAGTTCCTGGAATGATAACACAAGGAATTGTGTGTACTAGTGTTTTTTTATAATAATAAAATATTAGCGACACTATCACATGCAACATAAATATCCCAAATCAACTAAGAATTAGGACACACACAATTAAACATAAAAACTAGTAAATATTGTCAATTTATTAATTTTTACCTGTTCCTTCACAGTCAGTACAAGGTCCCCTCATCTGTTGGACCATTCCCGGTCCAATTGGTCTATGGGTCACTTGGATCCCTGACCCGCGACACTTCCGACAGTTAACATTATTGCCAGACTTGGAACCAGTCCTAAGGGGTCCAGTAATATTGAGCAAGGGGTCCAGTGTACATGTACTTACCCAGAACACGAGGAACATATGACTTTATGTTTAAATTCGATTTGTTTAGTAGTCCCATTGTACAGTTCTTCAAGAGTGACCCTATCATCACATGACAGTCACATGACACAGTTTTCAGTAGATGTACACTCACTCTAGTGGAATGGCAAAGGAATCCATCTTGCTTTTTTGACGACCTAAAAACCATCACATTAGCTAAAGTGCTCTCTTGGTTTTCAAAAGAGACTAACTTCTTCCTCCTCCAAAGAGTCCGCCGTCAAAGAAACTCGAGAACATGTCCCCACCACCAAACACTAGAAATGAATGAAAATAGGCCACACACAGGAAAAGGTTAACCACTTACTGCTTGAGAATCCGTCCATTCCGCCAAAACCAGAAGCACCTCCACTTTCCTTCACGGCATCAATCCCATATCTGTCGTACATCTCTCTTTTATGAGAATCTGATAAAACTTCATACGCAAATTGAATCGATTTGAACTAGAATGATAATTAATATTGGCATTTTTAATAACGTTATTAATTCGTGTTACTTAAAAATCTCTGACTAAAATGATGACAAGTGTATTAATACTTACTTTCTCTCCTTCTGAATCAATCGGATTCTTATCCGGATGGAACTGCTTAGCTAGTCGATGATATGCCTTTTAAAAATAAATAAAGATATAAAGTATATAATATTATATATATATATTACTCTTCTAATCTCAGACTCAGTTGCATGTTTAGATACACCAAGCGTTTCATATAGATCTTCCATTCTTAGTCACGTGATCTTTTAATGGTTCTACAAAGAGATACTGGTACAAGGAACCTTCTCCTGGCTGGAGGTAGTGTACAGAGTGTAAGGTAAAGGAAGGAAGGATGATTCCAGAATGTGTGTCGTGGTCTACTTGGAAAGAGAATGAAACCACACCTTTCATGTATCCGTTTCTGGTAACCTAGAATATCCTAGAACTAAGATGCTAACACGTGGTTGAAGAAAACGATCGGGTCATGTCCGGATACTCTGATAACACAATCACATGGTTGAAATAAACGGTGTCTGGTTTTGTTTGGTTATTTTTATGACGTCAGCCACGTGTTTGAAGTAAACGGAATATTCACTTCCGGATATGGCATCCTTGAGTATAAAAAGAGCTGCAAGTTGTCGACTCGCTCGTCAGTCCCAGGAACTGTAACTTGATGAACCAGTTAGGGGAGAGAGGTTATGGCAGGAAAGATGGCATTCCAGAAGTAAACAATGATTCTTTTATACTACCTTTAGCCTAGACAATCCTTTTTATCTTTATTTTGACACATTTTAGTGCTAGTTTGTACATGTACATGTTACACTTGCTCTTTTTTCTCTCCCTCTCTCTCTCCTCTTTCTCTCTCTCTCTCTTTTAATGATCAGTACTACAGCAAACTATTTTTCAATGGGTAGTGAGACACTAAAGGTCCCAATGAGTTTATTCTCTCTCAATCGTCAGCGACTGGTGAAGAGTCTATCAGATAATCCTGAGGTACCTAACACAGGGGCTGTACTGCTACTGGAGGGAGGGAAGCAGGAGACAAGATACTGCACTCCAATGGAGCCAGTTTTCAGACAGGTGAGATTACGATACTGTGTCCATACCCTCCTACAAACTACCAGGAGTCCTTCTTCCACTGGCTGTTTGGAGTCGTGGAGGCTGATTGGTTCGGTGCCCTTGAGGTCGAAAGTGGGCGTGTGACTCTCTTTATGCCCCGCCTTCATCCTAGTTTTGCAATGTGGAGCGAGTAAAATACGTGACGTACTTACGTATCTTTTTATGTCTCACCAAATATAGGCTGCACCCTCCGGAACACTTTGCAGTCAAGTATAACGTAGACCGTGTCAGGTACACGGATGAGGTATTTCATTAAGTAATTAAACTAATAATTATTAATTATTGTTGTACGTTTTGTTGTTCGTAGATTGCTCAGACCTTGTCTGACTTGAAGCCGTCAATGTTGCTGCTACTAGTTAATTATTAACCACAATTGGATATTCTATATTTATCCCCCTCCCTCTCTCTTCCCCCCCTCCCTCTCTCTCTCCCTCTCATTTTTAGAATGGTGTCAATGTTGATAGTGGTAAATATTGTAAGGAGGCAGTTTTCACAGGAAAGGAAAAGTATGCAGTAATTGATGTATTGTTGTTTACAGATGAACATGTGCATATCTAGTAACATGTTACATGTACAGTTACATATCACAAAGTATGTGTACATCAAACCAATATATATTCTTACTTTATTTACTAAGATCAGATTCAGTAAATAGTAGTATCACCATCATACTATCATATATCTTATTATTATTATTATTCAATTTTTGATAAATTACACAAATATTGTATTGAAATTATTATTTTTTAGGTTCAATGATGTCATTGATAGAAAGCTCCTTCATCCAGATATAACCGAGTGGTACATTATTAATTAATACATTGTACATTTATTTATAGTTATTGTCACATGACAGTCGTGTGATCAAGACCCCAGAAGAGATTGAGGTATTGCGTTATGTGAATCAAGTTAGCAGCAAAGCTCACTGTGAGGTAAGGAGAGGGAGGGAGGGGGGAGGGAGGGAGGGAGGGAGGGGGGAGAGATAGAGGGAGTGAGAGAGGGAATGTGTGTGTGTATTGTTTTTGCTTGGATATATAAGGATGCTTTACCAAATATGGTATTGCTAGTATCAATAGAGTTGGCTATTGCTTCCCCCTTTTGTATTACTTGGCAATCAACCAAGCGATGACAAACATCTAAAAAACATGTTTATAATTATCTTCTAAATTAATAACAATTCAGTAATAACAATAATTGTAATAATAATAATGATAAGCCTTTGCAAATATGTATTACATGTACATATTATTGGTTGTTATGATCAGGTGATGAGGGTAGTGAAGCCTGGGATGATGGAGTATGAACTGGAAAGTTTGTTCCATCATTATTGCTATGGAGTCGGAGGCTGTAGACATTACGCATGGATATATACTTGTGGGACGTACGTTAATAATAATAATGATGATAATGTAACATCATACTGTATAGTGGAAAGAATTCTGCTGTATTGAACTATGGAAATTCTGGCTCTCCTAACAATGGAGTCATAAAAGATGGAGACATGTGGTATGAACAACCGTTAAACTATTACTGATCTTTCTCTTCTCCCTCCCTTTCAGTCTCTTTGATATGGGTTCTGAATATTACTGCTATACTTCTGACATCACGTGTTCTTTTCCTTCTAATGGTCGCTTCACTCCCACTCAGAAGCTAGTGTACAATACTGTCCTTAGGACCAATCGCTCCGTAATGGCCGCCATTAAACCTGGCGTTGACTGGATTGACATGCATCATCTGGCGGAAAGGGAACTCATCGCAGGCCTAAAGGGAATGGGCCTGTTGCTAGGCAACTTGAAGGACATGATGAATGCAAACATGGCGTCTGTTTTCATGCCACTCAGTTTTGGTCATTTGCTGGGGTGTGACGTCCTTGATGTGGGTGGATTTCCCACGGTAAGGGTTTTCTGTGTCCAATAATGTGTGGGAGGTTTAAAAACCCAGTTATTGTACATGTACTTACACTCTAACTAAGATACTATACATTAATACATACATGTACAAGTTGACTATAATCTCATGCACATAATGTGTGTGTAGCTGATTTGAAATAAACCGACTATGTCTATTATAGTTTTTGTCAAAAGTGTAGGAACGACAATAAATTTGCATTATTTAAAAATAGATTAAAAGCTAAGGACAAACTATAGCAGCTGTGTAAGATATTTTAAAAAATTAGTGTAGTATTAATAAAGCAAGATAAAATAGAGCATTTTATGAAGAAAGCAATGTCACTGGAATCTCTACTTTATGTGAGTTATTTATACAATCGTCAATGATACTTCAACATCATCATGATGTCTTCTTCAATGATTTACATAATCAAGGTAGGTCTGTGCATGCTCAAAAATTTTGTAGGTTACATATCAAATGTGAAGTCTTGGAGGTCATTTCCTCAAGCTACAAATAAAATGGTCAGTTTTGAAGTATACTTGACATCCAGAGATCACAGTGACAGTATAAGTAAGTATTTTGTAGGTTTCATTGTGAAGAAACTGCTTTGGATTTCAGCTACTTATTAAAGCTAATTATGCATTTTCAAGAAAGAAAGGACAATAATTATTCTCTTTGTTTGTGTGTATGCTGTAACTGTATTGAACTGCAAATTATGATTGTGTGAAAATTTTAACAAGAAAAGTAGTTTTTGCACACAATTATAATAATGGTCAATATACCTTGTAGCGTGCGCCTCAGTTGATGTGGCTGCTCTATTGGGAAGAGGTAGTTCAATTACCATGTTATTACTATACTCAGACTCTCTTCATTGTGAAGGAGTTGCAATATAATGAAATTGTATCATGTTTTGTATTGCATTCTGTACACATACTGCAGGGATCCAGACCCACCACTGGACCAATGGTTCTTCGCATTAACAGGACACTGCAGGAAGGGATGTGTCTCACCATTGAACCAGGCTGCTACTTTGTACCCTATGTAAGTGTATATGGGACAATAACTGCATACTTATGATCTATAGTTGTATTTAATGCAGTATTTATACTATTCTACCCTACCTCTCTCTTTCTTTAGTTGTTAGATAAAGCATTGTCTAATCCATCTCAGTCTTGTTTCATTAATAAAGATATGCTAGAGACACTGAAAGGGTTTGGAGGAGTAAGGATTGAGGATGACATCATAGTGACATCATCTGGTGCTGAATTACTAACTGATGTACCCCGTACTGTTCAAGAGATTGAGGAGTGGATGCAGAATGGGAACAAGACCTGGGGAAAGAAGGATAACAAGACTATCTCTTAAGCATCAATTGTCATATACTTTTCATAATTCCTTTTATATTATGCATGGACCATGGTCTTTTAGTTTTAAACTGGTACTGTCTTTATTTTTATTCTAGTAGTATTGAACTATGAATTATTGTTTCGTGATAATTAATTTTTAGCTCACGTGATCACTAGCAGTAAGCGCAAGCACTTTATTTAATTAGCTCAAGATGGCGGCTTCAAAGTAAGTGTTTTCTTGTTTCGCCTGGTATTACCCCGTCCTTTCTCTCAATGCTTGAGTAGGTGTTTTTCAATGGGTGCCGAGACACTAAAGGTCCCTATGAGTCTATTCTCTCTCAATCGTCAGCGACTGATGAAGAGTCTATCAGATAATCCTGAGGTACCTAACACAGGGGCTGTACTGCTACTGGAGGGAGGGAAGCAGGAGACAAGATACTGTTCCGATCACGAGCCTGAATTCAGACAGGTAAGGTGGAGGGGTGTAGTCTATATAATAGACTGACCACGCCCATTAAAGGAGTCTTATTTCCATTGGTTGTTTGGAGTGACTGAGGCTGACTGTTTCGGAGCAGTTGAGGTATCTAGTGGGCGTGTCACTCTGTTTGTGCCACGCCTACCACCAGAGTACGCCATATGGATGGGAGAGTAAGAATTAATTGATCAATTAATTAATGAATAATAATTAGGATACACCCACCAGATTACTTCAAACAGAAGTATTGTGTTGATCGAGTCTCTTTTGTTGATGAGGTAATCCTATTTATAGCAACAATAGTTATTTATAGTAACATGTATTGTGTCTAAATATAGATACCGTCTGTTTTAAATGAGATGAAACCAACAATGCTGATGCTACTGGTAATATTAATTAATAATTAATATTAATTAATGGTGATTCTCTTTCCTTATAGAATGGTGTCAATACTGACAGTGGTAATACATGTAAGGAAGCTTATTTTGATGGGATAGGAAAGTGAGAAATGATGACATAATCCTTGTTTGCTATTAATAAACTTTGTTACTATTTATAGATTTAAGAGTGTCTTGAACAATAAGCTGCTCCACCCCATGATAATGGAATGGTAAGCCACACCTCCTCCCACTTTAATGACTATCACATGACAGTCGTGTGATCAAGACCCCAGAAGAGATTGAGGTATTGCGTTATGTGAATCAAGTTAGCAGCAAAGCTCACTGTGAGGTGAGGAGAAGGAGGGTGCCATAAAAGATGAATTATTGTATCATCTTGTACTATAAGTTACAGTCAATTCTCTTGTCAGGTAATGAGAGCCGTTAAACCAGGTATGTTGGAGTACCAGCTGGAGTCTCTTTTCAAACACCACTGCTACTCCATCGGGGGCTGTAGACACTGCTCTTATACCTGTATCTGTGGAACGTATGTGATTATTATTATTATTATTATTATTATCACATTAGAGGTGTTAATTCTGCTGTACTCCATTACGGTCATGCAGGTGCTCCGAATGACAGGAAGATAGAAGAGGGGGACATGTGGTATGAAAATATAAAATTATATTAAAAAATAACAGTCATACCTATCTCATAGCCTCTTTGATATGGGTGGGGAATATTACTGCTTCACGTCAGATATCACCTGCTCCTTTCCTGCAAATGGAAAGTTCACTCCTACACAGAAGCTAATATACAACGCTGTCTATAGAGCTAGTAGGGCCGTACTCTCGGCTGTCAAGCCGGGCATTAATTGGGTTGACATGCACTGTCTTGCTGAGTCAGCAATCCTCTCTGCTCTTGTTGGGATGGGTCTGTTGCTAGGCAACGTGGAGGACATGATGAGGGTCAGGATGGGTGCGGTTTTCATGCCTCATGGGCTGGGACACTTCATGGGCTGCGATGTACATGACGTGGGAGGTTACCCTGAGGTAGGAGACCTCTATTAATAATAATATCATTATTATTAATAATTAGGGTACTACTAGGAGCACAGAACCAGGTTTGAAGAGTCTCCGAACAGTAAGAACTCTTCAAGAAGGAATGTGCCTGACTATTGAACCAGGCTGCTACTTTATTGCTTGTGTGAGTCTCTGACTTAATGTAACTTATAAGTATTACTCTCTCTCTCTAGTTGTTAGATAAAGCATTGTCTGATCCATCTCAGTCTTGTTTCATTAATAAAGATATGTTAGAGACACTGAGAGGATTTGGAGGAGTAAGGATTGAGGATGACATCATAGTGACATCATCTGGTGCTGAATTACTAACTGATGTACCACGTACTGTTCAAGAGATTGAGGAGTGGATGCAGAATGGGAACAAGACCTGGGGAAAGAATAATTGAAATATGACCCCCTCTTCCTTTTACTGACTATGACCATGCTAATTATATTATATTATTTGTATTATAATGAATACAAACTGATTGCTAACTTATACTTACTGTGTGTCTCCTGATGCTGATAATAATTAGGTTGCTCAAGAATATTTTTTCAAATTCTTGTAATGCAAAAATTTGAGCTCAGAATCAGCTCAAACTTTCTACACAGCATAAGAACATCAATATGTATCAAAAAATGTAATAAAAACTGGGGGTGATTTTTGAGCCATTTTTCGGAAAAAAGCATATAGTACAGGGAAATTTTCAGATTTTGTCCCATTTATTAAATTGGCCATAACTTGAAAAATTGAAGTTGGAATCAGCTCAAACTTTCTACACAGCATAAGAACATCAATATGTATCAGAAAATATAATAAAAATTGAGGGTGATTTTTTAGCCATTTTTTGGAAAAAAGCATGGGCTATAGTACAGGAAAATTTTCAGATTTCGGCCCATTTTTTAAATTGGCCGTAACTTTAAAAATTGGAGTCGGAATCAGCTCAAACTTTCTACACAGCATAAGAACATCAATATGTATCAGAAAATGTAATAAAAATTGAGAGTGATTTTTGAGCCATTTTTTGGATATAAGCATGGGCTATAGTACAGGGAAATTTTCAGATTTTGTCCCATTTATTAAATTGGCCATAACTTGAAAAATTGAAGTTGCAATCAGCTCAAACTTTTTACACAGCATAAGAACATCAATATGTATCAGAAAATGTAATAAAAATTGGGGGTAATTTTTGAGCCATTTTTTAGAAAAAGCTATGGGCTATAGTACAGGGAAATTTTCAGATTTTGTCCCATTTATTAAATTGGCCATAACTTGAAAAATTGAAGTTGGAATCAGCTCAAACTTTCTACACAGCATAAGAACATCAATATGTATCAGAAAATATAATAAAAATTGAGGGTGATTTTTTAGCCATTTTTTGGAAAAAAGCATATAGTACAGGGAAATTTTCAGATTTCGGCCCATTTTTTAAATTGGCCATAACTTGAAAAATTGAAGCTGGAATCAGCTGAAACTTTGTACACAGCATAAGAACATCAATTTGTATCAGAAAATATAATAAAAATTGAGGGTGATTTTTTAGCCATTTTTTTGAAAAAAGCATGGGCTATAGTACAGGAAAATTTTCAGAATTGAACCATTTTTCTAGACAAAGGATTGGATTGTGCTACATGATAAATACAATAAAATTATTTCAATTAATATTGTTAATAATATTTATTTCTAAATGCTTTCCACAGTAAAGTCATCGGTAGAGACGGTCTCCTAAGTCTCAGCCTCTCGCTGTAAGGATTGAAATCAACTCGCTCAAGATCCTCTAGGAAACTGCGAGTAGCAACCTTGAGGAATGAGAAATAAAGGGAGGGAGGATTTAAACTTGCTTACAGCTGGTAGAAAAACTCTTGCAGCAGCTCCTTTTGGAATCTTGTCTGCTAGAGAAATAGCCTAAAATTGAAAAATCTATTTATAAAAAAAAACCAAAATAAATAAATTAATATTACCTTTAAAAGATGGGCATTAGCTAAACTGGCCAGATCATATGTCGAGTTAATCAAAGAAGGTGTGGCTTCACCTCGTAAAAACTCCTCTTGACTGGAACCATGCTACAAGCAACAGACTTGAATGATTATTATAATATTCTATGCACATAACATGATTGCAGCATGCATAATTGTGTGTGTGTGTGTACATTATAACTATTATTAATAGTTTACTCTCATTAAGATGTCCAATGGGATCAACACTTGTCTTTTTGATCGATAGTATCCAGCTGCTCTGAGTAATGTTACAATACCTTGAGCTTTCCCAATGTGACTAGCAACATGATCAGAATGAACATCTTTAATGCCTTGAAAGAGAGAGAGAGAGGGGGAGGGAGGGGATCAGTTATAGAGTGATTCTTATACCCAAAGCTTCCAGTGTGAGGTAGAAAAGAGAAGATGAAGTGTTTTCACAATAGTCCTCCAACTCTTTCGTTTGATGATATGAGGTCCGAGTGAGGTCTGTCTCTCGGGCATCGAGTAACCTTGACAACCAGATCTTGTTTAAATTGCATTCTTTAACTGCCTAAAAATAAAATTAATTAATTAATAATAATAATAATAATTATTATTATTATTATTAATTACTTGAGCTAATAAATTGACTACAGGATGATCTGGCAGTTTATCATTACTTCCTTTCTAAAAATAATACAAATATAAAAATAATAAAAAATTAAAAGATACTTTAAATATCGTATTTATGGCATCCCTCCAAAAGGTCAGCTTCATTTTACCAATGGCAACCTCACTGACAGTGTCTTTGATCTAGTTAATTAAAAGTTATTAAGATAACCCACACCCATCATTACAGCACCATAATTACAATTATTAATTATCATCATTATTATTATTATTACAATTATTAATTTATTATTATTATTATTATTATTATTATTAATTACTAGAGCCACTTCAATATTGTAAGATCGTAGAGCAAACACAACCGGTTGAACTGGTTTGGGGAGTAGGAGGGTACAGAGATAATGTTCATAGTCGTGTTTCCTATTGAGAAGCTCATTAATACACAAAATACCTAACTACCAGTACCTGACCAAAGTCATGCAATGAGAAACTTGAGTAAAACCTGATTTCAACTTCATCTCCGTATTATTCCGTATACACCAACGTGGGAGCATGTGTTTGACAGGAACGGAAATAACCTGAATTTAACCAAGTCACCCAACGTGGACTCACGTGTTTGACGTGAACGGAACTAACTTAGAGTGAACGGTATCATCACGTGCTGTTGCATGTATAATATCTATGGTTAAAGAGAGGCGGAAAGATGGCCATTACAGCTAGTGATATGGAGAGACTCTTCTCTCTACTGCTGAGCCCAGACACTGAAGTCATTAGACAGGTACCTTTAATATAACCTGGTTTGTTTATCCTATTCCTCCTAACAGGCTACAGCTGAGCTCAGGTCCATATATAAGAATCCTTCTCTCCTGAACTCACTGTGTCACGTGATGCTTCACTCTGAAGACCCTCACGTGAGCTGAGTATATTTTACGTATTGACCATTCCTCTTTTGTGATGACAGATACGACAGTTATCGGCTGTGGTGTTACGTAAGAAACTGGTACAGACTTGGAGACGTTTGTCAGTTGAGGACAGGGAGAGGTGCCCCTACTAATTAGTGTATAATTAGTTGATCATTTTCTTTAGTTTGAAGAATATTTTTATTGAGTCTCTCTCCAGCGAAATGCAGTGAGTGTCAGCCATTTTTTCATTAATTAATTAATAATTTTTTTAGCCAATTAGTATTGAGATCTGTAGCCAATTTGGTAAGTCTAATAATTATTTTTATTTAATTTTAGCATATTCTCTCTCTCTCTCCCTCTCTCTCCTCAGGTTAGTGTCATTGCTAGTCATGAGTTCAGTCACAATCAATGGCCGGAATTATCTCAGTTTATCATGAAAAGCTGTCAAAGTGATGACTCAGCACAACAAGAGGTATTTATTAATAATAATAATTATTATAATAATTATTATTAATAGATTGGTATGCTGGTCCTTAGTTCTGTTATGGAGACAGCTGCTGTTCATGTCAGTGATCATGTGATGGTCACATGTCTTCACCTTCCCCTCTCTCTCCTCCTCTAGTTCAACACTCAGTTCATCCAGCTCCTTGGCTTATTCTCCTCTGCCCTTGGGAACACTCGGAGTTCAATGGTTCCGTTTTATGCTTTGAAGTAATAGAACTAAAGTAATAAATGTGATTTATTAATAACAGGTCTTTAACGTACGTTATTGAGTATCTCAAGGATGAGGAGATGGTATGTGTCACATGATTGTCACATGATGTATTGTTTCTTCCTTAGTCTCATTTTCGTAATCTTTTCCCAAAAGCTATAGAAGCTGTCAAGAAACTTATCACAATTGATGAGGTAGCCTTGCAGCTGTGGTATAATATTTTGGATTCCTCCACAGGATAAAGCGTGTGAAGCCATGGAACTGTTTGATGAACTGATGGAGTGCGAACTATCTCTAATTAGTGCCTTCCTACAGCAGCTGGTTGAATTCTGCTTGCAAGTAATGATGATGATGATTATTATTATTATTATTATTATTATTATTATTATTATTATTATTATTGTTGTTGTTGTTGTACAGACTGGTTCTAATGTCAATTTAAGTGACGGTATAAGAGTGAAGTCCCTGTCAACGCTAGGGTTCCTTATGAGTGTTAAGAAAAAAGTAACAAACAGGCAACCAGGACTCATTTCACATTAATATTTGTCATTCCAGTCTTTGTTGAAGATGGGTTTCTTGTCTTCTATTCTTGAGGTGATCTTATCTGTGATGGTTTCACCTCATGAAGATGATGAAATTGAAGATGAATCTGATGTCCTGCTGGATGGACACTCTCAGTCTCCACAGTGCGAAGCATCTAGGGTTAGTATACTCTTAGTATACTGAGTTAGTATACTAAGAGTATATCACTTACTGATATTTTATAGGTTCTTGATAAAATGGCGCTTAACTTACCACCTGAAAAACTATTCACTTCCGTCGTAAGACACTGACATTTTTAGTGTTAGTTACCCCTACCCCTCCCTCCCTCTCTCTCTCTCCCCCTCCCTCTCCAGATGCAGTATGTACAGTCTTGGTTACAAGATGAAGCCACGCCCATTCAAAGGAAAACAGCAATAACAGCTATTGGCGTAATGGCCGAAGGTTGTGCCGAACACATCAGAACAAAGTGAGTTAAATTAATGTTCCTTTGTCTCATTCTCTTCTTCTAGTCATTTGAGAGAATTGGTTCAAGTGATATTTGATGGTTTGAGCAATCCTCATCAAATAGTAAAGAATGCAGCTCTTTTCTCTTTAGGACAGTTTTCTGAACATCTTCAAGTAACTAATAATAATAATGATATATTAACTGCCCCGCCCCCTATAGCCGGATATATCTCAGTTTAGTTCTGAATTATTGCCGGCATTGTTCCAGTTGCTAGACCACACCCTCTCCTCGTCAGGGACCAATCAACCCTCAGTCACTCGTATCTTTTATGCTGTTGAAACCTTTTGTGAGAATTTAGGCAAGCAAGAATAATAATAATTATTATTAGTAGTAGTATTAATGTCATGTGATTAGGTTCGGAGCTGTTACCATATTTACCTAATTTAATGGATAAACTGATTGTGTTACTAACTGGAGATTTTGTAAGATATTTATGATATTAATTAAAACTATGCTGTATTTATAGAATGTAGTTCTATTTATAGAATTGTCATTATTAATATTCTATTTATAGAATTGTCATTATTAATATTCTATTTATAGAATTGCCATTATTAATATTCTATTTATAGAATGTAGAGTACAAGGAACTAGCCATTAGTTGTATTGGAGCAGTGGGTAAGTGATGATGTCGTATGACCTCACACAATGATGTCATATTGCATCATAGCTAATGCAGTTGAGGGAAATCTAACTCCATTCTTTCCCAGAATACTTGATGTGTTAAAAGTAGGTGGAGCTTGTTGCTATTGGTTACTACCATTAATTTAGACGTACATTAATTTGCCATATCAGCAAGAACTGGTGGTACTGCAAGCCCAGGCAGTTGGTGAGTGTTTATTGATTAGTAGGTGTGGTTTAGGGTGTGGTTTCTTTAGATACTCTTGGCATTATTGCTAAGACTATCGGAGCCGATAATTTCCAGGGAATTGCTAATGAATGTGTAACACTGGGACTGGTATGTGTGTTTGCTTATATGTTTGTTTGTTTGTTTGTTTATTTATTTTTTATTATTTCATAGACCTTGATGAATAGCACTGATCCTGACCTTAGAAGATCAGTGTAAGTTATTAAAGAAAAAGAAAGGGAATTAATTTATTTATTGATTTATTTCTCTCCCTCTCCAGTTATGGTATGATGGCCTCATTATCGACCATATTAGGACAAGGATTGGCTCCACATTTACCAGCTGTCATTCCCAGAATGATCCAGTCACTTCAGTCAACTGAAGGAGTCAAGGTATTGACATTACATATCTGGTGTAGATACAGGTCTCTCCCTCCCCTCTCTCTTCCTCCCCCCCCCTCTCTCTCTCCCTCCCCCCTCTCTCTCTCTCTCTCTTATAGGCCTACTATTCATCTACTGCTGTTTCATTTCTTGATTTTGATAAAGATGATGATCCAGTTTCTGCTGATAGTACTAATTTGGCTGATGAATCTGTAGAAAGTCTTGAAGACGAGCAGGATATTGCCGGGTTAGTGACCACACCCACTGGTAATGTGACTGTCATGTGACTGGTAGATATTCCGTGGAAAACTCTTATCTTGAGGCAAAGGAAGACGCTTGTAACGCCATTGGAGAGATTGCAAATAATGTCGGGTAATTATTATTATTATTCATTCATTTATTATTTTATTTATTTTAATAATTATAGCATTTTATTTCTTCCATACATTGATGACTGTTTTCAAGAGATAGCTATTAACACAGACGTGAGTGTAACCCTGTCATTAGTTCATTAATTATCCTCACCCCAGGACTCCTCCCCTGGCCTCAGGAAAGCAGCTGTAACTTCGTTAGGACTTTTACTTAAAGTTTGGCACAGCCCACAGGCAGTTGAAAAGATGAACGAAGACGACAAAAGTCGATCATTAAAATTATTATTATTATTATTATTATTATTATTATTATTATTATTCCTCCAGGTTCATTAAATATTCTTATTAATTCTACTTTGGCCAACATGTCTGCCAGTGCCAGGACTGATTCTGATCCTCTCGTTACCGTGGCAACGCTTGAGAGCATAGAGCTGGTTCTTAAAAGTCTAAGAGGACGAGAGTTTCCAATCGAAGGGAAAGTATGGGCCAGCCTACTAGTCACCATTGATGATATACTTAATAATAAAGTGAGCGGGTGTGGTCAATTATAAAATGGATGTAGTCAACTCATTAATTATATTTTATAGGCGGAGTGTCAAGAAGAGGATTGCTGTGATGGAGGTGACAGTGGGTCTCTGTTCACTGGGGATACCACTGAGATTGAGGGACTCTTGTTTGAATCTGCCGGCTCTTTATTAGGACCTCTGGCAGCTGTTGTGGGCGGAGCTAAAATACTACCATCAATAAAGCCAATGATGACTTTGTTGATTAAGAAAATGGTAAAAATAATTTAATTTAATTAAAATAAACTTATTTATTTCAGATGACGTGTAAAACAGTAGCCAATCATTCGTTTGTAATGGGTACATTAGCTGAGGTAAGCCCCTGCTAATCATCAGTATAATTAAAGATTCTGTGTTGATTAGATTGTTGAGGGGTGTGGTCAGGCCATATCGCCCCTAGCAACCGACCTATATCCTTTATTCATGAGAGGATTGTCTGATAAAAGTGATGAGGTATCCAGCAACAGTGTCTATGGAATAGGAACTCTAGCAGGAGCAGCTGTTGCTCAAATCTCATGGTACACATACATGTAGTGTATCTTCAAGCTATTTATATTTCTCTCTCTCTCTCTCTCTCTGTTTCAGTCATTATCAAGATATACTGCAGGCAGTGTTTGGTTTGGCTAGTACAAGGTCTCAAAATGGCCGACTGATGGATAATATAACAGCAGCTGTAGCTCGTATGATAGTCAGTGGACCAGAACTAGTGCCAATGGATCAGGTAATGTGGGGCAACTTTTAGAATTCATAAAAAATTCAAATTTGATCAGAATCAGCTCAAACTTGAAACACAACATAAAGAACATGTATATGCATGAGATAAAATTATCAAAATGGAAAATTCTCACCTTGCCATTTTTGGCAAAATTTGACCAGAGACCATGTACTATAGTACATGGCTTTCGACCCGATTTTTGAGCAACTTAAAAAATTCCAAATTTGATCAGAATCAACTCAATTTCTACACCACAAGTACATGTACTTACACAATAACTCTATGACTAAGTACCATGTACTGTAGTGTGTGATTACATGCTGTAGGTGCTCCCAGTATTATTACAGAATGTTCCATTAAAAGAGGACTTTGAAGAGAATGTCACTGTATACAGCTGTATATTTCATCTGCTTCAGTCTGGGAATGTAACAGTGAGTTGTAGGTGTGGCTCATTTAATATTCATTAGTCTTTAGATAATGAATAATTTGGATTTGGTTCTCAAAGCGTTTGCAGCTGATCTTTCTCCTTCTTCAAAACTGACACCTGGTGAGAGTTCCCACTCTTTTTATAAATTTATTATTATTATTATTATTATTACTATTATTCTTATTTTTGTTATTATTGTTGTTGTTTTGCCAGAGCTTCAGTCACAGATCATCAGTATCACTAACATGTTACGTTTTCAATGTCCTCAACAATTCGAAGCTGCTTTCGGTTGCTTGCCCCCTACTCATTCTCAGGTTTTAGCTAAAGTACTAGCGGAATCCTCAGGACCTTCACCCAGCACTACAAACTAAAGGTTAGTTTCTTTCTCTCTAACTTAATGATGTCATTCCGTGTTTTTATAATTTGTTTATCTAGCAAGATTATCAGAAACTTTACTATAAAGAACTATTGATTATTATACAGAGAGAGAGAGAGGAGGGGGTGTATAATAATAATAATCTCTTATATTGTATGTACTTGTAGCATTGAAGTACACATGTACCTTCACCAAGAAGTTATATACCTTACATGTCGTTTATGATAATGTACATAAACTCTTTAACACGTGATAAGGTCATGCTTAAGTTTAACAGTTAATAATGTGAAACATTGAAGCATTCATTCTTTGTCTCTTTCTTCAAATTATTTGTCGTAATTTGAATAAATTAAACTATCATGTGATGGAAATATAAAGGTCATTATTCTGTCTATCTAATCTTGGTCATTTTGGCTTTCATTTTCTTTGACTTTTTGCTCTCACCAATCGGCTCAGACCCGGCAGTGAACCAAGGCCATATTATAAATATCCACAACTTGTAGAAAGCAAAACCAGGTATCTGAAATAAAGAAGATGCAAACTTGCCAAGTGTATAGTCTCTTTAAAAACTTACGATGAGCCACAAGAGCCAAACGTAATTACTGATGATTGTGAGAATTTGTATAATAGAAACAAATAGTATGACATCCTTAGAATACCTACAAGAAGAGGAAATAGAAACCACGTCTTTATTGAGTTTTAAACAAACTCTGATATCCAGCTGTCTTCAAGATCAGAACCAGCATCTACTAATTCATTTTTTTCACCAAATTCTGCTCTACTGATGTAACGAAGCATCTTCTGACCACACCCATGATTAGCGATTGCAAACAGCAACCAAAACTAGAAAATATGAAAATTAAAATTAAATCTCCCCCAAGTCATTGTATTTGATTCACTTACCAGTGACAGCCACGAGATGGTACCAGACCACAGTGTTAATATAACTACATAACTAAACTGAATACCCTGTATACGTTAAACAATATAATAATGAAAAGACCTCTCCTTAAATACTGCAACCCACTCACTGTTGCTATTATTGATATGTAGAGGTAGAATGAGAGGGTGGACTGGTTCCCCTGGTATATCTCCTTTTGACTCTTCCTCCTCTCTTTTGGCTAATTATAAATAAATCTGCAAAATAAAAAGAATAAAATTATAAGCTCACCATTGTTAAATTTAATTTTTGCACTCTTGATCCGAATGAGCCCCTCCCATCGAATTATTCTATTTAATGCTTACCACAGTCCCACCCTTTTGTTCTAATTAATGCCCAACAAACCACACCCATTATTTCACTAGGCATGCGCAATAGTGTCTTTCTTTCATCCACGTGGTGCAATAACAACTCTTATAAGACAAGGGGACAGAGAAACAGGCACTTTTAGACGCTCTAAGATGCAAATCTTTATCCAAGGACAGCAGGTCCACACTGTGACTGACACAGAATGTCAAACTGTTCAAGAACTCAAACTTTTACTGTCTGAGGTAAAGGATAGACGCCATCTTTATAATATTCGTTTGTGATAGGTGGAGGGTATCCCAGTCGAGGATCAGATTGTTTCCTTTGGAGGTGTTCCTCTTGACGATGAGTTGTGTCTCTTTGAGACGATTCCTTCCCTTGCTACTCTGTCTCTTACCGCTAGGATGGTTGGAGGTGTGGTCATTAATTAATTGATACTAACGAGATTATTATTTGGGAGTAATGATAAGATAATGATGTTTTATGTTGTGTACGAACATGTTATCAAACAATTCTTGCTATCTATGCTGTTGCTACTGTTCCTGTGTGCTTTAATTTTTTCCCCAAAATTTGATAGTTGATTATTTTTTTCTTTAGGTAAGGTTCATGGTTCCCTAGCTCGGGCTGGTAAAGTTCGTGGTCAGACTCCAAAGGTAAGCTATCATTGAATGTCCTCATCTTTATGCTTTGTAGAAAGTTTGAGCTGATTTTGACGAGAAATTTTGAGTTATGACCACCTAAAGAAATGGGCCAACTTCTGAAAATTTCCCTGTACTATAGCCCATGGTTTTTTCCAAAAATTGGCTCCAAAATCACCCCCAATTTTTATTACATTTTCTGATACATATTGATGTCCTTATATGTCCTTATGCTGTGTAGAAAGTTTGAGCTGATTCTGACTTCAATTTTTCAAGTTACGGCCATTTTTAAAAATGAGCCATTTTTTGAAAATGTCCCTGTACTATAGCCCATGGGTTTTTCCAAAAAATGGCTCCAAAATCACCCCCAATTTTTATTACATTTTCTGATGCATATTGATGTCCTTATGCTGTGTAGAAAGTTTTAGCCGATTCCGAGCTCAAATTTTCAAGTTATGGCCATTTTTGAAAATTTTCTTGTACTGTAGCCCACAGTTTTTTCCAAAAACAGCTCCAAATAACCTCAAATTTTTATGATACATTAAACTTGAAATGTGTTTGCAGGTTGAAGCTCAAGAGAAGAAGAAGAAGAAGACAGGACGGGCCAAGAGGAGGATGCAGTACAACAGACGCTTTGTTAATGTCGTTGCTTCGTTTGGACGAAAGAAAGGACCAAATTCGAATGCACCTTGAGCCGTTTGAAAACTTTGAAAATGATTGAGAAAGAAGTCATTTATATGTCAGCATTAATTTTGTTTTGATTATATTATTGCCTTTGAAAAATAAAACTGAAAAGTCAGAAAGAAGCTAAACACTGTGGCTGCATACATTCCATTTCTATTCATGGATTCCGTTGGTCATTTTGTGGCTAAAAGAGGCGTGTGTGTATTCGACGCCATTTTGAACACTTGTTACTAAAAATAGAATTTGCTGTTTTGTTCTATTTTTGTGCAGCAAGTCGGCACTGGGTGGTTACCAAATACCTTCTTCTTTACTCCTTCCTCTCTCTCATCCCGGCCCTTCTCCCCACCACCACATAGCGTGGAGTACAGTTCGTCTCTTCTTGTATCTTTCATATACAGTCAGTGTTCTCTTTGACGGGGAGGTAAGAGAAAGAGTGGTGATGTTATGAGATGTGTGTGTGTTTGTAATGGCCTCAATAATGAATGAAGGAATGGGTTGTGCGAGTGGGAGCACTAAAGAAGAGATTTGATGTGTTTTATTTTTCTCTGTCTTTCTCCTCTCACTCAGGTTCTTTATAGCTAGTCTATAGTTCACAATGAAGGAGTATAAGGTAGTGGTTCTTGGTAGTGGAGGGGTGGGAAAGAGTGCTCTAACCGTCAGATTTGTTGCTGGTCAGTTTGTAGAGAAGTACGATCCTACGATCGAGGACTTCTACAGAAAAGAGATAGACATGGATGGATCTCCGACAGTCATTGAGATCCTCGATACAGCAGGTACCGAACAGTTTGCTTCGATGAGAGACCTCTACATAAAGAACGGACAAGGTTTTCTACTGGTGTACTCGATCATAAACCAGCAGTCATTCATTGACATCAAGCCACTAAGAGATCAGATTCTACGTGTAAAGGGTGTCCAGAATGTCCCTATGCTACTAGTCGGTAATAAATGTGATTTGGAGGCTGAGAGGGCTGTCACTCCAATGGACGGGAACTCGTTGGCTACGTCTTGGGGTTGTCCCTTTTTTGAGACTTCAGCTAAGACCAAGAAAAACGTGGAGGCCATTTTTGTCGAGGTTGTACGAGAAGTGATCAAAACAAAGTCAAAAAAAGGCGATGGAGGATGTTGTACTTTATTATGAATCAAATAATAGGACGGAAATTTACCTTTACTATAATGACTCGTATAAAATTACACTCAAGTCTCTATCTAACTCTTTCTATGTTCTTATGTTGTTTCGCTCACCTCTCTCTCTCTCTCTCTCTTTCTTGAGCCATCTTGTTGCTTCTTTGTTGAATCTAGTTTTATACTTTGTGTCATCACGGGACCTTGGTTCTCCTTTTCTTGTACTATTCAAATCTTTTCTCTCCCCCCCTCTCTCTCTCTCTTTCTTTTCTCTCTTTCTCTTGGCCACAATTCTTCTGTCCTATCACATTCATAATTATAGATACTACTGATACTGTTATTTAAAGTAGATGTTTAATTGCATGTCCCTCTCTCTCTCTCTCTCTCTTGCTCTCTTGTTCATGTTCTTCTCAATTTGATGTTGCAACTTTTGACAGCTTCAACAAAAATTTAATATTATTGTCTACTAACATAATCTTTACTGATGATGATGGTATTATTATTATTATTATTATTATTATTATTATTATTTAAAAAATTTTTATTTTACTGACAAGAGATTCTATAATATCTTTCCACTATTGGATGGTGGATTGGTGGTGGTATGATTAGTTGAGGTCATTTATAAGTATTGTATCATTTGTGTGGTCATGCAACTATGAATATCATTATAATGATAATGAATACCCTAGGGTGTGGTCAAGAAGCTGGCCTAGCCCTGGTACAGCCCCTTCAATGATATCAGCATTACTCAATTCTCTAGAGAATTTTTTAGAAGTAATATTATTTAAAATTAATAAACAAATCAAAAAATTACAACAAATAAATATTTATCAGTCCAAAACTTTATTACAATTATTTATAATGATAATTAATTTTTAATTTTACTAGTAACTATGAAGGTTGGCCCTTTCTTGGTTACACGCGTCACATATATTTCCTCCGAAATTTTCATTTGAACAGAAAGTACAAGTCCAGCAATTATATGATCCTGTTCTGTGACCTTCAGCCATCACAAGAACTGAATCATCTTTCGATATTGGTCGCAATAATTCTCTGTCAGCATTTGTCCCGTACCATGTGTGTGGAGGATCAGTAGAACCTGCTCCTGCTAAAGAAGGATTGTTTTTACGAGGCTTGATTGATCCTCCATCTTGATTAACATGTGGAGGACTGCTTGAGCTTATTTCATCTTCATTTCTTTCGGATTCTGTTTCTTCGGCAATTCTAAAACTCACAGATTCTGAAGGGCTGAATACAGCTAGTTGTTCATCAAACGGACGATACATCTTATCAGTATATGAAGAGTCTGATCTGAAACTAGGGGTGCTGGAGGAACGGCGACCATAGTTGATGCCACATTGCTCGTCAAAGCTGTCACTTTTGCAAACGGTGTGATTCAATGAATGAGGCTGTTGATCATCAGATGCCACCTCTTTGTTTGGAGTTGAGGATGAAGGTTTAAATCTCCTCTTCATTTCCATAGCATTAAACATTGGTGGGGGCATTCCAATGATACTGTCATTTGGGCTGGTACATATAGTTGTATCATTATAACTTTGACTTGTTAGACCTCCATCACACTCAACTTCTCTTCTCTTTTTTGACTGCTCTCGATCTTTTTGTTGATACCATGTCTGATCATCATCATAGTAACGTTGACCTCTAGAATACTGATCACCTTGATACTGATATCTGTGATATTGACTTGATTCATTTCCATAGTGATTAGAAGAGGAATTGTTATATTGTTCTCCATGATAACCAGAATCAGCTGAATCAGTGCAATAGTACTGTGAACCTTCATATTGATTTCGGTGATATTGATCTGATTCATTTCCATAAGGATAGTGCCTCCTTTGCTCATCTTCACGATAATAACCTTGTGAAGGTCCTCTATCATCATGCCTGTACCTGTAGTCAGGATTATCATATCTTTCATCTCTGTAGTCTCTGTAATCATTATTGTGATAACTTTGACCTGTACTATGTTCCGTATAGCCCTGACCCCGACCTGTTGTTGTAAGTGAATAGCCACTAGAAGGATGAGGAGGTTGTTCAAGATGAGAAGCTTGTCTTGCTGCTTCTCCTTTCATGATGTAGTCCAGACAGTCCCATCTGTTTGAAGGACCATAGCACCTGGCTATGAAATAATGATAAAACTTGATGTCATATTCCATTGATTGAGAGATTAGGAACGAAATAATCTCAAGTTCCTCATGAAGGATGACAATATCCAGTACAAGGGTGTACACACGATCGATGGAGAATGATTTGTTAAGTGATAGGTCGGTGGCATTTCTTGCTTGATCGTATCCCATCAAACCAAGGAAGGCCCGAGCATCTTTTAGATTTCTCTTGACCTGAAACATAAAGAAAGATGTGCTAGCCTAGAGGAGGGAGAGAGAGAGGTGGTTAGATAAGAGAAGAATACCGTACAGCAGGAAATATTTGCGGGGAATTAAATTTTGCGAGTTTGCGATTCCATTTAAAGCGCAAAATTTAAATCCGCAAAATAATGAAATTCATGCATGACCACAGTAGATAATGCTACAATAACTGTCAAAACCGCAAATATTTAATCCGCAAACCAGGTTATTTTTAAGGATTCGCAAAATTTTTCTCCGCAAAATTAACCAGCTGTACGGTATAAGTACAGTGCATGTACTGGTACACACATGAATCACACCACAACAGTTTCATGTGCCAACCACATGTTAGTCTTGTGACTAAACTATCATTATGTTATTTCTAGTTCATATTTGACCTTAATTGATTAACTCTGATATCACGCTTTAAGTTCACAAGGTGGGTACACTATATCATACATAAAGTACAGACTATAATCTCCAAGTTCAAAGACATCACAGATCAACTGTCAAGTGGATAATAATGTACATATATGTACATAGAAGAAGTACATGTACATATATGGTAAAAAGCAGAGGTCCAGTAGCTTTGAGTAATTTCAGGTGTGACTGAAGATATGCTTAAGCTATGCCAGCTAAAGAATATCGTAAATACAAACAGCCATTGTTTACTTGTATAAGTACATCAACCAGTACAAGCTGCAGACATTAGCAAGAGAGACATGACCAAACTATTCCCTTTCAAGTTTCTGTTATTACATAAAGGAATACCCTACCCATACATAACATGATAAACGTTAATTATGAGATACAAACATTGACATAAACATGGCAGTATTTCCTTTAATATTATGGTATTGCTTAACATTCTGTGAACAGTATTGTGATTACACAACCATTGTGAAGACACAATGATGTACACTAGAAGAATGGGCTCACCATTCAGTAGTTTATATTGTACCAAAAGAGTAGATGTAGACTGATGTACTTATATACATGTATACTGACTCAATACAAGTTTTAATAGTGGCAGCCATTTTGTTTGGGGGTGAATCCTACTTAGTAACGCGGTAGCTACTGCATTACTAATATCAGCTCTCTTACTTTAATGATCTTCAGTTCAGGTCGATTTGGTGCCACGAGGAGATTCAGTGGATATCGTAGGAGTGATTTGAGTCCAGTCTTCATTTTATTGACCTCTGCTTCACTAGCGATAAGTTCCTTAGAGTCTTGTTGAAGTATCTCAAATACTTCAGGGTTTTTATAACGATATTCAAAAAGTTTTTCTTCAACAAAGCGTCTGCATAGGTCATAGATATTTTGAGGAATGACCAGATCAGTTAGTTGCTTGTCAGTTGACTGTATCTCAATAACTACATCCTTCAATAGCGAGAGAATGTACTCTCTGGTAGGTAGGGGAGGAGAATTGCGGTCCATTAGTTAGATATCTAACTCGAGATTTAACTTTATGACTTTAAATAGCAACTGCAGCAGTCTTCATGCACATTTAGCTTAAACTTGCCACGTCGAAACTGCCTTATAACCCTCCTGACAGCCTTGTGATCGCTCTGTTTACTGACGACACCGTTCAAGTATGAGGTGGTGTGATCGTGAATTCGTGATCATTCAAGAACTGACAAGAAGCATGGGGAGGTAACCGGAGTTACTATGGTAACCAAACATAACACTACATCACATACATGCAGTTATCATCAAAAACAAGATAAACAACAAGAATGGTAAGGCCCTATGTCTTTCCTTGTTATATTTGATACACATATTGTATAGCCTAAAGGTAAAGGGAAAGGAAAAGGGAAGGGGAAGGGGAAAGGAAAGGGAAAAGGGAAGGCTAAAGCAACAGCAGTCATTGATGGAATATCAACTGAAGACATGACAAAGGAACAAGTAGACACGCTCACTCGTCTTGTCCTTCATTTTATCAGTTTGTATGTAGCTTGAGGAACATTGTGTACGACTGAGAGATGAAGTTGATAGAGAGAGAGATGAAAGGAACTTCTTTCAACTTGAAAGGGACAAGGTAATCATTATTATCTAATCTATTAATCTTTGTTTATTATTATTATTGTTGTTGTTGTTGTTTTTGTTGTTATTTTAGATCAATACATTTTGGGACATTACTAAACGTCAATTGGAAGATGCTCAAGCCACCATAAGGAACAAGGAGAGAGAGTTAGAAGATGCAGAGGAGCATCATCAAGTGGAGATTAAGGTGAGGAAGAGAGAGAGAGAGAGAAAGGGAGGGAGGGAGAGATGGGGATAGTTTGTTCATCTTGTTTATCTTTGCAGGTATACAAGCAAAAAGTGAAGCATTTGCTATACGAGCACCAAAACAACATCACAGAACTGAAACGAGACGGTAAGCATTACTTTCACTTTCATTATCATTACTATCATACCAATATTGTCCCTCTCTCTCCCTATCTCTCTTCCCCTCTCCCTCTCCCCCTTTCCCTCTCCCTCTCCCCCTTTCCCTCTCCCTCTCCCCCTTTCCCTCTCCCTCTCCCTCTCCCTCTCCCCCCTCTCTCCCCTCCATAGGAAGTGTTGCCATTACACTAGAGCAGTCCAACCACCATGAGAAAGAGTCTGATCTGATTTCTGAGAAGAGATCCCTCAAAGTTGAGCTTAAAGAGCTAGAGCTTGCGCATCAAGAAACCATTAAAGCTCTTAAAAAGGTACAACTGAAATGAAGAAACCAAACTGTAGCCTACCTTTAATGGCAGGAACATGACCAAGCACTGACGACAACGAGGGAAGCATATGAACAGAGAGCTGATGACCTTGAAGCAAAGTATGAGAAGAAGATGAGCGCATTAAGAGATGATCTTGAACTAAGGAGGAAGACAGAAGTTCACGAAGTGGAAGAAGTAAATTACATTAATTATTATATACACTGTATAGATATACGTGTACATGTACGTCATTGTATATACATTAATTGATTGTATGGAACTAATTATGATTAATGAATGGTAATAATGGTGACATGTGGTTTTATTTAGCGTAAGAATGGTCAGATTAATCAGCTAATGAAGAATCATGAGAAAGCATTCAGTGACATTAAGAACTACTACAATGACATCACTCTTAACAACTTAGCACTCATCAACTCACTGAAGGTATTGTAATAATCAAAATAATAATAATAATAATTACTGTTATTATTATTTTTTTTAATGATGGCAGGAGCAAGTTGAAACTATGAAGAAAGATCAGGAGAGATTGGAGAAGCAGCTCTCAGAGGCACAGGCTGAAAAGAGAAGGTTACAAGAGCCACTCCAGAAGGTAAAGCAAGTTAAAACTAACTAATAATGATCACTTGGATTACAATACAAGAGTACATTTGATTATATTGTACATGTATACTGGTATAGGCCCGTGAAGAAGTGACTGAACTGCAAAGGAAGCTGTCAAATTATGAAAGAGACAAAGTTTCACTTCAAGTAAGTACAACTAGTAGTGACCAGTCAACAGCACACAGTATCATTCAATGTTAAATACTACACTATAGCTGCCATTGTATTATTATTACTAATACTGTCACTGTTAGAATGCCAAAGCTCGTCTGAAGGTGCAAGAATCAGAACTGAAGAGCTTACACTGGGAACATGAAGTATTGGGACAGAGATTTGCACAAGTATAATTAATAAAATAATAAATTAATTAATTTTAATTTTTTATTAATAGATTCAGAAAGAGCGTGATGATCTCTACAGTCGTTTTGTCTCAGCGATACACGAAGTGCAGCAGAAGAATGGATTTAAGAACCTACTACTGGAGAAGAAGCTCACCGCACTGGCTGATACTTTAGAAAAGAAGGTACATGCAGTTTTACCATGCAGCAATAACTACTGTAACTATCTATCATCATTATGATCATTATAGGAAGCACAGTTGAATGAAGTATTGGCTGCATCCAATTTGGACCCTTCAGCTCTCACAATGGTCACTAAGAAACTAGAGGTACAGCAGTAACAGAAACAATCATTATGGTGTGTGTATGTATAATAGGATGTACTTGATTCAAAGAACAGTGCCATTAGAGATCTACAATATGAACTGGCTAGAGTCTGCAAGGTATTGTACTATACATAGTAACTGATGCTATATATAGTAACTGTTACTATATATAATAACTAATGCTATTTTTATAGGCACACAATGACCTCATCAAGACGTATGAAGCTAAATTGTCCAGTTTTGGTATTCCAGTGGAAGAGTTAGGATTCAAACCATTGCAGAGCACAGTGGCAGGACAGAAACTAGGCGAGGGGCCAGGGGGTCTGGTGACATCTCCCTCCTAGGGGGTCCGGTAACTCTTTCTTGAAATTAAACAACAGTTATAATTAGCACAATGTTACTGTATAATGCCATATTGTTTATTTAATAATAATTATTTTAAAATAATTGAACATACCACAATAGTAAATATATAATATGTATACAAATGCTACAAAAAAAATAATAACAAGGTTTCTATCGTCATTATACAGCTACTTCTGCTGTTCGACTTATAAAACTAATCAACATTAGTTGGAGTTGAACTGTTTCCTATAACAACTTCTGGATCAACAATTCTGAGAAAAATGAATATTAATTATTATAATTTTTATTAATGCATTATTTACTTGTTGACATTCATTATTTCCTTCAGAGCCTTGCCCCCTTTTGTGAGCTTATCAGAATATATAAACCGTCTTACTTCATTAACAGTAGCTCGATTTATGGTCTAAATAATAATAATAATAATAATAATAATAATGATGATGATGATGATGATGATAATATTAATAATATTAATAATAATAATAATAACATTAATAAGGATAATGAGTCAATTTTTGAAAAAATCCCTGTATAGATCTATAGTCCATGGTCTTTTCCAAAAAATGGCTCCAAAATCAATCCCAATTTTTATTACATTTTCTGATACATATTGATGCCCTTATGCTGTGTAGAAAGTTTGAGCCAATTCTGACTTTAATTTTTCAAATTACAGCCATTTTATGAAATGGGTCAAAATCGGAAAATTTCCCTGTACTATAGCCCATGGTTTTATGGAAAAAATGGCTCCAAAATCATCCCCAATTTTTATTACATTTTTTGATACATATTGATGTACTTATGCTGTGCAGAAATTTTGAACTGACTCCGAGCTCAAAATTTCAAGTTATGGTCAGTTAAAGAGTTGAGTCTGTACTACAGCTATAATAATAATAATACATTTTTCTGATTACCTTTGATTCCTCATGTGCCCGAATAATGAGTGAAGTGAACAGGTTGAGAACAGCATAAACAAACAAGGCCGTGAACACATAGATGAAGACTTGGCCATAAGCTATAACAGCGCTGTTATCAGAGTCATCAAACGAGCGGAACATTGGATAAATATCATCGCCATGTGTAAGGACAAACAGAGTTTGAAATGACTGGAATATATCACTGAACTAAAAACAGAGTCAATCATCTAATACTCAATATTAATACACCAACCCTTTCATTGTAAGGTCCAAAAATGACAAATCCACAAACGGAGAATGCAAAGAACAGGACACCAGAGCAGAGGAGGAACTTGAGCAGTTCAGGAAAGACGTAACTGAGGGTCCTTGGGAGAGCCTATCAAGTGAATAGATCCAATAAGTTATTGCTCATAAACTATAAAACCAAACATGTACACTATGCAATGTCTGTTCTAGTTTAAGCAGGAGTATGGTGCAACAACATGCATGTTGCATGAAATGAAATGTAGGTTAAGGTTTACAAGAAATGTACAAAACTCCTACATGTTGCACACTCCATTAACTTCATTACTATAAACTGAGTAATTATGTAGAGCAAATGTTGGATATAGTGTGTGTTTGTTAAATTCAAGAGAACATCATAATAATTATATTTCTTACATTTAATTGATTGAAGAAGCTGATGTAGCGCAGGATTGCACTCATTTCAATGAGAGCAGCTGTTCCAAGTAATATACGAATACTAGCTGATCTAAAACTAAAACTACTTGCCTGTAATAAAATGAGCACTCATTAATTCACTGGACTATAGTCCAATCTACTTACATCAAATTCTAAAATTATTCTAAGTAGGGAGCCAATGATGAGTAGGACATTAGCTAGTAATGTGAAAGAGAGCCAGAGTGAAAACAATGGCCTGATGATCTGAGTCCATTTTAATTCCTTTTCCAACTTTTGCTTATAGAACTCACGCATTGCCTGCAGTGAACAGTTTCTATTGTTACAACACACGCCCAATGCTTGAGTTATTATCATACCTTTCCCAGTTTGTATCCTCTCCAGTACTTAAAGATAATGAACACATTTGATGTCACAGACAATATTATCACCAGTACATCCAGTAAGGTTGTAAAGATGTACCATGAAATGTTCCTGGCTGCGGTAAAAAAGAAAAATGAAAATGAAAAATTTTTTCAAAAGATTTTTTTGACATCCTGTTGCCACCTTTTAAGTGTTAACAAGGTCTTGTAAACAAATCAGTGCTAATTTAATTTCAAAATACCTTTGTTGTTATTGTGTACTTCTGTATTGCATGAAACAAATTCAAAATTAAAATTCAAAGAGCGATCAATGATCCCACTGTGATCCTCATTTGAATAAAGCACCTATAAAAATACATGAGTCTAGTTAAGTAGTAATTGAAAGGAGCTCCTTACTGTTATTGTAATGAGATAGCAGTCTATTCTATCAGGATTCTTAACAATGTGAACTTTTTTAAGATACAAGAGAATTGTGGCATCGATAAACCTGCAAGGAAAAACTTAAAAGTTAAGAGCAGCTTTCTTGTGGAAAAAAACAAGAATACAATATTGTCCTGGATACCACTCACTGATTCCAAGCAAATCCTTCTTCCATTAGCTGAAGGAATGGATCACTGTCCTCAATTATATTGATCTCAGCTGATAAATTTAATTAAACAAGAATAACTCTAAATTTCTTTTACTTGTTATCACATTGTGATTGAATACAACAGAATCGCTTGAAGACTCAATATCAATTTGTTGATATTGTCTAACTGTAGCAGTGATTGGTTCCATGTTGCCATCTGAGTCTAAAAGGTGATTGTAGCCACCCAATGTTATATTAGGCAATTGAAAATACTGCAGGTGCAAAAGAATTAATTTAAAAACTTGATGATCATTAAAGCTGTGCAGTACTTTATCTGTGATGAAGTTAATGTCTTCATTAAGCTCCTCATCATTATAAAGACTAAGTTTGTTAACTTTATTTTTTAGTAACAAATTCTCCAGCAGCTCCTGTGACCTTGAATAAAAGTATACTCTTTCATTGGCAAGAAAGTAGGCAAACAGGAACACCTATATATGCAAGAAACATGCTCAATGAAAATAAATATGAAATAACTGTAATGCTTCTTTATTGATCATTGCATGTCAATCATGTGGAGGGGGGCTGACCTGCACCAGAACCAGTACTGTTTTTACTATTTGGAGAAAAAGCTTGTATGGCTTGGCTTTCGCCACTTTCCACCGCTTGAGTGGACTACAAATGTGATTGTAGAGAGCAGTTTTGAGCTGTATTTCATCATCAACAATACTCTTGTAATCTACAGGATACATGCTGTGCCTGCGAATTAAATAGGAGCTCCTCCTCCTACAGAGAGAGAGAGAGAGAGAGAGAGAGAGAGAGAGAGAGAGAGAGAGAGAGAGAGAGAGAGAGAGAGAGAGAGAGAGAAAGCATTATATAAATTTGTGCTGGTTATTTTGTTTTTATTTTGGAGCTTCAATTAGCTCGATTAGAATTGCAAGGGGAATTTATCACTCAGCCACCAGAGATCATGTTCCATGTTTCTATACCATACAAGTGCGTCATTCTTTTAGTAAGCAATTAAAATATTCATAGCTTGGAATGCCACACAAATATAGAAACAACTGACAAACAAATAATAGAATATAATGAAACTTGCATTGTTGCAAGGACATTTTGGCTGTCTATAAGATAGTCATACACTAAATACAAGCTATCCTATCTGTATCAGTGACAGACTATAGATCCTTACCTGTTGCTTATTGCAGCGGGGGAGGAAGATTCGTTCGCCTTGTTGGACTGATCATCAATATTATCACCATCAACATTAGTCTCTCCTATAACCACACTGTTACTAAAACTAACTATAGTCGCCATTTAGGCCTATAGAGAGCTGCTACAGCAGAGGAATTGACTCCGCGAGAGACGCAGCGGTCAGACTATGGAAGAAGAGTCTACCGTCAGTTCAGTGCAAATATCATTCATGATGGAGTCAAGCACGCAGAAACACGAGCCACACCTTATCACTCTGAAAGAATGCAAACCATGCAGAGCTAATCTACTATGGTATGAATATGTTTCCTCTTTTTAACTGATGTTCAAAGTGAAGACAAAATTAATGACAATTTTGGAAAGAATTTAATACAAAATTTGCATGTAATTATCTTCCATAAACAAAATTAAAATTGAAATGCACACGAAAAGAATGTAGTGGTCAGTCTAGATCTCCAATAATGTTTCTGCTGTCTGTTCTGGATGGTTTCTTTTTCCTCTTCAATATAACCTCTGGTTTAACATACCTATAAATAATAATGGAAATAATTATTGATAATAATAATGATAATCTGACACTGAACATAAAACCATTCAATATGTTGATTAAAGAAATATTTCATGCTAAATACACGTTGTTCAGTATACTCCAGTATATTTTAGTATACTAACTTGTTAACGTATGTTACGTCCTTCAGTGCCACACCTTTGTCAGTGAGTGGTCCAGAAAACACAAATCGTCTCACTTCATTAATGGTTGCTCGATCAACAAGCTAAAAACAAACAAAAAACATTAATATTTTTATTATTTAAACTCTTTTTTACCGAAGAATTATCATAGGCAGTTTTAACAAGTGACGTGAAGAGATTAAGGACAGCATAGATGAACAAGAATATGAACAAGTAGACAAAGAGTCGACTGTAGATATAGATTAAGATGTCTTGATCATTGAAGGCTCTGAAAATGAGCCAAATACTGTCACCGTTTATGAGGGCAAAGAGAATCTCAACACTATTGCCAAAGTTACCAAACTTAAGGGGGAGAAAGAGAAAGAGAGAGATAATATATGTTACTGTTGCTGCAGTTCTCACCATTTCTTCATTGTAAGATCCAAACACGACTAGGCCACACAGAGCATAAGCAAAGTAGAGGATTGACGTACAAAAAAGGAACTTTATCAGCTCAGGGGAAGCAGCACTGAGTGTCCTAGTTAAAGCCTAAAAATAAATAAATGAATAATTTTATTATTGATAACATTTCATGTACGTTGAGTTGTTTGAAGAAGCTGAAGTATCTAAGCATTGCCGACGACTGAACAATCAAAGCTGTTCCAATTAATATACGAACAGTCACTGAATGTACAGGGACCTGCAGTGGAACAGATAGGAGATACAGCACATAAAATAAAATACAAATAATGATGATGATACTAAATTTTTTATGCATTAAGTGCCTGACTGAATAACAATTATAGTAACATTTTAAAATTTCAGTTAAGAGATAATGCCAGTATTAAACTTGCTAAAAATAGCAGTGTGGATCCATTACCTCATACTCTAATAATATCTTGAGGAGTGTTCCTATTATTAGTAATAAGTCACTGAAACCAGTGAAGATGTGCCAAATGGAAAATAGAGATTTCCTCTCAAACCAACTCAAATCATAAATACCCAACTGAGACTCGTAGAACTCACCCATAGCCTATGAACAACAAAAAATGATGATTAAAAATATAAAAATAATAAAATTAAGTTTTGCTAATTTTACTTTTGCTAGTACAAAGCTTCTTCTTAAGGTGTGGCAGATAAAACCAGTTGATATGACTGAAGCAATGATCACAATTACATCAAGGACTGTCAGAAATATGAGAAATGAAGAAACGTCTAGTAGTTTAGAAATAAATATTAATAATAATTAATAATATTAATAATAATGTACATGTAGTCTGTGTCCATACCAGCTGGTGGGTCTCCATTACATTCAATCTTCTCGTCCTCTGTCTTCAGATGATAAGAAATCCTTCCTTTGCTGGACTCCTTTTGATACAAAACCTTAAAAATAATAAAAATTTGAGCTCAGAATCAGCTCAAACTTTCTACACAGCATAAGAACATCAATATGTATCAGAAAATGTAATAAAAATTTGAGGTGATTTTGGAGCCATTTTTTGGAAAAAACCATGGGCTATAGTACAGGGAAATTTTCGAATTTTGACACTTTCTTAAAATGGCCATAACTCGAAAAGTTGAAGTCGGAATCAACTCAAACTTTCTACATAGCATAAGTACATCAATATGTATCAGAAAATGCAATAAAAATTGGGGGTGATTTCAGAGCTATTTTGGTTGATTTATAATAACTCAAAAATTTGAATTTGGAATCAGCTCAAAATTCTTATATATGTAGCATAAGGACATCTATAATTATTCAAAGTTTATTCAATAGTACTTTTGATAGTAAATACAATAAAGAATCATTAATGAGGTAATCCCCATATAATACTATAGACAGGATCTATGCTGCATATCTTAATAATTAGCAATCAAAGAAAAAGGAAATAGCATCAGAACAATAATGACTACTAATTCTATTTTGCATACAATTAAATAATAATTGGAGGCACATTAGAACACTTATTAATGTCTGTGTTTACTCTACTAGGGGAATACAATGTATCAGTGGGTCAGTAATTTACTTTCACATAAAATAGATAACATTCAATGTGAGACGTGTCTGTAATCAGAACACCTGTGATACTCATCTGAAGCTCAAGAGAAATAAACCTAAACAAACAAACAAACAAACAAACAATAATTGAAAACAACAACAATATGTACACATACGTACCTCACAAAAGTTAGGTCCATCCCATGTTCATACAGTTGATCTGTCAGTGTCCCATTGTCAGTTGAATTGAGTATAACTATTGCTAAAGGAGAAGTTATCATAATGTTATCAATAATTTTATGATTTTTAGAGTGACTTTTAATTGCGGGTATTAAAAATTGCGATAAGTAATTATTACTAATAGTTATATGGCATCGTGATGTCATTATTAATAATTGTGATTTTAACCCAAACGCAAAATTCGCAATTAATAGCACCCGTATTTAAAAGTAACCTTAAGGTGGTATTGTTTGAAAATTAAGCATAATGTTGTGCTAGCCATCAGGCGTTGATTTGGACAATTTCAACAATTCTCTAACAGCAGCCAAAACGATGAGCTGCCAAAGTCATCAAGAATGTAAATAAATTAGCAAAACATATTAATGGATTTACTACATGATAGCGAAAACAAACTAGCCAGGAACAAACTCATAGCAGAGAGATACGTGTTCATGTATGCCAATACTTACTGGTGATTGGAGTGTAGTCAAATGAATAATAATGAGGGGAGGTAGGGTTGGGTTGAGATTCTTTAAATTGTACAAGAGTAGCTCGTACAGGCTCCGGCTCTCCTTCAGGGTTAACCTGATGTCCATAACTACCCAATGTTATGTTTGGCAACTGATAATACTAGAAATGAGAGAGAAGGGGGGGGGGAGAGAGAGGAAGACAAGATGAAACAAAGTATATATAATGTTACAGTTTAAACTATAAGTCTGATATTAGGCAGCTGCTAATTTCCCTCTTATTTTTCCTACTATACTATCAATGGACTTATTCAGCAAATATTGTATGTCATTCTCTTGTTATGCTTGACTGAGTTTAGTGTCAGCATTTTTAAAACACAAAATAAACAGAATATGCGGTAGACTCACCCTGTCCAGCAAGTGATCCATATCAGCAGTGAGACTGGACTGGGTGTAGCTGTACCTCACTGTCCCATAAGATACAATCGAAGTATTCCTTGAGAGCAGCTGGTCAAATAGAAGTCCTGAATTATACAGGAAGACAGAGCGGTGATTTGAAGTACTGTAGGCAAACAATAGCACCTGGTAAAGAAACAGGAGACAATCATTATGAGGTATGTAGTAGGGGTACAAGGATACCTGAGCTACTAAAAGGAACGTCTTGATAACTTGAAGGACGAGTTTGTATGGGACAAGTTTTTCCACTTTCCACCTCTTGAGTGGATTACATATATGAAAATACAGTGCAGCTTTTAGCTCCAGCTCGTTCTGCGATAAATCGTGAAGCTTTAGTCTCGATTTAAGATGTTTTAGTTTCTCTCTAGAAGGAGCAAAGCTGATGGAACCATCTATTATAGTTTCAACTCCGGTCCTTCTTCCTCCATTGCTTGTCAATGGAGAAGTGGATACAGCAGAGTCCATTGATGCTGCATCAGACCTACTCAAAGAAATGCAATCATAAATACAGCAAATAATCAAGAGTATACTGGCCTGTGCTTCAAGAGCTACACTATTTGGAGCAATCTAAAATGAAGGCTACCTAAATTCGCTAAAATATGCACATCTATAGTGAGACTGTGAGAATATCTTAAGGGTGGGCGTTTATTTGCTGCACTACAAAAGGAAAGGTCTGCAGCGCCTTTTATAACTCTTTTACGGGCAAATTTGGTATCAAATAAAAGGAGACTCTTTATAGCTGATTAATTTTGCAGAGAAAAATTTTTGCAAATTCTTAAAAATAACTTTATGGATTAAATTTTTGTGGTTTTGAAAGTTACTCTAGCATAATGACTGGAGTAATGAATTTTGCAGATTAAAATTTTTTGCACTTTTGATTCATTCGCAAACTTGCAAAAATTTGATTCTCTGCAAATATTTTGGTAATTATAAATCTCAGATTTGATAAGGTACCACTTTGGGAAGCCATATCAGTAGAGGCAGCAACATTTGTGGTTAATTTGACTTGTAAGCAAGGTGTTGGCAACAAGTTGCCTCTCATTATATGAGTAAATGTGTCGATTTGTTTGAAGTTGCTTCAGATACTATTTTGCATGTAGAAAAGTGCTAGTCTCCCAAAGGAAGGTGTTTATTGCAACTTTCTCACTTATTACTTTTCATAAAGCTATCACATGCCACACTGGAATTGCTACTCATACAGACTGATCTAAATACTGTATAGTCTGCCCTGCCCCTTAGACTAAATACTGTACTGTGAGTATAGTAGTCTCGTGGGGCAACTTAGGGTAGGCCCATGAGACTAAATTATAGTGACATACTTACAAGTGCCTAAAAGGAGCAGTGCTTATATCAGAAAACGTTACACTCTGCTGTACCCTCAGATCAGAAGGGGCAGTAGCAGCTCTGTTTCCAGTGTCTACATTAATTGGAGTCTCTTCCTCGCTGCTACAGCTAATAACACTAACAGTTGGAGGCAGTAGCTCGATATTTAAAGGGCTGGCAGTCCTGCTGCTCCCTCCTTCTGATGACACTTCTCTCCTAGTTGTCATTTGAATGCCTTCACTTCAGATCATTCAACCTTAACAATATCGCCCATTCAGAGGCTCTAGAGTAAAGAGGAAGTTGAGTGAGGGACGGAGAGACTGCAAATGTGCCTAGTCCTCTCTCCTCAATGATTTCATAGATGATTTCACAAATTCAAGCCATGCCCACACCTGGGCTCACCCACGCCCAATTAAGCAAATGGCCTCCACCCATTACAACTAAACCCCGCCCACTTTACTAAACAGGCTAGGCTAGGATAGGATTTGGCGGGAGGAGGTCCTCGTGTGAGTCGTGTCGTGTGTAAAAGAGGAGAGAAGAAGGTGACATGGTTTCTGTGGACGTAGGAGCTTTCATGAGTCGAGTAGAGAGACTCTACACAGACTGGGAGGTATGGAAGCTTACAAAAAGGACTTATATAATGACTCCATTGTATTTTTCATTTCTTTCTCTCTCCTCATTAGTCAGAAGAAGACACTAACCTGTGGAATGAGGTGGACTGCGTTGCTGTCATTGTTGGAAGAGATGAAGAAGTATTATACGCTAAATCCACAGCCTTACAGGTAAGGGAAGGATCATATGGGCACTAATTAGAAAATTAATGCATGGGCATTAATTGGAATTAATTATTAGACCTGGCTATTTGGTTACGAGTTGACGGACACTCTTTGTCTTTTCTGCGCTAACGAGATTCACATCCTCACGAGTAAAAAGAAGGCGGAGTTTTTGAAACCAGTTGAAGGACAGCTAGAGAAGAAGAGCGACCTTCCGAACCTTGTGATACATCTGAGGAACAAAGTGAGGGAGAGAGAAGGAGAGGTTTGATCTGGTCTGTGGTTGTTTTTCTGTCACCAGGGAGACAATGATCAAGGAAATTTTGAAGACGTAATAAAAGCAGCCAAAGGAAGTAAAAGAGTTAGTTAATTAATAATTTATTATTTATCATTATTATTATTATTATTATTAATTTTTTGAAGGGAAAGAAAGTTGGTGTTTTCATTAAGGATGAATTCACTGGGGATTTCATCGAAGGATGGACAGCAGCTCTGAAGGAATCAAGTTTAAAACAAGTATGGCATAATAACAATTAATTAATTGATTGATTAATATCCTTTGTGCCACGCCTCCTCAGATTGATGTAAGTGCTGCCTTTGCTTATGTCTCCGCCCCTAAGGACGACAAAGAGGTTGAAATCATTAAGGTGAATACAGAGTGATTTTGAATTTAAATTTTTGAATTTCAAATATAGAAAGCTTGCCAGATTGCAGCTAACGTGTTTAGTAAGCACGTCAGGAAAGAGATAGCGACCATTGTGGATGAAGAAAAGGTACCATCATCATTATTATTTATTTATTTATTTATTTATTATTATTATTATCGTTATTATTATTCAGAAAGTGAAGCACAGTCGGCTAGCTGATGGTATTGATAAAGCTATCACTGATGACAAGAAGTTGCTGCCAGCTGGAGTGGACTCGGAACAGGTGGAGATATGCTATGCACCAATTATACAAAGTGGAGGGAAATACCAGCTGAAGTTTAGCACTGTCAGGTAACTGTAATAATAATTAACAATAATTAATAATAATGACCTATTAATATATTCTGTTTCTTCTAGCAATGATGACAGACTCCATTTTGGTACTATAATATGTTCTCTTGGCGTGAGGTACAAGTCCTATTGCTCTAACATTTGTAGAACGATGTTCGTAGAACCGACTCAAGTAACTGTATTTATTAATGTGTTGTGATATGCTCCGCCCCTTTTGCAGGAGATGCAAGACAATTATTCATTTCTTCTTTCTCTTTACGAGAAGACACTCGAGTTTTTAAAAGTGGGCGTGCCTCTCTCCGAAGTTTACAATGATACTTATCGTTACGTTGAGTCTCAACGTCCTGACCTGATTGATCACTTTGTAAAGACCATCGGGTTAGTAGGCGTGGTCTCCTGTGGGCGGGTTGCTTGACTGGTTTTTGATACAGGTTTGCAACCGGTTTAGAGTTCCGTGAAGCATTTTTACAAATATCACCGAAATGTAATATCTCAATTGTAGCAGGTTAGTATTAATAACTATTAATAACTATTATTAATATACTGTCTAGGAATGGTTTTCTGTGTTAATTTGGGTTTTTCTAATTTAACGAATTCTTCGTCAAAAGACGATCAAGGAAAAGTCTATGCTCTTTTTATTGGAGACGTAGTTCTTGTCAACAAAGTAAATATAATATTTACATTTGTTTGTTTGTTTATTTGTTTGTTTGTTTATTTTATAGTCTGGTCCAGCCACGGAATTGTCTTCAGCTTCTAAAAAGAAGCTACGAAGCATTGCAATATTCTTTGGAGTAAATACTTGATTAATTAATTAATTTATTATAATTAATTGACGACTTCTTAGGATGACGACGAACAAGACAAAGGAGAGGAGAATATCAACGTAAAGAACCTTATTATTAATATTATATTATTATTTTTTTTTTTTAGCCGGAATTATTCTCTGGTAAAGAGTCCCGTCTTCTCGACACACGTACAAGAGTAAGTGGGTGTGTCTATTTATTGTTAGTGGGTGTGGTTTGTCTTACAGACTGAGATCCCATCCGAAGACAGACGTAAAGAGCACCAGGCCCAACTTAAGAAACAGATTAATGAAGAAGCAAAAGTATGAAAGAATGTGCCTCCGTTAATAATTATAATTAATTAATTTTATAGAAACGATTGTTAGATGGAATGCAGGATAACATTTCCAAAAGGTCAGGCAGCAGCTAGAACAATTCCCTCCAATTTAAATAACATTATTAATTAATTTATTACTTAATTTATTTATAGGCCCAAGCTCTCTTCAATGGTAGCATACAAGCATCCCTCAGTTCTTCCTGTGAGAGAGAATGACGTACAGAACCTTCATCTTTACGTTGGTGAGTTTCTGCTAAACCACACCCACTGTCACGCCTCCTGTTAGATCGTAAACACGAGGCAGTCATCCTGCCCATATATGGTGTCCCAGTTCCAATACACATATCAATGATAAAGAACATTAGTAAGAGCGAAGAGGGTTCTTATACCTACCTGAGGATCAACCTGTTTCATCCTGGAAGGTGAGGGCGTGGTTAAGAGGTGTGGCCATCAACTGATTGCATTTTTAGTACAATGGGCAGAATGGATGGAGTTGTGTTTCCTAATCCCGAGGCTAGTTTTGTCAAAGAACTGTAAGATTATTATTATTATTATTATTATTATTATTATTATTATTATTATTGTTGTTGTTATTATTACTATTATTATTATTTCAGGTCGTTTCGTGGTTATAATTCTGCCAGTAATTACCTGGGTGGGGGCGGGATCAGTCTAGTTGGTATATTCCACTCGATTAAGGAGCTACAGAAGAAGTTCCGAACTCGAGAGCAAGAGAAGAGAGAACTGGAGGGGTACCACGAGCAGGACTCACTCATCGTCAGTTCTTCCAAAGGAAACCCTCGACTGAAGGACCTCTTCATGAGGCCTGTGATAGGACAGAGGAGGATACAGGTATTGTTATAATTAGTGGGTGTGGTCTTGTAATTAATTGGTGGGTGTGGTTAATTATAGGGTGTATTAGAGGCCCATACTAATGGACTGAGGTATACTAATTTAAGAGGAGACCACGTTGACATCATTTACAATAACATTAAACATGCATTTTTTCAGGTAGGTGGGGCTAATTATTAACTAGTTATTAATTTTGTTTTTAGCCTTCGAAAGGTGAAATGATTGTCCTGTTACATTTTCATTTAAAAGTTAGTTGTGAGTGTGGTCTTTTGTGATGTCATATTGCATCATTAGCATCCGATCATAATTGGAAAGAAGAAACAGGCTGATATACAGTTCTATACTGAGGTATGTCATATTACATCACATGACATCACTTCCTGTCACGTGACCAGGTCGGAGAGATAATGACAGACTTGGGACGAAACCACCACATGCACGACAGGGATGACTTACTTGCTGAACAGGTTTGACAGGTTTTACAAACAAGGTTTTACAGTTTTGCAGACTGAGAGGGAACTCCGTCAAAAGCTGGACAATGCGTTTGATTCCTTCAGACGTAAAGTGGAGCAGATGCCTCAGTGTCATGTGGACTTTGAAAAACCTTTTAGAGACCTAGGGTACTTTAGCATAGCAGCTGTAGTTGTCCTTTTATAGGCCATTATCTCTCATAGGTATCCTGGTGTACCGTTTAGAAGCACTGTGTTCCTGATGCCTACTGCTAACTGTTTGGTTAATCTCACAGAACAAGTGAACTATTAATGTATACATTCTGTAGTGTACTCTCCTCCCCCCCCCCTCTCTCTCTTCTAGCCTCCATTTATTGTCACTTTAGACGAAGTTGAACTTGTTCACTTTGAGAGAGTACAAGTTAGTTTTACTACAAACAAACCTTTACTTTTATTATTGTTTTATCATTTTTTAATATTTTATTATTTATTTATTTTTGTTGTATTTTTAGTTTCAGCTAAAGAACTTTGATATGGTGTTAGTTTTTAAGGATTACAAGCGGAAGGTGTCAATGGTTGCCAGCATACCAATGAAGAACCTGGACCAAGTTAAAGAATGGCTCAAGTGTGTGCATGTATCATACACTTTAATGGCTATGTGGCTGATTCTGAGCTCATGGTTTTGAATTATGGTCATTTTAAAAATGAGCCATTTTTTGAAAAGGTCCCTGTACTATAGCCCATGGTTTTTTCCAAAAAATGGCTCCGAAATCACCCCCAATTTTTATTACATTTTCTGATACATATTGATGTCCTTATGCTGTGTAGAAAGTTTGAGCTGATTCCGAGTTCAATTTTTCAAATTATGGTCATTTTTTAAATGGATCAATTTTTAAAAGCTTGAGTTGATATTAGATGTTCCTTCTCTCTCTCAGTTCTTGTGACATTCGGTACACTGAAGGAGTACAGAGTCTCAGTTGGGCTAAGATTATGAAAACCATTAACGAGGACCCTGAGGGGTTCTTTGAGAGTGGTGGGTGGAGCTTCCTTGACCCTGAGAGCGACGTAAGAACTGAAATAAAGCAAATACAATTTCTAAAAGCATATACTGATTCTTCCCTCTCTCCAGGAAGAGGAGGAGGATGAAAGCAGTGAGAGTGATGAATACCAACCCTCGGACGATGGAGATATGGAGGTAGGGGATGAAAGCGAGGAAGAAGATTCTGATGAAAACTATACTTCAATATCTGAGGGAGATGAATCAGGTACATCTTATAAAGGACCAGTAGCATAATATGGCTGGAGAGCTGCAAGAGATTGGAACTTAGCTCACCATCAGTTTGGTATAGTACAGCAATTAAGGAGATCACTAGAACCAGTGGCACTATAAGACAGGATAACATTACTGTAGTGTACATGTATAAAGCCATTCTAAAAATGAGAGTAATTTTAACAAATGTAATGTGTTATCTCTCTTCTCAGATTATGAAGACAGTGAAGAAGATGAGGAAAGTGGAAAGGACTGGGATGAACTGGAGGAAGAAGCAAGAAAAGGTACACACACGTTACTATTTTTAGCACACACATTGTTACTATTTTTAGTCAGACTATATCTATACAAGTTGCTAAATTAGTTACTATTTTTAGTAACACCTTATTACCGTGCCTTCCCTTTCCAGCTGACAGAGCTAGAGAGGAGCCTGAACCAGAGCCGACCCCAAGGAAAAGAAAACACTCCAAAATGGGCAACAGCAGACCAGCTCCTCCTCCTTCAAAAAAGGCAGCACACAAATCCTCACCAAAGAAAAGGAGAAGATAGATCAGAAATGGCTGGCCACTTCTTCCTTTTACTCACACGCAATCTCTCAACTTTGAAATGCAATGAAATACATTACACACAAACTTATCTCCTGCTGTCAACTTCATGTCTTTAAAATGAATAATAATGACAGAAATCTTTCATTCAGTCAAAGGCACGTGATACCGTTACAGTACATGGTGAATCTTTTAAAAAATTATTTTTGCATGAAAACTTTGAGCTGGTTCCTATTGAGAAATTTTAAAGCTGAAATACAAAAGTGACAAATATTAGAATTATACACGTATGATTAAAAAGTATACTCAAATCCTTTCTCCTTATTATTGTACTCCTCCTCCTGCTCAATGTATTTCTGATAATGATCACCAACTATCTGAACAATATTAACTTCATTCTCTCTCACACGATATTTGTAACGTTTAGCAAATACACCAAAGACTATCAATATGAGAAAAACTAGACCGAGTTTTGTGAGGTAGTAATGAAAACTAGTGCACAAATACTCATCTTCACACTTGAATGGAAACTTGATTAAACTGTCAAGAAGATAGCCTGTTCCCCAAGAAGCATACCACAATCCAACCATCACTCCTCTCATGTGTACTGGGGATTGAGCTACTGTGAACTCCAGTGATACCGGATTAAGGAATATGAACGATATGCTGTGTAGAAAGTGTGGAAGAAGTAGGAGCACATCATTTTCTTTGAATACAAATATTACAGCATCAGCTGTTACAGTTGCTAGTGAGAATAGGAGACCGATCTTCATTCTACAAAGCATGTTTGGTACAAGCTTGTAGCAACAGATTCTGAAGCAGTACAAGTAGGCCAAAAGGAAGATGAAGGAAAGTAAGTAATAAGGAATGTTTGTTGGTAGTATGCAGGAGAGTAAGGAGTCTTGGTCGTTTGTGTACCAGTTGAAGTTTGCACTGCAAGTGGAACCAGTTATTGCAATAAAGAGTGGCAGCATACGAAAGACTGTCTTCACATCTTCTACCTCTTCCTCTGTGAATGGTCCACCATATTTATCCTTGCCCAGGTCTAGTCTTGAAGGAGCCTCTTCCTCCCAGTAGGTCAGAGCACTACGATTCTCAGGATACTTGTGCTTCCTGGCATAACACAATACTCTGACTATCAGTTTGACCGGATTGACCATCAATGCCAGGTTTTCCAGCCTTTGTTGGAAGTGAGAGTGTGACACTAATATAATAGTTAGAAATAAACCTGAGACAGTAAAAGTTGCAACAGCTAAACCCGAGTACTCATCGTGATCAAAGAGACATTGCATTAGAAAGAACAACAAGCCAATGAGAGGCTCCATTGCTGTCTGCCAGTATATGACAGTGTTTAGCTCATCGGCCGAAGCTCCAACCAGTTGATCAATGTTGTACTGAATCACGTTGACTCTGAAACTTGCAAAACCCACAAATAGGCAAATATAAGCGGGGAGAAGTGACAACCACAAGTAGTGTGACCTCAATACAAAGGAATTGTAGAAATAGAAAACAATATAGCTGATCCCAGTAATCAACCATGACATGAAGCAGAGGAGTACACCAGCCATTATAGTCCTGTATCTTCCTATCCAGACATCAGCTAAGAGGCCAAGGAAAGGAGAGAAGAGATAGCTTCCAAAGACAGAGATAGTGAAGTAATACTTGTAGCCATGCACTATCCTTTTAGCATGATTACCAGTGAAGTGGATCATTAGGAAGAAGTTCCCATACATTAAGAAAGACCAGAAAATAATGAGAGCAGCTGAAAAAGGCATGCAGATCCATTTCCTTGCAGCCATCATCATCATCGCTTGGCCTTAAAGAGAATATAAACACGATTTAATGTTTTGCGATTGTTTTCAGTAGTTATGCTAACAATAAGTGGGCAGTAATGCTAATAAGTAGCACCATAATTAGCACCCACCTCCTTGTCGTGTAGCCTCTTTATTGGGAGTGTAGCCCCTTTATTAAGAACACCATTGGGCCCATACTACCTGTCCTTAATACATGTACAGTGTAGCCTCTTTATTAAGGACACCATTGGGCCCACACTACCTGTCCTTAATACATGTACAGTGTAGCCTCTTTATTAAGGACACCATTGGGCCTACACTACCTGTCCTTAATACATGTACAGTGTAGCCTCTTTATTAAGGACACCATTGGGCCTACACTACCTGTCCTTAATACATGTACAGTGTAGCCTCTTTATTAAGGACACCATTGGGCCCACACTACCTGTCCTTAATACATGTACAGTGTAGCCTCTTTATTAAGGACACCATTGGGCCCACACTACCTGTCCTTAATACATGTACAGTGTAGCCTCTTTATTAAGGACACCATTGGGCCCACACTACCTGTCCTTAATATATGTAAAATGTGTCCTCATAGATGTTCTACCATCTTTTTAAATACATTAGTTTTAGAACATACATTATTGTATGACGATGTATTGATGATTATAAAAATAAATAAATTATAAAAATACAAAGTTGATCCTCAGTTCACATGCTAATCTTCAGGCACCTCTTTTAGACACGTTTTCAATTTATTATCATCATTATTTTTTTAAATATAACTTTTTACATTTTAAATCACATTATTATTATTTGTTTCTTTTTTGATTTTATTATTATTATTATCATTATTATTATCATTTTCAATTAATTATTATTAATTTCTTTTACGTGTCTTTTTAATATTATTTTTTTGAGAGGTGGTAAGCAGAAACAAAGAGATAAACACTCACAGTTAACAATAACAACAAAAAGATAACTGAGAAATCCTTTCATCCTCCATTTTGTGTCTTCTCCACCTTTTAATAAGGAGCATACCAGTTCGTCTTTGCTCGGCCACTAAAAATAAATAAAAATTTAGGCAACCAATAAAAAACTTACCGGAATCCTCGGCCCCGCCCCCTAAAAGGCATCATCGGAATGTACCCGCCCATATATGGATTGAAGCCCATCATCATACCGCCTCTCATGCCACGACCACGTCCTCTCCGCCCACGGTTCGTTACAGCTAGACCAGGTCTATTGGTTCTTTTGGCAGTTACCTGAAGAGAATGATTTTAATGCGTAATATTACAATTTTCTAGTATATACTTTTATTTGCCGTCCACGGAAAAGAGATTCGTCTAAATCTAACGCCATTTTAACTGAATCTGATTCAATAAACTCAACATATGCAAAACTAATAATAATAATAATAATAATAATGATAATAATAATAATAATAATGATAATAATAATAATAATAATAATAATAATGATAATAATGATGATGATTATTTTCCTTACCCTTTTGGGTGTCCACTGTATTTGTCACAAAGTATGGTGACTCTGTTTATGCTTCCACATCCGTTGAAGTGCTGGCCCAGCTCTTCTGCAGTAGCCTGATAATCAACCTAGCAAAGACAACAATAATAATAATAATAATAATTATTATTATTATTATTATTATATTAAGACATATTGGTGGGCATCAGTTTCTACATTGGTTCGTGTCACTGAGAGTGTGTAAATGGGACTACAATAGAGTGGGTTTCATAGATTGCTATCGATTTCATCAAAGAATGAGCAGCTGTCACAACTAATTCCCAACCAATAATTCTTGCTATTATAATTATTAGTATATTATTAGTATTATTACATTTCCAACGTAGACGGAACGAGAGTCTGATTCCAATTTCTCCTCCATCGTAGGAAAGTTATTAGTTTGAGCTATAAGAAAAAATAAAGAAATAATAAATCACAAAATTAAAAAATCTTTTTATCCCACCTGGTTTAGATCCCATTAGTTCCTTCTCCACCTCTCCCTGCATCTCCTTCAACTTTTCAGCTTCTTCTTCCATCTCCTTTACCCTCGCCTTAATCGCCTCTATCTCCTAATTAATAATGATTCTTTAGCCACACCCTTTAATAAATCATGAATATTAAGTAGGAGGAGTTCTGTCAATACATACAAGATAGATCAATTGAGGGAGAGAGTATTATTTTGTTAATTTTATGTTAATTGGAAAATTCTATATTGGCAATTTTGTGAAAATGGCCACGTGTTGTTGAGCATGCTTAGATTAAAACAAAATGGCGGATTTTATACCGACAATTTCTGCAGGAAACTGCAAATCACCAATATCAAATCATCTTGTACCATAAAGGTTTATGAAGCAGTGTATGTGTTGTGCTACTGACGGGGTCCTCTATAGGTATAGTTTCCTTTGCATCCTCCTGGTCCAGTAAACTAATTTCCCCGTCCAAGTCCCCGTCGGGGTCTCTTAAACTTCCATCCTCGTCCTCCTCTTCCTCCCCAACGCCCAGAGCACTGTCCAATAGGGCACTGTCATCAGGCTCTGTTCCCCTAGGCGTGCTCCCCTCCTCCAACAGGTCCTCGCTAATGCTCAGGCTTGTACTGGGGTTTCTTTGCTGTTGCTGTTCTTCCGCCATTTTTAATATACACGCTATTGGGAGGAGCGAATTATCACTCATGCGCAATGGGTTGCCATGTGATTGCACGTGTTTGAACTATACGGATTTGTTATATCTAGATCTACGGCTTTGATTGCGCATGCGCAAGACTTTTGGTGGTTAAAAATTGAAATTTAAAGTTTTGAAGAGAGTTGAGAGAGAATGGCAGGAGTGAGTACAAATATAAGGACACTAACGACTCAAGTAAGCACCTGACTCTTCCTTCCCTTACCTCTCTCTCCTTTCCTTAGGTCAAAGGGATGACTTTGGGCTCTGCCAGTAACAAAGAAAATGCAACTTCTTCATATCAACTGGGCTCTAATTATAGACTGGGACAAAAAACTGCCCCCAATCTGGAACCAAAAGTCAGCAATAGTCACGTGACTATCACGTGATTTGTTTTCATTGAACGTTAGGTATTGTGCCACCCACTTCAAGAATCCAAGACTCACCAAATACCTGTTAGTAGAACTGGTCAAACTAGTGCTACTGGTCAGACGGCTCATGGTACACGGGAACATTTGACGGTTCCTCCCTCTGCTCCTCCTCCTGTATCATCGTCTTTAGGAGAAGCACCTCAGGGAGGAGCTGGTACTGCAACTGACCAATCACAGCAGCCAGTGTAAGAAGGGGAGGGGCAACCACGCCCACATTATTATTGCTATGCTATTATTATTAATAACTATTTTAATTTTATTTTTAGTAAGAAGTGGGGATTGTCTGATTTTGATATTGGAAGACCTTTAGGAAGAGGTAATTTACATTATCAATTCAAGTCATGCCCATTAATTTTTTTGATTTTTTAAAATGGGCCAATTTTCGAAAATTTCCCTGTACTATAGCCCATGGTTTTTTCCAAAAAAATGGCTTCGAAATCACCCCCAATTTTTATTAGATTTTCTGATACATATTGATGTCCTTATGCTGTGTAGAAAGTTTGAGGCGATTTTGACAAGAAATTTTTGAGTTATGGCCATTTTTTAAAATGGGCCAATTTTCGAAAATTTCCCTGTACTATAGCCCATGGTTTTTTCCAAAAAAATGGCTCCGAAATCACCCCCAATTTTTATTAGATTTTCTGATACATATTGATGTCCTTATGCTGTGTAGAAAGTTTGAGGCGATTTTGACAAGAAATTTTTGAGTTACGGCCATTTTTTAAAATGGGCCAATTTTCGAAAATTTCCCTGTACTATAGCCCATGGTTTTTTCCAAAAAAATGGCTCCGAAATCACCCCCAATTTTTATTAGATTTTCTGATACATATTGATGTCCTTATGCTGTGTAGAAAGTTTGAGGCGATTTTGACAAGAAATTTTTGAGTTACGGCCATTTTTTAAAATGGGCCAATTTTCGAAAATTTCCCTGTACTATAGTACAAGATAATTTTCCAAAAAATGGCTCCGAAATCATCCCCAATTTTTATTACATTTTTTTGCCCATTTTTTCTTATGGTTTTATTCTTGTCCCTTTTTCCTCCCAGGGAAATTTGGCAATGTTTATCTTGCTCGAGAGAAGAAGACAAAGTTTGTCGTAGCTCTGAAAGTCTTGTTTAAATCACAGCTGCAAAAAGCTTCAGTGGAGCACCAACTTAGAAGAGAAATAGAAATACAGGCTCATTTGAGGTAAAGAAGGAGAGGAAGCCATACTGTATCACTGTCATGCTTTTAGACATCCAAACATTCTTCGTTTGTACGGTTATTTTTACGACGACACTCGTGTTTATTTAATTCTTGAATACGCCCCAAGAGGAGAATTGTACAAGATACTGCAAAAAGAGGGTACCTTCAGTGAAAGACAATCAGCAATTGTATGTTGACAATAGAGTTACATTGGTTGCTATTGTGTTGTTTGTTATTATTTGTGTTGTTGTCTTTTGTTGTTTTTATGTTGTTGTTTGTTGTTTGTTGTTTTGTTGTTTAGTACATAAAACAGTTAGCAGATGCACTGAGATACTGTCACTCAAAGAAAGTTATTCACAGGGACATCAAACCGGAGAATTTACTAGTTAATTTCAAGGTGAGTTGAATAGTTGATTAACTAATAGTTAAGTAACTTTTATTACTTAATAGTTAATTAATTGGTAGTGTATTAATAGTAGGTTTATTCAGTAGTGTTGTGTTGGCACACAATTTAGTTACATACATTATGCTATGACCAACTGGCATAGTTCAGTTACATAGATTATGTTATGACCAACTGGAATAGTTCAGTTACATAGATTATGTTATGACCAACTGGCATAGTTCAGTTACATACATTATGTTATGACCAACTGGCATAGTTCTTTACTATTGCATACTTGGACTCTAAACTTTAGTCATTGTATGCACATTATCAATATCTTTATCAGTTTTGGGTGGTAACATAACTACTCCTACTCCTCCATTAATAGCATGTATTACGAGTATCATTCTGACTGTTATTATTAATTTTAGGGTGATTTGAAAATAGCAGATTTTGGTTGGTCAGTTCATGCCCCCTCATCTCGTAGGACTACCCTCTGTGGGACTCTGGACTACCTCCCCCCAGAAATGGTAGAAGAGAAGGTCCACGATGAAAAGGTAGCTCCCCCCAAGATGAAACTGACTCTCACAATAACAAATAATGCACTGCAGTTATGACTTCATCAATTGTGAATTGTTGACACAATATGACTACTGCAGTAATGTCAACTCTTATACTAAATATATTATTGTTGTTGCCATAAGTGTTTCTGTGATTGCTTTTGTAATATTTGGACTAAAATGGCATGTTTTCTAATTCTGTTTCACCTCTTTCTCTCTCTCTCTCTCTCCCTAGGTTGATCTATGGAGTTTAGGTGTACTTTGTTACGAGTTTCTTGTCGGAAAACCTCCTTTCGAAACTGTAAACACCCAGGACACGTACAGAAAAATTGTAAATGTTGACTTTAAATTTCCATCATATGTTTCACCTGGTGCTAAAGATTTAATCATTAAAGTAAGGGAAATGAAAGCAGTATTATAGATAAGCTACAGATGTTGAGGGTTACTGGATATTTACACAAGGATGTTAGTAGATTAGAAACCTGTTATAGTTGATTAGAAACCTGTTAGTTGATTAGAAACCTGTTATAGTTGATTAGAAACCTGTTAGTTGATTAAAACCTGTTAGTAGATTAGACACCTGTTAGTAGATTAGACACCTGTTAGTCGATTAGAAACCTCTTAGTTGATTAGAAACCTCTTAGTTGATTAGAAACCTCTTAGTTGATTAGAAACCTCTTAGTTGATTAGAAACTAAGGCTTCTAATCAGCTAACCCCTAACTACCAGTATTGGGAATTAGATTATGGTTCTATCTACCCCTGCCATAGTATCCACTATATAGACTCTTTTGATACACCCACATACTATAGCACAATTGAATAGTGTTGCAATTGAGACATTACAAAAAATAATGTCCTCATTATAAAGGTGTCCTTATAACAGAGGCTACACTGTATTGTCTGTTAAGTCTTTCAAACAATGAGAGTCAACTTGTTACCAGCAACTAAGCACATGATGCCAGAAATAGTCTATTTTTCTGTTTCTATTGGCAGCATTGCAAGATTAAAGAACCACAATTGTTGCTGATGACAAGTTGGCTCATGTGTAAAGGCCATCATGCTTAATCATGCTCCTCTATCTTCTATAGCTGTTAAAAAAGAATCCTTCAGAGAGACTGGCACTTGATGAAGTCCTCAAGCATTCCTGGATCATAGAGAATGCGAAATGACAGACACACTGTGTTCTTGCCTCTTGTTTTTTAATAATAATAATAATAAGTATGATTTATAGCAGTAGAATCAAGACATGACGATGAACTATTTATCATGTTTTGTGTCATCTATATCTTTGAGTCTTCCTTGTTCAATGTGTTTATGTCCTTTTGGTATTTGTTTATGTAAACTATACTCTCTCTCTCTATACCTCTTGAATCTTATTCACAACATTTATGATAACTTGAGTGATCATGTGTTCACTGAATAGGCTATAGTTCATGTACTTTTGCTCACCACAAGCTAAAATCATATTATAGTGTATAAGCAAGTTAAGGCACTGTCACTATTGATCTTCTATTCTATTGTGTAAACAGTGACCAAGTGTTAGATTTTATTGTCATTTTAATTAAATATGTACTATACTTGTGTAAATAAAGTAACATTAGCCAGTCTTTTCATAACAGTATTAAAGTATTTTGACAATATCTTGTCAGTCAGTTGTTCCTCTTTTCTAGCGTAATCTGGTGTCCTATAGTGATGCATTAGTCCAACATGTTCTGGTACTTGATACATCTTGTAACCTTTCTTCATTTGATAGATGTGATGAATGCCTATTCTTACTGCTGCTTCCATCCTAATGATATTCTTATATCTTATTGTTTCCGGTGGATTTTTAGTTCTGTTCAGACGTCTAAAATGAATCGGAAGTTCTTTGGTATCATTAACCAGCGATATTTGTGATTCATGCCAGAATGAGTTATAAAATCGATACTGAACAATGTTTTTAAATTTACTTAAGCTATTCATCATATCTCCAAGGGTTGCAGTGGAGTGTGGTATAATCAGCTCATCTAAATCAATAAACAGAACATACTTGGCTCTCCTTAAGTACCTGTAAAAGCAATCATTAGCATTAGCCAACTGACCATTGTTTGCTATTGTAAAGTCTGGGTTGTATATTTTCCAATCGATAAGTTTTACAAAACCTTCCTTTTCGTAGTTTTTCAATAATCTCGTGATATTTGGTCCAATGTCTTGATCATACATTGTGATATGTTCCACGCCGATAGCACGATTGATCTCTATCCATGAAGCCATATCAAGTAGGAAAGAGTCTTTTGCAATGATACCTTTGTAGA